TTTCGCAGAATCGATCCAATGCCACGCCCCAACGTCAGCCGAGCCTCGAGAGGGCCCCCTCCCTAGGATTTCGCTTGGCTTCTTTGCATCACAACCGGCCCGCCTATCGCAGCGACGGGATCGTTGAAGCGAATGCTACACCACTCTCTCTGCTAGCCCGTTCGACTCGGGCATGGTCCCATCAAAGGGCTGGCAAGGACGTAGACAGGTGCGAAGCGGTTTGAGTCGAGAGGTCAGAGAGCGGCTTACGTACGTAGATATATAAGATAAGACGTATGATATATAGGCATACTACGCAGTAAACCTAATTGAAGCTTGAAACGAGCCTGGAGGCTCAGGCCCATGTTTCAATAGGTGGCAGGGTGTGAGATGGGACCCGGGACACATGGGGAGGATGGATGATGCAAGAGAAAGAAATGACAAGATTCCGTCAAATCGACAGCGGAAGTGTGGAGAGCAACGAGCGACCGAGCGACCGAGCGACCGGAGGACATCGGCCCTGCGCTAGCTACCTTAGTAGGTTAAGCAGCGTAGCGTATGCACTATGCACTAACCTGCCCAAGTTAGACATCCAATACTACCTGCCCGCAGTACTACACATCCATTATGTAGGTACACACCCACCTCTCCCTAACATGTCTAGGTACCTGAGGCGTACCTATACTGATAAACTCCGGTGGTGGGCTCCGTCCGACCTACCACGTTAGATTAGGCACATATTATATTTAAACACCCGGCCCAGGTAAGGCATTCCCGACATCAGAGCAGATGGTTGGACGAACCGGTAGCTCAGCCATTCGGTCTATGCTGCTCTGCGTTCTACCTATGTCCGCGATATTTTCTTTTGTTTCTTTCGTGTTGCTCCCTGTCGGTAAGGCGCGTGGAAATGCCGGCTTTATAGCATGACACGTAGAGTTACCAGGCAGCGGGAGGGAGAAAAGCAAAGAAATAAATAGGTATTTATGCCATCACGTTGTATGTACACGTATATACATACCGCCTTGGGTATTATTGATAACACGCACGTGGGGCATGGTGGAAATTCGATCGAAATCATGCCTATTTACGTTTAGCTCCTATGGTAAACGTGCTGGCTAATACCCATATAGTAAGGGCTGCTATGCCTAGTAACCTTTATATATATGTACCTAAGAGGTATGTATAGCCGCCCACCTCCTCGACAGCGCCCCCACTAATGTCGAGCACAGGTCCGATTCTGGTCATGGAGGCGGCCCTGGTTCCCGCTTATTACTAGCAGGTGGGAACACCCTGGCAAGCCTACTTTTCAAAACTCCTACTCATAGATAGCTGTTATCATCAGCTTTCGCCAACCTTGGGTAGAGGCAATTCTGTGAGCGTAGTATGTATGAGTACGTACAGTCCCTCGCCTATTCCTGGAGTGCTGCAGCAACATGGTATGTATGTATGGAGGCATGGGAGCATGGATATGACAACATGGGTGTAATAAGTAAACAAGCCCTCTACACGTAGAACATCCACACCTACGATGAGTAGCTTAATATTATCTTGCCTTGAGTAACAAATGAGATTCAAATGATAAAAAGGCCAAGTAGACGTGTTAAACCGTTGAGGTGAGGCTAACCTCTACCTTCGCCGAGGCTCACCCACTGTTTCCCACCTTCAATGTTCCCTTCCTTGAAAATCGGTCCTCTATCGGTATGAAAATACCTTAGAAAATGTTAGTAGATGTAGCTAACGACTAGAGTCGCATGCTAGGGATGCACCTTGACATCCGGTCTCTAAATGTCGAGGCTGTCTCTTGTAGTAACAATTGGGGAGAGCCTATATGTGGACTTCAGTTGCCACTGCCTACTGTTGTAGAGGGCAAGTGAAAGTCCGTTCTACAACCTGCATTTCATCGTGAGACGATGACTATTCCTACGTTGAGAGACCTGGGCCTAAATTCATAACGGAGACCCCTCCACCTGCTCAGCCAACGTAATATGCCAACCACGTGTGTCTCGATCGACACATGTCTAGACGGTATACCTAGTAAACGTTCTGTCTTTAAGATATCTCATCTGCCTGAGGTTGAATACCTTCGGCTGCCTACCAGATAGTTGATGTTCTTCTCCCGCTCACCACTCTAGATTTACATATACCTATGCAGTACGGTGTCATATATGAAAGGTGGGTGTATGACAGTAAGCAACACATGGAAGTGCATACTCCAGGTATGTACATGTGTCCATCATGGATCCATGCATCCACCCATTGAAGTGTTCCATATCTCGAATTGCTGGGCAGACTGTGGTTCCTTTCTTTTTTTTTCCTTCTTCCCTTTCCCCACAAGCAGGTTATCGGGGGACACCCAGGTAACTGGACCTTGCCTATTTGGTGCTGGAACCCGTTCGAGGGGTTCCAAGAAGAAATAATAGAACGAAGAATGAGTTCCCCTATCCTGGCAGCCTACATGCAGCAACCGTCTTACTCACCCCATCCGTCGTCCCCCTTTCCTGTATGTATGCACGCGCTCTAGGAGGTACCTACTATAATGCAGATACTACAGGTACGTACGGTGTGTACGCAGATATCCCGTGAGCATGGGGAGTCTCTGCCAGCCGACCATGACCGTTCGGGGAGAAATACTACCTAATCTGCGTCCCCATCAAAAAAAAATCATCGTCGTTGTCAGTCCACATCCCCACCTTCATCTCCATCTCTATCAAGGACTACATAAGTGCAGGGAGCCCGGGGACCACACCGACGGGACTAACGAGGGTTTGCGGAGGTACGAATGTACAAATACGTTCTACCACCTATACATACAGATGTGTGCACCGAACGTCGAAGCAAATGAACTAGAGACCTGATGTGAGGCTCTCTCTCTCTCTCTCTCTCTATATATATATATATATATGCGTACACACACATATAACCACTCTCTACGAGAGGTACCTCCTATATTAGCTAGGTACCTCTAGGTAGGTACTCGCCTATATTAGACACAGGTACCGCGGCCGGCCTAACGCGGAGTCTTCTCGGAGGTAGGCACCTATGTAGGTAGGTACATATACATACCTAGGAGGTAGGTACCTAAGGTATACAGATATATGGGAGACCGGTTGTAGGTTGCAGGTTACATAACAACACCGGACGGCAATCTTTTCAGTCGCACGATCACTTTCCACCGAGACGTACTTAAGGTGTTAGTACCTGTAATGTGGTATGGAGCGGCGCGCTTGTCCGCCAAAAGAACAGCCGAGTCGAGTGTACAAGGCCATGTAGCGGTACCTGAATTAGGTGGCGTCTCTTACTTGGCAAGTACCCTTTATGACAACAGCGCATTTCTACCACACACACCTACCGCCTTCGAGGTACCTCGCCCGCATCGGGCTGGTGGGGAGGTACATGCCTCTAACAACCTGACTTAGGTACAACCTACCTGTATGCACTTCCCTGAGGTCCATCCATCCTTACATGAAGGTACACCAACTTCGCAGTAGCAGCCTGTACATGGCCAGCCATGTACACCACCGTAGCTCTGCTGGGTAACCTGCTACCTGCTACGGTTACCTGCTACCGGCTGGGTAACGTGCTGACCGCACACAAAGCAAGTACCTTTGCCCTTCGCTCAGATACAGATGTACATGTGCCCATACCTCTGGTTACGTACCTCCTCAACCCTTCCCTCCTCTAGTCTCTCACAACACACACCACACTCTCTCGTCCATCATCATCCTCCGAGGTTCCTCCTCCTACTCCTTCAACCACCCCTCCCCCCATCTCCCCCCATCCTGACCCGGTCTCCCGTTGATCAACTACACACTTGTCCCCTCCGATAATTTCTCTTATTACTCCTATTAATTGCTGGAAGGCCAGCTATTTCCCGCTGCCGTTGCCGCCTCCCTTTTATTTTATTTTTTCTCTCCCACCCACACACGCCCGGTCTCTCTCTCCCCCCCCCCCGTCGCGCGTGTGAGAGCTGCCCAGTTAGTTGTGTGTCGTGCAGTCTTTTCTTTTTTTTTCTTCGCCCCTACGGTTTTCCTTACTTTTTCCATCTCCCTCTGAGGCATAACCGGGCGAAGACCCCGTCGCTAAACCCAACTGGAGCCGCTCAAATTAATCGAGGCTGAAGATTCTTGGTAAGTCGCAAAGCGAGATAGTCTGTACTTTGGACTTGTTTTATTGTATTTCTATTTCGGCTTCTTTTATACTTCTCACCATTTCCCCTTCTGTCTTACTCCTCCCGTCCCTTCTAGCGTGGTAAATTGGGGTGATGCCACTACGTCGACGCGCGCTTGGAGCGAGATGTGGACAGAGCGACAGTACCAACTAGGGCGGCATCTCTTTTTTTTCTTCTCAGCTGCTCCTGGTTTCCTTCTATCTGCGCCTCGTGGCCCCCCGCTGCCTCGAGCTTTCATCGTCGCCTCCTCGTCTCGATAGACAAGCCATCAAGCATTTTCGGCGCCGCCATTGTTTTCTCACTCCTCCACTACCCTCTGCTTTGTGTACTACTCGCACTCCCCTCACCGCTGAAGAACGACGATAGACTAATATTGCACATATAGAGGAAACTTCGGCGACGTGTGGTCGTTCCTTCGAATAAACCGAGACAGTAGGGAGTGCTAGTGCTGAGATCAGAAAGGATTGGCAACCGTTCAAGAATATGTCACAGTACTACGGAGAACCGCAGTGGTCCGGCGCCGGACCGGCCCAGTCGACATGGGATCATCAAACACCTCCGCCTCCCCCCGCGCGATCCGGTTAGTCTATTGCTGTCGACGCTCCGGGCTCCTTGGAGAGTATGTCAGCTAATACGCTACTGTTTTAGGTGCCAGCTCCGCCATCCCCCGAGAGGATTCGATTGCCTTTGCCTACCAATTCGAGGGTACGTAAATCCGTGACTGGGGAGAGTGGGATTCGTATGTTTTACGATAGGTCGCACGAACGAGACCGTCTTATCTATCTGGAGGTTTATATCATCGGCATATCGGTGGAACGGAGACGGCGCCTGACGACGCGATCTATGTGCGATGGTCGTATATCACCCTATGTTCTGGCACTAACATGACGGGCATCCAGAGGTTGATAGGGCGGTTGATAACCTGGTGAAGAGTGGAAAGATGTTCGGCCCAACAGGAGGGCGGCGTGAGTTTAACCCAGCCACAGCTCTGAAATGACGCTGGGCACGTCTGAACGTGTCTCGGGGATTGGAGGAGCTTCCCGCTCAGGAGATGATATTAATCGGTATACAGATGGCCGTGTCCCCTCTGTTCACTCAGGACCGCGTCCCCATTCCGTGGAGTTTGGCGACCCGCGCGCCGGTCACCCCGGCCCTAACCTGCAGAACTTCTATGCCGCGCAACGACACCAATCTTCGCGCGGTTCCAACGAGGCGGAGCAGATGATGCAGGCCAAGCGGAGGATGGCGGCTCAGCGGGAGCGAGAACTGCGCAACTATCATCAAGAGCAGCAATACAACCGAAGTAGGCCGCCCTCTTCTGTGTAGCACAAGACATGCATCGCAAATCAAGAAAAGAAAATTCATTCGGCGGAGTCGGCATGTCTCTATGCCCCTCCCCAAGCTTCACATGCGATGTTCTTACCATGCCTCTTTTTGATCCTTGTAAACATCATCACGACATATCGTCCTTCGTCAAAGTTTCGCGAATATTTGCTAACTAGGCGCCTCAGATGTCCTGGCTGATATATCCTACAGCGGCAAACCCGAGCGCGCTCTCAGCCCCGGTAACATGTCCGAAGATGACCGCCGAGAGTTGATCGCCCGCCAGCGTAGCGCCTTGTACGGCGATGCCAGCTTCTCTGACGAGTCTGCTGGTCGACCAGGGGCACCGGGTTTGCCAACTACGACGTCGGGTCATCGTGGCCCTTCGCCTCTGGCTTACGACTATGGACGGGCAGCCACAGGTAACGCCTCGGAGACTCCCACGCAGTCCGGCGAGGCTCAGGTCCTCTCCCGCGCCAACAGCAACGCCAGCCCTCAGTCAAACCCGCCTACCAACATGGGCATTTTTGACGCTACGGTCGGTCAGCAGGCTAGCCGCACGAGCAGCTCCTCCCCGACTGGCGTGTCCCCTCCTCGAGCTGGCGGGTCGACTAAGGGGGCCCAGACCGGTACCACGGTAGCCCCCATCGGCACCCGGCCGTCGGCTGCCTCGCAGGCGTCCAATCCCGCGCTGAACAAGCGTTCTACCACGCCGCTGCCTTCGCCACTCAGTCACGGCTTCTCTGCCTCGAGCGCCAACGATGATAGCGGCCAGGGCATCTCAGGCTCAGGCGCCCCCTCCAACCCACCCAGCGCTGCTGCGGACGGCTACAACGGCTGGGGCAACCGCTCCGCTGTTTGGGGTAACAAGTCCAGTTTAGGAGTTCAAGCGAGCGTTTGGGGTTAAGACAGCAGCGCCACAACAATCCCAGCGGGTTAGGAACGCTCTCCTAAACCTCGGCACGGCTGCAGCCGCAGCAACCACAATTAGAATCTTCAGCAAAAATTCGGTGTTCAGGTCGGTTGGTTTCTTAGGGTGAGGGAAACGTATATCCAAGCATCAGCATGGGTGTTCAGGCCATTGACGACACGGTAACAAAGAATAGGGAAAACAGGGTGGAAAACATGTTCTGTTCGGAGTTGTCTGCTTTTCTCCTGCTTTTTTCGGGCCCGATGCCTCTCGATTTGTCGAAGACATGACGAACCTCGCGCACAAGAACGATATATAAGACGTTTCGTTTCCCCTGTTGATACCTGCGAAGGTATTCCTCGGTACAGCACATCTGGAGAGAAAAAAAAAGGAGCGGATCGGAAATTCTACGGAACGAGGACGGGAAAGGATCAAGGCTTTCAGGGCATAAATTTGTGAATCCGCGGTTGTGTTCATTCGGTCTCGGCGGCTCAGGGTACCCACGAAACGGAGTTGTGTCCGATTTAATTCTCGCGGAGACGATAAATACTACAGCGAAGGGGTGTTGGTGGCTGGTTGATGTTGTTGTACCGTCGTCGGATTATTATTTTTTCTTTTTTTCTATCCGGTTCCGCGTACGGGGGTGTCTTTGGTAATGGTTCGAGCAAGGGTGTATGTCCGTATTTATTTGTGTAGACCGCGGTGGTGTTTTTTTTTTCCGTTCCCTTTGCGGAATATTCACGCTATGTAAGGCATCCTGGGGACATAGGGATAACGGGCGGGAAAGGGAAGGAAGGATTTATTTGCCCAGGTTGGTACGAAGGCGGGCAGGCTGGCTGGAAGAAAGGATGGCAGGGGGGTCGGAGGGACGGATGGAATCTGGAGAGAGTCACTTGTGTAGGGGTGTCTGTCCGGTTACTGTCCGCATCAGGGAGTTTGGTACAGTCCTTTTTCCTTTACCCTCTGGCATCAACTGGTAAAAAATGGATAAGATCGCCTGGACACGATACCTTCTAACCTTTTAAAAAAAATTCTTTTCTCTGGAAGACCCCTTAGGTGATACTCGGTTTAGTCCCCCTTCCGTGTAGACGGTAGTGGTGGTACTGTGATGATGGTAGTAATGTTTCCGGTGATGGTGGGAGCAGCAAACATGACTACATCCAGCGATCCAGAGGGTCACTCCAGTTACTTGGAAACATACTCAAGACTTTGCTAACAGTAGCAAGGCTCTGTTTCTCTTTGGAATACTCGCCCGCATAAGCCGAACCGAATTAAACCGGACTAAATCGATACTACGCTATTTCGCTGGGGCCTCCCTAGGAGGTGCGACGCTACAAATGTATCTACAATACCCTTGCACCCTACTACTAAAAGCGTTGTGAAGGTGGACTGGGTGGGACAAGCGGGATACGAGAGGAATTGCGCCAGGAAGAGAAGGGAAGAGAAGGGAAGGCATGTTAGAGACGGGCGGAACCACGACAAACCAGCAGGACGAGAGCTGCACCGCGGCGAGGATACGAAGAAAAGGGGACAAGACCAAAACCAGGCTGCGATGCCCTTCCCACTCTGCCCGTCTTCCTCGCCCTCTCCCCTAGAGCCCCCCCCCCCTTTCCCTTTCCCTTACCGCCATTCGCCGGCTTGACCTACCTCGACTCCGGGGGCCGGCCGACACGCCCGCCACGCTCATTGATCACGAGGCGACGGCGAGCCGGATTCGTGGGGAAGGTGAGCTAGGGGGCCGAAGAAGACCTGCGACGGCGGCAGCCCGGTACTCGAGCTTCGCTCACGCCATCACGTCGGCCGCCAGCGACTATGCCTATCGGGCCTGGCTCCGAGTATCTAGGTTTGCTCCGGCCTGGCTCGCGCTACGACGGAGGGACTTGAAGAAAGGATGCCCGTCTTGTGGTCGAGTCCTGGAGGCGCATATCTGAGTACTAATAAGGCACGACGATACCATCCTCGCTTGTATGAGAACGAAACTCGGCCAACTCGTCCTCAGACGGAACGAGCTATGCCATAAACTGCCACAGCCGCTGGCGCTTAGCCTCACAGCTTCCCTCGGCCATTCCACCCAGTATTCCATGACGATTTGAGCTATCGTCTTCGCCAGCCGGGGCCTCCGGCGATGGGAGAATACGCACCCGCGTATGCATATATACGGTTAATCGGAAAAGCGTCTGTTTTTTCATTATACCCAACGCTATGCTATGTTGCGTTCCATATATACACTATTCTAAACCCGTCGAGAACACCCGTTCATCGCGTTTAGAACCCGAGTGCCGCCGCTGCTGCGTCGAGGTCCATGACGTCGTCAGCGCGCAGCGCCTTGGCGGCCCAGATGACGGTGCCGCGGCCATCGACGGCGAACAGCCCGGCTTGCTGCCACTTGTTCCCGAGGACGGTCAATGGGGCGTTCTCCGTCGCGTCTCCTCCTCCTTCTGCCGCCGCCGCTCCTCCCGCACCCGCCTTTCCCTTCGCCGTCGTCGGCGGGGGCGGCTTCTTGAGCGCCCCCGTGCGCTGCAGCGAGTCGGCGACGCGCACGCCGAGCCAGCCCTTCTCCCTCCACGCCTGGATCTGCGTCGTTGGGTTGAGCACGTGCCAGAGGCTGCCGAGCCCGAGCCCCCAGGCCGCGTACACGGCGCGGTCCTCGTCGATGACTATCTCTACCGCCCACGCGCCCCCTAGCAGGTCGACCCACCGCTGCGTCGCCTCGCGCGACGAGTGCGACACCGCGATGCAGCGCAGGCGGCCCTGGTTCTTGGTAGCGAGCGCCCGAAGCGCGAGGAAGGACTTTTGCGCGACTATTGCGTCCCCCTCGAGTTAGCTTTCTGTTTTGCTTGGTGGTTATGGCATGTGTGGATGCGTGGGGGAAAGGCATAGATGGCGGAGCGGGACTGGGCTTACAAGCACATCCGACGCATCGCAGAAAAAGCACGATGACGGGCACGCCGCCGCCGAAGGAGAGCTGGCGGTCTCGGTCGAGCGGCGCCAAATCGCCAGGCTTAGGACACTCGGCGGCGACGGCGACGGCGGCTGGGGCGGGCGACAGCCAGGCCTGCGCCGTCAGCGGCAGATTCTTCTTGTACGTCCACGCGGGCCAGCCACCAGACGACGAATTGGAACCCTGGAGCTCGTCGAGGCCCGGTAAGGAGCCATTCGTGCTGGATTTGCTGCTAGACTTGGAGGTCGAGGCGAAGTCGAGGGCGTCGCTTGGTAGCCCCGCCTTCTTCAGCGCCAGCTTCGTCGTAAAGTTGGAGAACATGTCGGGGCACGCTTTCTCCTAGGTCTTCTCTAGGAATTGCCTCTCTCTCGCTTTGTCTACTCCCGGAACGAATAGCCAGGGACCTATAACACTAGAATAATAACGGCACCAGCAATAATAGTCACGGAGAAGTAAATACCGACGAGTCAACGCCGATGCTCGGAATGGGAATATGGGGCGGCAAACAAATCACGGTCTCGGAATTAGTAGGGTATCTAGGAAGAGGAGCAGAGGGGGGAGAAAGGGAAAAAAAGAAAGGTCAAGAAAGACAAGACCCTGGATGAAAGTCGCCGAGATGATATATCCACCGCGATAGCGACCTTGACGGAACAAGAGGGCCGAGGTGAAACATCGGTCTCCTTCGCCCCCCTCTGCTTCCAACATGCCCCCTCCCCCCCTCTCTCTCGCTCGCTCCAAGACCCAAGAGCTCGAAAGAAAATACCCCTTTCCCTAGCGGCGCCGCACGCGGGCAAGGCTGAAGGAGCTCCCTCCTTGACACAGGGGTCGTCTCAACACGAACTTGGCCCCCTCGGCGCGCCTCCTCGTTCACCCTCCCCTGACACGCGCATCGGACTAACCCTCCTTTCCCCCCCCCTACCCGGCCGCCCGCCCGTGATGGGGCGGGTTTCGTAGCGACGCAGATCCGTCCGCCTTGCAGCGAGGTGCGGGTAGAGAGGAAAAAGATAGGTCCGAAAGCAGACCGGGGGAGAAAAAAAAGATCCCCCCCAAGAAGCGTCGCGAGGCTGATCCGTCGATCGCTGAGCACACGCATGCGCGCACGGTAAGGCGGACGTAGCCCCCAAGATCAAACAGGTAGCAGTTTAGCATGGGCCGGGCTGGTTGGTGATGGTGGATGGGATGGGAGGATCCTTCGTCGGGCCGGGGCTGGGTACGTACAGACTTACTATTACGGACGTGTGTACATAGGTACCTCCTACGTAAGATACCGCCTACATGGGTATGCACGTAGGTATGCACTTACCCGCCACGCACCCCGTCTCCTGGCCTGCTTTAGGAGGTAGGTAAGTACACGTACATTTCTGTCGGCCACTCCTCTACTCGCCTCGGTACATCAAGTATCCAGATACATCCGTCGAGGGGAGCCTACGTGTAGGTGATGGTACCTGCTGGGCGGTGGGCAACAGACGTATGATAGGTAACAAATGGGTGTGCGTTCATTACCTTAGGTAGGTACCTAACCTTAGCTAATACCTACATCAGGTACCACCTAACCTAACCCAAACCCGAGGACCTGTCAGGTACCTACTACCTACTACCCACGCCTACAGCGACTTACGTGTAGGTTGTGTACAATTACATGGCGTGGGGCGTAGCATCTGGCGCCGTACCGTACGGCGGTCTCCGCCAAGCGCCGCCGGGGGGGGGGGGGACATGGGGGCGAACTGGACCCCTTTTCGTCTCGCTCCTTGGCCCTGCTTTCTCCTCTTCGTCCGTACAATATTCCTGACTTCCTCTCCGATATTGGCATCTACCTGCATATGCCCGCCCATGCACACATACATGTACGTGCGTGTGTGCGGTACACGCCGCGTTGGCCCGTCGAATATTCGAATCTTCTTCGTCGTCGTCGTCGTCCGTAGATGTTGGTAAGTCTACCTCCTACTTACCCAGGTACCTACCTCAGAACGAGGAAGTGATCCCTACCGATAGCTGGGTTAATTACCTCTTAATATATATGATAGGATGCATATATGTAGTACGAGTCCAATTAAGAAAGCATTACAAATTCCACCGCCATCCCTCCCCCCCCCCCCCCCCCCCCGGCCAGTTTTCCTCCTCCTTCTGCCACTACAAGACCTTCTAATACTACCACTTCTTCCTCTTCCTTTCCTATTCGAAGGGGAAAAAGGGGGGGAGAGGGGGCCGAGGTGACAAGGGAAATGGACAAGACGGACGGATACACGCATATGTACATAGACAAGGTCTTGGAACCGAAGCCGGCCGGCCGTTCACTCGAACCCCACATTTCGGTAAACCCTCCCTTTCGGTGATCCGCTAGCTACCTCCTACCTTAGGTGCCTACCTGGCTAGCTGGCGGTGCTACGACCGCCTTGGAGAAATTGAGAGGCCTAGTCCAGGACTACCTAGAGGCCGTCGAACTGAGCCGGCGTGGCGAAGAAAAGAGGTAGGTTAGGTGCCAACTAATCTCCCACTCTATAGGCACGCCCTACGAACCACCGGATTCCCTCTACTACTTTTTTCTTTTCTATTCCGGTCAGCCGTTCTGTCTTTTCCTTTCCTCCTCCTCCCGCCCGCTTCCTTTTTTTTCCCTTTCTTTCTCTTTCCTACTTCTGGTAGTCCACGTGGCTGTGGGTCAGCGCCGAACGCGAGAAGGCTAGCCCGGTCTGCCTCGTCTGCCTGCCCCCCGCCAGGTAGACGTCTACATGATGTCGTGTCGGCATACGCGGGCGCAACCTGCGTTGGCGCAGAGCGGCACCGTCCGTCCTACCTCTCTCGCCGTATGTGCGTGTGCGTGCGTGCGTGCACAGAGACATACATGCGCCTCTCCCTGTGCTACGTGCCGGTGCGGCGGTATGGCCGATACCCCCCTACCCCCCCTTCCCCCCGGCAGCGCCTTGTCTCGCTCGCTCGCTCGCTCGCTCTCGTATATCGCGTCTGCTCCTCCTCCGCCGCGCCGCCGCGCCAGTTAGGCTACCAAGACGCCCCCGCGCGCGTTGTGAGTTGAGACCCGAATGGGTACGTGCGAGGTGGACATACCTAGCACATGACGTGAGAGGCCACGATCCCTACTCTATTGGGTAGGTGGGTAGGTAGGTAGGTCTCTGTCGGCAAGGCCTGTGTGGACAACAACCGACCTACCTGCGTAGGTAACATTTGCGTAGGTCGCTGGATCGAGGTTCCCGGCTGGTCGCCGGTCTTAGGCGCTCTGATCAACCCACGCGCGACCGAACCGCAAACCTGAGCGCAATGTGGCGTACGTCGGAAAGGGGGTGGTTTTCTCTTGTCGCTTCTTGTCCTCTTCCGTCTCCGCGGCCATGACTTGCACCGAAAGGAATCAGCAATCTCCAGTGCCAAACTCGTTCAAGCGTTTCTTCTTCTTCCTACGTATTTGTTGGCGAAGCACGGAGACGTTCCTCGTTCATCTATAGGTATGTATACATACATACATAATATACGTACTAGGTACTAAGACATGTGCCATCGAATATGTGCACGAATGTTCGAGGCCACCTTAGGCAATGTACAAGGTAAGAGGCAAGATGTAAGCATCCATTATGCGTGGCTACGTACATCCTCTAGGTATACCCACCTATGTATATACGCAGGTATATGTATACCTGCGTGGAGGGGAAGGGGTTAGGGCTGAATCTTGCTGATGAGATTGTCGCCGCGCGCGGGATAGGCTTGGTGGACGGAAGAGGCAGTACGGTACCGTCCCACGTCTAGGTCGTCGACGGAGCCTCCCCGTCCGAAGGTGCAGCTAATATACAGAGTACCTATGCATGTGCGTGTTCCAGAGTCGAGACGAAAGAGATGCTATTTTTCAACCTGGAGAAGACTCGCACTTTGCTGTCTCGGCTCCTGAGTCGGATCGCCTCCGGCCCCCCCCCCCTTCTCCCCGAGGGCTCTGAAAGGATAATAACTTCGTATAGGTAGATGCAACAACACACGAGCAGAGAGTAGCGTTCTCGGGGACAAGCTGCTGGCTCGTTGCATCACCCGAACAGTGCCGACGGGGACTAGTTCTCTCTCCAAGTCTAGACCGCTTAGCCAGCCATTCCCGGATCCGCATGTAGAGTGGTGGTCTGTAGGGCAGGGCAGGGTATGCCCACTATGTACTTAAGTCCCCATACGCGCACACATATACATACATACACGTATAGGCGGGTTACCTATGTGGGTAGGCATGTGTGCGGCTGGCTATTATTATACCTACATAGGAAAGCCAGGTACGGACAGACATACGGATGTATGTAAGTAATATATGTAGGTTGCCCCATCACCTAGCCTGGGTGCAACCAGGGGTTCGCGATCTAGGTAGGATCTTAAGCTGGAGCTTTCGTGAGTAGTGCCCAGACCGACTGACCGGCCGATGCAGCTGCCCCGATGGGATGCCCTTCAGATACCTACCTAGTTGAATGCCCAGGTAGATGACATACCTACGCCACGCTAGTGAACTGATGTCAGTTGGAACGACTTATGTCAGATTGGCTGGCTGACGAACAGAGTCACGATGGGCAGGTCGGTAGGCACCTAGCCAGCTGGATAGGCCCAACCCGTCAATCGTACTAGATATCCCGTTGTTGGCTGGAACTTCTATTGGTCTAACCTCCAATGCCATCGGAGGGGACACCTAATAGCGGCGACGGAGCGCAGCTATCATGGTTGTTCCCATATTGCCGCCACAACCTGATCTATATGCTGAAGAGACTGAAGAGTGAAATACGATCAGCTCCCGTGCGGAGCCGGTGACCGAGTCGTAATATTCATCTGTCCAAACCGGCCATCTAGCCCTTGCGACTTCGGTGTGGTAGACGAGGGTGACACTATCACGTAACGGGGCTCGCTCTCATTTTCAATACTACACACATTGGCCATTTTGAAAGTTGAAAAAAAAAAAAAAGGCCTCCGATGCGTGCACCAACGACGGCAGCACAGTAACATCGTCTAAGTGGCAGGAACTTGCTAGCGAAGGGAGAAGCCGGCGGGGCTGTCGTGAATTGATTGATAGAACGAAGGTAGGTAGGATGTGGCTAATGCCCCCAAATCTCTACCAGCCCACGAAGCGTACCCGTACAGGATCTCCGTTGCGAAGGCTTGCTGAAGAACGGAGCCCGTCCAGCGCCGGTGTTACAGACAGACACCTCGTAGATTCCGGCGAGCCGGGTTAGCTTCGTTGGAGGGGGCCAAGAGGGGGATCTCCCGAACTATTGGTAGGCACTGACACATGACGTCAAAGGGCTAAGTATAGAATGTCGTGCTCCCCGAAACTCGACGGGTTTTTGTACGTGGGAGGGCAGAGCCCGATATCGACGATGGATCGGACGGGTGACGGAGTTGCCTGGAGGCTTCTGGAGGGGACCGAAAGACGGGCAAGGACAGGGGTGCATAAATCCGCAGGTGATGGGAGTCCAGACGCCATTGCTCGACAGAGGAGCCGCTGACAGGCGGGCGGGCTGACTGGATCCGGTTGCGTCCCTCGTACTTGTCACACCGGTCCTGTCGCTGCTGGTAGAGAGTCCTGGGAAGAGACCCCAACGACCTTCACGACAGAGCGTGCGCCTCCATTGCGTCGACGACAACATCCCAGCATCTCGGGCGCGGCCGCATACGGGGAAACTTCACCACGGATTCGGGAAGCCGAGTAAGTCGACTCTGTCGATAGATGTTGACGCCTCAGCCGATCGACAGGAACGCCTCGGCTGTGGGAATCTCCACGTCAGCATGTCGACAAGACGAGACGGCCGCGAGGGTGGTGATCTCGCCGAGCCCGAGCCGTCCCCCCCAACCAATGAGGCGCATTGGCAACAGGGTGATTTCATGAGGAACAAGGATTACGCACGACGGGATCACGACGGTGAGTACTCAGTAAAGGCGCTTAGAATATGTGCAAAGAGGGAAACGAAGAAGGAGGTAACAATGCTGTAGGTGCCGGTGTACCTTTTTGGAATGTCGTAGGATGTAGATGGATGATGTTGCAATCTTAGGTACGATGTTGGCACGCATCCTCGATCAGGAGGAGGGCGATGCTATCTGGGGAAGTCCCAGAGAAATCGCCGCCCCAAAACCGCTCGATGCCGACACGGGAGGAGCCAAAGCGACGTTGGGAAATTGGATATTACCTGCAGGTCGGGGGTTGTCTGGTACCTGCTTTCTATATGAGGGAGGTACCCCTGAAGAACCAGGTACCTTGCCTTGAAAGTGGAAAAGAGGGATGGAAGGAGACCATGACTCCGACATTGGACACGGCACCACGCGAAGTGTAGGTACCCAGGTACATGCCTACACTGGGTACATCTGGTACACAAGTGTACGCACACTACACGAACCAGAGGTAAGAAGTACCTCCTACTTTAGGTACCTACAGGAGGTGGGTAGCCTCTAGGACTCAAGGCAATCCTATGTCACGTGTATTTACCTGGCATCTTGCCCAGCGTGTTCTCTACGGCATCGTGGTTCACCTTCATATACACGTAATACAGGTAGAGATACTCGCAGATTATTGAACCTGGTCATTGTGCGGACAATGTATGGATGCTGGCCTTTGCAGAGTGCGTGGCCTCAGGTCCCCCCCACCTACCTAGGGTTCTTTTGAATTTGTCTTAGACGGGTACCGGATGGACTCCGTACCCGGGGTAGACGATATCCGGATAGTCTTGAGTTGCGGTGGGCGAACCTGAGTTGAATCATCGACGTAGGTATTGGTGACGCGATGATTCTACCTCATCCCAATGAGAAGCAGCGGAGTGGGCTTATTCTTATACGCAGTTCGTAGTTGGGTGCGTCCCAGCCCACACAGGATGCTCCCGATCTCGACGCTCTCGAAGTAAGCCATCACAGACAATGCCTGCCTCCTACCTTTTCTCCAGGTACATGCACACAGGTATACACGCCTAAGTACTTAAGGCACATGTAGATATCTCCTCATCTTCCAACAGGTAGCGGGTCGTCTATCGCAGGTAGCGCTTATTGCTATTGCATCTGTATTACACACAGGCCTAGGGTGTCCGAAAGGGTCTTCAAAGAGGCACTCATAAGTTTGATAACTTTAGGTAAGAGGTAGGTACCTAACCAAAGGGACCCTTCGTATAGCTGAGGTCCTTAGGTGTAAATTTACAAGGTACACCTGTAGGCAGGCCTCGTATAAATGAACACTACTTTGAAGCGTTTAAGGAGGTACCCTGGAGATCTATATGAACCAGGCAGGCATGGAATGTAACGAAGAGAGGCACCTACAGGTACCTGAGGTACTGAGAGGGCTGTTAAACTGACGAAATACAGACATACCTCCTCTGAACCGGAGACAGGACGGACAGGTTCATGTTGCAGATGACAGGAGAAGATATATAAATCGGCACTGGTTGAGGGTGACTTAAGTACAGGATACATATGTACAGATTGCCTAACCTAACGCGCAGATGTACATGTAGGTTCGTTTCGTTCGGGCCTTGCCTCTGATGGGCTCCCGCCCTTGCCCTAACTGGCTTCATATTATGTAGGTACATAGGTACACATGTGAAATACACCAGGGAATACCTGAAAGGTAGGTACCTAGGTAGGTACCTAAGTAGACAGGTATTTGCAAAAGCGTATAGGTGCACATCTGGATGAGGGGGTACCTACTTAGCCTACCCGATGTATGTACTTAGGTACATAGGTATGTAGTGTGCCTACCTTACACTTCTGCTCATGTACCTGTGTATGTCACCTGTACCTTACGCACATGGCACATGGCCGGCCTGCTGAACCGTCTGGTCGCATTGGATGATTGAACGAACTAGTACCTGTACTTAGATCGGTCGCAACCTCAATCACCCTCAGCCAACCTACCTGATTATGAGTACTTCCCCTACCTGCCGCTGCTCCTCACCTACCTAACCTAGGTGGTGGCTGGCCTGCCTCTTTGCCGTAGGTACCTTCATTGCCTTACCACCGCCCAACCCACCACAACCGAAGGCACCTGTACTTCTAACTTACCTATCCTCCTCCTGAAGTCCTCACCCACCTTCTTTACCCTCCTTCTGCTCCTCCTCTTCCGCCTCCTACCTTAGCCTACATACCCCCATACCTTGTTGGAATTGTTACCTCCCAACCTAACCTCCCTACCCCTTCTTCTGTCTCTGCCGCTCTCCCTCTCTCTTCACTGTTCTGCCTTTCTGATTTACGACGCCCTTTTTTTTTTCACGACTTCCATTCCTCTCCACCGTCCACTCCGCCTTTAGAAGTCGAAAGCGGAGCCTAACAGAAGCAGGAGAAACGGTACCAGAAGCAGCAGCAGCAGCAGCAACAGCACTGTCAGCGGCAGCAACAACGACAGCTATTGTGTGCTGCCTGCGTCTCCAGACGTACCTTGTGTCTAGCGGTTCTGAGTTCTTTTATTCCTCTCTTGCGATACCCCCCTTTATACCCGCACGTCGATTCGTGTGTGTTGCTTATTTCGATCGTTCCCTCAATTGACTCTTGTCCCTTCTTTCTCTGGGTGTGCCCGACCTACCGACCGACCGTAAATGATTCCTGGTTCGTTCGAATGCATTCGAAAATCGACCCGTTGATGTTTCTCGACCTCTGCTAAGAATTGCCTCCTCATCCCTCCTCCGCATTACCGCCACTCCCCTCTCTCCCGATCTCTCTGCCTCTGGGCACCAAAGACATTCCATACAATTCTATATCCGTAGCAGACTCTGGCCTTCCGGCCTCCTTCCGCTCGAGAGAGACAGAGAGTGCGCATCAGCCAGCCGACTATCGAACCATCAAGTCAACCCGACTCGATCAGTCAGCACTTGCTCCATCTGCCTCGGCCTCGTCGATCCTCGTTATATTCGACCTTCCGAATAGCCCATCCGTCTCTGCCCCCTTCTGCCACTCCTATCGCGGACCCGACAGCCCCCCCCCCCTTCTTGCGACACCTTGTTTTCGTCTGTTGTTACTCGCTACCAGCAATTCGCTGTTGTGGGAGGGCCCGGACGAGATCGGACAGAAGCACAATCCCGTTTATTTTGGCGTCGCGTCACGAACCACTCGTTTTAACCAGTCTCTGTTAAGTTCCTCCGGTTATTGTGCGGGGCCCATCTTTAATGGACGGCCGGCCTATAACGGCAGACTCCAAACATAATTATCCATCTCAACCTCTTTGGACCCGGTCGACCTCGAGCCCGTCAGTCCCTAGACTCAGCAACCCGTTGTCACAAACCCAGCCAGAGCCGCATCTCGTCTCTCAGTATCTGGCTGCCCCTCAAGTTGACTGGATCCCAATCTTATTCCCGCAGCAGTCCTCGCTCTATCAGGCACAACTTCTGCAGTACAACAAGCTCATCGCGCCGGGTCGAGGCGGCGGTCTCCAGACTCCTCCGTTGCCGCCGTTGCTGTCGGCCCAGAACGTCCACGTCGGGCCTAGGTCTCGTTCCTCATCCAAAGTGTCGACCAAGGATCCTCGCGCTAGGCAAAGCTCCCAGAATTGCCATGCTACTAGAGGAAACCAACATACCAATAAAGCCGATCGCGCGCTTATAACCGGCAAGGACACCCCATCTAAAATGCCGCCCAAGAAGCCGGATCTGTCCCATCCTCTCCCCCAGAGGCCGAAGCCGTCGACATCGCCTTCGAACTTGCCTCCGCATTCAAGTTCCGTGCCTTCAACCCCTCAACAGCATGCCCGAAAATTCTCCTTCGAGTCGAGGGATCACTCGCCCAACGCGAACCAATCCCACTCACCCCGATCCGCGTATTCCGAAACTAACGGCGCCGTGCCCTCGCTTCGCTCCCTCCCTCCGCGGCACGGCGGCTGCAAGTATGAGACGGGCCTCGAGCATTCTCGCCGAAGAGTGCCGTATAGTATAGGAAGTGACCGGCTTGAGAAGACGGATTTGCAGACTATTAAGAGCAAGCTTTCTGAGGACGATGAGCGAAAGCTCACCGCCGACATGCGCGAGCTCTACGGCCGGTTACAACCGACGGAGCAGGTGGAGGAGAAGCGGCAGAAGCTCGTTCAGAAGCTGGAGAAACTTCTGAACGATGCTTGGCCGGGCCACGACATTCGCGTGCATCTTTTTGGCTCCTCGGGAAACCTGCTGTGCTCGGACGACTCGGACGGTTCGTGATGCCTCACTAGGAGATGCGTATTCGCTGGGCTAACCTTTCTCTAGTCGATATCTGCATCGTGACCCCGTGGAAAGAGCTTGAAGGCGTCTGCAAGCTTGCGAAGCTGCTGGTCGAACGTGAGGAAGAATACCCCGGCTTTTACGTTCCCTTGCTTACAAATCTACTAGACGGAATGGAAAAGGTTGTCTGCGTATCCTCGGCGAAGGTACCGATCGTCAAGATATGGGACCCCGAGCTCGAGCTTGCCTGCGACATGAATGTGAACAATACGTTGGCTTTGGAGAACACCCGCATGATCAAGACATATGTCCAGATCGATGAGCGTGTGCGACCTCTGGCTATGATTATAAAGTATTGGACCCGGCGGAGAATCGTCAACGACGCTGGTATGTAAAGACCCCTCGCGACTTGCGCGCATCAGCATTGCTGACGATAATAGCATTCGGCGGGACGCTGAGCTCGTACACGTGGATATGTATGATTATCGCATTTCTGCAACTGCGTCATCCTCCTATCTTACCGGCGCTCCATCAGCGACCTCACCAGAAACTTCCCAGGAAAGATGGCGAGATAGCGTCTTTTTCGGATGACGTGGAGAAGCTGCAAGGGTTTGGCAATAAAAACAAGTCCACGCTGGGCGAGTTATTGTTCCAATTCTTCCGATTCTACGCGCACGAGTTCGACTACGACGCGAATGTGCTGTCGGTGCGCCTGGGAAAGATCGTTAGTAAGAAGGAGAAGAAGTGGCATTTTGCCTTGAACAACCAGCTTTGTGTGGAGGAGCCATTTAACACTTCCCGCAACCTAGGCAATACAGCTGACGATACCGCATTTCGGGGCCTTCACATCGAGCTGCGACGTGCTTTTAGGCTTATCGCGGAAGGCAAACTTGACGAGTGCTGTGAGCAATATATTTATCCGAAGGAGGAAGAGAGGATATTTCAGAAGCCCAAAACACCGCGTCCCATACTTTTACGGAGTGCCTCTCAACAAGCCAACCGAGGGGGCCGAAATGGGGCCTTTCGGGGAGGAAACAGACAGCAGGGCCAGCACCGAAATAACGGTAACAATAACAGTCGCAGGGCATCGTCAAGTGTGCCTTACGAGAACAACGCCGGAAGCCCGATGTTCATTCAGGCCGCATACCCCATAGCCATGGCGCCTCAAGATGCCGCTGCGCTGTATATGCAGACATCGCCGGAAGTGTTGGCGCAGACACTTTCTGCTTTGCAGTTGCAGGAGAATAACCTCCGATTCATACAGTACACCCAATCACACGCGTTCGCTATACAACAAGCGCAGAGGATCCAGAGCAATGCGGCGCAGACGCAGTCATCGTCGACCGAGCGTTCCAGGACCAATTCGTTCGACACCCCTCCTTTAAGTGCCCCCTTACGTCCCGAAATGCGGCCGGAGATATTTTATTACCCAATACCTCTCCCCACGCAGGCGTTCTACGCACAACACGGTTTTACCGCGTATCCGTCCTCGCCGTCGAGCAATCACGGCGCCGAATTTCGGCGAAGTCCTCACCGATCCGCAGCGGCGGGTGATGCCAACCACCCCTTATCCGGAAGCTCTCTGAGATCGCAGTCTCAGCCGGCATCGCGAACCGCTGCCGGCATCCCCGGCACTCAGGGCTTGGCTAACGGGAACCCGATGTCAAATGGGGCCGCCAACATCCCTGCACGGCATGTCAACGGAATTCCTATTCCCAGCTTCATCCCAGATGAAGGGCACGAGAATGACCCGGATGGGTCAGCAACGAATACTCCACCGGAGGAAGAGAAGGGTTATAGCTACTACGCGGATCCGTCGAGCCCCCCGCGACGAGCGAACGGTCCAAACAGCAGCATGCCCGCGTTTGGCGACATTGGGCCCCAGGCATCGTCCAATCAGAGCAGTAGAGGTCGCCTATCGTCAGATCAGATCCCCCAGTCGATACTCGACAGAATCAAGCATAGTTCCCGCTCTCCATCGCCGTTGGGGAATAAAGTCTACTCTACAGGGAGAAATACGCATTCTACAAGCTCGCAGGTACGCGAAACAGCGCCATTGGTCGTTAACGGTTCCATGTCTAAGCCGGTCGTCGGAAACTCACCTCGACAACCGTCGCAAAGCGAGTTCCCGTCCCAGTACGCTAACTACGATAACCCACTTCACATCAGTCAACGTTCAGAATCCGGCAGTTCGACGGCAGAAACGCCGTCCAGCCAGAACCCCACCCCCTGGAAGGGGAATTCCCCTACATCGGACCGACCAGTCGTCGTGAATGGCTCGTCCAACCCCTCATCGCTGATAAGTAATCAATTGCCGGCGTCACAATTCCCTCATGATGCCATGACCGTGAGTTCGGCCATCAATCAGTTCACAATCGCGAATATGCCTCCAGGGCCGACTGGACTCGACAGCAACGGTGTTACTGCAGGAATTTCGTCCGGCTCCCTTCAACGATTCCCGCATCGGACACCACCGAACGCTCTAATTGCACAGCTGGATCTTGCGACGGAGAATCGCATGCAGGCAAACGAATATTCGCACCTCTCGCCAGTCTACGAGGCCCATAGCCCTTCTCCGAATTTTACGATGAGGTTAGATTTACCTTTCAGCCAGGTACCGACCCCTTCGACCACCGAGGGGCATTGCCCGCCCGATTTTCATGTAGAACCAAGCAAGAACAAGCAAAAATTGCCGATTGACGGCTCCCCGTCTAGGTTCGATGCCCCGATACTCTCCAATCCGAGGGTGAATGGGTTGTTGAAAGAAAACGGACACACGAGAGGCGTCAAAAGTGAGAGTGATAATCCTGGTGCTGGGTGGCAAAAGATGACTCGAGGCAGGAAGAAAGGCAGCGAAGTAAAGCCCCGGAGTGAGGTCTATCCGCAGAGCGAGCAGTTGCCCAAGAATGATTCGGAGAGGAAAGGAGGTTGAGCTGGAGCCCTCTGCTCGCTTCCGATCTAGCGGCGGTTATCCGCTTCTTGGATATAACATAGCCGCGCGAGCTGGGGACATTTGTGCCCACCGATCCGAACCTCTTCTTTGAGATCTCTGGCGGCACGTTGGACATGGCCGGGCCTGGTTACATCCTGATGTGGATAATACCTCCGAGATTCGAAGATTTCCACCAAGAGAGAACAAGCCGTTTTCTTGCCTACCTGTGGGACTTTACCCGGTCGCGCGTTTCACAAGCTCAAGAAACTTCTGTTGGGAAGTGTCTAGTGACGTTATCAGTAGCCCGGAAATTCCTATCTTACGGATGCCAATCCTCTGCAAGGATGGTCGGCCCGGCTCATCGACGGGCCACTCGAACGATGCAATACCGACTTTTTAAATCGCATATCTGCGCTAAGAGAATCCATCTCAGGGGCTGGGGGGCTCGGGCAGGCTGCGTATGGGCGAGGTTCGGGAGTAGGGATGATCCTAACATTGTACAGCGCTGGGCGTGTGGCATTTGGCTATCCCATCATCCTATCAAGCATGGTATATTTCCTAACGATACCGTGGGCGGGACGAGTGGGGGTCATCTGGCTGGGGTTTAGTCCTGGATTCACTTTCCTTGCGTTTGTCCGATGGAGAGAGAGAGAGAGAGCGGCGAGCACCATTGGGGAAACAAAAGAGTCTCGTGGCATATATACTAGCATCTATTACGTGGACGGGAGCCTTGATATCCAGAAAAGACACGGGCCGAGGGGAGGGTAAAGGTTACTTCCATGGATAAAACGCCCACCAAATCGACGGTTACGGGCAGGTCGGCAGACGGTGAGGTTTTTTTCCTTTATGTCCTTAGGGTGCTCAAGACATATTGAATATAGCATACCCTCAGATAGACGGTAACGGAAATAGGCACGCGAAAAGAAAAAAAAATAAATAAATAAATAAACCAAAAACTTTTTTATACGAATTCGCCCACACAGTCGAGAGGTCGTGACAAATTTAGATTTCATCCCGATGCGCATGGTGCTCGTACTAACAAAAAGGGGTTGCGAGGAGAGATAAGTTATAAGTAGAGTCTAGCTAGAGGAGAGACTTGCGCCATTGACAGAAGAGGCCGCGGGCTCGTTCGAGGTTTCTTGGGATGCAGCACAACCCGACTCTACTCTGGGCCGGATAGGGAGGGGAGCTACCCCCTCCTCCGGCGAACAACTTGTTACGATGCCTTCCCGGGACCTCCGGATACGGCCCACGCCCCTCCAGTGAGTACGAGCTGCCCTCGTTGCCAGCCGCTGTACGTGGCATGGTATCGACCATCGGCGGCCTCTCCTACCCTTGTTCTTACGCGTGCCCGAGAGCCTAATTCCGCCCGACGGCCCCAACTCGACATCTCGAACCATCGACGCCGCACGCAGGGGCGAGCGGGCAGGCGGGTCGGCTGCATCCCGAGAAGGTAGGGCCGGGGCCTCGCGCCGCCCGAGTAGCTGCGGCCCCGGGTGCCTATCCACGGGGTTCGGACTCTCGAGACGGCGCTCACCTTTCCCCCCTTTTGCTTCTTCTTTTTCTCATCTGCCCATACACCATCTGTTACGGGACTACGGGCTACACCTACCTCGGGCCACCTTTACCACACCAAAAAACAATAAAACTTAACCACTTTTAGTCACGGATAACTATACAAATATTGAACAGGAGCAGCGTGGGCACGCTGTGATGGAGACCCGTACAAGGACTACCCAACTGCCAACAGCTGGCCAAGTACCGATCGAACTAGATCACAGCTTCAAACAGCTGTAATCAGTTGATCGGCCAGCTGAAACGGCGGCTGAGAAAGACTAGAATGGAGATGGCGATAAAGGCTAAGAAAGGCATGGCAAGAAACGAGTGAATGGCTATAGATTCTGATAACTACAGGTTTTAATCTAATCGATGAAAATATGAGTACGAGACCCATATAAATACACATCCAAAAGGCTACGTGGCCTAGTCCCACCGCATCACTACAATATGAACCTATATTTATTATAAGCTATTATATTTAAGAAAAGCTCTATCTATTTAAGGAGCTTAAAAAGACGATTCAGACGATATAACCTTCAAGGTTTAAGAGTATATATTCGTACGGTTATTCGTGATTAAAAGTAGTAAGTTTTGCTGTTTTTTTAGTGTAGTTAACGTAGCCCGAGGTAGGTGTGGCCCGTGGTCCCGTGACAGATGGCACACTTTTCCGCCGCATAATAGACCACTTACTCGCCGATTCCCTCCCCCCCCCCCAAAAAAAAACGAATTAGACCCTAGGTGCCGACGACAAATCCGCTCGAGCAAATGCATAGGTCCATAAAGAGGTCGGGGTAGTCGTGTGTATTCCACAGCCCAACGCGGGTAGTCGGGGGCTCCTGCTCCAGGAGTGCGATCCTGTCGCGCCACTCGCGGATCTGGGGCTTCCAGCTGTCCACTTCCGCCTCCATCTCTCTGCCTACACTCGTCCATGTTGGTGCGAAGGGTCTATGCTGTTCATGTACCTCTAACCCCTGGCCTTCGTTTTGGTTGTCGTTGATCTCGTCATCATTATCTTCACCTTCATCATCGTCGTCGTCGTTGTCTTCTTCTTCTTCGTTATCGCCGTCATCGCCGTTCCCCTCGTCCTCCTCGCCCTCGTACTCGGCCTCGGCTGCGTCCTTGCCGAGAAACGCCATGCCGAGGCCATCGAGGCCCTGGCACTGCATCACCATTTCGAGCAGATTCTGGCGCCAGTCACCGGTCCCAAGACGCAATCTCAGTGGCGTCGTCGGTGAGACGAAGTCAGGCGCGGCGCCGGCGACCTCGCGTGCACGTCTCCACACGGGCCTCCACCGCTTGCTCTTTAACAGCCATGCCAGTGCCAAGTTGTTGTTTTTGTCTGGGGGCTGATCCTGCGGGTACGGCCCGTCTGGGTAATTGATCACAGCGCGCCGCGGGTCCAGCGTACCATCGGGGAGGGTGATATTAGACGCGGAGTCGTAGCACTGGGTGGCAAAGTCAGGAACACAGTATTTTACGAATTCCAGGCGCGTGTCCACCCTGAGCTTCTTAGCCGGAGGGCTCCGCGGCTCGGTAAGGGAGACGGAGGAGGGGAGGAGCAGGTCGAACTCGGGTCCGAACAGCTCCCCATAGATGGCCAGCTGGAAGAAGGTGTCAGACGCATCCGCCAAGATGGCGTAGGCGTCGTCGATGCCGCTGTCCCAGAAGTCCGGGTTGCTACCCCACTGGTAGCCAACGCAGCGATCGACGAGGTCAACGACGGGGCTGATCAGGGTGTAACGCAGGCGGTGCAGCCGGCGGATGCGAGCGAGCGTGAGACCGCAGTGCCGCAGGGCGAGGCCCAGCAGGTGATGGATACCGCGGCGGTACAAGCCGCTCGCGAGCTCGGCCTCGTTGGCGTCCGAGGCGCGGGCCCAGCTGCCGAGCTCACGCGCGGTGGCGCAGACGAGAAGGTAGGGCCACGGCTGGAAAAGGGCCCGGCTCCGGACGGCGAGGCGCAAGAGGGTGTTGGGCAAGATGCGCTCCACGCACGCGTGCAGAGCGCGGCAGGTCGAGGAGAGGTTGACGAGGTCCTCGATGTCGCCGAGGTAGGAGGGGAGGCTCAGCAGGATATCGTGCGGGAGGACGAGGAGTGAGGGGGGGCCAATGGGAGTGGTGGCGGTTAGAGGTTCCGTGGTGTTGTTCATAGCGAGGTCAAGTAGGCTTAGTTAGCCCGCCTCGGCTAAACTAATGGAAGAGGCGGATGGCGAGATGAGGGTTGAAGAATGTCTACTACCTATGTAGGTACCTACTCATAGGTCCTGCCTCGTAGATTCGACGTCGTATGAATGGGTATAAATGGGCACAAGTGCACAAGAGGTAGGTATAAAAGGCGACCGCGCTTTTCTAGGTACCTACCTATTTACACAAACCCCTAAGCAGGTGACCTGCCTGTATCTAACCTCCGTAGCACTCCGTAGATGTACCTACCACGTACGTAGAGGTACCTATGGAGGCATTCCCGCCTCTAGGTAGGTAGTTGCCTGAGGCATCACCGACAAGGCATACCATAACCCGCTCACCGCTGCCCGCATACGCATCACCGCACTCGAGACGGTAGGTAGGTTTCTCCTCGGTGCAAATATTCCCCCATCCGCCCACTCGCAACCCAGATCTATGCCAGCGCGGGTTGCAGGGTGAGTCTTGTATTGAAATGCAAGCCTCACCCCCATCCCAACCCTCCACCTCCACCTTAGAGGCCACCGCCGCGGCCTGCCTGCAGGTGTTCGCGACCGTTGACCCGGCCAGTGTTATGCCGCTTTAGAGCGCCGACTACCGTCACACCATGGCGCCGTCGCCGCTCGGCCTCTCTAGCCCGATGGACGGACCCGCCTTTGCCGCCCACCTCGCTAGCCTGCCCGGCACCTTGCACGGGTTCCCCTTGGCCGAACCCGTCGCTGCGCTAGGTCGCTATCTAAGCAGACTCGGTATCCCAGTTCCACGACCACGTAAAGGACGGCGATGGCGATCCCGAGCAGTAAAACTTCAGCAGCGAGCACATATTCGCCCTCACCACGGACCCGGGCGGCCGGAAGGTCGACCGCGTGGTCGAGCTCCTCGACAGCAAGTCCACCGAGGTTATGAAGGGCCTCGTCGCGAGGGCCTTAAGAAGGAAGGCTGAGGGAGAGGGAAAGGTCCCCGCGGATGTGCTGGTTGGCGGTACAAGGCACGATCCGCGTCAGGTCCTTTTTCGTTTCGGCTCTAACAAGCGAGAAAACGACTCTTCAGCAATCCGTCAGACTTGTCTTCACGTTATGAAAAGACACACGTTGAGAGCTTACCGTGGAAGAGCGGGTTTCAAGCTCTCCTTGCGCATAGTGGTGACACATTGAACAAACTCGCTTGGTTGTGTACCTCTCCAGGCAATCGCCCTCGGTAGTGCCTATATACAATTCATCCAGGCGTAAGTGAAATGGTTTCCCACCACTAATGCCAGTACTTGTTATTACCACTCAATGTGAGAATCACGCTAGAAACCACCAAAGGTATATTCACATCGACATTAGTCTCTTCACATAGAGCCCGGAACTGGTTTGATATCTAGCAACACCAGACACGCTGAATCGCGGTCTTCTGGCATAGGTCTGTCCGAAATAACATGAGATGAAATAGACGAGGAGTCACAGATATCAATGGTTTCCATCCTAGTGATACTCCGGACACCGAGTCACGCTTGACTTGACGAAACCTGTCGAGATTCATTGAGTGAACAGGGAAAAGAAGAATGGTTAAAAAGCTGGCGCTGGTGTGACTTCTAAGTCGCATTAATAAAACGAAGCCATCATCTGCGTTTCCCTCCCTCGTTCTTGGCCCCCCGTTTCCTCATCCTGTGCAGGGAGAATAACTTCGAGAGCAACACCCAAGCCGATACGCCATCGACAACCCACTTTAAGGAACCACGAGAAGATGATGCAATTGATCCCGCTCCTATTTCTTCCCTTTTCCGCCTTCGCGGCCGACGCCGGCAACCCAGGCGATCCTGGCCTTGCCCCCAACACGATGCCTGCGGTCTCGCCGGAATTCGACTTCGACAACGTCGTCGAGAAGGGGCTCCGGGAGCATCTCCCCCTCACCTCATCTACCTTCAAGGTCTGGGATAACGGGATGATCCCCCAAGACTGCAAGCATCACGTCGAGAGCTACGGCTACAGGGCTACTGATTTCGAGGTCGTTGAGGTCACATATGCCGATTGCGAGAAACCGTGGATTATGTGCCGCCTGAAAGGCTCCAAAACCGACAACACTCGCATGGCCGAGGTGGGTTCGATGTCCTGTATCCCCCTCCCTAAATCTGCGAGAGATATAAGGGGTGCTCGCTCAGTAAGACTGGACAAAAGAAATGACCACGTACACAGACGTTTGGCCGGATGCCCATCGGCATGCGTGAGCTCGTCAAGCACGTTATGATCATGGAGTTCGACAAGATGAAGCCCGCCGCAGCTTACTCGGTGGCCGACATAATCGCAATCTCTGATGAATTCTATATGCATCATATATTCACTCACGAGTAGGTAGCTGCCATCTTCCTCCATATCCTCGGACAGCCATCCTGCTTACTCCGGCTCATGAACGTGACGCTGTCTACTAAAAAGCATCATTGACGCTTATATTTCTTTCTCTCCCTTCACTCCGTAGGTTGTCCCACTCGCTCGATTCGCACATCGAGGTGCCGGGCGTCACTCCTCCCAACAGTGGCGGCTTCAGCTCCACTAAAGCCTGGAAGGATATGTTCGATGAAGATACGGCGGCTATATCCGAGTACGGGCGTAGCGGATGGCCAGAGAACCTTGCTGATTCTGGTGTCGTTGCGCTCTTCGACATTGTGGTACCCGGCGGTGCCGGCACCATCAACCCTAACTGGACCAGCGTGAGTGACACTGGTCCCTTTGGACCCCCCTCTATTTTTGCCTCGTCCCAGCCTTCCCAGGCCGGGGACGTAGATATGACTTAGACATGATACTTAACTATCTCACTCGTAGTGCTTCCACCAGTACGCCAACTACAAAACGGCTTACGGTCACGTCGTAACACCGGGAGTCAAGCTGAACTGCACGAAACGTGTCGATGACTCGCCTATCGTCCAGGCAGGCGACGGGAAAAGCAACGGCAACACCACTGACGAAGGCGGGGACTCCAGTGACAGTGATGGCAACAAGGGTGGCTGCCATAACGGCACCCATGCACGCGTCGGGATTCCGACGCGGCGGATCTCCCGTCCGCGGCCTCTTGCGGGCATTAAGGCGGTCCACTCAGGAATCTTCCACAACGTCACCTTCGTTCACCGGGTACAGTGACGCATTCGATTTGAGTTCGAGCGGGCAGCGGATCTGCAGGAGTGCACGCTATGGAGATGAGCGGCCATGGTCCAGGGCAGAAGGCGGACACATAATTCCCGCCCTAGCCTGACAACTCAGGGGCATAGGACAGGACACCGCTCTTTCGACGTAGGATCCCTTTATGCACTCTGTAATGAGAGAAAGCGCTTAGAAGGCTGTAAGACGGTTCTCAAATGGTCTACGCGTTGCCTGCATAACGAATAATATTCACGAACACAACTAACAACTGGGGCGTTCTGTTGATGAGAAGGGAGGTTTTATATATGCGTGTCGCCACTAATGCCAGGGGCGGATTAAATGAGTGTAGCTGGTCATAATTGACCCATGGGAGGGGAAAGGAGTCTTTGCCAATAGATTAGAACCGTCGCAATCTCGTCCCTAATCCAGCCACGATGGACCGTAGGATATGACCGAATGCCTGTAGACATCTAAAGCCCGACTTGCGGGCCCGCAGCGAAATTACTTGACAGGACCTCATCGCCATGCGAGACACGGCCCTCTGTATTGCCTCATAACTCTCGGGATGATCTCGTTTATCTCCATTGTCAGATTGAATTCGCCGTCCCACATCAGCCATCGACGATCATATCGCCGAGCTTACCGCCGCGATTCTGCTCCAGTTTAGGCACACGTGTAGTATGAAGACCTAGCCAATAAGACATCGACCTCTTAATTTCCACCCCTTACACTACTACCTCTTGCCTGGTGCCTCTCAAGAAGTGACAGGTATTCCTATGGATATTTCCCATTACCTAAAACCGAGTGGGGTTCAGTACCTGCAGAGCTCAATATTAGCTATCTCCTGGACCCTGCGTACGGACGCGGCGAAAAGGGGGTCGTATAAACCCTCCTTTCCCCTCCCCTCCCCCAAAAGCAGATAGATGGGGCCCTTGTGAATAAGGTCGATCTCATGCAGGGATTTCTTTCCACGCGGACCCGAGTGCTTGGAAAGGGATAGCCAAGATCAAGAGAGGGAGCTCCCATAAGTTCTCTACGTGTCGAGCGATACACTCTCCCTGTTGGAAGAAAAAGAAGAAAGCTGGCAGTGAAGTTACACGTGTCAACGGTAAAGGCATCTAATTCGAGAGCTAGTCGGGGTTGTTCGTCAGAATAATACTTATTATATCATACATGGGCATGAAACTTCACACGTATTAGACTTATATTACTGATATGCCCTGTCGGTCATAGCACCAAAGCCAGGCCTGGCATAGCCGATGCATTATTTACTTATACGGGCGCATAATACTTGTGACCAAGGGCAACGCACGTATATGTGCATGGGCCAGTGGCGGTCAAGATAAAGGGGTATCGTAGGAGAGTCAAGGCGCCTTTTATGGAAATCAACCAAAGTATCGATCCTTGGCAGGGGTCGTCCTCCAAGCTTTGCCAAGGGCGGAGTGGAGGGATCGTGGGGTCTGGGGCCACGAGGTTCAGATGCCGGCACTTCTCCCCGGGCTGACTGAACCGGGCGGATGAGCCCTCGTAAAGGGACGAGCCGCTTCTTCTAGAAGCTGGTAGTGAATCAGAATCGGCCCCCAATACGCTACCTCGGAACTACCTCCCCACTCAGGTCCAAAATGGAGAGGGAGGGTATTCCGCTGGGAGTGTTGGTGGTCGTTGGCTGAATTCTAGGGATGCTGCTAATGTTCTTTCTCGATATGTGACACGCAAAAGAGAGAGTGAGGAGTCTGGTGTTGATCGTAGAGTAGATACATACGTACTTTGCTATCAAAGGGCAAGCTCATGCGGTCCTCCCGGCTCTGGACGGGGATGCAGTGTCAGAGACGCGCCTGTCACGGGCGATACTAAGAACCAACGAAATTTCATAACTCGTGCAAATTCGTCATCGATGGCATCCCACAGCGAGGCCAGCTTCAACGTGCCCCTTAGCTTCTACCTCCCATCAACCGGGCCAGGCGTTAAGCCGGATCGTCGTCGATCTGCATTTGTGTAGAGGGGTTAGTGGCCAGGGTGGACCAGAGGTTTCTCTATCCACTTGGTTGATTTCCGGCATTCGATCGACAAACGGACCAAATTGGTCAGAATAGAAGCAATATTGTACCATGGGAAAACCACGGCTCGCCACAATAGAGGTGGCGGTGGAGGACCTAGAAGCTCCCAGCCGCCTCATTAGACGATATTGCCGTGCCGGCTATGAGCCGCCCGTCGAAGATGCGCCTCATAGCCTGGTGCCGAATTGGGAAAGGGGGTTGATGACGGCTTCGAAAGTGCCTGCGTCGTACCCCATCTCAGGATACTAGATAAGTAGGACGTCGAGCTCCCCCGTCTGGTTTCCTGTCTCTCCTCCTCCTCATCACCACTACAAGTCAGCCAGACAATCTAGCAGCCCGGTCGCGACAGTTGAGATTTTGAGGTCTTTGTGCCAATATTCACTCGTTTTAATCCACCCTTGGTTCATACAGTACTACATCGCAAACGCATTTCCTAACCGACATTATGTACTTCCTCACTGCTCTCACTCTCGCTTCCGTGGCCCTCGCGGCGCCGGCCCATCAGAAGAGGAGCTACGTCAGCTACCCCGAGGCTCCGGCTGAGAACCACCCCGTCTCCCCTCAAGTGGTCTCTCCCCCGGCGCCCGTATCCCCCCCTGCTGCGCCTGTGGTCTCTTCTCCTGTCCCGGAGGTCCGCCCGCCAACTGGCAACTCTCCTCAAGGTGGTGACAACAGCAACCCCGCCTACCCTACCGGACACGGCCAGGGTCCTTCGATTCCCGGTGTTCCTCACGCCTCCCCGAGCACGGTCCCGGTGCCCCACACGACCTTTACAGTCACGGCCAGCCCCAGCACCTTCACCAGCGTGGTGTCGTTCCCTACTGGCGGCCCGGAGACTCTTCCGACGTTGACCTTCACCCAGCCGAAGCCCGCCACTGTCTTCACCTCTCCCGTTGGATACCCCACCGGCTCCCCCTCCGAAGACCTCCCCTCCGAGGACTCTCCCTTCGAGCTCCCGGTGGTCTCTGAGGACAACTCCTTCCCGACTTCGCCTCTCCCTGCCCCTGCCCACACCGCGGGCAACTCCCCCGTGATCAGCGAGACCCCGAAGACGCCTGTCAAGAACCCTGAAGTCCCCGAGGTCCCTGCTGCCTACAACCACGATGACAGCAACAGCAACAACAACAAGCCCGCGACTAGCAAGACTTGCACCAGCAAGACTCACGTTCCCGCTCCGACCCCGTTTCCCGTCCAGACCCCGGCTCCTATCAAGGAGGAGCCAGTTAAGGAGGTGCCGGTTAAGGAGACTCCCGCCCAGGAGCAGCCGGGTAACAACGGCAAGATCTCCTACCCGGTCGCTTACTAAGGTATTGGCGAGTTGTCTCTTGGGAGGAAACGAGAAACGCAGTTTAGCACGCACGCGGAAGCGCTCACGCACGGGGGCGGATGTGCCAGGGTTCCGGAGCTCTAGGAATCAAGAGGTCACGATGTTGCAATCTGCGTAAGCACGGCGGAGGTCGGCTGGGGTTGGAAGGGGGACGACGTCGGAGTTGGAAGAGCGATAGGAGATGGTGCCGAAGAAAAGGAGAGGGGCGGAGGCGGAAGCGTTGAGATGGCCGTGCTTACTATTCAGTACATACCAGTTGAGCCCTATCTATACCTAATATACCACACGCACTTGCGAAAAAGTCCTTGTCCTGTTTCCCATTGTGACTAGATCCTGACTGCTTATATATCTCTAGGGGCTCTTCATCGTAGCTAGCTGATATGGCTTCCCAAGTACAGTATCACTGTGGTTAAGGGCTCGGTTTTCGTTATGTGGTTCTTGCCGCGCTCATTAACGTTAATATAGGTATTGAACAGGTTGCCGTAAGGAGTCATCGTGGCAAGCCGACGTGACATGGTAGACAGCTAACAACCTCCCAACATCTCCCCTCCTAGCCCCAACACGACTCTGCACCCTCACCGGACACACCGCAGCCTGCGTCCCAGGCTCCTGCCACTCTTCCACCACGCCCGCTGCTCCAGGCCAGCGTCGTCGTCTTCCTCCCCCAGCGAGCAAAAGGCGAACGTGCGGTTCCCAGCGCTAGCGCGGATGACGTCGAAGTGCGTCACGATGGGGCCGTCGCGCCGCGCGCCATGTGCGCGATCGGGCTGTCGAGGAGGCGGCGGGTGCAGTTCGGCTTGAGGTTCGGCGCGATTACCTCGCGGTAGTGGGCCTGGAAGGTGGCGAACTGGTGGGAGAACTGAGGGCTTGTCGGCCCGCGACGAGGCGCGCTCGGCTTCGCGCCATACGGGGAGAGGGAGAGAGGGAGGGTTAGGGGAAGAGCTTACGCTGACTAGGGTGTCGACCGAGGTGTTGGCGCCGCTGTGGCGGCACATCACCACCCACGACTGGGCGCAGTCCTTGTAGCCGACCTGCAGCACGTGGAAGTCGGAAGGGTCGAGGCTGCTCTCCTCGACCATGCGCTTCCACTCCAGGGAGATGTCCTCGCCGGTCCAGTACCTGGTTCAGCGACGCGCGCGGCGTCGCGTTGAGGCTCGCCTGGAGTGCCTCCTCGACGACGCCGCGGAAGTCGAGAGGGGGAGAGACGCTGCCTTTCGAGTTGGGGAGGTCGGCGAAGGAGAGGAGGGGCAGGACGAGGAACGGGATGAACGCGATGAGCAGCATTTTTCAGGGGTATTATCGGATTGATCAACGGGCTCGTACCTATATGGTGCGGTCTTGGAGTGGGCTGGTTAGGTGGGGATAATGGACAATTTGAACTGATGGGAGGCGATGATATTTTATAGTCCAGCGCGAAGAGGGAGGGAGTCTGTCGATGGTGCGTCCCTTCTTATGTACTGCCAGCATTCAGCGGAGGCCACGACGAACGATGGTTTTCTGGATGCCATAGGAACATACGACTGTAACTCCTGACTCAATTACAATATCAAGACATATATATCCGTCTTCCACAGATGTATGCTTTGAATGACTTCCAGTGATTCATCCATCAGGCTGAACGAAGTGCCAACGGCGTGGGGCCTGGGTATCTAGTGGCTAAGATACAGGAATCACCGCAAAATAGAGACCTGATATAGGGGGGTGTGTCTGGCCCTCGAGGATATCGTGCTTCTTTCTGTGTCTTTGGTACACGTAGGTATTTATCGACACTGACTTCCGATGGCTAGGTCTACTGTCAGCAACTTGCTTCTTACTATAGATGACAGTGAATCTCTTCTCGCACCCATTCGTTAATTATAGTGATATATTGCTCTTTTTTTACTAGCCCTTACTTCCGCGAGGTCCGGGAACTATGACAAGACATTTACTTGTTCCACGTCCCACACGGCACCGCTACTTGCAATCTCTTAAATTCGATTTATCTCTACACCCCACATGGATCCGCACCTGCTGGTCATGTTATCCCTCGATTGTAGAAACGAGTGAGGTGACGATTCCTGCCAAGGTGGTCCTTCCCATCTACATATCGAGCGGACTCGGTCTCAGACGGCGGAGTTGAGAGGCATCACGCAGACGAAAGTAAAAAGTAACTCGAGATCCGTTGGATATAGAGTCAACTCGGTCATAATACCTAGACTCTACACGACGGACGCCATATCCATGCGAGGCGCGTCTTCTACTGTCTGGCGATTTCTAACATTATGGGTCGCAATCGGTAACCTGGCATTCGCGAGCCCACACCGCGCATATCCACGACGAAACATCTTATCACCAAGGATTGTATGTGGGATCCTATATAACCGGCCTTCTAACGCATTCCCGAGTCCTTGTTAAGGTAATGTGGGCGTCTGGCCCCCTGGTGGTGATGCTCGCAGCGTCCTCCTTCGCTGGCCTTGTTAGCGCCTCGGGAATACGAATACGACGAATCAACTCAATTCGTTACCGTGCGCCTCAGCGGGCTGCACGCTGCGCCGAGGGTCCAGCCAAGCCAATGTAGTGCCCGATTGGCGATGCCCAGCGCTGGGACAGCACCCCTCGAGAGCGCTGGAGAGAGTGGGAGGACGGGGAAGAGAATAGAAGGGGAGGAGAGAGTGAGGGGAGGAAATGTCCTTGTAGGTCAGCTCGATGGATCCCGAATACGGGGGAATACGAGGACGGCCAAGGTAGTAAGGCGTTAAAAAAATCCTCTATAAGCCGGGCCCGCATGCAAAACATCGTGAGGGGTTCGTGTAATTCTTACTCGGTTTCCTTATAAAAGCACGGGGAGCTGATGTGTTGTTGATCGGTGATAGCTGCGTGCAAAACAGTGTTAGCATCCCCTTGTTCACAAACCGCTCCCCAGCTAATAGGACCTAGGATCACCTGAGAGAATTCGAGTAGACAGAAAACAAGACAGCAAGAGGCGTAGAGATCAGTATGGCGAACACGCTGCAAGGTACCACCGTCCTCGTCACTGGCGCCGCCGGTGGCCTGGGAAAGGTGATCGCGACGGCGTACCTGGAGGCGGGGGCGAACGTGGCGATCTGCGATATCAATGCGGAGCGACTCGCAGCAGCGGAGGAGGAGCTGACGGCTGTCGGGACGGCGGAGCGGTACCTGGGCGCGCGGACGGATATCACAGACGAGGCGGCGGTGACGGCGCTGGTCGACGCGGTCACGGCGCGGTTCGGCCGCCTCGACATCCTCGTCAACAACGCCGGCATGACCGACAAGTTCGACCCCGTCGGCGACCTCGAGAAGGCCCACTGGGACCGCGTCCTCAACCTCAACCTCACCGGCTCCTTCCTCTGCACCAAGGCCGCCGTCAACGCCATGAAGAAGCAGAGCCCCGCCGGCGGCACCATCATCCAGATCGGCTCGACCGCGAGCTGGCACGGCATGTCTGCTGGCGTCGCTTACACGGTAAGTCCAGCAGACGCATCTCCGCATTCTCTCCGCTCCCCCCTTTCCGAATTGTATCTTCGCCGACTGTGACCTGAGGGCGGCGGCTTCGCCTGCGTGAGCGCCGCATCGAGCGTATCGTCTTGGTGAGAACACGCGCGTAGACCTACAACGCCTTGGTTAGCTGGTTCGTCGGTCGAGGCTCATCACGTCCGCGACGCCCCCTACACCCTTCCCCCCCCCGCCCCCCCTCCTCGCTGCCCCGACTAACCGGCCGCAGGTGAGCAAGCACGGGGTGGCGGCGCTGGTGAAGAGCACGGCGGGCTTCTACGGGGCGCAGGGGATCTACGCGGTGGCGCTGATGCTGGGCGGCATGGTGGACACCAACATCGCGGACAGCTTCCGCGCGCTCGGCGGCTTCAACCAGGAGGCGTACGCGCAGAGCATCTCGGCCGGCTTCGACGCCCAGAAAGCCATCCGCACCCGCGACGTCGCCAAGTACTGCGTCTTCCTCGCCGACCGCGACGTCGCCTCCTCCGCCAACGGCTCCTCCATCGCCTTCAACCGGAACTGGCCCAACGCGTAGCGGGAGCGGCGCCCTCGCGCGCACACGACCGATGGGGGGACGGAGGGACGGGAAGGGACGGGACGGGATGGGAAGGGATGGGAAGCGGGGAGGGGAGGGTATGTGCTGTGTAGTGCAGACCTCAGGTATGCATACACTTTGCTCGTGTGCCTCGCTCTGGCTAAGGGGGTCGGGCGGGGGGGCGCAGGGAAGGGGAGGGATGGGAAAGGGGTAGAGACGAGTCTTCGTGAGCAATAGACGAGAACGGCCAATACAAAGCTTTCGTCGCTGCTGCGTCTGCTGCTACTACGAGTATCTGGCTTTTCGCATTGACCGATCTGGTCTGTGGCGTCCATGTATGCCAATGCGCTCGTCTGGGGTAGATCGGTGAGCCTGTGCAGTATGAGTAAACCGCCACCCCGAGTCCGTTGTCAGTCGCGTCGTAGTAGTTCCTCCAGTGTCACATCTTTGGCCACGTTGGCATGCTGTGCTCGTGGCTAGGGGATCTGATTTGGAAAAGATCGCGGCGACCGCGGTTCCTAGACCCAGACTGTTTCACCGCCCGGGAAAGAGACTACCCATCTTGGCTGTGGCTTTTGTATCACGAAGTTCAGTCTCTCTCTCTCTCTCTCTTTTTTTTTTCAAGCCCCTCCACCCGATCTATATTTAGCCCTTCCCATGAAGTCGTCCCTACGTTTCCCGTTTGGCTAGAACAAGCTTTCTCAGGTTGTGTAAGATTTTCTTCATACTTGGGTGGGAGAATCGGAGCTTATCTTCCTAGTGATTTTCCTTAATGAGGAGGGCTCGCGAGAAAGCTGATCGGATCGCCCATGCTCTCGGGTAGTTCCAGAAGCGAGGTTTCAGGGACAAGGGACGAGGTTTTGTTTGTTTCCAAGTCTACGAACACCACTTGGCGTCGGCGGCGATGGATATCACGATGCTGTCTGTGTTGGTGGCAGTGCTCCTTGTTCCCGTGTGTTATTGTGTGCGTCAACGAATCTTCGGATACGGAATGATCGCGGTATTACTGGTCGCTAGTGCAACTTGTATCAGAGTGTCTCGATATCGAGCGGGTTTCCTACAAATGTGTCCTTTTTGTTTTCTCTGAACTTTGCTGGCCGTCCATATGCACGTATCTACTTCCTAGCCCGGACTAGTTTCCGGATAAAGCGAGTGCTCGTAGTCTGCGGACTCCCCGATGAGTAGTGGCTTTCTTTGTTGAGACGCACATTCTCCATATCAACTAGTTCACCACCACTCAGAGGATTGTCAATTAGCTTGCAGGCGGAGTATACCTATCATGTATTGATTAATTCCTGCGCTAAGGACGGATGGCCTGCAAATAAGAATATCGCGATACCAACTTGCGCTTGAACTATTGTTGCCTATCATCCTACCGATGGCGTAGTTTCTATCTATGTCTAGTCAGAGGAAGAGGGATGGCGTAAGACTGCCGTCGTAGGCTAAGCCAATACCCTCTGGTGTTAGACGAAGACGCAATCCTGGGTCTGAGTGGGAAGATGAAGGTTACCGCCGCTGTAAGTTAGGGAATGCGTTGGATTCTCCATGTCTGCCTCTATCTCTCTCCTGCATCGTGGGATAGGGGCGGCGGGATACGACGCAAACCCATATTAGTCGACGAAACGAAGGGGTCAAGAAGCCAATTTGTGACTTCCGTCGCCGGCGACCAACTCCGAAGTCGACTAGCGCAGAGCGGATCGCTGTTTTGGTTTCCCCGAACTTCACGATACCTACGTGTGTATGTACGCATGTATAGGCATCTTTGTATAGGCATCTGTGTATACGTATAGTAGGGCCGGGCTCTCCCCTGACGCCAAGGCAAGTAAGACGCCTTGGCTGAAGAGGGCAGCGTCAAAGGAGCGAGATCAGAGCTTAGACGCCTGTCTCTAATTCGCGCAACGGGGCGAGTGGAGAACTAGCGATCCCGTGTTCATGTGGTTCGCATTTCCTAGGTTCGCCTTTGCGCCAACCGCGCAGAGAGAGGGAATGAGACAGACAGTATGCGGAACAATGGCTACGCCTACACGAATCTGCATGCGCAAGTATATATATCTGGCTTATATGTGTGTATATACTATTCAATATTTGACAGTCTGTCGTTTTAAGTAGTGTAAACGCAATCTTCTAGCTATCTCCGCTCACATAAATACGGACATACATGTGTGTGTGTGGAAGCGGAGTGTGGTGTAAGTAGTAGTGTTGTGTTGATTTGTTCCACGCACGCGCATGGCAGCGGTTTCAAGTGGGATCTCGTGGGTGAGCTTCTTATCTGATAGCCGCTTTCTGAGTCGTAATACGAATTGGTAAGAGAAAAAAGAAAAAGAAAAGAAAGAAAGAAAACCAGGATGTCGACGATCGGAGATTTAAAGGGGAATAGGTCGCGTTGCTAAGCCCGTGTGTGCTTGATGCTGGTGAAGATCTCGCCAATAAGTCTTGGGGTCTTGGAAAATTGCTTGTTGGGCTGCTTCGATCAGGGTTCTCTCTTCTTAGCGCATCGCTGTGAAAGCACGGGCAATCCGTCTCGTTGCTCTCTTCTCTTAAAAATAGATAGAACGAACTGGTGCAGATGCTTAGCAGTAGGTTGCTATGCAAAATGACAATGCTGACGCCGATCTTGGAGATCCTGGGCGAGCGACAGGAGTGATTGGGCTGATAGCGATAGCGATCCGTTTGATTGCCGGGACTTCAAACGCGTTACCGTGACGGGAGAAAGAAAAATAAGGAAGAAATAACGATAGGGAGAGAGGTGTATGCGTACGGATGGTATGGATGGATGCGGTTACTTGCTACCGTGGGCGAGGTAGGTTCATACCTGGCACCCAACGGAACCTGGTGAGAAACGAATAATAGGTGCTAATAATATTACACGTGTGCGTCCGCCGTGATCGAGGTTGGCCTAGAATCCGACGGGTCCGCCTCAACTTCCTCTTAGTGTGTCCGGGGAAAAGGGGCTACGTACGCCTACATTGCCTCCCTACTCATACATTCATCTTCATCCTTCACGGCTGCCGACTTACTACTGTTACATACGTGCATATCCACCCACATGTACGCAGTAGTTCTACGTGGGTATTCATAATGCTATGTAGTACATGCCACGCAGCACATCAACTATCTACGACGACAAGGCCCGGGGTGTTGAGCATCTTGGCGCGAGTCGCGTGCACACACTTTTCTTCTCTTCTTCCTCTCGCCCCCCGTCCCTCCCCAGCGCTTCGGCCCTGCTGACGGCTGCAGGGGACCTTGGGGGAAACACGACAGTGCGGCGATTCGGCGCGACAGTAAGTACATGTCGTCCAGACGGGCCTGCGGTACATGGCTATACGCCTACTGTGTCATGACTGTCTGGGGCTCTCGGTAGCTCATCTCGCGGGTGGTATTTGATAGCTCCACCATCCTGTCCAGCCGACCAACCAACAACCCCTGCCCGATATGCCAAGGCCATCAAGCCTTTCAAAAGGGGTAGGCTGGTCGGGTAGGCCCGCTCGAAAGGGGATTGAATGGCCCAGCAACCTGAGCGACAGCGTCGGTCTGTGTCTGTGTTTGGCTATCTCCCGGCTGCTCTACGTAGTAGCGCGTAGTGCACACCTGCACCGTACGTAGTAGGATATGTGTGGGTGGTAACCTGCGCGACGGTGGTATTCTTCGCATGCTATCATGATCATCATGATGATCCAAGGCCTCGCCCCCAGCAAGAATGGCAAATAATTCATGATCTCGCTCGTAATGTTTCCCAGCCTCGTCTTGACGGGAGAAAAGGAAAAAGCAACGAAAATGCGTACCTAGGATTTCACGACAGCTCGCCCCAAGCACCATGAACACGCGGGTAAGATAAATACATGGGTATACCTACCCCTTTTCAGCGCCACCGAGACAGCGCTGTGCGCCGTGGTCGCACTACGTACATAGTAGGCCTCTTCCTCTTTCTCTTCCCCCTTCGGGCATCCTCGTCGTCGGCGTGAGGCAGTTTCTATCGAGATTGTGTGCCAACCCAGGGATCCTTAGCGTGTGCGTTTTATAACAAGTAAGTTTTGCCGCGTGGGATTCTTTCGTTTGCATCTCTTCCGGATGCGTCAGCGACGAGACCGAGGTTCACCATCAGGATTGACGCCCACAGATCCTACCGCACAGCGGTACAGCGACCGGTGGGGGCCAGCGTCTTGAGAGGAATCCGGTACCTCTTGTGCGCGCGTACGCCGGGGCGCATTGATATTCTGGACCGAAACATCAGCCAAGACAAGTTGGGAACCAATCATCATTTCCTCTTCTCCGTCGTGGGTCTCTACTCGACCCTGTCTCTCCGTGTCTTGCGTGAGATGTGTCGGTAGTAAAACCGCCCCAACGCTCCGTTGGCGTCTTGGCTGGTTTGGCCTCTCGATGGGGCATCGCTCAGCGCGCAGCGATCCCTTCTCAGGTCGGGATTACACGCAGGACCTAATCTCGACTTGTAAGGGGGGGGAGGGGCCGGATATCGACGATATTCTCACTTCCTGGCCACGAGAGCCAAAGCTTTTCCCCCCTTGCCCGCCCTAGCCTCCACGGGGTAGGTATCTTGAGAGCGCCCGGACCTGGGAAATGAGATATTTCTGGCAACGAAGCCTGGGTGCCCAAACCGGCTGCCATCTTTGCCCTCTGTCGCTTGCTGAAGTTGCAGTGCCAACATCGCCCACCCCTTTGAGGCTGAAGTTTCGGCCAAGAGAAGCTACGTAACCCTAGTCAGAGGAACTGTGTAGCCAATTAATATATAATATCGGTAGTCTCGTCATCGTCCATGCGGTACAGGCGGGAACCAGTCTTTCGGAGCTTTCGGTCTAATTTTTCTTCTTTCTCATCTCACAGCATACACTCGCCGCGCTCCTGGGAGCCCGAGTCTTTTAAAGCATTTGCTGCCTTTGAGCTTTTTTTTTTTATCCCCACAATCCTTTCCTTTCCTTGGCTCGAGATACCTATCTGTTTTTTTCCCCTTCGTTCTAGCGGTTGCTGTATTTTGTCAACATGTCTTCTTTCTTCTCTCGCATCTTCCTGCTCGCCGCGTCTGTGACGCCGGCACTAGCCTTCTGCGGCGCCCACACCCACCTCGACCGAAGAGCGGAGGGTGAAGCGGTACCGGTTTCCACTTTTGGCTACACGGGCACGACGGGGCCGGTCCTATGGAGTCAATTAGACACTGCGAATGCCCTGTGCTCGACGGGTACCGCACAGTCGCCTATCAACATGGTCGAAGGGCAGTTCACGCTCATCCCGGCGTCCGACACGCAGCTGACCCTCCCCGACGTCCCGGAGGGCGCCACCTTTGAGAATCTCGGATCGACGGTTGAGGTTGTCATGAAGGGGAAGGGTGGTACATTCGTCCTCGAGGGCAAGACGTTCGAACTGGAGCAGTTCCACTTCCACCATCCCAGCGAGCACCTCAACGAGGGCGTGAGCCTGCCGAGTGAGTCCAGGCCCTGATCCCCCGCAGCGGTCTTCAACTAACAAATATATAATAGTGGAAATGCACATGGTATTCAGTGGAGAAGGAGGCGAGATCGGTGTCATCGGCGTTTATGTCGACCTCATCGACGTTCCCGTCACGCTTCAGCTACAAATCCTATCCCGAAGGGCGCCGTCGACCCTACTCGAGACCATCTTCTCCTCCATCGGCGAGATCGCAACGCCTGGCACGGAGACGACGACTAAGCCCTTGATCATGTCGGAACTAACCGACCTTCTGAATGCGGGAAGCTTCCAGAGGTACACCGGTTCCCTCACCACCCCGCCGTGCTCCGAAGGGGTCGCCTGGTCGGTGTCGACCCAGAAGATCGCGTTGTCTAGGACCACCTACCAGGCCGTGCGCGATGTCGTCGGATTCAACGCCCGCTACCCTCAAAACGCACTCGGCCAGCAGAACCTTCTGTCGCTCAGCACGGGCACAGCCGCCGAAGTCAGGTTACCCACCAATGCCACGTCGGTTCACGGACGACGACGGTTTTAAAGAGGAGTTCGATATGCTTCGATAAGAGATGGGCCAGAATGAGAAATTCCGGGTCGAGCGTGGCTTATTCCGGCCGGAAGAACCCGATCTATTCGGGGGACAGTCCAGAAAGAATACGCATACGTACGCTGGGATCACTCCGGATATACCCCTTTCCCGCGCCCGGCTCTCGTTGACAAAAAGTCCCCCCTTCCTGTTCAGCGCCGCTGATTCTGAGGCAATACACGTGCAGATAATAATGAGAAGGATATAACGAGACGAGAAATGAAGCATGCCAGTCATCTTCAGCTGTATTCGAGGAAGGGAGTGAAGTGCGACAACTTGGGTATGGATATTCGAGGATTCTTATTAGAGAATAATTACGTGCCCCCTCCTTTTCGTAGACCGCTCGCAAAGTAATAAAACTCCCTCTTGGAGGAGAGGCTCTCGGCACGCGAATGAAGATGACCGTGAAGAGGAGGGGAGAGGGGTGGGGCGAGGGTGAGAAGGGGAGAGAGGACGAGAGGGCCAGCGTGAGATAATGGGTGCGCGATGTCGAGTTAAGCTCAACCCAAGACTCACAAGACTCTGGTGGCTGTCGGCGCATCTTGGGCTGCGGGCTTCTAGTGCTTGGGTGCGGGAGCATCGCGGACCTTGGCGAGGTCTTGGACCTGTCAAGTTGTGCATGGTGGCGGCAGCCTATATAGTGTCCAATCATGTAAAATACTGTACAATACTGTATGCCTGATGGTAGTGATATAACCACTTAGCTGAGTCAGCGGTGAAGTTTCCCAATTGCATATCCAGTGTCAACACACCGTCCTTAGCAACGGCTGCCACTTTATCAGTGTTTCTGCTGTTATCGGGCGTTTTCACGCCGAGGCCGTCTCGGTGAGCATCCAACCATTTCTTCACCTGCATTTTCACTTTGGCGCTCCGAGAAATTTCGTCACTTCGGTCAGGTCGAATAAGGAGGGAGAAAAAGAAAATAAAAATAAAACGAACCCCCATACACACAACACATTGGCATATACCTATTGAGTAGAGAAAATATTCCCCTTCTACCTACAGGCGGGAAACGACCGAACCCCTGCCCGAACCCCGCCGACTGATTCGTCGCGGCCCGTCCTATCGTATATATTCTCTTTCTGGAAATGTAGCGATGCGCTAGCATCGACGAGACGCCAGATCCTCTCTATTTGTCACCTACGATATACCTACCTAAATTATTCACCTACGCAAGATGGCTGCGTCGGCATCGTTCCTCGAACGAGCCGTGTCCAACTCCCAGGTCCAGCTCGCCGCCACCGCCATTGCCTCCGGCGCCGTCGTCGCCGGCCTCATTCTGGGGTCCCAGCGCCTGCAGAGAGAAGAGCGCCTCCACCGACTTAAGGATTCGATACCGTCGCTGCTCGACGAGAGCGATGAAGCCTTGCGAAGGGTGGGTGACCCCGCCATAGCTAACTAGCTGATCTACATCTACACCTGTACCCGTGATGCGTAGAATGCGCCCCCCTCCTTACCCCTCTACTACTACCCCCACCACCTCTAGGTATCCGGTAGCAGCTCGCCCCTTATCTTTCCGCTGACCAGCGCAAGGTAGCTCAGCAGCTTCGACGCCAGCGCTAGCGCAGCGGCCGAGGCCGACCGGGAGGATGCGCGGAACGAGCTGCTGGCGCGGCGGGCGCGGGCCGGCGACTACGACGAGGAGCTGATCCTCGAGCAGCTCGCGCGGAACCGCGTCTTCCTCACGCCGGCGGGGCTTGACCGGCTGCGCGCCGCCTTCGTGGTCGTCGTCGGCTGCGGCGGCGTCGGCTCGCACTGCGCCGCCGCCCTCGCCCGGTCCGGCGTGTCCCGCCTCCGCCTCGTCGACTTCGACCAGGTCAGCCTGAGCTCGCTCAACCGCCACGCCGTCGCCACCCTCGCCGACGTCGGCACCCCCAAGGTCCGCTGCCTCGAGCGCCGCCTCGCCGCCGTCGCCCCCTGGGTCCGCTTCGACCTCCGCCAAGAGAAGTTCTGGGACGAGGCCGCCGGCCAGCTGCTCGCGCCCTGGGAGGGCGAGCAGCGCCCCCCCGACTTCGTCGTCGACGCCATCGACAATATCGACACCAAGGTCGCCCTGCTAAAATACTGCCACGATCACCACCTGCCCGTCATCTCGTCCATGGGCGCCGGGTGCAAGAGCGATCCGACCCGTATCATTGTCGGCGACATCGGGACGAGCACCGACGACGGCCTGTCGAGATCCACTCGGCGACGCCTGAAGCTGCTGGGCATCACTAAGGGGATCCCGACCGTGTACTCGACGGAGAAAACCGGCGAGGGCAAGGCTGAGCTGCTGCCGCTCCCGGAAGACGAGTTTCAGAAAGGTCAGGTCGGCGACCTTGGCGTCCTGCCCGACTTCCGCGTGCGCATATTGCCAGTTCTGGGCACTATGCCGGCAGTGTTCGGGTACACGGCGGCGAACCACATCATACTATCCATCACAGGTAGGCGCCCAGTTCGGCTGGGAACGCCCCGTACCCTCCCCCCTTGGGACCACATCTTTCGATGCCGTAGCTAACCCTGCTTTCTCTGTTCCCCCTTCCCTCCATCTAGGATATCCGCACGACTACGTGCCGGCCAAGGGCCGCGAGAAGATGTACGAGGGACTGCTGGCTGCGGTGCAGGGCAGCGAGGAGCGGCTGGTGCGGCATGCGACGGGCGGGGACCCGGCAGTGACGCTGGGGCTCAAGATCCCGCTCACGGCGGCGGACACGGCCTTCCTAGTGGAGGAGGTCTTCAAGGGCCGCAGCGCCGTCACGGCGCTCCCGACGCGCCTGACGCTCCTGCGGTGGCGCCGGCCGGCGAGCTCCATTCTCGTGCGCGTCGGCGAGGGCGCCCACGAGCAGAAGTCGACGAGCCTCCGCCTCGCCGACCTCGTCTGCCTGACCAAGGAGGAAGCCGTCCGCCACGACCAGGAGGTGCTGCGCGGCGACAAGACGCCCGAGGACCTGTACGACGAGGCGACGGTGAAGAAGGTTGAAGCGCTGCTGAGGGACTCGGCGAGGTACGAGAAGTATAGGTGACGATGGCGGTGGATGGGTTATCCCTGCCATCTCCGTATTTACACTTCCAGCCTAAAGCGGCTTCGGCTTTCCCATTTTCTTCCTCTGAGATACTTTCTCTTTTTCTCTTTTTCGCTCCCAGGGAGAAGCCCCGAGAGCGCAAACGCATACATACGTACCTACATACCTAGCACGCAACGGCAAACCGTAGATGAAGAATTCCGATCCGGCGTAGTCCACCTTTTCAGCTCCACTAACGCTCGCCCGTCCATCCCTCATCGCCATTGAAATGCTAAAGTAACTAGGTCGACGGGTGGCATCCGAATCTTTCTTTTCGATTTCGCCAGCCGCCAACCTTACTCCCTCACATCCTCACCTGCCTGACTAACCTGCCTGCCCACTTCCGCGACCCGCGGCCCTCACACCCTCCCCTCGCGGCGCAGCCCCTCCCACAGCGCCAGCGCGGCGAGGCACTTGGCGTCGCGGGCGCCCTCGCGCCAGAGGTCCCGCAGGGGCACGAGCCGCAGCGTGATGCGTTCGCCCTCGTCGCGGCGGCCGGTCAGGCGGCCGGCCCACTCGCGCAGCTGGGCGCGGGGGACGCGGCGCTCGTGGGCGTAGATGGCGACGTACTCGTCGCAGGCGCCGGGGGAGGGGTAGACGGCGGGGGGGAGGCGCTCGTGCTCGTGCTCGTGCTCGGGCGCGGACCCGTCGTCGTCGTCGTCGTCGTCGGCGGCGGTGGCGGCGGCGAGCGCCATGTCGGTCAGGCAGCGCAGGTCGGCGGCGGGGATGGCGAGGCCGAGCTCCTCGCGCATCTCGCGGGCGGCGGCGCCGGCGAGCTCGCCGCTGCCGCTGCCGCCGCCGTCCAGCATGCCGGCGGGCAGCTCGGCGAAGGCGAGGCAGCCGGCGGCGACGCGCGGCTGCACCGTGAGCACGGCGTAGCGCTCGTCGCCGCCGTCGTCGGGCGCCAGCACCACGAGCACCGCGACGCTCGGCCCGCGCAGCAGCACGCCGCCCGCCAGCGCCTCGCCCGCGCCGTTCGCCACGTCCGCCGCCAGCTTGACGAAGCCGAGCCGCCGCGCCCCGCCCCGCCCGCCGAACCAGTCGTAGCTCTGCACCGCGATCCCGCGCAGCGCGTACGGGTCCGCCGCGAAGGGGTGCCCGGCCGCCGCGCGCTGCCGCGACAGCGAGCGCGTCAGCGTCCGGAGCCAGTCCTAAGCCCCCGCGCGCCAGATTAGCGGGGCGCGTCGGCGGGTTGGTTGCGGGGAGCTGGGGGCGAGGAGCCCCCCCCCGTAAGGGAAAGCGGAGGGAGGGTGGGAGTAGGGGATGAGAGCTGGGAGGGGAGGGGAGGGGAGGGGATAAGGGCGGCTGCACTCACATTGAAGGGTGCGAAGGCCAGCAGCTCCGCTTCCGAGAGGCCGTCGGGCAGCGTGACGGGGACGGCTGGCGACTTGAGGGTGAAGGTGGTGATGGGCGCGGCGTGGCCACATAGACTGCCCCGGACGGACCTCGATGTGGGATAGCGACGGTGGTGTGGGGGGAGTAGGTGTTCTGCGAGGTGGAATGCGCGCCTCATTTCACCGCCTCCGATCTGATTAACATCCCTATTTGATAAGACTAGTAGCTAACGTGATCTGAGGCCATTTGCGGACGGGATCTAAGGGACTCGAGAGAGGGCACAGGTGCAGGATTGAGGATGTAGGTAGGTAGGTGCGCGGATGCGAACGAGTCGACAATCGGTGCTGAAGACAGGCCTACATGGCGAATGCACACCACTGCACAGGCCCCTAAGGGTTCTGTAAGCTAGGTACCGGACAGGTACCTATTCGTCTGTCTTAGCGAGTGGAGTGACTGCCATAAAGCCAGCGCCTTCAATGAGGCGGATCAGAAGAGAAGTCAGGTACGTGAGAAGCTGCCTATTCCTCATCCAGATGCTCCTACCTCCGCAACAAAACCCCAATATCTATACCAGTCTAGAGTATGTCCCTGGTTCTATCCTGTGTCCACAACTACATTTGCAGACCATGCCTCTGACCTCATGAGTTGATCCTGTCCGACAGGATATGAGATGATGACGTGCACACGGTCCCGCCGCAATATTGCCGGGTTTTTACCGAGATGGGCTCGCACACAGCTGCTATATACATGGATCAAAATACCTCAACTGTGCTATAATCATAACTCGCAATCCGGTATAGTGTAACGGCTAACATACCTCGTTTTCACCGAGGAGCTCGGGGTTCGATTCCCCGTACCGGAGTTGGATTCTTCTTTTGTGCTTTTGCTCTAACCACAAAACGTCGTAGCCTTTTTATTCAGGCGATTGCTGTACCTAGCTACTTATTCCACCTTGCTGCAAATTTCCCAGTCTTCCGGTTCCATCAGGTATGAGTGTTATTATTTTTATTTGAGGGCTAAAGGTATGTTCTTATACATCTTTTTTGGGGGGGTGGGGGAAGGGGGCTGTCTGTGTGTAATACGGAAAGGCAGATTGCACCTATGCCGCTACAAATCATAGCCGACTTAATAGCTGGCACCGAGACTCCATGGATCTACCTACCTAGCGCAACGTTATCATAGAATGCACCCTAGTAGACATCCATTACCGCCCTAGTAACAGACGTTCATTCTTATGCCCAGGTTGACGAGGTGACACGTTATCAGACTCAGGGTCGTTTCCGCGCTTTGTGCCTCAGCTATAAGAGGGATGGGTGATCAGATGCTGCTGTCTCGAGAAACCTGCGGGTATCTGAGGCACAGGAAAAGCGAGTCGCAAAAAGAACCAAAAAAAAAAAAACCGACGGCGGCCGCTGCAAGCGACTGTGCTCTTAGCACTCGCAATGGTAAATTCTTCCTCAATAACCGAGCTGAATCTGGGCCAGCTCGACCCTCTGCTGCTTCGTAGGCGAGATACGTTTCAGCGTATCCAGGGATGCTTGGCCGGGTTCTCGTTGAAGTACGAATTGTTCGTAGAGGCCGCCGTTAGTATTCGTACGCACTCGGAGCGCGACAACTCGGTATAGCCCGTCATACCGCAGGCCGCAGTCCGGCAGCCACGGGTTTTTCTTGGATGACTGCGGGCCGCCGGACCGCAGAACGCGCACCGGGTTTCCTGTGGCTAGCGACGCTTTCAGAGCCTTGGTTCCCGAACTGGAAGGCGCCGGCCGTGTTGGGTCTGTATTGCTGTGGCTGTTCGACCCTGAGTAGTAGAGCGTGTCGCCCCTGTCGTCGTCGAGATCGTCGTAGTTGTCGGAGACTACGATCGAATGGGCGCCCGTATTCATGCTACCCGAGATGCCGCCCATCCGCGCGCCGTGGGCGCCTCGGTGAAGCGCGACTAGCTGATTGGCAAACCAGGTGCCGGGGGCTATGCCGTTGTGGCCGAAGACCTTGGCGGGTCTCTTGGGGATTTCGGGGTTGAGCCGATACGTCTTTCTCCCGCTGGCACCTCGAACAATCATGATTCCGTTCATGATCCCTCGCCTTCCGTAGATGGGGTGGCCCTGCGGCGGCAGTTGGGCCTCCGTTATGGAGGCATCTTCAGTAGCCGCCGCGGTAGCTGAGACTGGGCTCAGAAGCTCCTGATCTTCGGCGACGACGTCTTCGTCGATAACAACAGCGTCTTCGCCCCAATTCTCGCTCTCCCACCTCTCGCGCAACGCCAGGGCGCGTTTTTTCATATCCTCGGGGTAATGAAAGGCGGGATCGTCAAGCATGTGTTTGAGCATGGTGTCCGGCTTGGTCTTGGCTTTGATCTCCGGGGTCATCTCAACCGTATCTAGCCATTGCAGGTGCAGCCTTCCTTCCTTAAGGAGAGCGGCGATATGGGGGCCATCCTCTGGTTGGGGGACCCGGCCTAGCCTCTTGCTCTTCACTCCCAGGAGGACGATATTCCTCGCCTGCGTGGTCATGTGCTGAAGCTGTTGCTGCTTACTGCCGCCGACAGCAAACACCTCGATTGTTGCCGCCATATTCGCGCGGGCGTCTTCTTACCGATGCCGGCCGGCGCTGAGTAGATTGTCTGTATTGAGGCGGGAGATAGGGACCGGACCGTGTATCTGTGCCAGGGAGGAGGGAGAAAGTCGGGTTGGAAGTTGGAAGCAAGAAAGGTAAACGGTCACAATTAGGAAAGGATGCACAACTAGGAAGGCATTGATAGATGAAATGCGGTGGGGTGTGCCTACTCCCCTTGGTTGTTTGATGGAGGTAATAAAGATAGATGTTACTGGTGGCGATTGTGAAGCAACAGCTAGTAGGTGGACCAGACACGTTACGACGCGACTCAAACGATCGCGTTTATGGGCCTGCCTAGACGCGGGGACCAGGCGGGTAGAATTTAATGGCTTATACCGTGTATGTACGTAGTAGTAGTAATCCTACCTCCATATAAGAGGAAGAAGAAGAAAAAAAAGCAAATGGGACGCGCTGGGAATGACAGAGAAGGTAGGCTTATATTTATCTTAGAAAGTTCTTGATACTGCCTCCGACATTCTTCAGGTCGAGCAAGAAGGTGTCGTGACCAAAAAGACTTTGTTCCTCGCTCAGCTCAACATGCGTCACGTTTCTGTTACCGGTCAGCCGTATTGCGCTGGCAACTTCTCGCTGCTGCCAAGCAGGAAATAATATATCGCTCGCCACACCCATCACCAGTGTTGGCGTATCTCGTAGCGGTGACAGCCCTTCGATGAGGTCCTGAGGCGGCCGGGAATCAGCCGGTGCAGAAGGGTTAGGTTTGTGCGGGTTAGCGCCGTCCGCGTCTTCCTCCGGTTGTTCAGAATACGGCAGGTCCGGCAACGTGAGGCTACAATACGGATCGCTGATGGTCGCTGACGCGGATCCGGATCGAATGACTTTCTCCCGCTCGGCTCGCCGCTGCCCGACGACCAACTGATTGGCCCGGCCCAGGTCAAATAGGTCCATCGCTTTGCTGACGTACAGGAGGCTGTTGGGGTCGTAAGTCAGACAAAACTTCTCGCCCGCATGGTCCAAGTATGTTTCGATCAGGAAGTCCGGGCATAGTGCGGGCGGTTTCGTCGGATCTGCTCGTCTGCGACCGAAGCGCTGCTCCCACTCCGGTCCGGATCGGTATGTTACAGTGGCAATCTCCCTCGCCAGTTTCATCCCAGCGTGTGGTGGGACCCGACCATAGTAGAAGCCCCGATTCCAGTTGGGGTCCATCATGAGAACTTGTCGCTGGGTATGGCGCATTGCGATGCTGTAGGGGTGACTCCGTGCGCAGCCGCTGATGGATACTATCCTGCCCGCCCTCGCAGGGAAGAGCACTCCGGCCGCTAGGGACTGCATGCCTCCCATGCTGGACCCGACACTTGCGTGCAGCGCGTCGATGCCTAGATGATCCAGGAGCCGGAACTGGGCCCTTACCATGTCCTCCATCGTAAGAATCGGGAAGCGCGTGGCATACCTTTGGCCGTCGGCCGGGTCAATGCTGCTTGGCCCGGTCGACCCAAAGCAGCCCCCGATGACATTCGTGCAGATTATGAAGTATTTATCGGTGTCTAGACAACCCCCCGGGCCAATAAACTTCTCCCACCACCCGGGTTGTGGGTTGCTCTCGGTCGAGTGGGCATGCGAGGAGGCAGAGAGGCCGGTATATAGCAGAATCGCGTTGGACTTGTCGGGGTTGATCTCACCCCACGTTTCGTATGCGACATGGAATTCGGGTAGTACGCCGCCCCAATCGAGCAGCAGAGGGTCGCGGCAGTGGAAGACTTGGGTGGCGCCGGTGGTATATGTCGGTTCAGGGCCGGTCGATAGCGACTTGGCCTTCAGACTTGCCGAACGGGTTTCTATCGCATCGAGGCAAGGGAATGCCATGGCAGGGTTGGAGGCTTCGCCCTGGCCGATACTGGCGGGGCGGGAAGGTTGCGAATGTAGGAGCCGTGCGCCATGTTGCGACAGGGCGATAGCTTCACGAGCTGGTAATGGTATTGGAGGGCGAGTTCGGGGTGAAGGAGCCTGAAACGCGATACTGCAGGCGGTACGAGGGGGTACAGAGAGGCGTCGGAAGGCCGTAGTGTCGCGAATCAGGGTCTTCATAATGAGTGAATATTTGGTCGGTTGAAAAGCCTGAATTCACGATGGACAACCAGGGCGATTTCAATGCTCCGTAATTGCCTTATTTCACCACAGTGGGCATATTTACTTCAGGGTAGGTACTGTCTCCACTATAACCACAGCGGCTGAGCAGAGTAACTACCTGATTACCTAAGGTAATCTATCTGCAGATTTAGACTCTTGGTCTGGTCAGGTACGTCTGCATCGAGCAGAAACGCACATATACGATATATCATACGTACATAGAAGCGTTTTAGTATTGATGGTTGCCACCGCTATGCACTTAATGATATTATAGGCTTGTGGATCGTTTTGGCACCTAGGGCATGGCATAGGTATGCAGACTGACATCTTGAATACCTGAGGATGCCGTTTGAGTGTTTTGTAGGTGGAAAAAGAACCGCTTTCTGCGCTTTGCTTACCTACGTAGGTACCTACCTACATTGGTAGGACATGCCAGGTGACTGGGCCCGAATTCGTTAGCTAAGGTCGTCGTCATCCAGCTTGCGTATTAGTCAGGTACCTAAGGTAGTATGCGTCATTGGGAATGAGACGATGACGTATAGAGGTACTTCAGTACCTTCAGTACCACCTCTCTCTACCTTGGCAACAGTACCTGTACGTTCCACTATAGAGGTACGTCTATAGAGACCTCCTAATGCACTGTACGTACCTGTGACCCCGCCACTCCTCCTATATTTAAGCCTGATATCCTGATAGTGGAAGCTGGTACTTGTCGTCAATTGACTACCGGCCACCTTCAACAACGACTCCTACCCAACTATCTCAGTCCTCGCTCATCATCAACAACCGCCCACGTCTAGAAATTGCAAAGTCCACCCCCTTCCGCCCCCCCGCCATGATCAACCCCAACAGATTGAGGAACCCTTTTCGAGGGATTCCCCCCGTTCCACCCGCCGATTCTCCCGCCGAACCAGACTCGCCGCCAATCCCCAACGGCTACGATGCCACCCCAAGAGACGTCCTTGAGGTGAAGAAGATTATGTGCCAGGAGAAACACTTGCCGCCCGAGATCGTAGACATCATTCTCGACCACGCCGAGTATTGGGCCAGTTCAGTCAACGTCGTTGATTACACCGACAACTTGAGAGTGGTCCGTGGTGGGAGACCTGAGTCTGAGAATCAATTATTGGTTCGTCTCGGCTATTCGTATCCTCTAGGTGTTTCTCTTCTTGCTGTTTCTCGTCCGCTGACCACCACCCTCTAGCTTCGCACTGCACCACTGGGGCTCAACAAGTGGCCGCCCCCTACCCAGGAACTACGGGCGGGAGCTGCTCTTAATCAACCGGAGGATGAGTTATCGCAATCTCGGCTCCTAGAATTTGTAGACGGTCCCGTGTCTACGCTAGAGCATCCGTTCCGAAAAGTCGTTTTTCGTATCATCAGCCATGACCAAGGTTTCGGTGGCGATCAATCGTGTCATGGCACCTATCGGCAGTCTTACACCTGGTTTGACGCTGGGTTGGAGCGCCTTGGTGAGTACCGCGACCTTTGTCAGTGTCGAGGCGGCGTGATAGTTACGTACTGACAGCTTGGCAGTCCCATCGAGTCCCGAGACTGAAGGTCGGAATGACGCCAACTCCACGTCGGAATGGGCTATACGTTCTGCCTGGCCTCCTGTAGTTCAGGGTGGAGGGCCGGAATCCGAGGCGCGGTACGAGCATGAGCTTCTTCCTACCCCAGACCATCTGATTCAACGAAATTTGCTAGCCGAGTCTCGCTGGCAACATCACGACGTCGAGTGGTCTTGGAGGGACCAGATTAACCCGGATTCATCGGAAGCAGCGGACGTATTGGAAGGCAACGGACGAGGAACAGCCACAGGCAATGGCGAGTTCGTTAGGAACTTGAGATACGGAGACATGATCACGATATGGGCGCGGGCGAGGTTCCTAGCTTGGGCAAATAGCGTTAAACGGATCGAGGTTCGGGTCTACTGGGCCTTTTGAACTCGGCGGGCATTGAAAGCCGCCAAGTCGCCAGCGCATAGGGAATCCGAGTGTCGATATGAGCCTAAGACGTAGAGAGGGTATCTCCGAGTGCTTTGGCGCTGACACACAAATGGGATGGCGGGGTCAAAGAGTAAGGAAGGCAGGTCGGAAAAGGTGCCGCCGCGAGAGATTTAACTAGCTCCAGAATAATTACGCATCATCATGAACATACCAGGATGCCTAGCGTGCGATGTGTGACTTGTTGTTTTCTTTTCTTCTCGTCTGCAGTTCTGTTTGGTCGCATTGCAAGCGTGGCTCGCCCCTTAGTGATTTGCTGTGTTCAAGGGCGTGCGTCTCCGCGGATTCCGCTGCTATCTACCTGAAATTAATATCGGCATCCAGAGAATCTACAATGCTGGTTTCATCTTCACACTCGCCCACCTACTCGGAAGCGAGTTCTACGAGCGCTGGTCAACGAGCGATAGGGAGAGGCCGGATGTGTGTAGATAGCCCTGCACGAAAGGGCTGGTCATAAGTTAGGTGTCTATTGTATTCAAGACTGAATAGCTTTGAGATGTATGTATAAAATGGACCTCTATTAACTATGGCCCTCTTTACCATGACCTATCCCATTAACCTCCCCGACGCGCAACACCGCGGTGTCAGAAATCAATATTCGGGCTAATCACCCCATTCGAACAAACTAAGCGAGCGGCAGCAGAGTAGGCAAGGCATCCGGCGAATAGCTCTGGAAGCAGGGAGGTGTGCATCGTGATACCGCCCAATGCTCAATGACAGCAGGGCACGGACGGACGGGCTAAACGGGTTAGCGAAAGAGGCCTCCTTCTTGGCCGTACGTGATATCAAAACCTGACGGGAACTATGCAGTCGTGGAACATTCCCCCTTCGCTTGGGGCTAAATGTTTTTTCCCCTCAGAAATAAGAGGCTAACATCTTCCCCGTAACAAGCGAGATCTCGACATTTCCCTTTTTGGCCCAAAGCGGGAGAGTCACCCCTCCGTGTGAGGGCCGACGCTGCCCCGGGCCAACGATCGTTCAGTTCAGGATGCCCGCGGCGCTTGGCGACGGATCCGATATGGATTTTACATGCAGCACTATGTCGCGTATCCGCGTCTGCGCGTGGTGCTGGAAGGCAGGGTGCGTCGCGAGGGCGAGGGCGAGCAAGAGCGAGAGGACGACGATGACGAGGTGCTCGGGCAGCAGGCCGGCGCGGGCGACGCCCCAGCCGGCGGCGGTAGTGGCGTTCTTAGGGGCGAGCGGGCCGACCATCTTCTTCATAGGCTCGATAGCGAAGGTGCGGGCGGCGGCGAGGCCGCGGGGGACGCCGGGCAGGCCGTCCATGCTGTAGGCGTTCTTGTGGGCCCAGTAGCGGTCCATGCTCTCCTTCTCGTTGCCGGCGCGGAACTTCTCGTCCTTGCGGCGGAAGAAGTCGTCGAGCGTCGTCCGCAGCGCGCGGAAGTCGTACAGCGGCACCGAGTACCCGCACGACGTGCCGACCTGGTGGATGTCGACGACGATGACGGACCGCGTCCCCGGCGGCGGCGTGATCGCCTCCCGCGCCACGATAGCGTCGAACTCGGCCGACCCGGCTTCGAGCACGCGCCCGTGGCCCCAGAGCCGCAGTATGCGCGGCGGCCCCTCGAACGCGTTGAACAGGACCGTGATGCGGCCGTTTTCCGGCTCGAGGAGGTGCGAGATAGTCTCGTTGCCTGAGCCCGTCATGTCGAGGTACCAGAACGTCTTCCGGTCGGGGATGCCGAATGGATGGCCCCCCTTCGGCGACACATTGACGTGGCCCTTGGCGGAGAGCGGCGCGGTCGACACCCAGAACACCTTCTGGGCCAGCACCCACTGGATAAGGGATTCGGGGATCGTCTCGAAATATGCACCCATGGCGAAGTGGTCTTGGCTTCGTGATGACTGTATGTATAGTTGAAGTCCTCGTGGGGAGATTCCGTGGTAAGAAGGGGATTTCGAGCACGTTCTTTCTTATCGATGGTGCCCGTTAATACTATCGAGGCCCGTTCCGCCTGGGAAAGTCGAAACCGGAGACTCGCGTGATAAACTAAGGGATGGTCAATCAAGCTATCTGCTCGACTTGACTCGATACAGATAGCAGACGGAGCCCTGTCGTCTCCAAATGCCCATAACAGGAAAGACTAAGCCGGCGGGTGCGGGCACGGAGGTGATTTGATTCCTCCATTACCCTCCCTTGGCGGCACACATCGCTCACTGGGCTTCCCCCTCCTGGTCCCAATCGCCTTTGGCCGATAGATCCTTTCACTTCTCCCATACCGATATCGGAATAACTCGCCTCGTCCCGTGGTGATTCGCCACTCTGCATTGCATGCCTTGTGCCTCCGATGCCCAAGAACAGAAAGGCCGGGTGGTTTTCTTCAAGATAGGTAGGTACAACATCTCTGGTGTTGCTGCAGTTAGGCCTCAATCAAGACTGGGTTGAAGACGCGTGAGCTTCATAACCTGCAAGGTTGCCTCTCCATTTTTAATCACCCTGTAACCCAAGCCCACAGCTGGCTACTGCTGTGCTTTAACTCATACCAGCTCGAAATCCTCGAATGCACTTAGAAACTCGTCGTCCTGCAGTGCGCGCTTCCAGATAGAAGCCATCTTCTCGGGACGCAGCAGTCGGCTTTCCAAAATGTCGGATGTATCCGCATCGAGGGCGCTGCCACTAGACCAGGCCATTTCGCTTCTCCTGAAAGGATCGAAGTGCATCGACGTGTGCTCAAATAAGAGGGGGAATATCCCCCTCCCTATCAATACATGTTGTTCCTGCCCGAGGCGCCTCAGAACGAATGGGCAGGGTGATCCCCGGAATAGGACGATAATGTCATCGTCCACGAACCCTCGAGGTGCTAGGGAGATACCTCGCGGGGCCAGGCCCAGAGTGAGGTTGCCCCGAACAGGTTCCGGGGACTCGATCACCCGGCCTCGGACGGCGAACTTCATCATTTCGAGCATCGCACTCTGAAGAAGGGTCATGAGCCTCTCGCCGGCATTCGTCACGTTCACTCGTGCAACTTTTCCGTCGTGAAGAGGCAAATTGCCGTGCTTGAACTCCTCGTCAAACGTCTCCATGTAATTTCCCCTGACACCTGGGAAGAGGTCGGGGCAATCGAAGTCTCGGCCCCCGAATCTCTCATTAAAGCCCGTTTTGAAACTGTCAGATATCCACGGCATCCAAGCCGTGTCCTCATCCACGCGGGTTTTCAGGATACCGAGAACCACTCCCCGGGCAAACAGGACTCCGCATGCATCTGGAGGCGGAGGAAGCGGTTTCCACTCTATGCCAATCCTCTTCACGTCGACGAAGCCATACCTCCACGAGTTCGTCCTGTTTAAGACGCGATGTTGCGAAATCGCAGGGTCATAGGCCCTCCAATCCGGCACCCATGAGGGGAGATCGGACGAAGGTCGAGACTGGCTTGCAAAGTCGAGTATGCCTAACGATCCCGTGCGGTTAATCTCGTATATGACGACGTCCTGGAATACTTCGGAGACAGAGCGGCCATAGTCGACTGTGAGCGCCGGGCGGTGGATATCCGTGACTCCCTGGGACGTGGGAACTGTCGTAAACCCCAGAATCCCGTAGACGAGATCCCGAGGGTCAGTTACGCCAAAGGAGGATGAAAATACGAGGGCATCTAAAAGCGAGACGGGAGCATTTATCGCACCTTGATTCCGGCTACTGTGAGTGTTGGCATCATATTTGTAATCTGGTTGCACCAACGTCTTGATCGCGTTAGAAGGGGACTTTAGGTAGAGAGCATCTGTGAAGTCAGGAGACGCAGATTCGCTGCGAACCCTAGTAAGGTCCCCGATCCGGGCGACGAAGCTCTTAAGGCGCTCATAATCGACCCAGGATAGTCGTAGGTCACCGAGCTGCATTACCAAATTTCTAGCGGCGAAGACTTCTTGCCTGACCCAGGTCCGCTTGAACAACGGGGGCTCACAGGCGTTAACGAGCAGCTGGGAAAGGGTCCCAAGGCGCTGTATACAGACCTCGCTGTGCTTTTTAATATCATCTGAAGCATTCGCAAGGACTGTAGAGAGAACGGCACTTTTCTGCTGGTTCCAACCAGAATTCCAAGCTATAACGCTCTGGGCCTTTTTGTAGATCGAGAACATCCGAGACACCTGCACAGACTTTTCTCTCACGTCGAACTGATTGATGCAGAGTGCGTCGACCCACAGGTATCGCTCCGTGTTAGTCAGGCGCAGGTGTCGTAGGGCGCAGCCGAGGTTCTCGGTAACGAAGAATTGGATGCCGTTTATTTGAACCGGGTGCGAGAATACCGGGGCGCCCCATATGTACGATAACGCGTCATAGGGAGCTTCTCTAGCAGTGTCCTCTTCGACGATCCCTAGGCCCTCGTGGACGATGACATCGGCTATCAGGAGGGCGCATAAGACCGGGCTATCCAGTCGAAGCGCTGGGTCGATACGAAGAATGCGTGTCTGCCAGGGCTTGATGGTCTGGTACAGCTTCGCGGCGGCTGCCCTTTGGACCTTGTCGTCGACAGACGGTATACTGTCCTGGCGGCTCGAGAAAGCAGTGGTATCGGCCACATCTGGCAGCAGGAGGTTTCTCACCCAACAAGACTCGGAGCATCCTTTCGCTTTCCACGCTTGTTCCCGAGCCATCGAATCACTTGCCTACTTTGCTCATTGAAGATTAGTTAGCTTCAGAGCCCCGGGCACGAGCTCGCCCTGCAGTGAGTGAAGCCTGGGGAGCTACGGGCGCATTACCCCGCTGCTTAACACGTGCCTTTCAGAGGATGGGCTCTAACTAGCCTGCCCAAACTACCTAGGTATATATCAGCACCGCCTTAGCTCCACGCGTTCAGCCTTCAGCACCTTTTCATCTTGCATATAACACTGTTACCGATTATTCTAGCGTGTCGCAATCAACCGAGCCGACCGCAATTGTCACTTGATATTTCATTTTCTTTTTTATTCTTTTTACTCTATGGAAAGACGATAAACAATTAAGGCACATTTACCATCATGCCAACATTACTAGACTTGGGAATCCTGGTGGAGGCCGAGGCATTCGATGACTTCGGCGGCTGGGTTCTCGACTCGCAATTTGAGCTACAGATGGGATCCCCTTACCTCCTAGCCCACGGGAATGGGCGGCCGGTCGCAGACGCCACAACCACCATCTCCATTCCGGACGGGGGCGAGTATAATGTCTGGGTTCGCACCAAGGACTGGGTCCCCTCGTACCATCCGGGGAGGTTTAACCTCTTGGTGAACGGAATTGCTCTTGACACAGAGTTCGGAGCCAACGACCGAGACTGGAACTGGCAGCCTGGAGGCAGCGTAACCCTAGCCACAGGCGCGACGAAGCTAGCGCTGCACGATCTTACTGGGTTCTGTGGACGCTGTGATGCCATCTTCTTGAGCCGTGACGACAAAGCGCCCCCCGAGAAAGTGGACTCGGTAGAACGCGCATGGCGGCGGCGCCTTCGTGGAATACCGAGCGAACCGGAAAACGCAGGCATATTCGATGTCGTCGTAGTAGGCGGCGGCGTGCCTGGGATCGCTGCTGCCCTGACCGCAGCGAGACTTGGGGACCGCGTGGCTCTTGTCCAGGACCGCCCTTATCTAGGCGGCAACGCCAGTGTAGAGATCGGATTGAGACCCCGCGGTGTGACCGGTCCGTTGGTTGATGAGATTTCAAAGCGTACCACCGACGGCGACCTCTACGCGAAGCAGCTGCTAGACCGGGAACCAAATGCGACAGTCTTTCTGGAGCATACCGTCTATAGTACAGTCACCGCCGGTTCTTCCATTGTGTCGGTAAATGCCCGCCATGCCCGCAGTGGACGAGAGATCTCTCTCTCGGCACCAATATTCATCGACTGCTCGGGCAAGGCCATCCTTGGGCTCTACTCCGGCGCCGAGACGCTTTTCGGCCAGGAGTCGAAGGCCGAGTACAGAGAAAGCCTCGCCCCTGCGCAAGGGGATAATTCACATCACGGAAACACGGTCTTTTTCCGCACTCGCATGGCGGACTCGCCTGTTGCCTTCCCGTCCGTTCCATGGGCTACCAAGGTAGCAAAGGATTTCTCCAATCTAGGGGGTCAACTGGAGAAGCCCGGCGTGGAAAACGCACCTGGCCCTCTCGTCGTCTCTCCCAGGCAGACCCCCGATTCGGCAGTCCAGCCGCGAATGAAAATGCCACTCACTCACTTTTGGGAGTATGGCCAGTCGCTTGATCCCTATACCCAGGCCGAGCAGATTCGCGATTACCTACTCCGTGCCATTTACGGTACATTCTCCAATGTTAAGACAATGGAACCGCAGACCTATGCAAATCTCGAGTTCGACTGGGTAGCATATGTCGCGGCACAGGGCGAGTTCCGTCGATATAAGGGCGACTATATTCTCACTGAAACGGATATTCGCGACCACAAAGCATTTCCTGATGCCGTGGTACAGAATGGAGGAGCATTCTGCCTACACTATCCAGGCAATGAAACTTATGATTTTCGACTCAAGTACTGGGAGTGGGACGAACGGGACGGGAAACCTTATGACATCCCGTTCCGCTGTCTCTATTCTACCAACATCTCGAATCTGATGATGGCGGGGAAACATATAAGCGTCACACACATCGCAGGCTCCAATACCAAGTTTATGGGCAACGGAGCACAGCACGCAATTGCCACTGCCGCAGCGGCTCACCTGTGTAAAAAGTACAAGACGACACCCCAGGACGTCTGTGCGAAGCACATGGCAGAGCTTCGGACCATCTCGACAGCTGTATCTGAGGCGAAGATTGGTCGTTCACATCTCAAGGCAAACTTGTAATAACTAGAGCTACGGAATTTCCTCTCGTCGCATGGGTCCCGGGATAGGGCAGTCTGGCTGGTGCATATTAACTTCTAATCCACCGGAATGAAATCCACCCTCTTTCAAATTGTTATTTTCTTGTTCACGACCTTGGTCGATCGAAGCTGAAATATACTCTATACTGAGTCTAAACTGATGCGTGAACCTGCGAATCCTGGATATAGTCCTGGCTGTTCACTTTCTCGATTTCCGCCCCTTCTCTGTTAACACCCTAGGGACCGGCAAGAATGCTCCTCCGTAGACAAGATGCACTAAAGCCCTGCGCAGCCCTCCCATTGCTCAGCGCTGAGCTGCTACGTAGACTTGTATCATAGCACCAAGTATGAAATGAGCCGTTCAATTGCCACTTTCACAATTCGCTGCATTTCAACATTCGAGCTACAGAGGCTATATTGATCTGACTATGGAACCAACACTCAGCCAGCTGGGGTCGCCTCCATACCGACGAAGAGCAATCCCGGCTTGAAAATGTGTAGGGGAAGGGTCATGTTGGGGTCTCTCCGGATCGATATTAGCATCCAAATGCTAGACTGGTCGTCGCAGACTAGGATCGAAGTCGGAAGAGAGAAGTTACAGCTCCGTTATATAATCCACAACCCACAACTGCCATGACTGCAAGAAGAGACCAAACTAAACTAGATGTTGAAAGAGTGGATTCCTCAACAACTCGACCGATGTCCAGCCTGCCTTTGGGTAGGATCTGTCGCCGATCGGGACTGGAGAGAATATAATCGTCCCAGTTAACGACTGATGTCAGCTTCTGATACTCCACGACAGTCCCGTACCAATTCGTGGTAATGACACCCTCGGCATTCTTGTACCAACTGTTGCACTTGGGGTCCGCGAAGGTCGTCTTCGAAAGATTTTCCTGGACCTTAGCGTTGTACAATGCTAGACTTTGCGGACTCGGCTGTATTGCTAAGCGAGCACCTTTCGCCCATGCCAACAGGACAGGGCGGATTAGTGTGCTGATGTATCGCGACTGTGCTTCAATCATGAGGATGATGGAGCTGTGGCTCAAGTTCGTGTTAGGCCCGTAAAGCATGGCAAAGTTGGGTAAGGTCTCGACGGCTATTCCTAGATATGCCCGAGCGGCGCCCTGTTTATCCCAGAGCTCGTCCACGGCCTGCCCATCTGCGCCATAGATTTTCATCGGGAACATGAACTGGGTAGTTCGGAAGCCGGTGGCAAGTACCACCAAGTCGAACTCGTATTCGCTTTCCGTAGTCTTGATGCCCTTGGCAGTGAAAGTCTCAATCGGGGCCGTCTCAAGCGCGACATGAGGTTTATTCAATGCGACATAGTAATCATCGGAGAGTAGGACTCTTTTGCAACCCGGTGTATAGTCTGGAGTCAGAGCGTCTCTCAGTTTTTGGTTGTTTGGGATCTGCCGTTCCATCATCTCTAGACACAGCTGTCGAGCCTCGGTGTTGAAAGCGGAGTCTGCAATGGCAATGCCGTGAAACGTCTCCCTAAAATCCATAAGCATCTTGCGATATTGTTTTCGAACCAGTGGAACATAGCGGTATATGTTCTGCATCGTGGTACTGATAGATTTGTCCTGGCGTGGGATGATCCAATTCGGCGTGCGTTGGAAAACAACGACTGATGCGGCGGTTTTGGCAACTTCGGGAACGACTTGTACGGCCGAAGCGCCGTTCCCAATGACTGCGATTCGTTTGCCGCTGAGATCGTAGCTGGAATCCCATCGGGCCGTATGCATCATCTTGCCTTCAAAAGACTTCATACCCTCTATGTCGGGGTACAGCGGGTAGTTGAGCTGGCCGACCCCCGAGATCAAGAAGTCCGACGAGACGGTGTAGGATTGAGTATATTCCGCATCTTTCCCGCCGAGAACTTGCACTTTTGTGGTCCACTTATAGGCTTGATTATCCCATCGGGCTTCTTCTACCAGACTGTTGAAGCGGATATGACGGAATAAGCTCCATTTCTCTGCAACCCCAACCAAGTAGGCGTGTATTTCCTTATGCTCGGGATACATTGTGCTCCAATTCGGGTTGGGCTCGAAGGAGTATGAGTACAAGTGGCTCCAGACTGTAGCAAGGGGAAACGGTTAGTTCACCATGTTGATCCAAGTATGAAGACTAACACATCGAAAGGCGGGGGGGTTCAAAAGGTTTTTGTGTATTCATTCACTGATAAAATATACGTGAAACTCGCTCGGCGGAGAACTCACCGTCACAGCAACACCCAGGATACTGGTTATCACCCCAAGTCCCGCCAACCCGAGAGCCCTTCTCGAGAATAATAAAGTTGCGGCTGCGGTTTCGTCGGATCATATCGATGGCAATACACATCCCTATAAGACAGCGCATGTTAAGCAAAGAAATCCCGCAGGGGTGGAAAGCAATTAATTACCTGATATGCCAGCACCGATAATCACAACTGCAGCTTCATTCGCCTTCGGATTTGTGTCCATCTTGTCGACAGAATTATCGGTCGCAGGATACGTTCTGTTTACTTCCGGTGTTTCGGTTTTGAGGAATCGAAGAAGGATTGCAGACAGGAATACCAGCCAGAGAGCAGCGAGAGGTGTGACGACTGTAAACAAAATCAACGTTGGTCACCTGACAGCGAAGGAAATCTAGGGCGAACTCTTCGCAGCATAATTATATATTTGGGGACTCCATCGGTAATTCCCACTAGGCGCCCGGAAAATCCAAAGCCTTGTAGCATCGCGACTCACGCTACATCCGAGCTGGCGGAAACAACACTCGACGACAAAGGGGTGATAGGGGGGGGGGGGGGGGGGGCGTCGAGGGCTTGCAACTAAGGGTGGCGAACTTGTGCCTGTCGCATTGCCAGAGTTGGAGAGTGTGCGACTCGCACATTCGCACTAGCGTGCACCAACTACCGCGCTGCCAACTATGTTCCCCAGCCTCGCTAGCCTCGATTCTGGCTAGGGGCCTTGGCTGAGCGGGATACTGTAGAGGGTCCGGATCGCGGAGTACGGAGGAGGAGCACGGCCGGGGTGATATTCTCAGGCAGAGAGCTACATAAGTGAACGTTGAACACGCCTCAAGAATTTTGGAGAGCCGCCCACTAGTTGATACAGGTACCCCAGACAAGAATGGAAACTCTCGCCCCAACTCCAACTCTTCTCCCTCCACCGCCCAGCGGACAGCAGTTCACCACAGAGCAATGGACAACACTACTCTCCATCGTGGATACGGTCATCCCATCCATTCGGCGGGTCTCTTCGACAATGCCGAGGGACGGCCAGTCTCAGTATTCGACCTCGGAAGCCGGATTGACCGCTGTGGAGAACCATGTGCTGCAGAGAGTGACCCTAACTTCTGCAGGTTCTGGGCTACGGGCGTAGAAATAGAAGATATACTAGCAAATTGCACCCACCCGGGTCTGCACCAATTCCGGGACGGCACCGAAAGGGTGCGGGATTCTCTCTCAACACAGGTGAAATGGACTATAATATTAGGACCTCATGTAGGTACATGCCTAAATCATGTACTTACAGAGCTCTTGGCTATCATTTCAAAATCGCATTCGAAGCATAATCAGATGGTTACTTCTCACCAACCTCCAGTACAAGGGCGGGGAAGCCTCCTCCTGACCGGCTCCATCACTCCCTTCCACCTGGAGCTACCCCGGAGGTCATCGAAACCGATGTCCTTATCATTGGAAGTGGGTGTGGGGCCGCTGTTTGTGCTAAAAACCTCGCCGAGTCGGGACGATTAACTGGAGTGTGAGCCTCTAGACCTAGGACTACGTGAGAAATAGGGACCCGCGATTACTCGGCTGCCCGACGCCGCAAAAGCCGGTGCAACCTTCATGGAAGGCCTGCGGGCCGAGAGGGGTTCGTTCGACAATACCTAGGGCCGGAGGAAGGCAATCGACGCCAAGGGCATACGGACCAGCAACACGCGGGGCAGGTCGGCCGGGGTGGCCCGGGGGGTTGTCATACATGCGCGAAAGGACATCCTATCCTGCGGGTCGCTTATCCAACAGCTACATCTCCCTCACGTGGAATCGAGACTTGGGGCAAGTGTACGAAGACTTTCGTGAGACAGGCATATCCCCTGGGTTAAGTGTTGCGCAAATGGAGAAGGCGTGCCAGCAGCAGGTTATAAAGTATTGGCGATGATATCGCATAAGACTGATGATAATGAGGAGGCGAGGAGTGGGCTAATGGCGCATGGCAATTGGTGAACATATATATACATACACATCTAAAAAAGGCATGAGCTTTCATAAGATGAGGTATCAAAAGAAGTCAGTCCACAACAGACTTGCCCCGGAATCTCCTGGGGCACCATCGTGCCAATATCAAAGTCTGGAACATGATCACCAAAGCCAACGGCTCCAGCGCCTTCACTACACTCCACCTCTCGAAATGACCTTTGCATTGCACAAGGCCTTACACTAAATTCTGAGCAATGTGGCTCAGCAACCTTAATATCGTCGCCAAATTCCGGAAACGAGAGAAAGAATTGCCTCTCCATTTGCCATGTAGTAAGCTCCAGAAGCTGCTTTTCGAACAGAGCCGAGAAATAGAAGCGGCCTGTAGAAAAGTCTAGAGCGTAAATATCCTCGAAAGGGTAGGGCCAGAGGAAACGAAAGTTTCTTGAGAAGCACTCCCAGAAATCATTCGTGAGCTGGTTTGCTTTCGAGAGGACGAGCCGCTCGCGCATGCCAGGCCTGTATAGTCAGGGATATCAGTCACTCCGACAAAGATTGAGGAAGCGGGTGTCTGAGGTTAAGGACCGAGCTGATCACCGGGAAGCGCTTCCGAGGGACGTACCAGACGAAAAAGTCTATGATTCCATCATGAGCGAACATCGTTTGCGTTGGCCTGCCGTAATCTGATAAGCAACCACTACATCGATGCGGCCCGCAATCAAGGAGTTTGCATACCTGGGCCTGTACCAAGGGGGAAGTTGGTCCAGTCTTCTGCGGCACACCTTGAACTTGAGAGAGAGTCAACAATAATTTCCAAAGGGTTTGCAGCGGGCAGGAAAATGCGCACAAGGAGCATGTGATGAATCATACGTAGCATGACCAACCGAGTTACTTGACTAGACCTCTGGAAAATTAGCCTGTCACTGAGGCGCAAGATTTTCCAAAGCGGACAGAGCTTGCCACGAGATTCCGCAGCATCCCACCCTTCAGTGACTGCACATATCAAAACGTCTTGATTCAACCGATCATCAGTGCATACTGCCGCTTTGTGGAATTGTTGCACGTGTTCTAACGTCCGGGCGGTGGACCGCAGCGCGCTTGTAGTGAAAAGGGCTCGAATGATATCCGATCCCAGGGCAGGACCTCTTGAAAGTACAAGGTTGGAAGCTTGAGCAACGGTGCCTAAGTTAACACCAGGGAGATCTGGTGGATGGCTCGGATGCATCGTCAACTCGTCTTGAGGGTCATGGTGACCGTTCTGGGTGGGGATACGGTATTCGCTACCCCATTTCATCGCCAGTTGAGACGTATTCGTGGAATCCTCGGGTAGTGAAAGAAATCCCCATCCAGCCGCATCCTCATCTAGCCGACGTTTGGGATCGCGGTTAAATGAGCGCGGAGCCGCAGTGTCTACACTCATTGTACCCATGTCAGAATCAACCGCTGACAGAGAACCTAAATAGGAGAAAAAAGTCAGGGGGGGATCAGACCGTTTCCCTGAACTTGGGCATCATTAGTAATTTGATTCTGCGTCCCGTTTGGAATCTCATCCCGATTGTTGGGCGAATCTTTTGGCTCTCGGCGGCCATCTGGTTCAGCTGCGAGGACGCGTTGAAGCTTAGTCTCCAGTTCGGCGATGCGGGCCAGCGTCGACTGCCTGCACCGCCGACTTCTGATCCTATCGACCTCCCGTTTCCTCGCACGCTGCGACTCGGTGAGACCGCGTCCGGACGACCATCTCGGACCAGCCGGGTCGCCCCGGCCTCCCTTCGGCTGGTTCTTTTGTGCGGATAAGCCCATCAGATATGGTCGGAAGACCGATTCACTCTCATCAGAGCAAGAGAAGTTGCGTTCAGCGGCACAGAAGGCGGAATGGGATGCGATGTGTGGACTAATCGATGGGAGGGCCGTTGCGGATGAGTGGAACAAGAGCAGAGTGTGGGGGAAATGCGGGGGAGGGGGGCTAACTCCGATAGAGCGTTAGTCCCTCTTAGGGTGCGTTAGCAGGAAAGTTGGCTGCAAATGAAAAATGGCGGCGGGGCCGAGAGTAGTAGTAGTACATATAGTATTGATTGACGCCCGTGGGGACCGCCAATGACTACCTATCCCGGACCTCCCATGGAGACCGCTAACGGCTATCCCGGACCTCCCGTGGAGTACTAGGGGCGTGCTAAGCTGGGATTTTTAAGGCATTCAGCTCCCTATTTAGGATCCAGCTTATCGTCGCTATCAACGTCTCATATTATCCCGCCCAAAACGACTCACGACCGATGAATACTTGGAAGCGCCGCGAATGCAGAGGGTATGGTATGCTTAATAATTAGGTATTTAAAGTGATCCCCGGAAGCTTGCAAATCTACCCACAGGCCGCACGCTACCAGCGGCTTTGGAAATGCAACCTGTAATAATACCTACCTCTTGCACAGATACTCGACGCCAAAACTCATGAGCATGAAACATTTGCCACACTAAAGTCTCGACTCTTGTGGCCTTCCAGAAGGCGAGGCTGTTTATACCGCAACCGCGATACCGTAGATCCATCCTCCGGCCGCCCACGCCATTTACCCCAGCCTTGGTATGGCCGGTACATGGAAAAGTCTAGCCTCGAGGTGCTTCCTCCGGGAGCTACGCATCAACAACAGCGATGGTGGCGTGCCCTATGGAGGACATAGATACTCGGGTACATTGAAATATCCATGCATATATAATATATATTTATATATATATTTATATATATATTGACCGCCCGTATCACAGTGCCCATAACATGCCAGTCGAAGGAAGTAGCAGGAGAGAAACCGGAGACAAGGATTGCTCCGCACTTCCAAGAGTGTGCGAGTCGCACACATCCCTGATCTCAACGCTACGATGTTATTATTACAAATTATTCGGGGTATTTACTCATATGAATGCGATATGCTTGTTTCGGTCCCTCTCACCCGCCCCCTCGGAAAAATCCCGTTTCCCCGAGGAGAGCCTGTTGACCTCGACCCTCCCCCCTCCTCCCCCCCCCTTTTTTAATAGAATGGTTCAGCTGCCCAGGTAGCTAGGCCTATCAAGGGGCCCCCCCCACATAACTAGGCCTTACACTATATGCACTCGTCTGACAATTTCTGCAGGGAGCGGCACAGTAGAGGGGAAAACACCACGATTTGCTCAGACAACGCCCTTTCAGTGGATTTCGCTCGTAATTGACTATGCCTTGTGGCCGTGCTGGATATAAAGGCTACGTTGGGTGGTATTTAGTGCTGCAACACATCTAAATCGTGACAGGCACTACAGCTGGGATTGCAAAGTAATCAGTGCCGCATTTGCCATTGCAACTGTCCTCAAGCGCTGTAATCTGATGCAAGGGCTAGTGTCAAAAGTTGTTGCGATTCGCAACTTGGGCAATATTGATTACCTATCTTTTAGCTCTTTGTCGCAAGCATCTATATTGTGAAACTTGTCACAGGAAAAATGCAGACGAGAATAAGAATCGTTGTAAACACGTGATTATTTACACGGCAGAGCAGGGGGGGGAAGTAACAGTTGCGATTACTCGAGGCATCTTTTCTTATCTTCACACTCTTCTAGCTATCCAATTCCCCATGCGTTTCGCTTGCTCCCCAGAAACCCCAAGCCCAAACTGAAGATCCAGACTTGGCATGTCATGAGCCTCTCCCTCTGTGATTAAAACGGTCACTCTCTCCGGGCCCAGCGCCGAGTCCATTTTCTGGGATAGCTGCACAATGCTGTCCAACAGTACCTCATCCTCTCCACCTAAAATCAACACTTCCTCGGCCATCAAGTCCTTCCAGTGCCCCGCTGGGGCAGTGACTGGTTGATTGTAGCAATCCACCGAGTCCGTGTGCGGTGACGGCGTCCCCATGAAAGCCTCGGCCCACCGCTTCAACGTCGCAATCGACAGGAGGTCTTTGCGCGCGTTCCTGATACAAGAGGGCTCGTTCAATCGGAAGGACACCCAAGGCGACACAAGGACCAAACCACGCAACTTGCTCGCAAGTCTCAAAGGTGGGATAGCAGGGTGGGGGGATGAGATATGCGAGAGCAGTGCTAGTGCGAGGTTCCCGCCCGCAGAGTCTCCGGTCAGGATGATGTCTTCGGGGGCTTTGTGCAAGACCTCAACTACGTGCCGAAGGAGGGCGACGGCCTGTGTGAGTTGCCGTGGATAGCGTGCTGCGGGACTCAGGTCATAGGAGAGGAAGAGTATTGCGACTGGCTTGGCAGATGAACTGACGAGGGCCTGGAGCCTGAACATATAATCCATCATGAATTCGCTTGCAGGGAGCACATAACCCCCGCCTGAAACAATCAGCCTGAACCTCCCGTGAGTTGGAGTCAAGACGGAAGAGAAGAGAAAAGGAGGGGGCTCTTGCCATGAAAGTTGATGATAACTTTGCGCGCAGAGCTAGGCCCAATCCAGTGCGCATGGGTGCCATCTTCAAGGATCACACTCTCAGGGGACACGAGGTAGCGCTTGCAGAGCTGGAGGTAGACGTCGTCCGTAGGAGGACTAATGGCTCTGTAGAGCAGGCCGCATCAGAACCCAGACTCTTAGAAGGTGGGGGCTTAGACTGACTGTATCTGCCGGATGGACAGAGAATCTGTAATCGCTCGGACTTTGGTGTATTGGACGTGACGGTAGAGAGTTGAAGCCAGTGTTTCCCTCGGCCGAACGATGTCCGAAAGCAGGTTTGCAAAATATCGCACCACTGATATATTCTCAGCATTCTATTTTGTTGTTGTGGGTAGAGTAAACGAACGCAGTTTTCCAATGCTGACAACAAATGCTAATTTCTCGAAAATAGACATTGGGACCACAGACAGCTTCGTTGGGCGCGAAGATGAAGACGGTCCGTTGCCTGTCGTGCAAAAACCCGAGACTGTTCTTACTACAACTAGATGATCTGGACTTGCCTAAAAGGTTGGTATGTCCTGGAGGTGGGCGAAGTTAGCGGCGGTAAAGCAGCAAAGTGTGAAAAAGGAAGATGGTTTTTATCACTGCTTCCCCTATCTACCTGCGTTATATAAGGGTCTCGTGTATTATTCTTTATAATTGTAGCGTTAAGGGTCACATGAGCAACTCTTTATTCCGGCAGTTGTGCTGATCCGACATGCGAATATAGCGCATGTGCAGCTACTGGTGTGCGAGTCGCACATTAGCCGAACCTACCCTTTGTGCCATGGACCTACAAGCTGGCTCCGTAAAGGGGCCAGGCGGGGTGCTGTCTACGAGAGGTCCGCGCACTTCGTTAACCTTGACCATCATAGCTACCTTACCTACGGTATCTTCTTACCCATGTGAAGCTTGGTACCCAACTAGCAGATAGACTAAACAATAGAGACTACCAAGTAGCGCTGTCAGGAATCGAACCTGTCCTCTATTATATAACCCACTTAGCTCGACCCATACAACAGGCACGCGCCCCCGCGCGCTATTACAACACTGCCTGCTCCAGTATACGTCGGAATACAGGATCTTACAAGGATAAGATACGCTCCACTACTATCGTATAGCCTGCACTGGTACACACGTACCACCTAAAAGGACCTTATTACAAAGGCGGCACTCTGGCTCGAACCAGTAGCTTCTGGGGTTTAAAGTACGCAGTACCTGCTGCCTGGACGAAGTCACCAGATAGGCTAAACAATAGAGACTACCAAGTAGCGCTGTCAGGAATCGAACCTGTCCTCTATTATATAACCCACTTAGCTCTAGCCATCTGACGGAGACCTTCACAAGAAAGGGCATAACATCGTTCATTAGCAGTTGCACTTCTACCTTCAACTATATCGCCCCACTCTCCGTTATTGTCTACACTAGCCTCGGCATCACAGCTCTGTACCAGGCATCGAGTCATAGGCGCCCCTGAGAAGAGAGGCACAACTACCGAGCAGCAGAACGAATCTTGCCCTTCTTTCGACGCAGGCTTTAATGTGAGGGAATCCAAGCTCATCAAGCAACGGAGCGCCAACCATGCTTGCCTATCTTGCCGAGAGCGCAGGGTTCGGTGCAATATTATTTGTGAATTACCCTGCATCAATTATCGATTAGATGGGCTCGATGTATGTACATACCCACCCTCGTCCCGACGGAACACAGCTGACCGCTTTCCTTTCCTTAACGTATGGTGACAACGCACTCCATGAGCCCTTAGTGCAAGCCAAACAGAATGGCGAAAATTACGGTGATGTTAGTTTCTATGACTACACCTCAATACCAGATACGCAAGCTTCTCGTAAGTTATTCGAAGGCTCTCGATGCTCACACCTGATATTGATTTCCTAATGAGGTTTAACTAGTTAATCAAGTCCGGCTTGATTTACAGACATGTCGGCTTTCTTCTTGGTCGAGAATTGCTGGCCCACAAGTCCGATCGATGACCTACTAGACCTTCAGCCTAACTTGCCGGCATCGTTTGACCAATATTCGATCATAGCGCTTCTGCCTCCTTTCATCAAACCTCTGCCGGTGCCGATTCTCTTGGAAGATGTTAATTATCTCAACACCAAGGGCGCTCTCTTTGTACTGGACGGCGAAATCCGCGCCGCTCTAATACACGCCTTTGTTGAGTACGTATATCCGTACATGCCGATCATAACCCTCCGTAGTTTTTTGAGCTCGATGGACCAAGCTGAACAACGCCGGGGCGGGACGATGCATCCGGACACTATGGCCAGGTCAGCCTCCTGCTCATGCAGGGCGTTATATTCTCTGCAGCAGCATACGTCGACATGAAGTATCTCCATACGTTGGGGTTCGTTTCAAGAAAAGAGGCCCGGCGGCTGTACCCCCAACGGACGAAGCTGCTATACGATTTCGGATGTGAGTCGGATCGCATCACTGTGATCCAGACCTTACTATTCATGACGTACTGGCATGAGACACTCGACGATGAGAAGGATGCGTCACATTGGATCGGCATAGCCATCCCCCTTGCTGAAACTATCGGCATGAACCGTCTATCGGGCCATGCTAAAACACCGGAGAAGAAGCTCTGGAAGCGCATTTGGTCGGCCTGCTATATCCGAGATTGTTTAGTGAGCTTAGGCCTTAGGCGGCCGGCTAAGATCAGACCGGACAAATTGAACATGTCTATGCTGGAAGAGAGCGACTTCGGCATACAGGTCCTCCCGGTGACTGTAGTCGTCAATCCTGCCGAGTGTGCGTTTACCCGGAACATCGAAATGCAGTCCGAGCTCGCCGCGATGTTTGTGGCTCTGGCACAGCTGAGCCTGTGCATCAGTCGTCTGCTAGGGACACAATACTCTCTCGGCTTTCGAGCAGGGAATTCCAAGTACGGCACAACGAAGAGTACCATGATGCTCTTTCCCAAGGCCTCCAACGTCAAATCTATCGAAAGTCTCGATGAGGAGTTGGAAGTCTGGGAGCAGTCGCTTCCAAGTTGTTGCCAGAACCGGACCTTTTCCCAAGCAGATCGAGAGCACGGAAGGTCAACAATTGTGCTACACAACACTCTCCTACATATGCTTTACCATGCAGCCGTAATAGCGCTACACTGGCCATCATGTCGGCCTTTCGTCAGGACCAACGTTGATCGCCAAGCTCTTTCGCGCTTGAAAGTCTCTGAAGCAGCTATACAAATTAGTCAATCGGCTACAATGCTGCACTCTGTGGGCCTAGATTGCCCTTTGCCGACCCCTGGCGTAACCGTAATCATGCTCGCAATGGTTTCACATATCTCTGTAATGGATGAAACTTCAGGCACGCACGCTCACGAGTTGGTTAAGAGCGAGCTCGAGCAGTGTATCCGTGTTTGAACACTCTTCGCGGGATCTACTCCGTTGCCGACGCCGCCGCAAGTATAGTACATACCGCGTTAAGAGCTCATTAGGTAACTGCAGTACAGCCACGCTTGTAGCATAGGTACACCAACCGTCTACTTCCACCGCTATATAGTGGCCGCAATTATGTTTTACTACGTAGAACAATTTAGTGTCCTTCCACCTTGTACGTGCACAATACAGTAGCACTACCATCACTAGTACTGCCTCGTTTATAAAGTCATTTATTTCAAACTATACTGTTGTAAAAGAATACCTGTAATCATCTCTAGTATAGGAATTATATGCTAATCTAGGCAAGTCGGTTGCTTAAATTGATACCATCTTTTATGGGAAGCGCTATGAAGAATGTCGAGAGAAGAGGTAGGGTGTATACACCCATTCCCTGCGGCTGAGGTTCCTAGCGGAGGGAACCGACCTTTCAGTCCCCTAGGGGACCGAAAGATATGCTTGGCCCAATCATGAGAGGGCATCGTGCTGTGACAAGTGGAACCAGGCGTTTCGGTCTCTTTAATATTTCGGGGTAGTAATAACAATAGTATATCATATAGCGAGCCCCAGCAACGAATCATAAGGCAGGTTACGCATAAAGGGAGAAAGCGTGTCAAGGTTTCAAGAACTGTTCGCTGAGTAAAAGGGTGTACATTGAAGAATTAAAGCTGTATGAGGGGGAAAAGGTGGAAGAGTAGAGCGAGGAGGCAGCATCGCTACATAAGCCTTCGTACTCAAGCAGGCATAAAGCTTGAAAATGCCCTGTATTCTTATAGAGGAGCAAGATACGGAAGAATTTTGAGAACGACGTTTCGTAGCTATCTTAGCTGGTGACTCCGTCCGAGCAGTACGAAGAACAATAAAGCGGAAACGCGTTTAGTGTCTCGTTTATTATTTTACTTCCACTCGAGGCTCCTAATATTATAAACTCGAGTTCAACCTAGGTATACCCTACATAGGATTTAGCCCTGTTTTCCGATCGTCGACAACCGACAAAATTTTTTTCATTCGTATCAACTTTAATAAAAGGACTAGACAGTTGTCCTCGTTCAGCTCAACACCATTTCTCGTGCTTACCTACATCTTAACATCTAAGTTGTTGATTCGAAGCGCGTGGAGGCGGCTGAGCGCCACAAGCGACGGCAGCATCAGAGTCCATCAATATACCTAGACGTCAGAAGCACAAACATATAGGAGTACAACAGGAGTAGGGGCTTTGGAATTTAAACCGAACCCGAGTTAGGTATAATACTGTCAAATTCCGTCGAGACTGACCTAAAAGTTGCCGTCAGACTATTGGTTACCAAAGACGCGGACTCTGAGGACAAAGATGGCTACGGCTTGTGGGAGTGGTCAGAACCCGGCGTTGGTTGCGGCTGGTTAAGACCTTGGTCATGCAAAATGCCGCATTCATAGAAGAGATAGCCACAATGATACGATTAGGCAGTGATAAACTACGGGTTGGTATAGGTAAGAACACTGGTCAGGCTTGCGTGTCACGCCACCATCAACAACCTACTTCGTCCACAACAGGCTCACTGCTTTGGCGACATACAGGGATCGACCTTCTTGCATGTAAAAACAGCATGCCAACTCGTCCATTTCGCCCTACTAACCAGTTAGTACTCGAGTCCTAGCCGATAAGCTACTTGGCTGCAGCTACCTGTAACATGCGTATGAGGAGGTGGGTGAAAGTGATACCCAGCCCTAATTCTTATCTTGACCTTATGGTTTGCGGCCACAAGACTGACCGCACGGGAGAGAAGCTAACACTTACGGGCTACATGTAGATATACATCCCCGTAGACAACTCCGTATCTTAGACCGGAGAGTCTGAAGAGTGTGGAATTTAGCCCAGTTTTCTGTTGATAAAAGTAGATTTCATCTCACAGTACAGGCTTACGTTAGATAATAAAAGAAGTTGCAATTAGGATACGATCAATTTATGCATCCGCTCTAATGGGCGTGACCTCTTAGCCAAACCGCGTGATGCAGCCTTCGTACAGCTCCCTAAGTCAACTCGCGGTCCCTTCAGCCCCACGAGAATCATCGTCGGACGTTCCGCCTTCGTCGCTCTCCCCATCAGAAAGGACGCGCAAAGATATCAGACGGTCCATGGTGCAATTCTTGCACCGCTTGTGCTCGCACCCAAGACACTCCCTGCTGTCCAGGCGGTTCGGTTCGTCGCACGCGCAGCAATACCACCCACTTTTCGCCGTGCGGGGGTCGACGAGCACTCCCGTGGCTTCTCCCATGTTGAGGATAGCGATAGTAGAGTCGCGATGTGGAATCTATGTAGGTTTGGTGTTTTGGCCCTCAAATAGTTTCTTTGTAGAATACGTTTCTGATGGTCGTGTTACATGTTATTGCGTTGGTGTTCTTGACTTGGTAATAGATAATATCACGAAACCTAATGCCGCTTGATATACTTGACCGTCTTTAGTAATTCTATCGATACACAGTATGCATTGCTATGACGCATAGCCGTGGTTTTCAATACTATACTATGACTCATAACAATTCATCAGGGTGTCAGTCTTAGTGAGAAAACAATAGCTTTGTATGAGAACCATAATATACAAGTTCTTTAGGAACAGCTTGCTGCTGGGTTCCCATTCCCTCAGTTGACGCTGTAATAGTGTCTATTACGATTATATAGGATGCTATCAAGTAGTCTAATATAGTCGAATAACACCACACTACACTTGTTGCAACGAGAGAGTGGAAGGTCTCTATACGAGTATTATCTGAATACCACCCTCTATAGCATAACTTACGAGTTGCTCTAGTCTGAATAACATATCTAAGACAAACTCTAGTTTCCGAGTTAGCAAACCTCTAATATTAGTCCGCGGAACATCGCCCGAGGAATCGAGAAGTTAGTGGATATAAGTTCATGCGCAGTAATATTGATGGTATCGCTGGGAAAGCATTCAGGCACAGCAGCCACAGGCGCCCTCTACGCTATTAGCACTTCTCGCAATATGCCATGAATAGAACAGTCATGTCTTTATAAACTCGAACTAGCAACCTCGTAATTACTTGTCATGTCCCGGCTGACCCGGGATTTCGTCTTCAGCTTACGCGGCGGCGTCGTTCATCGATCTCCTCGCTGACCCGCCATTGCGACTGGGACGCGCGCTTAAAGCCCCTCAGAAACAGACGTTAGTTACCCCCGGTCATACATTAACACGTGCTCGACACACCACACCAATCTACGCCCTTTCCACCTTCGGCTTCCCTAGATATACACACACCACCCACACCCCCCCGCTGGTCTCCTTCCTGCTCCTCCGAGACCCAAACTCCCGTGGGAGCCGCCGCCGCCGCTCAGTTCTTGCACCACGTGCGCTCGCGCGGGACGCGGGAGCCGGGCTCCCAGAGCAGGGTGTCCTCGAGCCGGGCGGCGAAGGTGTCGTTGGGGAGGCGGAAGTCGAGCGCGTTGTGGGGGCCGGGGGGCGCGGCGGGGGCGGGCTCGGCCCAGGTGGCGTAGGCGGAGGCGTTGAGGGCGACGCGGCCGCCGCGGGGGTAGCGGGGGGCGAAGACGTCGCCGGCGCCGCAGACGGCGTAGTAGACCGCGACGGCGTCCCAGACGGGGTGGGCGGCGGCGGGGCCGATGCTGCGGCGCAGGGCGTAGGCCAGCGGGTGGCGCGCCGGGTCGGGCTCGGCGGTCAGCCGCCGGCCGAGCACCGTCGCGCCGGCCACCGCGTCGCCCGCGAACGTCGCCCGCCCCGGCCACCAGTTCAGCACCGCCGCCGCCTCCGCTCCCTCCCGCCACCCCGTGTTGAACGACCGCCCCCGCTCGTCCGCCTGCACCACCAGCTCCCCCACCTTCGCCGCCAGCAGCTCCGCCCCCGTCCGCGGCGAGATCGCGTCCCCCCCCGACTGCAGCACCCCGTACAGGTTGCCGAAGAACCCGATCGCCGCGATCGTCACCGACGAGTCCGCCGACGTCGACAGCAGGTACCGGTACGAGGAGACTATGCGCGGGCGTGAGCAGGGAGGGCAGAAAACAAAAAGAAAGGTGGGAGAGGGGGAGGGAGAAAGGGAGAGATAGAGACCTACCGGGATCCGGGGTATAGACCCCGTCCTGGATGTCCTGGGTGAAGTTATAAGTCAGGCCCGTGAGATAGTCGCCGTACTGGGGATACTGCGGCCACTGTGTCTGCAAGTTATGATAAGCCGGTTAACCTCGAAATCGTTCTCATCCACGTGTTACCAAGCCGGAAAGACTCATGATACGTACCAGGTTGTTGACCGGCTTCCGCAACGCTATCGGGATGTCCGGGTGCCCGTAGAAGGTGTTGATGGCGTCGATGGCCGGGGGGGCAAATCGGCTATTGATGCCTGTGCCACAAAGTGTTAGATACCTATTACAACTACCACTTGCAGTATCTGTGGATATATGCTAGGACACTTCAGGAACAGCGGCTGTCGGAGGGGATATACATACTTGACATGACGCCGATAAATTCCACTTGACCCCATGCCTGGAAAATGTTCGCCAGGCCGATAGCCAGGGGGTCGTCGTCGAAGTTGAGCATGTCGGTGTCGATGATGAGGCGTTTCTTGCCTGGTCGAGAAGCGGCCGAGGAAGATAGCGCGGCCAGGCCGGCCAGCAATATGGAGGCCCTCATCGTTGGTTATAATGACACCGGTTTGAGGCCTTCGATCGGGGGGAATATGTTCAGAGCTGTGTCAACAACCGAGCCTGCCCGACTTTTCTCGGATATCCCGTAGTTTAAAGTAGATGTCGGGCAACGGCGGAAGGCAACTCTTGGGCATATGTCACAACTCCTCGCCCGCCTTGGCAGATCTGAGAGTCGGACGGCTGGATTCCCCTAATAAAGCCTCGGAGTTCCAGGTCAAAGGAGACTGCAGACGTGTCGATGGTAAATCTTGGAGTTGACGGCGGTCAGCGAATATATACCTATCCGCGAAGAGTGGGTGAGATGCCCACCCGCCAGCCACCTTGTGCGAATGGGTTGGGCGAGTTAACGCCTAACTCCTTTAAGGGTCCCAATGATAAATCAATTGTTGATTGTCGATCGGACACGGTCCGGGTATCTGGATGCATAATCGATATCCAATGCGCCCAAGACGGCGAAGAAGGGCGCAATGTTGCTCTATTTTTATGCAAATGTTGGGTACCCATACCTACATCCATGTGCGGGTTCCGCTTACACACCTGGGTTGAGATAAAAGACGTGTCAGCCAACCCAGGTAGAGCTCTATGGCAGCGTAACTAACTACTGGTGTAAACAAGGCCTAGGTAGTTTATCCTGTGTTGCAGGAGCCGGCAACTATCCGCCTCATTGGGTAGTTTCTAGAACAAGACATATCGACCCCGAGGCACATGAGATCCGGATCCCAGTCCTCGGGTAATAGGTAGCTAGCGTGCGATACGCCGGACCCCGCGATGTCTCACGATTTACCTACAACTAAATTTCCTCAAAATGTGAGAGTACGTGCCTAAAGTCAACATGTAAACATTGCCAGCGACCCCGGCTCGGAGGCAATTGATAGATGAACCGAATTATGCCCTTCCTCGCTATAATTACATACGTGAATGTTACACATCACAACCGACGGAGGAGAAGGATAAGACAAAAAAGAAGATATACGATGATAATAATAAACAAAATAAAAACTGTGTTGACCGTTGTCCATGCGCAATATGCAAACAACGTTCGCTTCCTCTAGTAAGGACGACACACTACTTTACATACCTCATTTTGAACGGAGCTGATCGGGCCGTGTTCATCAGAGACGAGAAGGGGGCTTAGTCTGGGGACGCACAGATCGCATTTGCTAGCCGCTATGTCTCTTCTAGGGCAGCTCAATCCATCCCCCCCGTATCCTGTCGCAACCTTTACTGAACCCCCGTAGAGAGACAGGGAGAGAAAGAGAGAGAGAGAGAGGCCAAGGGAAATACACCTGACCGTTGACTGATGTTGATGTTCTGTAGTGCCGAACTGAATAAAAGCCCCGTGGCCCGTCTGGCCGGTAAATGTAAACCGCTTGCAGTTCCCTCACCCCCCGAAACGCCGGTTTCAAAGCAATGCCGTGCCACAAGGGACCAGTATCTCAAGATACAGTAGCCGAACAAGCTTGCTATGGAATAGTTACAAAGAAAACGGATGGTGTCATGGCGGTATGTGAGAGTTGATATCTCGACATCTGGTGAGTCTGGAAGTTACAAGAGAAGCATGGCTCTCGAAAGAATTTGAAGATGGGGCGAGCGGAATTGGGCTTATTGGTCGAGTCTCGGCCGAGGTTGCCAGCCGTTTATATAGGCCATCAGCCCTACACCGAGGAGGACTACCCCTATCATCGATGCGTAAGGTATGCTGTTGGCCAGGGCTTGCTCATGTGATCGTAGCCCGGATTTGGCCGAGTGAGGTGTTATGGTATTCGCTCTCGATAGCGTTGGGAAGTCATGGGGGTCGCCAGGGCTTGATTGGGCCCGGCTGGAACGGGGTGACGGCGTCCTGGCCACGGGGGGAAACTCTTCAGAGGTCGAGTCTCGACGTTTGGGAGCCTCCCTGGCGCGGGGACCCGCTAAGGATTTCTCCCGCGCTGCCGCTTCTCGCGCCTCGGCATCCTTGCGTATCTGCAGTGCCATTTCCGCAAGGCTCTTGCGGTCCGCATCTCTCTCCGCCTCGGCCGTCTCTGCTCGCTGCTTGAAGGCCTCTAACTGCTGCCGCAGGTCCTTCATCTCCAGCACCATGGACTCTATCTGAGAATGTAGCTGAGAGGCCGAAGCTTCGAGGATATCGGGTTGCGGTGGGAAGAGTTTACCATCGCCATTGACTGTGGGCGAGGATGCTTCATCGGCAGGCGGCTCGAAGGCTGCTTCCAGGGCGGTTTCCTGAGTTTCCGGCTTCGTGGGAGCACCGTTCATCTTCACCGTCACCGCTTCCTCGAGTCTTCGAGCCAACTCCTCGGCGAGCTCTCGGGCTTGGCGTTCTTTCTGGAGGGTCTCCTCGAGGTCCCGCATACGGGACGTCTGAGATTCTATCTCCCGCTTCGCATCATTCAGCGCTTCGGTCAGTTGCAAAATCTGGCTCGTATTGCCGTCGTGGCGAATCGGCGACGCGTTCTGGGTATGTGGGGCCCTGGCCCGCTCAGAAAGCCCTCGTTTCAGGGATGGCACATCTGGCTTTTCGGGCAGAGGCTGCTGCGGCGGTGGTGCAGGTGGGTCGGAAAACCTGGGTTTGTTGTCGGCCCTGAACGATATGCCATTTCCGTTGACCATCAACGGCTTCGACTGCTCATTAACCTCGGGTTTCTCGCTATTCTTGATATCGTCTTTAGTCAATAGTCCTTGGATAAACTTCTGTGTTAGATCTAAATCATGCGACTGCAGACGCTGATTCCTCATTTCCAGCTAGAACATGTACACGTTAGATATGCCCTACCCGATACGGTCGGATCGGCTCACCTGAAGTCGCTTTACGATATGTTCGGTGCTGATGGGCGAAAAGAAGAGGCTTCGCTGGTGGCTCAACAAATTGGTCTGCGATCCCATCATGCCGCCACCAGAGATTCGTCCGTTACTTGCCATGGAAGCCTGACTACCGGCGCGAGGTCGTACAGGGACAGCGCCTTGTGGTCCCATCATCATCGAGCTATTAGGGTCGAGCTCGCCAAAATTCATGTCGAGGAGGTTGTTCGCGGGATTTACGAAACCCGCGTGTTCGACCTTCGCCGCCACTTTATGATGAACGACCGTCTTCTGGTCCTCGCTCACTATATCGATACCGAGTTCCAAGTGGTCGCCGGCCTGCAACTCGTGCGGTTCGGACTCGCGATTCTCCGGAGAGAGTCGCGTACCGTTGACGAAAGTTCCGTTGGAGGACTTGACATCGCGAATCCAAATCTTGCCTTGGCGGTCGGCCCAGATCTCGGCGTGCTGGCGCGAAAGCACCTTGGAATCGAAGAATCCATTGATCGGCGTGGGGACCGTCTTGGCATTCGTCTGACGACCTATCTTAAGGGCGTCGGGGGAGAATGGGACGGAGATCGTCTTCCGCTCGAAGGTACCGTTCAGGGACAGGAGGTACAGTACGGGCTGGCTCCCGCTCGGCAGCGCCTCGGACATGGGACGAGACACCGGCTGTTGTGCGCCAATCATGCCCTGGGAAGGCAGCATAGGCGAGGGTGAATGCATCGGCGCGGAACCGTTGAGGCCAGCAACCATCTGCGGGCGTCCGGTAGACATCCTCACAAAATCCGACGGCACGTCTGCTTTCGGGGCCGGCCACGGGCCTTTGACCTGGGGCCGTTTTCGCGCTGCAGCACCATTGCTCCACGCGCTCATGTCACTGGTGGGCGGCATGGGACCGCCATTCGGCTGAGAGCCGGTAGTGGCGATGGTCGAAGTGGAAGACACGGAAGACGTCGAGGAGATGGAGGAGGACGAGTTGTTTCGCTGCAGGCTCTTACGGGGCATGAACATTCGGTTGAGCTCGTCAGGATTCATGGGATTGATCTGACCGGCGTGCCCACCGTTAATACCCCATACCGGCCGATTGTGCTGCGTGAAGGTCGGCGGGCTCGCGACAGCTGTCATGAGGAAGATGGGCGCAAGGGTCTGCTGGATGGAAAGAGGGACGTGTTGGGATGCGGACCACGAGGACGCCGGAGTGTGGTCGGGAGGTGTCGGACGGGCCTCTTCGGTCGACCATGCACGCGACCGGGGAAAGGCTAACCTCGGAAACTTCGGCGACGGTCGGAGAGGGAGCGTCAAGCAGATACAGGGTGGTTCGGCGCCTGGATGGTTGGTGATGTTGTTGTCTGTAGGCGAGATAAAAATTGGTCAGTCGAAAGGGGGGGGGCTGCGGACGGTTGAGGGAGACGGGGATAGCCGATTGACGCAGCTGGGTTGTTTACGGGGCGTCCTGAGGCAACCAAACCATCTCGGACGCCGTTGGGAAAGCGGCACGGGAAGGGAGCGCAGCGAGACGTACCATGCAATACGATAGGGAGGGGGGTATCTCAGACGTCGACGTGTGGTTGAAAATATAAGGTGGAATAAGGTGGACGGGTGCTGGACAGATGTGAGAGGAGAGGATAGATGTGGTCGTTCAAAGATTTTGGAGGCACCCAGATCCATCAACGGGTCGTAAGTCGAAAAGTCGGGTGCTGACTGGTCGGTGCACATCGAGGAAAGGCGGTTTCTGCGCGGAACTGACCAGGGAGCGAGGTACTCTGGTACTCTGGTACCATCCAGAAGTACCCGGTACCTTTTCCGCCCTCGCGTTGGTCTCTTCACCTGGGCACCGTTTCCAGGTCGGTACCCAGGAGATCAGTAGGTTACTTAACGAAGGATAGGCTCAATTCCTAGCAGCGCTACCAGATGAGGTACCAGTGCAGGCTATACGACAGTAGTGGAGCGCCCCTCTCGTATGTGAGGTCCTTCGTCTACCTACGATGGAGACAGACGGTATCGTGTGGCGCGCGGGGGCGCGCACCTTGTAGCAGCGGTCGAGATCAGTAGGTAGGTAGGTTATATAACGGAGGATAGGTTCGATTCCTGACAGTGCTACTTGGTAGTCTTCGTCATTTAGCTCATCTCCAGGTACCTACCTACACATACTCGACCTTACCGCCTTCCTTCCTCCCATCTGCTACACCTCGAAACCTCCGCGGGTACGTTCGAGAGTGGTACCTGATGCATCCAGCAGCGGTATCCCAGGTACTTAGGCACGCAGTAGACCCGACGGACCCCAGGCCGCTCCTGCCTGACCAGCCAACAGCCCGCTGGGCAGGCGCGCACACGGCGTGGACGGACGTACCTTACTGCGTGTCCTTTAGGTACGGTATCGAGAAAGTACTGAGGTACAAGCCTATCACTGGATGATCTCACGTCTTAAGCGCTCTCGCCCAAGTAGCGTGGCAACAGTATGGAGGGATCCAGCCCGGCCAATCGGAGGGCGAGACGGAACTGTGACTTTCGATTCGGTCAGAATTCCTCTTCTCTTTTTTTTTTTTTTCTTTCTCTCCCTCCCCCCTTTTCCACAGCGCTACGCTACCTCTAACCTCTACGGCTGCTACTTCACTTCTGACGAGCCTAGGAAGGATTACGGGTATCTGTTGCATCGGCGTATCATACATCATACGTGTATCCCATGTTGACAATACTCCAGAGGATCATTTCTATAGTATTCGACCCTCTCTTGATCATCCGTCTATCCCATTATTTGTGGGCATGGCTAGGTGTCCAAATCCCCCCCCCTACGGCACCCACCCCGATCTCAGGAATATTTCTACTACCCGGCACGATTCACGATCCACCATTTTCTAGTCCCGAAATTCCCAAACGGCCCATGTGGTCTGGTTTGTTTTGCTGCGGCGCGAGGTGGGCGGTACCGGGCGCACCTATGTACATGCTACGTAGTAGTACCTGGATTATACGCGTCGGATTTATTAAAATTTTTTTTACTTTAATTTTGGCTTGAGACAGAACATGAGCACATGCAACCTTCTTGCATATGGGAAATTGGAATACCCCATATCACGTGCCTGTCCGATCTCAGGATGCGTGCACGGGTCTCAAATTTCTATATGCCATCATCTGTTGACGTTATGTGGCTTGGATCCCGTACGGACAGGCACGTTATGTACCTCCGCAGTACTCGACGGGCACTTATGTACCTCGGTCGGGTACAGCGACCGGAAATACCCTGCCTCCGGTACCTTAATGCACAGGTAGGTACGAACGTTCGTGGGAGGCGGGTACCTGGATGTACAGACCTGCCTATCGAGCTCGTTCCGCCTATCTGGAGATTACCAACACTACCAACATGCCCACCTACTATACATACGTGTAGGTACGTGCGTGCCATGCCTCCATACCGACCTGTTTCCTACTTGTCTGCCTGTCTACCTCCTACATGGCCATCCAATTCCAGTACTACGCTCTCTTCCCGCCGTACCTGGTCCTGTCCCTGGGCTGCCTGGGTCGGGTCTTATCAGAGGTAGTTATCGATCTAGCCTTTTTCTTTGCGTCGTAGTCTTCAGCCGCGCCAAGAATCTGGAGAGTCCCGCCCGGTCGGCTTTACAACGGCTGATCTATTTCCATCCCCTCCAAGGCCTGGAACGAACGAGAAGAGGGTGGCCCCACCAACAATCCAGGTCCAGCTAAATACTTGCGCTGCCTGCTTCTCCAATCCTCGGTTTGCGAAGCTTCCAACGCTGAGAGAGCGACAGTAATAAACTAAAAAAACGACCGCCCGAGCCCGATTCGCGCAACATCGATAGTGCTTTCTACTCTAGCCTCGATATGCCGCCGATGCCAGCGAACCGCGGTCCCCAGGGACCCTCTACTGTGGACAAACGTTCGTTCCCGTCACCCAGAGCTCGCGATAGGACTGGATGGGGTTTGCTAACGCTGGCACGCCTGACAGTCAAGATGGGAGCCATGATGGGTGGCAGTACGTGACCAAGGAACCAACCCTCCGCGAAGGTCGCAGTATAGCGGGTGCTCATGTTCGTAACAGCTGTTGGCGTGATCATCGGCTTCATTTTCGGTGCAGTCCAGCTCCGCCCGACCGCTGTCCGGCCTTTGCGACTAATGAGCGGCGGTTAGGGACTGTCAACATCTTCAGATACGGTGCCGGTACCAACGGCGTAATGCGAACCCTAGGCCAATACATGCTCGGGTCCGGCGCTACGTTCGGGTGAGTGAGCCCGGGAGTACTGTGACTGCGTCTGGCGCAAGGCCTTCCTACTGATGTCTCGCCTACTGAGCAGCTTCTTCATGTCAATCGGAAGCGCTATCAGGACCGACGCATCCCCCATCGCCGTCGAAGCGTTTGCGCGAGCCCAGCGACGACCCATGATCATGCCCGCGCCGCGAGGAGGGTTTCAACCACGAAACTAGTAACCCTTCATCCTCCCCGCTAGCGATCGCCCGAGGCACTTCGAGGCATGGCATTCGAACGCTGGTTCGCCCAGCTTCCTATGCAGTGCCGAAGGGCTGTTAAAGTATGAAGTGGTTACCTTTAAACAATGCTCGGTGGGTTGGCGCATCTTCATCGTCCATACCCGCGGATTCATAGGGAATTTTATGAGCGTTGTTGTATCGAGTAGTTAAAAGCCACTCCTAACTTATACTGACTCCGACCAGAGAGCATTGTACTGTATTGATCATATGTATATATCAACTTAGTACCGCAACCAGACGGGCATGCGGCGGTCTCAGATTCGGAATTGCGCCATGATTTCGATACCTACTGGGACCATGAATGGCTCTCCATCTCCTGAGCACACGAAGCATTTCCGGATGGACACCGTCGGCCGTCGGCCGAGGATCGGGGCGGATTTACCAGGCGGCTAGATAACGCACAAGATATCAGAAGAATTTATTCTCTACTCCCGCTCAGCTTAGCTCCTGCGGCGTAGGGCTTTAGAAACAGGTGCTCTTGCGATAGGAAACGAGTGAAATCCCCCCCACCACGAGACCGGGTGTGGCCGAGGTTGCCCCTACTAAGGCGGGTTCGCACGGATGAAATTCTCTACAGGAAACAGAACCGAGGACTGGAGTAGTACGTGGTAGTAGAGACGGTGAGCGGGAGCTGCTGACGGAGGCTTGTGAGGATGATTGCGTTCTACCAAACACAACCTTCGCGCTCCGACATACCAGCATGACCCCAGACCATTCACCGATATTGGGGAAGGGTGACTCGTTACTACTGGTGACATGTAGTCCCGCTCACGCGCGGTGGCCTAGAGCACTTTAACCTCGCGGTCACCAGCAAACGAAGTGCCCTGAGAAGACGCCAGACGGTCGAGGCATTCACAGCTACAGCCGTCGATTCAGTACATCTAGGCGGGGAGCGGCTGGGGATAGCTGCCTAGAGGTGTCTACCTGGCAGCGCTGGAGAAGCGTCTTGCGCTCACCCGGCCTGTCCCCCCAAACCAACGGCCCGCTTCTTCCTTACTTGCCGTCTGCCCCTGCTCCCTACCGCACCGGAGCACAGCCCGGCGACCGCACTGGAGGGACCGCCCGGGAGGCAGGCAAGCACCCCTCGTTCCCCCGGTCCGCACGGGGGGACAGCGAGAGCGCGCGCTACCAATAGAGCGGGCAAAGATATCAGAAGCCTGCAAAAAAAAAAAAAAAAAGGAGGGACACAAGGGGTCCGGGGAAAGGGCTCAGCGGCGCTAGCCCGGCCGCAGACCGAGTCGGGCTGGCCCCGCACCCTGACTCGGGCGCGTATCCCAAGCGCGCACGCCGCCTCGCTGCCAACTCGCCTGGACAGAGGGGCGGAACGCGGGGAACCCCTGGGCCCTGGGGGTGGCGAGCGAAGTTGTGAACCTAGCCAGAGGGCCGAGGGGGGAGGCTAGGCTAGCTGGGCAGCTCGCTCGCCTGGCCGGGCGAGCGCAGCGTGCGCTCGGGCGGGAACGGAGAGGGGCGCGAAGCGTGAGGGCTGACTGGGGCCGTCGGGTCTAGACCGACAGCTGCCGCGCCTGCCTACTCATATCTCTCTCGTTGCATCCTCACGCGTCCTCCTTGGCCTGGCAGTAGATGCTAGATGCAGGTAAGCAAAGGAACGAATGGTGAAGGAGAAATATATCAGAATCGGAAACATGGTGTAACTGTTCTCGGCTTGAAAATGGGAACCGATTTCTTCATGCTATCTACTTAGCTATCCCGAGCTGTGAGTCAGCCCCTCCTCGTCTTCGCTCAAGAACAACCGTAATGATGAGGAGCCGAAAGGGGGGGAAGGTATAGATATAAGCTCGCGCAAGCTGGTAACAAAGCAAACCGGATGAGTCGATTTGGCGTTCTTCGTCTTGAATACATCTCCGGACTGGCTTCCGTAGCTGTCCGCGTCCACCCGCATCCCTCGCGTCCGCTGCCCACTTTATACGACGGTATACGTAAATAGCAAGACCATGGGAGGGTTGGGCGGCGTGGTGAAAGGCAACGCGATTGCGGACGTCAGCAGTATAGAACCAATCTCGTAACCTCCTCACTCATCTAGCCGTACCGATCCATCCTTTTGTCGGAAACAAAAAAAGAATCTCCTGCTCTCCCTCTTCCCACTCTTCTCCAGCTCTAATCGCACCAACGGTTTTTGCCCCCCCCCCTGTGATTATAAAAAAAAGAACAAAAAACCAAGTCCAAAAGATGCCGGTGTATATGCGTAGAAGGGAAACAAATAGGTATATGTACAAGGAAGGGATGAAAGGGTGGATGGGGTCGAGAAACAGCATAAGGTCAGATTTTCACCTAGCACGATCAGACTGCGCTCTCCGAATTATAGCGATGGCTGATATATTGCCACCATTCCTGAAGCTTCAAAAAAAGGGGGGGGGGGAGGGAAGGGGAGAATGCTGTCGTGATCCCAAACTCCTACGCTTGTCCGCGGCCGGTAGAAGAAATTTCATCACGAGCTGGAGGCTCCGATGCATAGTGATCTCACATGACAACACACTTAGAGTCCTTCTCGCCATTCGACTTGACGCTGAGGGCCACCCGGGCAGCCTCGGTAAAGGCCTCGTTTACGCCTCGATTCCTCATGGCGGAGCATTCGAGATATCGCATGGCCTTGATGCGCCGCGCGACATCTAGGCCCTGGTTGTAGTCGATCATGGGCTTCTTTTCTCGTGGAGTACCTTCCGGTCTGGCGGCACCCGCTTCTTCTTCTTCGTCGCCGTCGCCCTCGCCGTTCTCCCGTAGATCGCACTTCAAGGCAACCAAGACTAGCTTGACACCCGGGCAGTTCTCCTGGATCTCACCCACCCATTTGCTCTCCACGTTCTCCAAGGAATCTTTGCTATCCACGCTAAAGCATAGCACGACCACGTCCGTATTGTCGTAGGAAAGGCTTCGTAGACGGTCGAACTCCTCCTGGCCGGCAGTATCCCACAATGACAGCTCTATGTGCACACTATCCACAAATATGTCTGGGAAACAGTTAGCGGCACGCTCATGCGAAAAGATTCAAATAACTCTGAATTCTGCCGTCGGGTTACGCTGTCGTATACTGAATCGTCATCCCCTTTATTAAAAAAAAAACCCCCCCCCCGGCACGTACCGTGAACGTAGTTCTCGAAGACCGTAGGCTCGTAGACTGTCGGGAAGTATCCTCTCGTGAAGACGTTCAGTAGTGATGTCTTGCCGCAAGCACCATCTCCCCTAAAAAGACCCCAATGTTAGCACACGCAACGCCGCCCGGACACTCTATCGTGGCGATGGGCCTTACAGAAGCACCAGCTTGCGCTGGACTGTTTTCGATCCTCCGATACTGCAGAGCGACGGCATTCTGATGTTGCTCCTGGGCCTTCTGATGTTGTTCCTGGGCCTTCGAGAAGGAGGGCTATGGGCATCCAAGATGCGTGTGAATGTCAAAGGAATAGTAAAGGGGTTGTAGAGGGCTCGAGCAGATGCGAGGGATTGATGGGCCCGACGTGTCGACGATGCGACTGGAACGTTGCAGTGCAGGCTGGCTCGAGAACGGCGTCCCAGGCCGATAAGGGGCCGGCGCTGTGCAAATGAAGGTACGTGAGGGGGTGGGAGACAAAGAAGGAAACGATGACGATGGCGAGGCCGACGAGGCTTTTAGAGTCGAAGGATGGAACGGACTGGAGACGGACCGACAGAGGGCAGATGTGTCGAGTTCCTAGGGGCGTAGGGGTAAGTTGGCGATGGAATGCAGAGGAGAGGAAGGTATGGGATGACTGAGTCGAGTTGGGATTGGGATCGAAGGCGATCTAGCAGAAACGGGGCCGACGTCTAGTCTCAGTGCTGCTACGGTACGGTAGCACCCAGGCAGGATAAACCTAGCTGGTCGGTGCCTCTCAATGGTCTGGGTGGAAAATTGAAATGAGGTCAGAAAAGGGAATCGTCAATCACAAGCGCCTCATCGAGTCGCATCGGGGAGAGGAGGAAGGGGGGCAGGTTCAGGTTCGGGCAAGGGTGGCCATCGGCTGGCGGCGCAGGTCTACCCTGTTTATAGGTGCCGACGCGGAGAGTACCGGGTACTTTGGGGTGTTGCTCTTGGGCTGAGTCACATCGCGGTGGTGGGAGGTAGACGGTACATGTGGATATGTTACTGGATGGCGGTGGGCGGACCCCTTGCTGAGTTTAAGCCCACACAACACACACATTATAGGTGCATAGGTGCATAGGTGGGTGCACACAGAGGAGGTAGGCAGGTACCATACATGCCTACCTAGGCACCTAGGTATCTTACGAGTACATGCTTAGGCCTGCTTACTACTACTGCTGTGCGGTATGACATCAAGTTATCCGCAGGGCTCGAGGACGTTTATGAGTACGTATGCAAGTAGGGAGCATACATACCTTAGGTACCTCCCATCCTCCTTGCTACTCTCACCGGGTCCCTACCTTAGGTACCTATCTCTAGGTACCTGATCTGCTTATGTTTCTTGGTCGAGCGGGCATAGGTAATAGGTAGGCAGGTATGTGCATTAGAGTCGGGCTTCTCGTCTTCTTCTCTCGCGCAGGGCTTGTTCCACACCCTCTGAAGAATGCATGGCCGTACATAAGACACGATGCAACAGGACGTGCATCACCGGCAATTATGTAACGTTTACAAAATGCCCCGAGCCACTTGTTGTGCCACAGAGGTTGCACAACATTTGGCCATACGCTTCATGTCATCTCGTTAGAGGCAGGTACTTTGCCCAGGCGGGTATTCCCCACCAGCCTCTTCGTACCCACCTCTAGGTACCCAAGGTACCTGGGTAGGTAGGTAGGTACGCCTAATGAGGTAGGTACGTTAGGTACCTATATACCTAGAGGTACATAGCGACCAAGCCCCTCAATAACCTCACCTTCCTCACGCACACTCACTGCATTAGGTGCCTGCCTGCATCTGATCCATAGGGCACGTCTTATACCTAATCTCTACTACACACAGGTAAGATGACCCTCTCCATCTCATCCCCTACCAATTTGTCCCGCTGGCACCCAAAGCAACGCTGCCCTGCACACGTACCCAGCTAGCAATGGCTTCTCCCCCAACTCCTTTTTCATCCTTTATTTCCGTCTGGTCCCAACGCTGCGGGCCGCCGAACAGCACCAGCAGGCCGCGCTGGTGCGGTGAGAGGCTACGAGGATCCTCATAAGCCTGTACTTGTCCATTGGCCATCTTTCCCGCCTGCAATGCGACGGAGGCTCGTGACTGACCGGGTCCGCGGTGGAGCTGCGAACTGTTCAATGAGGTCCGTCGGCTTGCTGCCTTCGCAGAAGATGCCGCGCCAGAAGAAGAAAAGAGAAGAATAAAAATAGCAGTCCGGTCGATGCCCGAGCCTCGACGAAGCCGTCATCGGTGGCGATTCGGGAGCTTACCCAGACGCCTTAGCGACCCACTGGTAAAGAATCAGCGGGCATTTTTGTACGTGTGTTCAATGCATCCTCGCTCGGAGATCGCCCCCCCAAATACGATACCACCAATGCTCTTCTTTAGCCCTGTGCCATGCACACGTACGTACATATAGACTGCTGTTCTTACGTCTCGGCAGCGAAACAGGCTGTCTATCGGTATGGAGATGGGTGGATAGCACTGTCGGGGACACGTGTGAGCCGGGCAATGCTGTTAACCGGCTCCGATCATCTACCTACCACCTGCTTATCTCTCAGCCGCACAATGGGCGCAGTCGAAGTAGCAAGATCGCTTTAGATGCGACCTGGCATAATTGCATGTCCTACACCCCCCCGCCACTACGGTGAGCGGACAGACACAAAGGAGAAGAGGCAAGCCGCGTAATGCTTGTCGCGCCTCAACTAGTGCCGTGGTCTCGGACATATGGTATGTCCACGGCCTCGGGTCGGATCCTCCCCACCCCACGGCACACGCCCTGCGACGTCTACCGTGGCGTGATTGCGCGATAAGGATTAGGTGAAATGCTCTTGTGGGATGGACAGTGTCATGTCCTCTCTACTCTACGAGGACTTCGTCTCGGAGTATAGTGTTTACTGCTCAAGCCCCGCGGTTATTGTAAACCACGTAAGATTTCTAGGGCGAGAGGAGGACTGCGGAGAGATACCCTCAGAAGACCGCCCACCCCTCGAACGACCTAACCTGGGTGCCGTGTAGGTGAGGCAATTTCGAGCCGCCAGCGTCCAAGAATACTTTCCAGCGACTCTCCGACCGGCTAGACACACCAGTAATCTAGCGCGCACGCCCGCGCAACACCCGGGGCCGCCAGAGGCGTCGAAAACCGGCCGGGAGCAGATACATACCTAGCATCTTCATCGCCGACATGGGAGTAGCAGGAACACCTAGCCCGGGGGGCGGGGCCCCGCGTGCCTCGTCGCCGCCGGCTTCCTCCCGCTGCCCCCCGCTCCCGCTCGAGATATGGACACAGATCATGCGCGCGGTCGTGCATTGCGAGGACCTGCCGGAGCTGTGGCCATGCCTACGGCTGGCGTCGCACGTGCTCAAGGCGGCCGTCGAAACTGCCTTCGCCGACGAGCACCTCGCGCGCGTGTTCGGGTGTCTCTACGTCGGCGACCCGCGCGGGCCAGGCGATCTGCCGCGGCCCACCGCCCTCCCCGGCGTGCGGCGCATCGTGCCGCTGCCACTGGCCCTCGCCCGCCTCTCGCCCGACCGCCGTCGCGCCCGCTTCGTCAGCGCCATGCACCGCGACGACCCCGCCCTCGCCTTCTCCCCCGCCTTCGCCGACTGCACCGACGACACCGCCGTCGCCGAGTGGCTGCGCTACGCCCGCGGTCCCCCGCCCTCCGGCTCCGCCTCCTTCTCCTTCCCTCCTCCCGCCTCGACTCGCCACTGCGAGGCCCACTTGCGCCTCAACATCGGCCCCGACTGCGCCTGGTCCCACTGGAAGCACCACGTCATCGGCCCCGACGGCTTCGTCGTCGAGTCGCGCCGCGTCGCCTTTGAAGACGAAGCTGGCGGTGCCGGCTGTGCAGACGGACAGCAAAAGGGAGGAGCTGAGGGCGGGCAGGAGGCGGAGAAGAGAACCCCACCACCTGTACCGGCACGCGCTATCGGCCTCGTCGTCGACCGCACAAGGTGCGAGGTCGAGCTTGACTGGGTTACGCTAGTCAGCTGCGTGTTCGCGAGGCCACCACGGCAGGACCTTTGAGCGCGCTTAGTCGCAGCTGAGTGGTTGGGTAGGTCGAGGCACGCTGTAATCGGGCTTCCTTGACTCTGACTTCGAACTCTAGGGCGGGCTAGTCTCCGGGGGGCGCGGTTTGGGACTATTTAAACGGAATATGAAGACGTGATGGCGGCTTGCACGTCAGGGCTATTCTGACACTCTGGCGATGGGGGAGGCTGTAAGTGTGTGTGTGGGGGGGGGGGCTCAACGCAATATCATATCATAACCTAGATATGAGGCTCACTTAGCGGCGTTCTCAATAGTAGGTTATTATGCCACGAAGCGAAAACCGCGACGACGACGCCGCTATTCAACCTGGCTGGAACTGTGTCGTATTACATTTAACCCTACTGGTGGCTTGCTCATCTTTTGGGGCCTTCTTAGATGCGAAATTATCAAGTACCAAGAGAAACGTTCCTCATAAAATCCATGTGCGTGTTTAGACACCTTCCCCCTGTCCAGTCAGGGGGGTATATAATTAACTACCTAAACCAGCCATTGCTTTGCCTTTCTAGACCGAACATACGCGTAGATAACCGGGGCGATGCCAGAACGAAGGCAAGACGGGTTATCCCTGCGAGTCTGGGCCGACTGCCGATTATCATACTCTGTCTGCTCGTGGTCGTCGTTAAAACACACTCTTGCCAACATGCCCGGTGTATGCCATCGCTTAGTAGTAGATTCCCAAAGGCCTTTTAGGAGAAAATCCGTAACAGAAATGTAGACCCCGCGATCCAAAAAGCCCCCCCAGGGTGACCTCTCAAGACCCTCTACAATATAACCGCGGAGGTTCAATCCTTTATGTGGATGAACGCATGTCCCCGCAAGCGTTGCTTAACCCCTTCGCCACCAACGTTCTCACGTAATTAGTTGTCTTCGTAAGCCGTTGACGAACTCCCTGTCGCCGTGTTTCCCCGACCGCTCCCGTGCCTTGTTGTCCGCCTCGCGGTCTAGGCGCTCCTTCTCGGCCAGCGCGGCCAGTCGCCTTTCGCGGTCCTGGTCGAGGCTGGTCGCCGCCTCCTGCATGGCCGCGAGCTTGCGCGCGCGCTCGTCCGCGTCGTCGCCGGCGCCCCTGGTTTCGCCGGGGCGGCCGCCGCTCCTGGGCCCGTCTCGGTGAGGCCGCCGGTCGCGGTGGTCGCGGTGGTCTTCTCGGTCGCCGGCGTGGGGACGCTGTCGCGGCCGCGGGGACTCGTCCGAGTAGTCGCGGCGTCGTCGGTACCCGTCCTCTTTGCTGTCGCTAGGGCGCGGGCTGCGCGATCGCTCCCTCCGCGATCGCCCATTGGCCCTGGGGTCGTCCCGAGATACCGAGCGCCTTCGTTCGGAGCGCTCAGAATGCCGCTCTTTCCTCGAGCTGTGTCGGTCTCTGCTTCGGGACCTGTCTCCCGAGTCGGATCTGTGGCGTCTGTGCCGACGGTCCTTTGAATCGTCTCGGTCTCTGGAAATGGATCGAGGATGCCTTCGATGGCGGCGGTCTCTCGAGTGCGATCTGTGTCTGTGCCGTCTAGAATGCTTCTCTTCCTTCCTTCGGGACGATTGTTTCTCTTCTGTCTGTCCCATAGACGCCAAGAGCTGTCTCCTCTTAATGGGGTCGTTCATCATGGCTTCGTAGGCGGCTTGCTCTTGCTTCTTGATGGCTAGGAGGGGGTCTTCCCGGATCTTCGCCGCCGTATCCTTCTCGGTGTTCGCATTCTGTAGGGCCATGAAACTGTCGGCGCCGGCCGTCTTCTTGAGGTTTTCATGGTCGGATCCTCGAGTCAGGATATTGTCGATGCGTCGCTTGCCCAGTAGGTATCCTTCGAGCTCTTCGGTAGTTCCGCCTTGGCCGTCGCTGGGGCCCTGGTACATCCACTCGACGCGGTCGACCACCTTGCGACCACCGGAGATGGCGAGCTGTCTTTGAAGTTCTTCTTTCGCGCGTTCCTCTTTTATCTCTTGGATGCGAGCTTCCTGCAAGGTTGTTAATATGCGAACTGGGGTTCAAAGGAAGCTTAATGGTTACGAACTGTTTTCTTGCGCTCCTCTAGGGCGGCCTTCTCCTCCTCGTACACCCTACGCTGGTTCTTGAGCAGCGCAGGGTGATACGACTTCTTCAGTTGTAAGTCTCCCATCTTGGCGACTATGCGAAGGAGAGAGTCGCGCAAAATGTATGCTTTGGAAGGGGAGGACTGAGGGGCGACAGGTTTGTAATAAAGTGAAGAAATAGTGAGGTCGATGAGAGATTGGCAGTGATGAATTGCCACTTACTGTGACTCGCTATGATTGAGAAATGCCCAGCCACATCTTATTAAGGCTGGGTTCAAAACGTACCCACGTACCTCTGTGGATCCTCAGGCATCCAGAATGGAGGCCTGTGATTGGTGGAATTGAAGAAAAACACGCAACAGCTAACAGTTTTTACACCTTCAATTGATCAACTAGGTTTACCTTTCAACTCGTCTTGCGTGCCTTACGATTAAGGCAGCGAGGCCACGAAAGGAACCGCCACCAAAACGCACACCTCCTAGGAAGCTTTAGGTATGTTTAAATGCATAAGTATCTAGGCAGGTGCATAAAACAATATAGCATTCTAAGAGTAGGTACTCAGGCGTCTACTAGAAGCTACCTCCTAGTCCTTTTAGCCCCGCACTGCCAATGATCGTACTACGTAACTTATCATCTGAGCTACAATGAGATAAGACACTATCTACCACGACAACAGCCGCGTCCCGCCAAAGAGCAGCCTTGCTCCCAAGACCATTGGAAAACAAACATCCTCTGAACAACCCCCCCCTGCCCTATCAACGCAAGGACTTATCTGGGAAAATCTCGCTTACAGCTACATACTTCCCAGCCTCTCCTCCTTCGCATTGGCATTGTAGCCCATCTCGAGCCGACACCGAGCCGTATTCCACCTAGTCAACTGCATTCCCCACGCCATTCCGTTTCGTTAGACACTGTCAAGATGTCGGACGACGACTTCATGCAAGAGTCGGATGAGGAGCAGTACGAACCCCCGCCGTAAGGAACCGCTACCCGTAACCAACCTAACTTGTTCGTAGGTACGACTTTGAGTACGAGGACGACGACGGCGAGGACTCTGGGGACGTCGACATCGAGAACAAGTACTACAACGCGAAGCAGATGAAATCCAACGACCCCGAGGATGCCATCGAGGAGTTTCTGGGGATCCCACCGCTCGAGTCCGAGAAGGGCGATTGGGGCTTCAAGGGATTGAAGCAAGCTATAAAGCTAGAATTCCGGCTGGGACGATACGATAAGGTCAGGTCAGGCCTGAGCGGACTGGGCGGACTTGGGAGCCGACTGCCAGACACGCTTAGCAATACTTCTGGCTAACAATCATCACAGGCAGTGGAACATTACACCGAGCTCCTCACCTACGTCAAATCCGCCGTGACCCGTAACTACTCAGAGAAATCCATCAATAACATGCTGGACCACATCGAGAAGGAATCGGATGACGATGCCTCCCGGAAGTGCATGGAGCAGTTTTATTCCCTGACCCTGAGCTGCTTCCAGAGCACCAATAATGAACGTCTATGGCTCAAGACAAATATAAAACTAGCCAAGCTCCTTCTCGATCGCAAGGAATACCTAACCGTCACCAAGAAGCTGCGTGAGCTGCAAAAGGCATGCCAACGTGAAGACGGCACGGATGATCCCAACAAGGGCACATACTCTCTCGAGATCTACGCCTTGGAGATCCAGATGTACGCCGAGACCCGCAATAACAAGCAGCTCAAGGTCCTGTACCAGAAAGCGCTGAAGGTCCGGTCAGCCGTACCCCATCCAAAGATCATGGGTATCATTCGTGAATGCGGAGGCAAGATGCACATGAGCGAGGAGAACTGGAAAGATGCCCAATCCGACTTCTCAGAGTCATTCCGCAACTATGACGAGGCCGGGTCGTTGCAGCGAATCCAGGTGCTCAAATACCTGCTTCTTACTACGATGCTCATGAAATCAAACATCAACCCCTTTGACTCCCAGGAGACGAAACCATATCGCAACGACCCGCGCATCGCTGCGATGACAGAGTTGGTGGACGCATATCAACGAGACGACATGCACAGATACGTCAGCGTTTTGCAGAAGAACCAAGACATTCTCGCTGACCCGTTCATCGCGGAGAACATTGATGAGGTCACGCGCAATATGCGTACCAAAGCAGTTGTGAAGCTGATTGCACCGTACACCCGCGTTAGGCTCGAGTGGATCGCGCGACAACTAAAGATCTCCGAGATAGAGGTACAAGACATCCTAGGATTCTTGATCATCGACGGCAAGATTCAAGGAAAGATCGATCAGCAAGCTGGAATCCTCGAGATGAGGCCTGACAGCGACGTCGAGCGGACCCAGGCTCTGCAATCTTGGAGCGAGGCTCTCGGTGCCCTGTACACCGCGATCTTCAAAGAAAGTGATGGGTTTCGGGTATTCGACCACCACGGGCAGACTGACGACCAGACGTTAGCGTCAATACTCGACACCGACACAAGTCGACAGAGGGCGGCTGCTGCCAAAGCGAGAAGGAGTGGTAAAGGTCTCTTCCCTTAGAATCTTACCAGTCTCCAAAACCCACCAGGACAAGATATCCATAGACGAGGACGTCAGAAGCGTGTGTGTGCGTGTGTCGTCTAGCACACCGCTCGGACACGGCGCACCACGCTTCTGTTTCGGTCTTGAGAGATGGTCTGAACGAATCCAACCACTTTTGGTCGCTTGGGACGCCGTCACGTACCACTCGCTGTTGACTACCGCAGTTGATAAAAAAAAAGAGGCGGGATATCCGTCCTGATAATAACACCCTACACCTGACGACGGCTTTGCTAGAACCTGATAGCAGACGTTGCCAGATGTAGGCAGTGATAAATCCAAAGCAAGTCTATGCATAGAACTAGCTACCTTTAATCCAGCGAACTCCCAAACGAAGCATCTCTATGATCGTTGCCAACTAATGGTTATCGCGCATCCCCGGCTTGTGCTCTCCTACGGGCTCTCCTACGGGCCGCTAGTGAGAGGGTGCGGAAGTTTTTCGTCGTATTGTAGGCTGGTTAAAACACCACGGGAGCTCAACAAAACCCCCCAGTACGACGGGATTTTATGTAGGAGGAAATTACAGTTATGTGATATCCAACTCGTACTTAGACGCGTAGCCAAGACCCGTATAAGACAAGGCAGTTCTTAGTGTCGCCTACTGACTCTTATCAACTACCACCACTACAACCCTACCCGCGCCAGTAATTGGTCAGAGTTTTGAGTTACACTGGGCAATAATTAAATATGGCTGGGATACTTCATGGACAATCCCAAGCCTAACTTGAGCAAATCCAACGGTACAATCCTCCGTATGGCGGGGGTTTAACCCCAAACCCCGTAGAAGTAATGTCGTCTAGCTACGTAAGAAGTAGTTCGGTTCTTGTAAGTCTATAGAATTCAAATGACTATTGATATCCAGCATCTGCGATAGAACCAAACAAAGAAACCCATGATCGCTAGTCCACCCAATTCTTCATAGCCCATTCTAACCTTGGAGTATATCCTACCCGACATGACCACAGCAGACACCATACGTGAAGCACACATCAAACATAATACGAATGAAAACTACCACTGCCGCATCCCCTTGAGCCTTCGGAGCTGAAACCCTAACAAAATCACCTAGGCGGTTTTGTCCGACCCGAAAGAGGGGACGGTGCCCGGGGAGGCCGGAGGGGTTTACAGGGGGAATCTTTTGACGAATTCGATGCCCTCGGCGAACGCCCCCACACGGGCGTCGACCGCGTAACCCGCTGCATCGAGCCTCTTGCACTCGTCGTGCAGGGTTGCCAGCGGGACGCGGAAGGCCTCGATGAACTCGTCCTCTTCCAGCTTCGGCCGGAGATTCTGGTTCTCGGGCAAGGTCATGTCCACGGTCACGCGGACCATCCGGAGGTTGGTGTTGCAGAAGCCCGGGTCTGGCAGGTCGCGCGGTCCGTAAGTAATTCGCGGTAGAGGCACTACGACTCCGAGCTCGGCGGCCGAGCTCGCACCCGCTTGGCAACTGCCGCTGCGAAAAATATAAGGGTAGGGATGAGGGGGAGGGGGGGGGGGACGACTGGAAAGCCGAGGCGGACGCACCATTGAACATGATGGGCGGGGTCTCGACGACCTTGGCGACGTAGCCGGTCTCCTCCCTCAGTTCGCGGGCGGCGGCCTCTTCCGGCGTCTCGCCCTCGTCGATGAGGCCGGCCGGGGCTTCGATGGCGACCTTGTCGATGGGTGCGCGGTACTGCGGCGCGTTGCGAAGTTAGAGATGGGTTGGCCGCAACGGCGCCGCTAACATTCCGGGGGGGACGGCGTAGGAACGGAAACCGAGCAGAGGACTGACTGACTTGTCTCTGGAGGACGATCTCCGGGCTGGCGGGCAGCTCCAGGATGGCGACGACTCCCACGTGCGCGTCTGCCGCTTCGGCGGGAGACGGGCGGGGGAGCGGAGGAGGGGTGAATGCACGAGCGGCTCCGACGACAGAGCCTTGGCGTTGGAGAAAGAAGACATCGCTGGTCGATACTTGCTGGTAAGTTTCGGAGGGTAGTTGTTGGGTGTTTTCCGACGGTGCAAGTTTGGGAGGAATACTGATCAAGAATTTATATAAGAAGCAGAATGGGGGGTTTTCCCCTTTACTGCACCTACTATATACCTACCACGGCCATCATTTCGATCAGGTTGAATGAATATTACCCGGGTCAGCCTGAGCTTCCCGGGTTGGGACAGGGGGCAGACCTGTCAGCGACTAAAAAGGGGGAGGGAAGGGAGGACAAGCCAACGTACATATTATATGTCGCGTAAAACGTAGACGTCTACATTCACGCTTTGCGGTATGTAGGCTTATATAGGCTGGTTCAACTGCTCGGTGACATTATACAATACACCTAACCCTTTGGGGGCTTTTTTTTCCCCCTTGGAGTGAATAGAGGCGAATTGATCTCGAGGATTAACTCGAGTTTTAGAGTGTGTGTAAAGTTCGAAATATACTATGGGTAATAGCTACCTACCTCATGGATGTGATTGTTGGGACCGTCAACTATGAAGGTTGGGAAACATTTAGTTCCGCCATTTCACCGGATTCACTAATTACGGTTGGTGGAAGAGGGACGAGTTCTATCTTACAAGTCAAAAGTGTACCCAAGCTAAGGTTCAGTATCCTCTCATCCGGACTGTTCAGCTTGATAAACCTTGCGATTCCGCGACAACGGCGAGTCTTGCAAAAACTACATCCAATCTAGGCACAACTGCAACCAACTAGGGAGATTGCCAAAGACACAAGATATTCTGCATCAGACATCAATTTACTGATTCACTCGATCGTCTCGTTGTACTCGTTAGGACCCTGGAGCTTGAGTCTCTTCAGTTCAGGCACTCCAATGTCCTCGGCTGAGCTTTCGAGTGTCTCCTGGTTCGGGTTGACACCAGTGCCACCGTCACCTTCTGATCCCTCTGTGCCGAAGTCTTTTTGCGTGTCAAGATACGCGTCGTATGTGATAAGGGGATATGCTTGGAATAGGTTCAATTCAACTAATAATTCTATAGGGGGTCTCTTAGGTCCTTAGGTCCTTCCCTCGTTTCCCTAGTCCCTATCTCGTCCTAATATAATTCCCGAAGTACCTTCGTACTCCGGTACCTAGGTACCCTAATACCGAGTTACCCGCGGCTTATCTAGGACTTTCCTTTAGTAGGTCGCCGAAGCGGCGACCTTAATGCCCGGTATTATTCTCCTAACCTTTATAACCTAATTATTAATATAGGGTTTTATTCCCGTATAATATTATCTCCCCTCCTCGGGGAAGCTCGTTTTTAAGCGTAGATCTCGGGTCTTAGATTCGATAGTTAACCGGTTTATTAGGGTTTTATTAATGGAATAACTTAACGGCTCCTCTCGCTCCTTCGGTAGTAAAGTACTTCTACGGTTCCTAAGTTTAATAGCGCTTAGCCGGCTAGCCTTACTACTTTATTAAATACCTAACGACTTCTCCGGCTTTAGCGGAATCTAATACCTTATTTACTTCGTAATCTTCTGCCTTAATCGGGGCTACCTTCCGTAGGACTTAGTTAAGGTTAGGTAATTCCTAATTATTAACGCGATAAGATTCGATAAAGGATACGTAAAAGGTATTATAAATACGCTAGCCTTTCGGGAGTATTAAAGTTACGGCGGTAAGGAAAACGACCTTTTAAATCTTAAAGGAACCGAGTATTTTCTTATCTATCTTTTTTATAGGGCGCTTGGTTTTAATATTACGGGCGTTTAATATAATAAGTTATCCGACTTTTAGAGGGGGTTCTTCTTTCCGGTATTTATCTGCCTATCTTTTTATTCGCTACCGTACTTTTTCTAAATACTACTTAGCTTCGTTATATACCTTAATTATCTAGTAAATATAAAGATTACTTCCTAGATTCTTAGGGGTACCTAAAGGAGGGTTATATACTACTAGGTACTACCTATAGTTAGCGTAAAAGGGTAATATACCGGTAGCTATTAAAGCGGTATTATTATAAGTAAATTCGGTAGTAGGTAATAAGCTTTCCTAGTCGCTTATTTCGTAGTTTACGAAGGCGCGTAGGTATGTTTTTAAGATTTAATTAAGTCTTTTCGTTTATTTATCCGTTTAAGGGTAAAAGGCGGTACTTATTTTAGGCTTAACGCCGAGGAGCTTTAAGACGTCCTTCCATATATAGGAGGTAAATCGTAAGTTTCGGTCGGAGATAATATTTAAAAGAATCCCATATAACCGCTAATAGTTACGGATAAAGATAGGTATTAGGTCTTCGGCTTTTTTACCGTCCTTTCTTAGCGGAATAAAGTATGCTATCTTAGTAAAGGGATTTATAATAACCTAGATAGAATCGTAGTTATTAGATATTAATAGGTCCGTAATAAAGTCTATCGTAATCGTTTATTATAGTCGGTAATATAGTTCTATAGGCTATAATAATCCGAATAAGGTATATCGAGGTACCTTATTTTATTAGTATTTACGATATCCTTTAACGAATTCCCTAACGATTATCTTTAGGTTAGGTTATTAAAAGTTTCGAATAATAAGTTCCATGGTTTTATTTATACTTATATATTCCGTTACTTTAGTATCGTATTCCGATTTAATTACTTCTTATTATAGGTCCTTAGGTATCTAGAGACGGTTTCGCCGGTAGAGAAGGCCCTTTTAGAGCTTTATCTTCCTGCTAAGCGGTTTAGTTAGTTAGGCTTAGTATTCCGGGTCCTATGTAGCTACCGTTTTAACCTATTTAACGAACTTTAGGGTTTAAATAAGTACTAGGATATTACTTAACCGTATATTAGAGAGTATTACCGTAGGTAAGCCTAAATTTTTTAAAAAATGCTTTTCCTATAGGACCGTCGCTATCGGCTAGTCCTTAGCTCCTCCTTTTTTAGGGCGATATTATAATAATCTAAATAAAATATCGGCCTTTTTATTTTACTTCCTTAGGCGGTAATATATTATAAAGTAATACGAAAAGAATTATTAAGCCTAGCGGGCTTGGCGTCGATTTAGTACTTTTACCGTAGTAAAGTACGTTAGGTTCTAATAGTCTAAGTATACTTCTATTTAATGCTAAGCCCTTTCGAAATAATATCGCTATTTCTCGAAGGCGTCGACGATTATTAGTAGTTTTTTATTATATATCTTATAATTTATTTCCGTTAAGGTAAGTCGTTTTAAGAAAAAGGCTACTAGTTTTAGTTTCCCTTTATTATCCTTTTATAAGAGTATTACGGAAATAGCGAAGTCCTAGGCGTCGGCTTTAACGATCGGGACTCGATTAGGATCGAAATACGTAAGTACCGGGGCTTTTATAAAGGTCTCCTTTAATTCTTAGAAGGCCTTCTTTATTTCGATTTCCTATTTCTATAGCTTACGGTTTCCTTTATTAGCGCTAATAATTAGCCTAGTTATACCCGAGAAGTTACGTATAAATTTACGGTAGAAGTTAGCGAATCCGATAAAGCTTTAGGAGTCTTTAAGTATAGCTAGGATACGTTAGTTAAGGATAGCTTTTACTTTATCCCTAGATATAGTAATGCCCTTAGGGCTTATATTATATCCTAAGAATTTAACTTCTTACGTTCGCTAGGTATATTTCTTTAGTATTACCGCTAGATGGTTTTTTATAAGCCGTTTTAGGACTTTCTTAATTAGTTTATTATATTCTTTTAACGTATCGGCGTAAACTAAGACGTTATCGAGATAAGCGATAACTCCTACGTCTAAGAAGTCGCGGAAGATATAGTTTATTATGGCCTGGAAGGTAGCGGGGGCGTTAATTAATTCCATAGGTATAACCGTATATTCGTATAGCCTATAACGCGTTTTAAAGGCGGTTTTTCATTCGTCGCCTTCCTTAATTCGTATTATATGGAAGCTAGATTTTAAGTTAATCTTAATAAATTATCGCGCCGTTTAGAATAGGTTCTATAGTTCGTTAATTAACGGAATCGGGTACCGGACGGGTATTATAATTTTATTTAACCCCCGGTAGTTAGCTACCGGTTTTAAGGCGCCCGGGTCCTTCTTATTTATAAATATTATAGATACGCCGTAGGGGGCCTTAGATTTTCGGATTCTTCCTATTATTATTATTTCGTCGAGCTAGGGTTTTAAGGCGTCTAGCTACCGTTCGCTTATGGCGTATAAGGGTTCCCATAAGGGATTAGTTCCTAGACGAAGTTTAATAACGTAATCCTATGGTTACCGATTAAGGAACCGTTATCCCGCTTCCTTAGTTATAATAGAAACGAAGTCGCGAAATTATTCGGGTACTTATAATAGAGTATCCTTTTTTCGTATAGTTCCTATACGGGTCGGCCGGGGGCGGTAGTTCCGGCATTAGGGTAAGTCGAAATATAATCGTTCCTCCGTAAATAATCCCTAGGGGGGGTATTCTTTCATTTATTATTACGGTAGGATAGTATCGATCTCTTCGTTTAATTTACTAACTTCCTAAGCGATACGGTAAATATACTTATAGCTACGGAGTTTTATTTCGTTTATATACTAAAGTCCTCCTAACGAGATTTCCGAGCCGTCGAATCCTATAAGGGTTCTAGGCTTAATACGTTAATTAATAAGAAGGCGTAATTACTCGACTTTAGCGGCGTTAATTAAGGGTACCTCGCTACCGGTATTTAGGAGAACTCGTAAGAGATATTCTTTCTTTTAATATTTTATTTATATCGTATAAATAGGCCGTTTACCTAACCTTAGTTCGTTTAAATTACGCTAGGGGATTCGTAGTTTCTTCGTTATTAATACTACTTCCGTTACTTCTAGCGTTCCGGGCCGTTTAATAGCCGTAATCCTTACGTTATTTTTTTCGCCCCTTTATTCCGTTAACGCTTACGGGGGGATATTTAAAAATCCCGTTCTTTATTTAAATCGGATAGTTCCATAATACGGGAAAGAGTTTCCTTTTAACGTATAGTAATATCGATCCTAGCTCTTTTATTAGGTAATAATTCGGGCTCCTTCCTTTCTCTTTTTTCCGATGAGACCTTCTTAGGTAGCGTAAGTAAGTCCTATCCTTCTAAGTCCTTTTTCGCGAAGTAGGTTAAGGTTTAGTAATTATCCCGTCTATATCTCTAGTAGGCTTTCTTATCCTTTTTTCGCTAGTCGATAGCGGCTTAGTTAATTCTAACTAAAGCTTCTTTATTACTTATCTATCGTAAGTCCTTAGTTAGTACGAATTTCTTATTATCCTTATTTTTACGTTCGTTTACCGATTAGCCTAAGCGGGAGCGAGTTTCTTTTACGGGTTACCGCTATTACTAGTCCGTTTTCGTATGCTCCTTCTACGAAGCGGACCCTCCTTTTCCCGAAATCCCTAAATTAGCTATTATATTTTTATAGATTTAACCGGCTTTCTTAATTATTCCAAGGAAGGCTTCGTCGCTTTTAGGGATACTACCTAGTTATAAATAAACTAACTTTATTATTTTATCGGATAAAGTACGGGCGATATAGTTCTAAAAGGTAGTTCCGGATTATTAAACGACGTCGTTAAGATCTATAAGCTCGGTAAGGTACTAGGAAACGTTTCTTTAATACTTAAGTTCCTATATTTTTTTAGAGTTACGATATCGTTCGGCGGAGTCCTTAAACCGTTTTTAGAGTACTTAGGAATATCCTACCTAAGTATCGACGATTATTAACCTCTTTACCTAGGTTAATCGTTATTAATGCTAAAGCTAGGCCTTTTCGGTAAGTATCGATCTTATTTAATTAATCTTTTAAACGTCCCGGGAAAAACTTTCTTCGTAAGTTTTAAAGTAAGACTTAACCTTAATTTATTATAGTCGGAACTTAGCTAAGTCCTTATCGTTATAAGCCGTAGGCTTAATAAGGTATACCGGGTTAGTTATTACTATAGTACTTCGTCGATTATTTATAGCTTTAGTTTAGGCCCGAACCATACGTTTTTCGGCCGGATCGAGAGGTTCCTAAGGTTTTTTAGAGGCGCCGGGTAAGCGTCGTAGCTTTTACGGGTTCCCGGATTTTAAGCTATCCGAGTCGTCGGAATCCCTTAGGTCCCCTGGGGTATTCCGCGGGATTTATAGGGGTTACGGTAGTCCTTACTTAGCTTTTCTTAATATAAAGGCGCTTACCGCGGCGTCTTAGAAACGGGCTTTAGTACGCGCGGCGGTACGCTTAGCCGCGGCGTCTTAGAGTACGCCGTCGGAAATAATTTCCCTTATTTTAGCTTCGTTATTAGTATATCTCCCGGTAAACGTTATTATAATACGGGTATCCGGCGCGGGAATAGGTATCTTTATCCTTTAGTTAATTCCGGCGATAATAGATTTAATATCCGTCGGTTTATTATTTAATCGTCGTTACTAGTATTCCTTAATTAAATTAGCCGCGTAAGCCTTAAGGTTATCTTTAATTAGCTAGGTTTTTTCCTTTATAGTCCCGGGAATAAGGTATTCCTTACTAAGGATCTCGTTAATTTATTTATCCTTTTACGTAACTTAGGAGCTAACGTTCGTTATTAACTTATTATATTCTTCGCGGAGCTAGGTTAAGGCTCGTTAGTTTTAGAATACGGCGTTTCGAAGTTAGTTTATAGCGGCCGTTCGTACTTTATTTTATCGGGTAAACTTAGCTACGGTTTCCTATACGTTTTAGGCGAAGTAAATGCTTTACTTTACGACTTACTTTTAGAACTTATGGATTTATATCTTCGTAGTTCGGATACCGGTAGCTTATATAGCCGTAACGGTTTAATAAAGTTATCGTAGTTATTCGTACTACTCCTTTAAAATCGTATTCTACCGATGTTTTATATCGACTTAGTTAACTAGTATTACTAAGCTTTAATAAGCCTATCCCATTTACTTATATAAATTTACGATTTATTACGAAAGGTTTCGTATAACTACTCCTAAGTTTACGATTTCCGGAGCATTAGTTATAACTACCTCGTATTCTTAAGGTTAATATACTACGAGGGATTTATCGGTCGGTTCGGGAGTTAGTTCCTACTAAGGCGCCGGGGTAGCTCGCTCGGCGTTTTTTACCTTTAATTCCGTTATTATAGCCTTTAGTTTATTAATCGTAGCTACTATTTAGGCTACCTTTATTATGGAAATCGACGCTAGCCCCGAGGTAGCCGGTCGCGGGAATAGGAATGCCTATGGCTTTAGTTCCTTAGTAAAAGGTCGAGGTTAATCTAGTAGTAATAATACCGGGGTAGCGGCTTCGGCGTACGATACCGGCTTAGGCGTAGGTTTTCCTTATTATTAGTTTATAATGGAATTATAAGGATAAGAGTAATATAGAATTATTTATAACAAGGAAATATACTTAGAATAGGTTTAATTTAATTAATAATTCTATAGGGGGTCTCTTAGGTCCTTAGGTCCTTCCCTCGTTTCCCTAGTCCCTATCTCGTCTTAATATAGTTCCCGAAGTACCTTCGTACTCCGGTACCTAGGTACCTTAATGCCGAGTTACCCGCGGCTTATCTAGGACTTTCCCTTAGTAGGTCGCCGAGGCGGCGACTTTAATACCCGGTATTATCCTCCTAACCTTTATGACCTGATTATTGGTGCAGGGTTTCATCCCCGTGTGACATCGTACTTCCACGTTTTCCTCTTTCCATCCGACAGCGTGTTATTGTCTCTGGCGGTCTTTTGGATATGTGAGACCTTGAGCGCGTCGTGACGTTTGGGCTTGCACTCTGTGTCGTAGAAGAGAAGTTCTGAATCGGGTGCCTTGGAGAAGTCGTTTCTAGCTAGGTCCAAGTTGGCGAGGTCATCTGCTAAGGCCTCGAGTCCGTCTTTCACCTTTCCTTTGCTTTTTAGAGTGAATGGGTATTACACTTTGTCGGTTCCATCGCCTTCACCATCCTTGTCTGTAAGTTAAAAAGGGAAGTATTTGGCGTGAATACTCTTGTTCAGTGATAATTGTTCTTCTACTTGCTCGATTTTCTCTTGGCACATGTTATCGTATTGTTCCGCGATGATAGCTGCATCTATCGGGTAGCGCTGGAAGAAGGCATCTCGGAAGTCATCGAGAGCCTTGGCCATCGGGCTTATACCAATCAGCTTCTCGTCTTGATCTGGACTGAGATTTATAGAGAGTTCCCGAGCATGAAATGCCTTATGCCACGTCCCTGAACCCACTAAATTATTTACACGAGTTCTTCTCTCGGGCGAAGGAGTCTCGAGGCTCAAACTTTTGACAGAGGTCAACATTCTCAGTCGCGAAGTCGTCTATGTCTCCTAATGCCAAGCTGATTATGATACGCCTCTCTGCCTTGAGACCCCTGGTGATGACCTTCGCCAAATGGAAGGAGCCTGGATAGCTGAGAAGAAAGCGGTGCCATTTCTTCGCTGATTTCCCAGTTGTCTTGCTGATTTCTTCCTTGCCCCTGTGTCTCCCATAGAAGCCCCCCGTAATAGCTCTAGAACATCAGTTTAGAGAGCGGAGGGACATACTTAGGCGTCATTCTGTTAAATTCCGGGGATACAATTGAGAATGACGTAGATTAGAGGTCGGACGATGATGAGGCCAAACCTAATTGCAAGATAATTGGACGGCTATGTGGCCGAGAATGGGTTGTGTGTTTATGGAACCACGGGGAGAGGGGGATGGGATAACAGGTTAAGGAGAGAAAGGGGAAGAGATTGCGTTGCCTACGCGGCTATTACTTTTTTTCGTCAGCCAAGATAAATTAATAGTACTCTTGATACGGCCCTGGATTGTGCGGCATTTCTTCTTGATACGTACCTATTAATGGCACGGCAACTATCAGTAACAGTCCTCGACAACATTGAATACACACACTGTGTCCACTTCACGCACCAAGTAACTCCTACACGGCGGCCTAAGATATACAAGGCAGGATATTACAGTGAAGCAGTAATAAGAGGTGTTGGCCCGGTGGTCAGAGCCAACAATCCAGTTACTGGCCCACCAGTTCCGTGGATAGGGGGGTTCGACTCTGAGGCAAGGCTAAGCTTCCAGCTGCGTTAAGCTCGATCCACCCCCTACACGACTCGGGGCCCTTACACAACTAGGGGTCATGCATCAACCGAAAACATATAAGCCTGTCTCTCGCTTAAGATCAGTTGGCTTTCTGGGTTCGAGCTTGAACGGAGTTGCTTCGCTTAGTCTACCAACGAGTTGGACCCTTCGCTGGGTGGGATGACCACAAAATTTTTCCTCCCTCTGATTCTTTTTTCTTCATCTCTCCATATGGCGCTCGACTTTAGGCATCCGTCCCATTTCTAGGTGCGGGTGTCATTCAATCCGGGACTACGAGTAACTAACTCAACACATTGATAAATTTCTCTCGCGGCGTCCATGATGCTATATTTGTTGTAGGATTTCACGGCTTATGGTTGGTCCTGGATCTAACATAATGTTCCGCATGAACTGGGTTGATATGCAATCTCTATCGGTATTTCTAACCTCCGCAGCACCCGTGTTTCTAGCGAAGGTATTTATTTCACAGCTATATACCGACTATGATAAAAACCCGTGTCTATCGGAACGGCCCAGTCTGGATACACCAACACGAGAAGTCACTATTGAGTCGGGGCCCGCATAGTAAGAATTTCGGCCGCAACTATAGATATGTCCAATGTAGGTGGCCCCAATACCCACTCTACGATAACTATCTGGGAAGCCATCTAGAAAGCTGGTATGCTACCTAGTAAATAGACATAAGGTAAAACGACTTGGCATCCTGCAGACACAGGTGACGAGCCACTTATCTAGGTAATTCGTTCTTCATAACTTGGTTACTTTCGCGGTCAAGCGGCGGCTGGAGAAGCGAAGCAGGCACCGATGGACTAAGTCCCTACCCAACTTACGGAATATCCAAGGTCTGAGAAATGGGAGTGCCTATAGTAACGAGACGGATATGAGCCGCGTGCGTGCGAATTTTGGAGTTTACCAGGTTGGGCTGCTTTCCTCTTGGCGAGCCTAAGGACGGGAACAATATACTTAACTATCTGGTAAGAGTTAATAGGCCAGGTGCTGCTTTCTATTATATGGTCTGTGCTCGCTGATATCCCGCGGGCCGAGCCGTGCTGGGCATTACAACCTCTCTTTCTACGCTACGACGTAGTAGTGAACGCGAGAGACGGTTTGAAACATGCGCCAACATCTCGTCTTCCCTCTTTCGGACGGCTGTCCTTTTCCGCGGACCCATTCGGGAATTTTCAATTCGGGGGCCAAAAGTGGTCCAGAGAATCATAGGCTCGGGCTCTACCATACTGCGCGGTGCCCCAGAGTACATCTCTTGGCGTTGCCCAACTTTGGGTCGGGAGCGGGACCCGCCGAACACCCCCGTCTACCCCAAAATAGCATGGGAGGCTATTCTGGGAGACCAGTACGACAAGTCGAAGAAAAGCGGCCAGCCGAGACCGTCGAAAGGTCTTAGCTGGGGCGGGGGGCACCTCGCTGACGGGGTCTTCTAGAACGAATAGCCCAATGCAAGGCGTTCATTCCTGCGATGCTACCCATAAAGGGATTGACTTATTTTCACGCTGCAGGTATACGAATCAAGCCAAGCTGGGGTTGTTTCCGTGGACGTTATATTGGGATGTTACATGCATGAGCATGCTCGGCGATGGGGCAGGCCTCCGCTACGGCGCTGGGGGCCGGTAGGCGGGATCGCGGGGCGGCGAATCGGAAGATGGCGGGCTTCCGGATTGTCTAGCACCTTGCCATCGAAAAAGAGCAGGGAGGGAGAGCAAGGCCACAGGCATGCAGACGGACAAGAAGAGAAAAACAGGAAACGAGCAGAGCCGGATGGGAGAGAGCGCCGAGTTGCCGGCTAGACTAGTCTATTCAGTAGGTACCTGGGTAAGCAAGATCTTATAGCCCTCTCTATCGAATACGACGCGTGTTTTATCTTCCCTATAGGTACAGAATGTTGGGCATGTCGCGTCGGCAGAAGCATCGACTGCTTCTGGCATGAGTGGCGAGTCCTATGGATTATTAGGGTGACTAGTATGCTCGAGATATTTCGAAATCCGCGGGAATCGGTAGTCCTGAGCTTACCGAAAGTTGTCGAAGAGCACGGCGGGGGAAAAAGAAAAGAAAAACAAAAACCGCGGTCAGAGTGTAATGTAAAGTGAGCATGGCGTCAGTTGAAAACGTGGATGCGACGTTTCCTCGCTTGGACGGGCAGGTTTCTGTAGGTGACGGTTTTCCTGCGCGGCGCATGCTTTGACTGTCCTCCCTTATGACATCGTGCTCGGCTCGTGATAGTATCTAGGAGGTCGTCCTACCCGTTGCGTCTCCGTGAAGCCTCTATGGTTTGCGTCGTCCCGGGCCTGACGGGAAGCTCCAAATTCCGAGCGGAAGTGCTGCGACGCCAGGGTGAGTACCAATTCGACGGCGGTCGCAGCGAAGTCGAGTTCCCCTCCAGACCAGCAGGAAGCGAGATGGCCGGGGCGACAAAAATTCATTTCCGATAGGAGGAACTGCTTGTAACCCAGCAAACGAGCCGACCTAGGACGTCTTGTCGTCAGTCCCCAAATGTGGCTCGGCCGTCATGGACGCTATCACGAAGAAGGCTACAAGCTTCGAGGACGCCGGTTCACCAGAAAAGTGAATGGAGGAAGGGCAAAATCGATAATGGAGGGGGGGATGTGACGTGAGCTGCCCCGGATACCTCGGGCAGGCAGGCAGGTAGGCACCTCCTTTGGCGCGTAGAGGCAAGTACCTGCGCGGGGGGGGCACCTCCTCGCAAAGCGCACACTCGGTCATCATGTAGGAAGGTACCTACAGACGGACATGGGGCAGGTGGGGGTGGTGGGAGTGTGGGGGCTAGACAACCCGGTCGATTGCATGCCGGTACGTAGGTAGGTGGGTGGGTACCCACCCGGGTCACCCACCCGGGTACCTACCTCTAGTGAATATAGCTAAGGTTAGGTACCTAACCTACCTAGGTACCTCTCTCTAGGTAGGGGTAGGTACTCAAGGTACGTACCCTTTAGTCGTCAAAGTGACCAGAAGTTTGCGTGGGAAGGTAGCTGTGGTGACACCAGACGCGTCGCGGATTACCTAGGTACCTACCTAGATTTTGAGGCTGAGAGGACGCCTGTCGGATTTCCCAAAATCCCAACCCCAGCCTTACCTAACCTCACTCCCTCCTGCCTCAATTTACCTGTTTTTTCTGCCCTTCCGTTGGGAAGCGCAGTCATGGCCTATTACCTAACCGTTTCCCCCCTCCCTTTCGACTTTTTTTCCCTTTCTCTCGATTTTCCCCTCAACCCGTCGTTCCACAACTTCCACCCATCCACGTTCATCCACATCTACTCATAGCCCGTCCCGTCCAGCCTCAGCGGCTTTTTCCTCCTCCCCACCGGCGAAACTGGACTTCGAATCATATTGTCAACCTGGCCCAGCCCGATCGGACCCAAACCTTGCCTGACCTTGCCCTCCTGACTCACACTCCCACCTCCCCTGTCCCTGCCACCACCCGGTGCTAACAGCCTACCTTACCTAGGGATAGATGCCGATCTGGCTGCTTTATTCCCTGTCCCTCTCCTCCATCTGACGAGGCTGTCTCTTTTCTTCTCACACAGCCTCAAGGTTGACCTCGCCTTGGTCCTCCTTTCTCCTACTCCCCGTAAAATAAAAAAAACTCCCCCAACCGGAAAACAAAAACGTGGCGTCTTCGGCAATCGACGGTGCCATCCCTCTCCTGAGGATATCATAGATCTTCGCTGGACGCCCTGGTGTCCTGCTGTCCTAGCATAAGCACCGACTCCCTATACATTCAGCGGGCCACATGCCGCGGGCTGCGTGGAAATATTATCCGCGCGCCCCCGTTTTTTGCCCGTAAGCCTCTCGTGGCCTATCACGCAGATACAGCCGACTCTGTCATATCAACACGTCACATCCAATAAGTAGCCGCTCCTTCCTCTCTCTCGCCCGTTTCGCCTACCGGCCAGGCTTACAGCCTACTTACCGCCATGGCACCATCTTCGCCTCCTGATAGCACCGAGGCTGCTCTCTTAGCCGACATCGAGCTGCAGAAAATCCTCTGCGAGTCCCTGAAGGGCACCGTAAACGATACCCCCGAACAGAGAGCGGAATTGAGAGCCACCAGCGAAGACCTTACGCGCAAGCTAAAGAATCACCAGTCAACTCTACAAAAAGGTGAGGCTCACACGCCACTCCTGTTCTTTCTTCTCTCCTTTCATTCCCACCCGAGCCGTATGAGTCACTGCCCCTACGTTTGGGCGCGCTCGATTTTAATACCGTGCCCACCCAAAGCCTCTCTGCTTCCCCTGCTTCGCCCTGTCAGAGATGTCGTCTCCCAGCTCGTGCCACGTTTCCAAATAGATCCCCGCGATCGCAAATATGTACTCCTCCTCTACGACGCCGGCTTATTTGCATAAAGAGCTTCCCACTCACGCTGCTAACCTTTACACGCTTCCATAGATTCTCAAATTCGCTCCATGAGTGGTACCCCTTGGAAAATGTCAAACTACGCTGGCAACCTCCCTATGGGCTCTCACCAGGACTCTCATGCACCAGCTAGGAAGCGAACCTATAGCGCCTATATCGGCCCCGCCTCAGCGCCTCAACCTGATGCGAACAAGGCGCTCCGTACTCTTCCGGACCCTTCCTTGAACGCGTTCGACGGGATACGCCCGCTGAGTGTCACTCAGAACGAGTGGATACAACGTCAGGGGGATGAGTTCGAGCGGTTTCGCGGCATGAAACGACGTGATGCAGAAGATGCCGCCGTAGCGCGGCGACTGGATAAGGAGCTTAACCCGCCCCTTACGCCGTCTTCGCTATCGTCCTCGGATTTATCGAGAGCCCGCAACCCAATTAAGTCCGAATCACCCACTACGCAAGGGTCCGACGACTGGATGGCTGAGCTTTACCAACCATCAACCCGCCTAGCCAATGAGGTCGACAAATCCCACAGAGACGTGCCCGGTTCTGTCGCAGACCCCCTGCAAGCACTATTCGGCGCCAATCTTTCTTGCCTGACCTCCTTCTCAGCTCTCGCCGGCGATAATTCTGGCCACTCCGGAGCTCAGAATGCCCGTAAGGAAGCGCTTTGCCAACACGAGCAACCAGAGAAGCCCGCTAGTCTTGAATTTACCGATTACGCCGGTGGCTTTTACGGCTTCTCGTCAGGTTCCGTGCTACCCGAAACTCCGGAATTTGAAACCTGGAATTCTCAGTCGGGATGGATTCCGACTATGGAGCCCAGTTATGGACCTCACCCGACAACGGCTTGGGGGCCACGTGGGAACTCGGGTAGCCTAACGGATATCATTAAGCGCACTAATGGATATGACTATACGAACAGTGTTGACGGAGAAGGAAATCCGCTTCCGCGGTGGTTGGCGGCTTATGAGAACTGCGATACCGGTGCATTCGGTAATGGGAAGGGTCCCGCTGAAGATAAAGACCAGATCAGAAATTTGTTATCGAATATCAAGCAAGACACGAGTACCTTTGAGCAAGGCCCAGATAACACACCGGAATCCTTCCGATATCCCCTTTACAAGCACCAGCAAGTGGCGCTCAGGTGGATGGAGAATATGGAACTCGATGAGAACAAGAGAGGTGGGATCCTGGCTGACGATATGGGGCTGGGCAAGACTCTTTCGACTTTAGCTCTGATGGTTAGCCGACCGGTCGAGCGTTCTTCGCCGCCCGACGAACCCCACACCAAGGTAAGTTCCCCGATTCATTTGCGTTCGGCCACTGCTAAATCTTCTAGACCAATCTCATCGTGGCTCCCCTCTCCTTGCTTCGGCAGTGGAATCGCGAGATCGAGCAGAAGCTCAAGCCGGGACGGGGCCTATCGGTTTTCATATTACACGGGAAAAAGACCGAGTTCGACCAACTTCGATGTTATGACGTAGTTTTGACAACGTACGGGACCCTCTCGTCGCAGTTCGGCAAGATGGAGGCTTACATCAGAAACGCCGAGAAGAACGACAACCCTGTCGATAATGGCCACCTATCTGCCCTCTTCCCGTTGGTTGGTCCCCGGAGCTTCTTCTATCGCATCATTTTTGATGAAGCACAGTTCATCAAGAATTACAATACGAAGACGGCGAAAGCAGCTAGCCATCTACAGGGAAAATATCGCTGGTGCCTATCCGGCACACCGATGATGAACGGCCCCAAGGAGTTGGCTTCCTTGGTCCATTTCCTCAGGATCAAGCCATACTGTGATCTTGACATCTTCCATAGAGTGAGCACCCTCTGGTAGAGCGAGCAGACTATTGGCTGATCTTATGGCTAGACTTTTAGACACCTCGACCCGGAAAGATCCCAGAAAGGCTGGAATGGATCTAGCAGAAATCTTGCGATGCAGAAGCTGCAAGCTCTTCTGACCGCCATCATGCTCCGACGAACCAAAACGTCAAAAATTGATGGCAAGCCTATCATAGAGCTAAAAGAGAAGCTGGAAGTTGTTGATCACGTCGTTTTCGACGAAGACGAACGACAATATTATCAATCCCTGGAGAAGAATTCTCGTGTCGAATTCAGTAAGTACCTCGCAGCCGGAACCATTGGGAGGCATTATGCCCAGGTGCTTGTCCTTCTGCTTCGGCTACGGCAGGCTTGCTGTCATCCATACCTCCATATTACCGACCTCGAGCTCGTCAATCCAGGGGCTTCGGAGGGCGCGTTGGTCGAGCTGGCAAAGGCCCTGGAACCAGACGTGATTCGGCGCCTCAAGGAAGTCGAGGCCTTCGATTGCCCTATCTGTCTCGACGGGGTTGAAAGCCCATCGATAATGTTTCCCTGCGGTCATTACATCTGTTCAGCATGCCTCGCAGGACTCGTTGAGAACCTAGACCAGCAGAACATCCGAGCAGGTCAAGACCATGGAAGCATGCAATGCCCTACATGCCGCGGGAATGTAGACACAGCCAAGGTCATAAACTACGACATCTTCAAGAAGGTCCACATGCCTGAAACGGTAGAGGTGGAAGAAGAAGACGAGGACGAGTTCGCGAGCGATTCCGACGATAGCACCGGGTACTCCAGTTCCGTAGATGACGGAGATGACGTTGACGAGCGTGGAAACCTGGCAGGCTTCGTCGTTGATGATAGTGACGATGATGTCGCCCCAGCGAGACGGAAGCCGGAGTGCGGAAATAGAAAGAAGGGGGCTGTTTCTAAGCCCGAGTCCAAGTCTCGTCCTAAGCGTAAGAAGGACGAAGAGGTCCAGCCACATATGCTTAAGCAGTTGCGCAAGAACGCGTACAAGAACCACCGGGCACATAAGCGATATATGCGCTACTTGCGCCAGATTTGGCTCCCGTCGGCTAAGGTTACCAAGTGTTGCGATCTCATCTCTGCCGTTCAGAAGACTTCAGGCGAGAAGATCATAGTTTTTTCTCAATGGACGATTCTCCTCGACCTTCTCGAGATAGCTATCAAAGATCAGCTTAAACTCGGTCTTTGCCGATACGACGGGAGCATGTCAGCTACTCAGCGTGACGATGCTGCTCGCAAGTTTACGGAGGATAGGGGAACTAAGGTCATCCTAGTATCGCTCAAAGCCGGTAACGCGGGCCTCAATCTCACCGCTGCGTCCCAGGTCATCATTATGGATCCTTTCTGGAACCCCTACATCGAGATGCAAGCCATCGACCGCACATATCGAATCGGTCAACAACGAAACGTCACAGTTCACCGGATTCTCACACAGGAGACGGTGGAGGATCGCATTGTGGAAATTCAGGAAAGGAAGCGCACGCTGGTAGATTCGGCCTTGGACGAAAAGGCAGCAAAGGATATTGGCCGCCTGAGCGGAAACGACCTCGCGTATCTCTTCGGCGCCCATCCCGACAACCATTAAGATCATAAGTCGCCCCCCTCCTGGTTTCCTGGCTTTCATACATAGACAATAAACACCTATCACAGTTTTAGGACATAGACACGGCAGATTCGGATGTTCTACGTTACTTGACAAGACCCTAGTTGAAAGAAAAGTAAAACATCGGGACAACAGCCGGGAGAAAAGCGCGGTCGATTCGATCCGCTCGGGGTGGAAAATGAAGATGCCCACCCCATTGTCATACATAGATGGATAACCGGTATGCTCCACAGCACGGAACGGGGGACAAAGGGGAGTTAACTGGAACTAAAACAAGAGCTGCCCGTACTGGAGGTATATAGCTAAATAAACAACCCGTTTGCTATTTACGACTGTCTACTTTGTAATAAGACGGTATTGGTACTGACTGGGAGCGAACGGCAAAGAGTCGGCGATGAATACTAAATCCATCCACCCAGGTTAGTAGATCATCATACGACAGGTGGGAGATTGGACGAGAGCGCGAACATGCGAACGCATGGTTTAGCTTGGTAACTCGAATAGCAACCGGGCGGGCACTCATTAGGCTAGGTTACGAGCACCGTAGGCAGACACCAGACCGCGCGCGTCTCGGTACGCGAAGGGTCGGCAGCCGAGAGTCGTCCTCGGGACGACTAACCTACCCACCCAGCGGATACCTCGACTGGTTGTATACAGGATCCTTCCGTCCCTCCTCGCCCTCCTTCGCCGACGTGACTTCCCTCCCCCCTCCCGCCGCCCGCTGCCGTCCGGCCTCGACCTACAACCCGGCGGCGGCGGCGGCTCCGAAGGCGGAGAGCGGCGCGGAGGGGCGGGGGCCCTGCAGGACGCGGACGAGGGCCTCGACGGCGCCGTCGCCGGAGTCGTCGCCGCGGTCGGCGCGCCAGGTCCAGCGGGTCTTAGCCGCGGGCGCGGGCGCGGGGAGGAACGGCTCCGGCGGGAGCGAGAGCGGCTGCGGGTGGCCGGGCGCCGCGGCGGCGTCCAGGACGAGGGTGAGGCGGCCGTCGGCGGGGCCGGCGACGAGGTCGACGCGGGCCTCGCGCTCGTCGTCGCGCGCGGCCACGCCGGGGCCCCGCACCGTCTCGGCGCGCTCCACGTCGCCGCGGCCCAGCCGCGGCCCCGCCGTCTCCGCCAGGTGCTGCGCCACCGCCCGGATCGCCGCCTGCCGCACGTAGTACACGGCCTCGCCCACGCTCGGGTACGGGTACGGGTCCTGCACCAGGTCGAAGGGCGGGTACGCGGCCGCGAGCGGGTTCTTCCGGCGCTCCTCCTCCCGCGCCTTGGCTGCCGCCGCCGCGTCGTTGGCCGGCGCGGGGTTGTTGTTGTTGCTGTTGCTGCTGCTGCTGCTGCTGTTTCTCTTTGCGCCGTCGGCGACGGGGGCGGCGGGGGGGGGAAGGGAGGTGGACGAGGACGAGGGGGAAGCGGAGGCGGTGGGTGGCGGGAAGGGCGTCAGCGAGATGCCGAAGGCCATCCCCGTGTACACGTTAAGCACGATGCGGGCGCGGATGAAGATGCGGGCGGCCGGGGTGATGGTCAGCTCGAAGGAGGACTCGAGCCGGCCGGCGAGGTAGTTGATGAGGTTGAGCTCCATCTTGGCGTTGCGGGTGGGCAGGCCGCGCAGCATGGGGCCGAGCGGCTGGGTCGCGAGCGTGCACGAGGCGGTGGAGACGCCGGCGCGCCGCAGCGTCGCCACCAGGTCGTCGAGGAAGTCGTACATGACCTTGTAGTCGCGGAAGTACTCGGCGTTGGCGATGAGAGCGCGGAGGATGGCGTAGGGCGGGGTCGCGCGGCTGCTCGGCACGTGCGGTATCGTGCTGCGCTTGTAGTAGTTCTGCTGGTGGCCCTGGAACAGGAGGAACTGCATGTAGGTGTAGAAGGCGGTGCACGAGCAGTCGACGTCGGAGAGCCGCTCGTGCGCGCGGTCCGGCTCGGCGAGATCCTCCAGGGTGAAGATCATCTCCGTCTCGGGGCCCTGCTTCCAAGAGATGCAGGACGCGTCCGAGTAGACGTTGGAGGACAGCAGGGTGCGGGCCTCGCGGTTGAGCTGGTACCACAGCTCCTGGTGGAAGATGGTGTTCCTGGCCTCGAGCACGCGGTGCTTCAGGGGGGCGTCCTCGGGCAACCGCGCCGGCAGGGGGGACTGGTCCACGATCACGCCGTTCTTCTTCACCGTGACGCGTATCCTCTGCGAGCCTCCGCCGATGCGGCCGAGGTCCAGTCGAGCAGTGCCGTCGCCGTTGCGCCTCAGGGGGGCGATGCTGCTATTCCTGAACTCGGACGCGGATTCGGCGAAGCCGAAGCGGACGCCGAGGGTATGCCGCTCCTGAGGAAGAGCGCAGACGGCCCAGTTGCTCTCGCTGACGCTCAGCACATCGGCCCAGTACTTCGTCTCCAGCTCCATCTCCTTCTCCAACTTCTCGGCCGAGGCCACGATGGAATCCACCATGTTGTCAATGCCCATAACCCTCCACCCCTTGGCGACGGCGAGGTCGTCCTGCCTTCGGGCATCGGTCACGTTCGACTCCTTCAGCTTCGACGCCCCCAGCGTGCCGATGCCGACGAGGTCTCGCAGCGCTGACGAGAGGGTCGTTCCGGCTTGGACCGGGGTTTCCTTGGAGAGCAGGAGGGAGACGAAATCGAGGCTCAGCATGGCAGTTTGGTGGGCGAACCTAGGAGACAACGACCATCAGCACCGCTCCCACCAGCAGTTATGTCTGCGTCCCCCGTCTTGTGGCAGAAGCCTACTCTATATGTCTCAAGAACTCGTCCCTCGCGGCAACGGCATTCGTAGACTTGTCGGCGCCGGAATCTTCGTCGTCGTCTTCGTCGTCGTCGCCGTCGTCGTCGTCAGCCGAGTCCTCGGCGCTGCGGGCCTCGGCATGGCCATTCTCTTGCGCCGCGATCTCGTCGCGTAGCTTGGCCTCGGTCACGTTACGGAAGCCGCCGCGCTCGGTGTTGATGCGCGCGATGAACTCGCCGAGGTTCTTGGGCTTCTTGTCGCCTATGGGCCAGGGGCGCAGCGAGAACGGCGACGCCATGCTAATGCCAGGTAGCGGAGGCGGCGACGAAGATTCCTGTTGTCGAGCACGTTCGGGTTCGGGAGACGGGCGCCCGCGTTGGGTGCAGAGGCAGGCATTGGACGTGTGTTGGGAACTTGCATCGGTGATGGGCCCCGAGAGGACCTTGAGAGTGGATAGGTACCTAGGTACCTAGCTATCACTACCGGACAAGGCCGATAAGTGTGGCTGATGCCTACCTGTATCTCAAGGCAGGTACATTAAGTACCGAGGTACCTGAAGAAGGCACCCTAACTTTTTACGCCCTATCCGTTCCGTAAGGTACCTGTGGGCACCTAAGCTAAGGGCATACACCTCCTCGTCTCCTATGTTACTAGGAGGCAGTATTCCGTCTCTTCTCTTCCTCGCTACGTAACAAGTTTAAGAGGCATTCCATACTTTGCTGTCTCTGCAGGCGCCTTAGGTAGGCAGCCTTTCAATGCCAGCTCTAGCGGGCCAAGGTTTGCATTTAAGTATGACATCCAACCTCAGGTGCCTCCCGGCATGCTTGACAACCTGAGGAAATCCCCGAGTTCATAACTCGCGCAACCTTTTCCGGAGGAGCCGGAGGCAACCCTGAGCACTTGTAAAGCTAGGGCTAAAAAAAAGGTAACATAATGGGAGCAAGCATTATGATGTCGGGTAAATAACCTTGATTTAAGGGGTACTTCCTCTATACGACTACCCACCTACCTGTAAGCCTCACCGTTCAGCTCCGTACGTGGGGGACTGAGTCCTAGGATCGTGCCACCCACCAGACAGACACCGATTACGAATCGAAGTGCATTAACACGCCGATCAGGTATTTAACCAACTCTGCCCGCTTACCTCTACCTAGAGTAAAGGCACGCAACCGTGAAGTACCTAAGGTAGTTACCTAGGTAGGTATCTCTAAGGCAAGCACCTGATGTAGGGACCTAAGGTAGGTACATAGGTAGTGAACCTACGTACGAGGTACATACCTATAGGTACCTTTAGTGGGCTACGTAGGCGGGGTCGGAAGGCTACCTATATCCGAGCTCCCCCGCACCGATAACTGGGTAGGCACGATAAGAGCTTTCTCTGTTGGCCTCTGCGACCTCAGCTCCCGGCAACTGTATGAGGTAGGTAGATCTCTATGTCCGGGTGAGGTCAGCGCGGTGCCACGAGCTCAACAGAGGTAAGCTTCGCGTCCTTCTCCCCTACCATAGGTGCCTAGGCAGGTAGATAGGTACTTGGGATTAGGTAGGCGTCAACCCGTCTCACCCCCCACTCGCCAGAGTACCTCCTACCCACCTACGTAAGGGTACTTACCTACCTACGTAACCTCATCTTCATCTTCCCATCTCGAGGCAATCGCGCATCTGCAAATCTGGGAACCCGCAACCGGCAACCCGCCTGTTGTCGCAGCTTCCCCGGGCTACACAGTGGCGGTGTCCCGTTACCCATCGCCTCACTTACCTGTGAGAGGCGCGGCCATATATACTTACTCCCCCCCGACAAGCTCTTTCCGCGCAATTAGCGTGGGCTGATTCGAGCCGGAAAAAAAAAGAACGCATCGAGCTTTCCCAAGGCCCCTTCGTTCCTACTCTTTGCAACTAACCAACCGCTCTTTCCTCTTTTCCTCTCCTTCTAGCTCTTCCTCCCGGCTCCCGCTTCTCTCTCCAATTAACGCGGAGAAATCCGCCGTGCCAAGTCTCTCCCTCCTCTCGCTCCCCTCAACTGTCCGGACAGGCTTCGTTCATACTTCGTCCGTTTCTGCTCCCCTCATCCATCTTATCCCCTCCGTCCCGGGTCTCTTGCTTCGCCTTGGCTCTCACCCCCGACCACCTTGCCAACTGTCCCACCCACCTACCGCCGCCGGCCAGCCGACATGGCCGCTCCGAAGAAGAAGATCGCCATCATGACCTCTGGCGGCGACTCGCCAGGCATGAATGCCGTCGTACGTGCCGTCGTGCGCATGGCGATCCACCTAGGTTGCGATCCGTACTGCGTCTATGAGGGCTACGAGGGCCTGGTCCAGGGGAATGCCTTCATAAGAAAGATGGAGTGGGACGACGTCCGCGGCTATCTCTCCGAGGGTGGCACTCTCATCGGAACCGCCAGGTGTATGGCATTTTTTGAGCGTCCCGGACGTCTTCTCGCTGCCAAGAACCTGATCCTCCACGGAATCGATGCCCTTATCATCTGCGGCGGCGACGGCTCTCTGACGGGCGCCGACAGGTTTCGATCCGAGTGGCCCTCCCTCATCCAGGAACTCGAGTCGACCGGCCAGCTGCGGGCGGAACAGGTATATCCCTATCGCCACCTCAACATTGTCGGGCTTGTTGGCTCCATCGACAACGATCTCTCCGGAACCGATGCCACTATTGGCGCGTACTCTGCCCTAGCTCGTGTGTGTGAGATGGTCGATTATATTGAGGCTACCGCGTCTTCTCACTCGCGCGCTTTCGTCATCGAGGTCATGGGCCGGCACTGCGGCTGGCTCGCCCTGATGGCGGGCGTAGCCACCGGTGCCGACTTCATCTTCATTCCAGAAAAGCCTAGGGAGGATAACTGGAGGGAAGAGATGCGCCAGGTCATCCGCAAGGTATGTGTGCCGATATCGAACCGCAGGTCAGAAATCGGCTTTTCTTACTATTCCTGAAAGCACCGAGACTGGGGCAAGCGTAAGACCATCGTCATCATCGCTGAAGGCGCCCTCGACAGACACGGGGTCAAAATCACGCCAGAGATGGTCAAAGACCTCCTCGCTGATAAGAAAGGTTTGGCCCTCGACACCCGCATTACCACCCTTGGCCACGTCCAGAGAGGAGGCACTGCGGTGGCATACGACCGGATGCTCGCTACATTGCAAGGAGTCGAAGCCGTCAAAGCTGTGCTCGAGGCGACACCTGAGACTGAAACTTGCGTCATCGTTATTAATGAGAACAAGATTGTCCGAAAACCTCTCATGGCTGCCGTCCAGGAGACGAAGGAAGTGGCCAAAGCCATCGAGGCCCAGGACTTTGACAAGGCCATGTCTCTCCGTGATGCTGAATTTTCAGACCAGTATAAGTCGTACACGATGACAACTACCGTAGGCCTTAACGAGGCCATCCATCTAGATGACTCGAAGGTAGGCTTTCGAAGACCCGGAATTCATTTCTCGTTGGCGCTGACGCCTTTTGTTCATAGCGAATGAGGATTGGGTTTATCAACGTCGGAGCGCCCGCAGGTGGTATGAACGCCGCGATTCGTGCAGGCGTAGCTTATTGCCGATCTCGTAAGGGAAACCGCTTTCCTTTAGTTGGCTGGAGAAATGCAAAAAAACAACCACCCCTACCTAGGCTAACCCGTATCGATTTTCTGCGATGTCACCTCTGCCTCTTCCCCAGTACGCAAACGGGCGATGCTAAACTCCAATATTTTAGGTGGACATGAGCCCGTGGCAATTCATAATGGCTTTGCCGGCTTTGCCCGTCATCATGGTGATAAACCGCTCGGCGCCGTACGACCGTTTGACTGGCTGGAGGTTGATGGATGGGCAAGCAAGGGCGGTTCCGAGATCGGGACCAACCGTGAGCTTCCCGCAGAATCCGGCATGGAACTAATTGCTAGCCTGATCGAGAAGCACAAATTCGATGCCTTGTTCTTAATTGGAGGTTTCGAGGCTTTCCACTCCATCTCGCAACTACGCAAGGCTAGAGCTAAGTTCCCCTCGCTCTGTATTCCGATGACTCTATTGCCGGCTACCATCTCGAACAACGTTCCCGGTACGGAATACTCACTAGGCTCCGATACGTGCCTGAACGAACTTGTCGCGTACTGCGATAAGATCAAACAGTCTGCGTCGGCCACGCGACGACGGGTCTTCGTAATCGAAACGCAAGGTGGCCGGTCCGGATATGTAGCGGTTCTGGCTGGGTTAGGCGTTGGTGCAAGCGCTGTCTATATCCCCGAAGAGGGAATTAGTCTTGAGATGCTCAATGCAGATGTTAGGCATCTGAAGGAAGTCTTTAGAAAAGATCGAGGTCAGTCACGAGCAGGCAGGCTAATTCTCGTCAACGAGAAGGCAAGCAAGGTTTTTACAGCCAAACTCATTGCCGATATTATCCGAGAAGAGGCACATGACCGGTTTGAGTCGAGAGATAGCATCCCGGGGCATGTTCAGCAAGGCGGTGTCCCCTCGGCCATGGACAGGTGCCGCGCCGTCAGGCTGGCCATAAAATGCATCCAGCACCTGGAGACATACGGGCCCCAGCCGCAGAAAAACCCTGACAAAATTATCAACGACTCTCTGAGTGCCTCGGTCATCGGTATCCGAGGTGCGGACGTAGCGTTCTCGCCCATGGACGAGCTTGAGGAGACGGAAACCGACTGGAAGAACCGAAGGCCGACACAGGCCCACTGGCTCAGCAATAAGGACGTCGTCGACATCCTTGGTGGCCGTCCTCAATACCCACTGCCGGAGAAGAGCCTAGTCGGCCTTATGGCCAAGGATGCGAAGCGGGGGCTCATTCAAGAATGAGAATGCTCTCTATACTGGATACCGATTCATACGATTGCGTCATATCATGACGTTCTGGACATATCGGAACTTTTACAATCCTGATGGAATGGCGTTTTCTTCCTCTCGCCAGAGGAAAATAAAGGAATATGCTCCGTGCCTCGGCGGCACTATTGGCCAGTTCCCCTCGCTCTGGATGGCATATGCTTTTGTTGATATTCAATTCTCTCATACCTAGCTTCCCATAGCCCTCGCTCAGAAACTGCTAACTTTCGCAAATATATAACGAATAAAAAGAAAAAAACGAAAAACTTGAGAATTTTTAGGCCAACGGGAAGTGATGCAGATGCAAGCGATAATATTATTCCCCTACCTGCCCAGATTCGCATAAACAGCTACATAGATATATCTACTAGCTGAAATAGGTCAATAGAGGGTGACGTTCAGGGGTAGGGAGAATACATGTTCCCCAATCCACCAACAACCCCTCCTCCCTCTTGTCGATGGGATAAAGCAGGCAAGTAAGTATTATGTATGCTTTATTAATACGACCCAAGGTATATATATATATGTGGGTGGGTGAGTGTGAACGTGTCGTATACCTATATAGCAGTGATAATCCCCTCGTTCCCACCAACAACCCGTCCGGTTTTCCTGCCGGCACCTCCACTTCTACATTCTAATTCTTCCACATCTTTCCTTCTCCATTACGAGTATGTATATGTATGTATATGTGTGTGTTATCTACCAAATTATATATTTAGGCAGGCATCGCATATAGGCTGGGCACGGTTTGTCGTTATCGCGACATACCGGCGGTGTCTGTCCCGTGCCGACGGCTCCACTCTCCCTCTCTCACGGGACTTCCTTGTAGTGACCCTCGCCCATCATCTCCGCGGGCCGCTGCGGCATGGGCATCTCCTGCGGCTGCGGGTGTTGCTGGGTGGGCTGGTAGTATTCTTGTGGCTGGTGATATTCGTACTGTGGGCTTCCGGCGTACGGCTGGCCGTGGTTCGGGAATTGCGTCGGTGCCGGCGCCGGCGAGTTGTACACCCAACCTCCATCCTGCTGCGAGAATGTCATCCCGCCCGCGCTTACGCTCCCTGGTGACGGCTGCGATTGGTGCCCTTTTTCCGATCCAGGGCGCGCGCCACCGACGGCGGCCGCGAAGACAGCCTGCGCCGGCGACGGAATAGGCGCATACCCGCCTCGCATACTGTTATTACCACTGCCTGGCGTCGGCACGACGTACCCGCTCATCGGGCTCATGTACGGCTGCGGTTGCTGGTACTCAGCTCCTCCTGCCTCGCCACCGGCGCCTCCTTTGGTGGCGGCAGCAGCGGCAGCAGCGGCAGCCTCCGCGTCCCGCTTCCGCTGACGGCGTCGTAGGAACCACAATACGGCGATCATGCCACCGAGGGCGATCACGCCGAGCGTCACGCCGACGCTGATGCCAGCCTTGGCGCCCTCGCTAAGACCACCACCACCACCGTTGGGGGCGTCGCCGCTTGTCGGCACGGCAGTCGACGATGGGGTCTCGGTTGCGATGCTGCTCTCGTTGACGGCGGGCACAGCGGCAGCGGCGCGCCACACGCCGCCGTCGCCGATGGCCTCGATGACACGGCCCCCACTCACGTAGTAGAGGCGGAGCGCGCTCGAAGCGAAGTCACTCGCGACGGCGAGCTGGGATGCGGGTTGGTCGGCGGCAGGCCAGGCGGCGGAGTCGGCGGGTGGGTCAAAGGAGCGCCACGTGAAGTTCTGGTTGCCGACGCGGTGCGGCCGCCGGTCCGCCCCGATATAGAAGATGCTCCGCGTGTACTGTGCATCGACGGCGATGGCGAGCGAGCCCGCGCCCGCGCTTGCCAAGGTCGCATTCCACGACGGTAGGATGAAGGGCGCGGCCGAGGATGTGTTAAGCCGCAGGTTCGAGGCCGTTGTCGCGTTGGTCGTCAGCTGCTGGCCCGGTTGAACTAGGGGCTGCGGGAAGGTCGCTAGGGGGTGGTAATGTGGTGAGCTTATATAAAGACTTCCCCCCGTTCCTTTCCCTAGAAAACTGGGCGGGGGGTGAGGGAGTAGAGGAGGAAGGGACAAGGCCAACTTACCTATATTCCATTGACCCTCCCTAGATAAGCGCGAGACGCCCATGTTCTTTTCGTCCCGGGGACGGACAACGGTAATGTTGTTCTTCGGGGAGAAGGTTGCGGCGATAGCGGGGCCGTCAGCGCGGTCGTGAGAGACGGCGCCGTAATAGCGCCAGGTAGCGGCCTTTGGTGTGTAGCCGATGTGGTGCAGCGTGCCGGCGAGGTCGTTGTAGAAGACGCGGTACCCGTCCTCGGCGCCGAGTAGGACGGTGGACAGACCGGTGTCAGGCGCCACCTTGGGCGACCCCTCCGAGATGATCCACTGGCCGGCGCTCTGCCAGCGCCCCGTGCCCCAGTCGCACTCGAGCAGCGAATTGACGATCTCGTCATCTTCAGTTAGGAAGAAGATTGACGCCTAGAAATGTGGCTAGCGTCAGCCAACCTAGACGTGGTGATCATCGCCCCCTTCCCTCTTCCTCCCGTCACGCAGAACCCTGGTTTGATTTGACACACTCCGCCCTCATCGCCCACCTTACGCGGAATGAGATCCCGGGGACAGCGTTTCCGCTTTGACATTACATCCATCCATTCTTTGGTATTTTTTTTTTCTCATTCGACTTGGCTCGGCTCAGTTAGGTTTTACTTACCCAGGCGGTGTCATCATTCACCCATCCCGCCGCGGACAGGCTCGTCTTGTTCTTGGGCGGGTAGTTCTTGAAGAGTGCCGTGAGCGTCCTGTCGTCCGGGAAGATAGGTGTGTAGTTCCCATTGCAGAGGCTATAGCGTAGCCCACCGGTCTCGTCGTCCTGCATTATGAAGCTGGGTCCTCGGCCGTTCCACCACGCGGCGATCGAGCCGCACGAAACCTGCCCGACGAGCAGCCATATCGGCAGACGAAACAGCGACGCGAGCCTCGAGCCCGTCATTGTTTGATAGAAAGAGAGCGGTCGCGCGGAGTGATCCTTTGGGTGCAGATCCTCGCTCTCTCGCTCGCTCGCTTACACAATACCTCGGGACAAGACTTTGCGTATATATACAAGCAGACCGAGCCGGGTAGTACTAGGCAGGTTAAATAGGTCGAAGCTAACACAGCATAGCTCTAGGCATGATGGCGCTGTGTCGAATTCGGACGGGGGCGGAAGAGAGGAACGTCAAGAGGGAATATGAGAGAAAAGGGTAGTAAAGAAAAATAGGAAGAAGAAGAAAGAACGGAGATAGGTAGGAACGGAGTGGAAAATAATCAAACGAGAAGGAGTGGAAGAATTCCTCGTGAGAGGCTCGTGAGAGGAGAGGGTGAGATGCAAGAAATGCATATTTGATTCGACGGGGATCTCTCGTAAGCCAATAGAATGACTCGCCCAGCAGGGGTAAGGATGAGCGTTCGCTTGACGGATTGAGGATACCTAACCTTGAATAGGCAACTGGGGCTCCCTGTAGAATCCGCGGAGTAGTAAGGTATATAAGACGAGCAGGTCTCCCCCCTCTCGTCTCTCTGGACGGGCTCTGCGTCCGGGCTACACGCAAAGAGGAATCACGAACAGGAGGTGTGCGCGAGCGTCGAGATAGGCCACCCATCGCGAGCTTGGCCGAGATGACACGGCTGCAGTGGCGGTATAGATTTGGTGCAGCGCACTCACTATACGGAGGTCTGCGGCGGACCAGCGCGTTACGGGCTGGGGGACGGCCCCGAGCCATCAATGAGGCTAGGCTGACATGCACGGGGGGGTAGCATCAGGCCTAGGCAATTGACACACCCCGTCAGAGCAGAGGAGGTGTCGACAACAATGCGATTCACATGGCAAGGTGGCGTCGGTGGTTGGCCGCGGTGTGTCGGAGGTGGTGATGGTGTATAGAAGTGGTGGTAAGAGTGTCGGTGGCTATTCTTCTAGAATTAGTCGGCTTGGTCATCACGACGCCCTTCAACCCCGGACACCTTACGTAAAGGCCAGGGATGATCTGCGATGCGGTCTGCGCGGGTGGTCAGTCGATAAGCCGGCTGTCATTCATGCCCTTCCCCCCCCCTGCCTCCGCCCTCCCTTCCCCAGTACTGGGCCCTAACCGTAGTGTACTTGGGTACCTACCCACCTGTACCTATGAGTATAGGCATGTACTTTGTCCGTAGGGACGTGCCTACATGTACGGATTGATATTACGATTCGATGCGAAGGGGGAAGGAGGCGGGCACGCCAGGTCCAGTGTTGTTTCCTGTCTATTTCCTGTCTGTTTCCAGGAATAGAAAGTGTGGGACACTTCGGTAACGTGCCTTCCTCCGGGTCGCACCCGGACTTGTCCGTCGGGATGCTTAAAACATTTCAACCACGGTAGACTGACATCGCTTAAGTGCTTACTCGGAGGTGCCAATTGTGGCTACTGTGGCGGTCATCGAAACGCGAAGGAGGTCTTGGGTATCTACACGTCGTAGTACTACGACGTCAGATACGATACCTTAGGTACTCATAAGGTCTGCGCTGTAGATTTCCCTCCTTAAAACTTGTGGCGGCAATTGTGTTGCTACGTAGGTACCTAGTTAAGTAGGAGGTAGGTACCTACCTGTTATGTCCTCCACTTCCTCCAGCCCCGCTCCCGACTGCCCGCCTACCAGACCTCTTCTACCATTCGCGCCTGTCAGACAAGGGAATTGCCTGATTCCCCCCCTGCCTTCACTCACAAACACGCTAGAAGCCCACACAATACCCCTCTACTAGGTGCCTGGGGATTTTATACTCTTCGATTCCTATTCGGAAGAACGGCGGCACCATCGGCGACGCGGAAAATACACCCTCTGAACCAGGTGGGAATTAAATAAATAAACATCAAATGAAAAAACGACATCGGAGTTTGGTGTGAATCGAGCCGGGAGGCGAGAGAGAAACTGGCAGCCTCAAGACCCGAGAAACCCCCCTGGACGAGAGAGGGCAGTCCAAGGAATTCTCAACCCAGTCGGGTTTACCATCCTTTCCCATAATCCCATCCCTTCACGAGCAAACGCGGGGTCTGGCCGGCGACGAGCCAGGTTCGAGATCCTGCGGTCCGATCTATGCGCGCCTAGCCCTCCTCTAACCTCACCTTCCGTCCAGGCGGATGAGCTCGTCGCCATCGGCTGCCAACGGATCCAGACAAGAGTAGCGGTGGCGGCGCCGGCGGCTATAGGAGGCGGGGTCTTACCGTCGACCTTCTGCTCGCGTCGACTATAATACCCACCCGTGCGCTGCTCGCATCCAGGGCCTTTCCCCATCCTGTGTAGTAAAAGAGAGATATGCTTGGTGTATATATATATATATATTTATAGCCGTCCCGCAACAGCCTCCGCGTTGATTTCTTTCGCCTAGACCCAGGCACTGTGACCGTCTACGCGCCCTAATCCTTCTACCTAGCATGTTCGCCAAGCATAACCAGCAAACGGTACACTTAGTGAAGGCTTGTCTCTATTTTTGCTAGATCGCTAGCGTCGAGGAGTACCAGCTGAAATCAAAAGCACCGCTCTTGTGTCGTGCCATCGTGTAATGGCCTTATCGCCAAGACATCCGCCCTGGCTTCTCTCCGGGGGGACGTGGCCAATTATCACCTCGTAGCCAGATATATTCGTGAATATACCTGTAACTGAGAGTTGGTCGTAAACCTGCCGGGAACTTGTTTAAAGTGAAAAACTCGATTCCGTATATTATTGTCGATGTCACCCGTCTAGCTGCTCGAAATCCGGTTTAATTCGTGGGGAGGGAGTAGATGAGGGGTGCGTGCTATAGTCGCCTCGCTTACCTAGGTCTGCCTCTTACCTCCGTCATATCTACGTTACCAATACACATCCCTCTCCGTCTCCGGGATAGACACCTTACCTATAGTCAGTCTACCTATACCGTGATATTTACAGCGAACAGCGTGGCCCCCGCTTTGCCCATAGCGCTTCAGGATGTCGTCTTGGACCACACATAGGCGTCTGCCCAAATTCACCTAGATAGGCAGCCCAACAGAGCACGGGTATTACAACGGGACACGACGGACCTGGCAGACCTGGCCTCCTCGATCAACTCGGATGCTCCGGCCCAGGCGCACGTTACAAGCTACGCGCACGTACCCAAACCGTGTATACACCAGCAACGAGGCACGAAGCAACAGTACACGACATGGTGTCATCAGTCATCAATTTCCCTATCGCGCACTTGCTCGCAGTCTAAAATAACGTAGATGGTAGATCGGGTAGATCGGTGGATAGACAGGCACCAACTAAGGGGGCAAGCAAGTAGCATAACCAAGACGCAGCGAAAATTCGAATCAAACAAAAAAGGGGGGAGGGGGGGAAAAGATATCATCGCACCACCGATCGTTCAACCGTCCCCGCCTGCATCTACCAACGTGAAAGCCCAAGAGGAAAGAAACCCCCTACAGCACAATTACGTCCGTTCTTCTTGATCATTCTTGCCCATGATCCTGATGTCGTAATTCCGTGACGTCATTCGTCTGTGGAGAGTAATAGGTGACACGAAAAATACGTGTATGCTCAAATGAGAAGAGAAAACAGAATCGCTTCGCTTTAGAGGGTGCCCAGCTCCACCTGAAGCCGAACTTCCTTTTTGCTTATCCATCGTCGCAAAGTTCCATGAATAGGGTAACATAGAAGGACACAGGTACAGTAGCTAATCCGACGAGTAGTAAGTCTCAAGTCGGACTCCGTCAACGGCAACTTCAGGCCTTCACACCAGGTATCCAATATGGTCTCCCGGTCCTCGGCTTAGCGAATGAGGCCCTGACGCTCGGCAGACGGGAGGAGTGGCTAGCACCTCTTAACGGCAATGGTAAACAGCCTAGCGAGCGTAACCGCGGAGCGGGCGGTCGTAGACGACTTCACGTTCCACAATCCGCTCATCGTCAATTTTGTCCCAGTTCACGGACCATCGGGTGCGGTGCCGTCGGTCTCGCCCATCGCGGTGTTCGCGCTCCCACTCGATCTCGTGGGCCCTGCGCCTGCGGTTGCGGCGGATTTCATCCGACATATTGACGAGCTCTAGGACGTCCTCCTGTTTCCCCGTCTGGTTAGCAATCTGGTATGCCGTATAGCACGTACGTAGGCATGTTTCCGCCTCAGATTAGGATTAAAGGAAGAAGTGGTGAAGGACTTACGTAGCGCAAGTATTGCATGACGTAGAAAAACCAATCAGTCTCCTCATACTCGTATCCCAACTTCTCAATCGCCTCGCGAACGACGAGGTCCTTGGTGATTTCAGTCCACATGTCGTTGCGTTTCCTAGGTGGAACTCTGTCATCATTGCGGATGGTAATCCTCCTGTCCGTGATTTCTTCAATGTCTACGTCGCGATCGCGGGACCTTTCACGTTTATCATAGATCTGCACGCTGAGCCGTTCTTGCTCCCGCGATTGGTCGCGTTCCCGAATCGGCTCGCTCACGGCGCTGAGGGGGGTTCCTTCACGGTCGGGAATGAATCTAGAGCGTCGCACGCCGTTGTATCGCTGCCAGGTCACCTCAGCGGCGCCGCCGCCGACGCCATCCATTTGCACGCGTTCCGTGCCGGGAGGCACATCGATAATAGTCCAGTCTCTGGTGACGCCATTCCGAGCTTCTCCCATGCGACCGCGGGCGTCGATCTTGTCGGTGATATACTCGGCTTCTTCCGTGTAATCTGGCCGGGGAGCGGCAGAGTGTGCACGTCGGTGAGTCTCAATTACGCGAAGCGAATCGCGGTCCTTCTCATACACCAAGTCGTCCTCGTCATAATATGTTGGCTGCCGACGCGGAGGCAGAGGACGCTCACGCGGACGAGATCGGGATCGTGTACGGTGACGGATATCAACATCAGTCTCATTGCGACGGATATCGATATCAATATCAAGGTCACGCTCCTTAACCCGAGGGGGCGCTGTTCGGGGTGGTGGCGGCGGCGTCGGAGGCTTCACTCGTTCGACGCCTGCTGACATGTTAGATCGTCACAGCTCGAATCCGGCGTCGGAGGCGTTTGTGGACTCACCGTGATCAATGTCCCGATAGTGCGTAATAACTTCGCGCTCAATAGTCGGTCCGCGAATGACCTGAGGCTGCGGCGGCGGAGGTGATGGGCTCGGCGAGGGAGCTCTCTGCTCTTTCTCGCGCTCGATGCGGAGGCGGATATAGTCGTGCTCCCTATCCGGGGTCGGCGACCTTTCCCGTCGCCTCTCAATCGTACGAGACTCTACCCGCACAGCCGCTGGGGGAGGGGAGGGCGAGTGTTCGACATATCTTTGTCGAGACATCGGGGGCAACGAAGGCTCCCGCTCACGACCCCTCTCCACATAGCGCTGGTACCGAACAGGGCTAGGGCTACGAGCACGTCGGCGGTCAACCGACTCGACCTCCCGCTGGCGTAAAACAAGCGCACCAGCCTCAGTCCTCCTGACATCCTCCCTTAAAAATGCGGGGGTACGGTCTGCTCGGTCTCGGTCGCGGGGTTGGACATCTATATCCTCATATTCCCTCACGGTCACGCCTGCCCTGCGCGGCGGGCTGCGACGTCGCTCATAGGGCTCATAGTCGTCGTCGACGTCTCTCCGGCTAGATCTGTACGCCATATCCCGAGTCTGAATCTTGGTGGTTGTTCTTGGTTGCGTTCGAAGAGATTGATTGAGGGACAAGCGAAGAAGAGGGGTTTGCCAATTAAGTGGGTGAAGTATTCACCGCTCAAGTGCGTCACTCTTTGCAGCGGGGTAGAGAGGAAGAAGTCCTATTCTTAGTTGCGCAAGCTGACAGGGAAAAGATCAACACTAGCAGGAATCCTTATTTAGGTCGCGTACTGCGGGTTCGCCGACCCGAGATATCTCTCGTGTTTTTTTTTTTTTAAGGCTGAAGCCCAGCAGGAAGATTCTGATGGGTAAACAATGTTTGAGAGAGAGAGAACGAGAGAAAAGAGAATGGTCAGACAGATTAATATGTGGGAGCTGAGATTGTCAGAAGGGGCATCAGTTGATGGGGGGGTCACACGATTCGACCTTTTGCGGATAGGCTAGCAGGGTCCTTCGTCGGATTCTCGGATTGGGTGCCAAGGTAGTCATACAAAATACAAACTTGACAAGCCGACTAACGGTGCAGACCAGCAGATAAGAATGCTAGATCTCGTCGGGAGTTGAACTGCAGCCTCAGGCTTTGAAGAAGGGAGGAAAAACAAACGTCGTCATCACACAGCAGCAGCAGTTTTAGCCAGGAGACCCAAAGCTAAAGTATTGAGGGCTTCGAGAAATAAGCAGGGGGGTTGGTGCGAAGAGGGGTGCGAATCAAGGCAGGCCAAGGCTGGCGGGCTGGGATCTGGCGGCGATGCGGCGATGCTACCTACTACGTGGGTAAGCGTGCGTGTGTACATGGAGTGCTATATGATGAGACCTTGACGGGGGGACCCGCGCGGGTGCTGTAACGAGATAGATGTCAAGGAGCCAGGCGGGTCAGGCTAAGGGAGAGGGCATGAACGAAGATTAGACACTGTATGAGTATAGGCATTGAGAAAGGTGGGTAATATGCCGCCCAGAGTGTGGCTTTGCCCATCTCGTCGGACTTGGTGCTGGGGCCCTCCCACGGTACGGCGGGTAAGTAATAAAGATGACGACAAGGTCTGCGGGCGAGAGAAAGAATGGAGAGAGTGTGTGTTGAGGTTCCGCGTACTGTCGTTCCCTCTCCCGCCCAACCCAACTCAGCAGGCCGCCGCGGCCGCTGCAGGCTGAGCGTAATGGGTGTCCCCGTGAGAGAGCGGGACCATCCCTTAGCGAGACACACGCGCGCACATACGCACACGCACAGCCGACCGGGGTTGGGCAGCTATACGGAGCAGGCTGCGCATGTGGGAACCGATATTGCAGTGCGGCGGCATAGGACAGTAAACAGCAGCATAATATCTCGAGCTCGACGGCGTCACGCCATAGGCCGAAGCTACCACGCGCCACGTCTGCTCACGACACCGCGGCATTCGGAAGCACGTATGGGCAATCTCAGAGACGTCAGATTCCTCCCTTTACCCTTCACCGCAATGCGGAAATGAAGCAAGCAGTCCTTTCTAGTCCTTTCTTTTCCTCGAGGTCCGATGAGGGATCGAATGCATCATACATGGCGGGTGCTGCATACGGCTGGGTCTGATAGGGTGGTCCTGGTTACTTCGCTGAGACGGGCAGTGCTACGGGGGTGGATCGGGCGGATTGGGCAGACGGAGTAGGCCGGGCAAGGGACGGGGGATATTGACGTATAGGCGTAGAGAGGGAGGGAAGAAGCCAGAAGAGGAGGGAGAGGAGAGGGGAGAGAGGAGAGGAGGGGAGAGGGGAGGGGCGGCGGATGCTGGTGGGCTCGAAACCCAGCCGGAAAAGGCGCTGACGCAATCATGCAGCCCCGAGCCCAGCCAGTCTCGCCTTTTGCCGCTGCCCAGTTTCTCTCTTCTTCTTTCGTTCGCATCGTGACTTCTGCAGTCTGTTTAGTAGCACTACCGACGACGTAGGTACCTAAGTATCTAAGATACCTCCCTACAGCGAGGCGCGTGGGCAGGTGTGTAAGTACAGGTACCTACCGAAGATGGATGAGTGAGCGCTACCTGCCTATGTCCAGCGTTGCTGGCCCACTCCAGCGGATCCAGCTTGAGTTATCTGAGGAAGGTTAGATGCTATTATCCCGTCCCTGCCCCGGTCTGACGGAAGGTTGGTTAGGCATGTCATTAGCACCGCTCAGACAATACCCGTCAAGCATATACCTACTATGATCCCTAATTTCACATGATGTCGCCAACCACCCCTCCTCCCCTCGCCCCCAAAAGCAAACGAACATCACAGAATCGTAACTCGACTATCCACACCCCGCCTATCCGGCACTGCTACCTCCTCACCACCACAGAGGACCCGTGGCACATTGCTCCTGGGATTCGTGCTATTGCCGTTCGACGATACCTACATAGCGCTCATGCCATTCCCGTACAATTACGAGCTTCCCCACGGGCTCCGCAGTCGTTGGTGCCGCTGCGGACGTTCCCTAGCCAGTAAGCGTTGGTCTAACAGCCAAGTGTCCATATGTATAACCGCCGTCAGCTACTGACTGGGATGAGCTGTTTTTCACGAACTCGTGGAGGGCGAGAGCGAAGAGGAGAAAGAGGAGATTCTGCTGGACACCCGGTGGCCAACCTCACTCCGGGATCGGCTCTGTCCTGCCCGTCCCCTAAATCGAGCTTAGCCGACGGGCCGTACCGGCGGTCGGCTCAGAAGCCTCTCGGGACATACTGCTGGCTCGTAACCTTTCTTTTGGACACTTCGCCTTTGGTGGGACTCTCTCTCTCTACGAGACATGGAAGAACACAAGCATCCTACCGTAACTGCAATACGATCATTTTTATCGAAGAAATTTCTAGGTTACTTTCTGGTCATGGTTGATACCAAACAAATCGACACCTATCGCGTAGGTATATCACATACCTATATCGCATATAAGACTGAAAGCCCACATCGCTGTTGAGAGGCTATCAGATGTATCGCCGTGGTGTCATCACTGGTCTGTGATTAGGTCCGTTAGGCAGGTAGGCAAGCTAATCGAGATCTGTTTCCGCCTTTCACACCACATACGGGCAGCAACAGTAATGTCGCAGTGGCCATTGTATCCTCTCGGGTTCCCGGTGAACCTTGTCGCGGGTATAATATATATGGATGCTCCCTACCCCGAAATGACAGCTGGGGCTTGAAATGAATCGAAACCCCGTGAAATTTGCAATCCGCGCCAGCCATAAGCCTAACGGACTGAGGACATCGAACCTCCAATCGACCTAGCATGCGTGTCGCTTATACGAGCGCAACCCGCACCTTCTCCAGCCGAATCGGGTCGTGTGCCAATAAATTCAGACTGAGTTCCTCCTCGCCACTGTCGCCGTCACCCCTATCCGCCTTCACCTTCGGGAACCCCAACACCCGCAAGTCGTCCGGCTGCGGCGCGGTTGGGGGTTCCGGGGGTCCCAGCAGACAGCCATCAACAAACCCAACCCTGCGGTACTTCTCGCCGCCTCCGCGCCGCTGCTCCTCGTCCTCGCGCTCGACGAGCAACCCGAAGCAGTGCTCGAAGAACTCGAAATCGACGACGAACGGGAGCCGCATGAGGAGCACGATATAGAGCTGGCGACTCGCGGCGTCCGCCTCACCCTCGACGTCGAACGCGCCGTCGATCCAGAGCTCGCGTTCGCTGTGCCGGAAGCAGAAGGTCCGGTCCGTGACGGGCGACCTCTCGGGGACTTGTCCAAACACACCCTCTGCCGGCATGGGAGGTTTCCGTGCCCGCAGCGCTGCGTCGGCGACGCGGATCATAGGTGCGTCGAGCCGCAGCTCGCCGTCGATCAGCCGGCTGCCGAGCGTCGGCACGTCGCGAGCCTCGATCGTGTGCCCGACCCATGTGGCGAGCGGCTCAAAGTTGGCGCAGCTCTGCTTCCAGCCGGCGCGCTGCGCGTGCCACCCATACGTTGGGAAGTGCACGCGCCCCCGCACCGCGATCCAGGACCACGACGGCGCCGGATAGTCTACCGGGCGGGTGAGCGGTCCGGCCTCCTCCTCTGCTGGGGGCGACGATGATGACGGCGACGAAGATGGTGCTGCCGCGCACCACGCCAGGCCCTCGAGTAGCCCGCCGAACCAGATCCCGACGATGTGGCGGTCGCCAGTCACCGCGCCGAGTGCGTGCGCCAGCCCCAGCAAGGCCGGCAGCCGGTCGGAGTCCCGCGTGATGCCGCGGCCCGTGTACTCCTCGATCATGGCGTACCAGTCTGCGTAATTGGCGATTACATCGTCTCCCTCATCTCCGTCGCCATCCCCACCGTTCTCATCCACATCATCATTCTTGTCGTTATTGCCGTCACCATCGCCAGCCGTAGCTGCCCCACGTGGTGAGAACAAGTTAAACACCGTTGTCGGCACGCCCGCCGACCGCGCCACACGCGAGAGCTGATCGCCGGGTAGCGAACAGGCGTCGCCGTCCTCGGCGACGCGCGTCCGTGCGCACTCCCAGAAGGTCTGCCGCGCACCGTAGTGTATAGCGCGGCGCGCGAGGTACCGCTCTTGTAGGCACCACGCGCGGAGGCTCAGGGGCTCGCCGTCGGTGGGATGCGCGTGGTCATCCGGCGGCGAAGAGGGCAGCAGATGGAGAACGAGACGCCGTCCTCCTGTACCGCTACTGTCCCGCGTCGCGGTGACGAAATCGACGCGGCCGCCGCCGAGCGGTCGCGGGCCGAGGAACCCCTCGTCATCCGAGGCCCCGCGCGCCGCAGCCAGGACGAGGTGCGCATTGCGGTACACGTCAGCCATGCGCTCGGCCTCGCGGCGCCAGTCCTCGACGTCATCCTGTACGATGCACAGGCTATCGATCCAGACGTAGCGTAGGCCGAGGGCGCGGACGACGCGCGCCGCGTCCCGGAAGGTACACGGAAGCCGATCTCCAGAGATGCCCTCGCGCCGGTGGCTCTCGAGCGAAACCTTTGTCGTACGCAGCTGCTGCGCGATACCCCAGCAGTGGCTCAGGGCCACGTAACGGTTGTCGACTGCAGCGCTGCCGTCCAGGAGGAAGATCCGGTCGTCGTGTGCTCCATCGCCAACGTCAAGAAGCCGCGTGGGCACAGCAGGAACTGGAAGTTCGGGCCAGCACGACTCATGCTGCTCGAGACAGGTCTGCAGCCAGGCTTTTGCAGTGCAAATAGCCGCGGCGGACATGGGGTCTTCCCCAACCGCAACCCCGATGTCGAGATCGCCACCCTTTCCGCAGTCCCCTCCCCCAGCGGGATGAGTGATCCTACACTCGGCCTCCAGTCCATCGTGTACCTCCCAAGAGCCTGAAGACGTGGGGTTACACGACACGGTTAAAATAAAGCTCAACTTCTCGCCTTCGCTACTAAAGCGGCGTCTCTTCGTAATTTGGACATCTACTTGCCCGTCGCAGTACGCGTCGATGTCCCCTATATCGTCGTGAAGGTCTTCGGGAGGAGTTTCGGGGTCGAACGTCGCCTCGCTAAAATTCTGTTCAATGACCTTTAAGCGAGAGCTCCTCCAACCTCTGGAGATGAGTCCGCATAGCTGGCAATCCGCGGCCGAATTGAAAACGTCACGGCCGTGAGAGTGCCATCCCTTTATTTCCACTTCGTCGCCGCTGTCTTCTTCCTCGGTCCTCGCCGAGGCGACCAATGCTCGCCGTAGGACCCCAGCTAGGTCGAGACTCGAGCACGTTAAGCAGAGTGACATTTTCAGGGCACAGTTAAGTGCGACCAGATGTAGTCTTCGTTGTCTGCGGTTCGATTCCGATTAATAGCTACTTCAACTGCATTGCTGGAGCTATATACCACATAGGTATATAAAGGCACCTTACGAATGCAGACATCGACTCTCCCCCGCACGTCTAATATTAGTTGTATGTGTCATACAGCTGACAAGCCTCTCCAGACTTACGCGCCAAGGAAGAATGGTTGACTAGGAGAATGCAGTATGATGATTATCGCGTCCATCGTTAGCTAGAGACGGAACTAAACCGTCGTCGCCGCCCTCCTTACATCCGACAATACGGCATCCCCCGAGAGCGGCGCACCTCGACGCCTGTGGAAATATAACCTGAACTAATTATAGCGTCTGGTCTATACGATAATGCACCCATGCATTGTCTTATTTCTAAATGCCTGCGATGTTCGTTAGCCGCGAAAGCAAAACTAAGATCATTCTTTTAGATCGTCGATAGAGTCTCTTGAACTGACCTCAACAATACTACACAGGATTAATCGACATACCAATGCGCCGGGCACGAGAGGTTGCAGAACTCAAGACGATGGAATTCGCAATAATCAGATTGCAGATTGAAAACTCTTCTCATTGAGACCCCACGGGGAAACTCAGGCCACCCGTCAATCGACGCCTGTACCGCAAGCATTTCGTAAACCCGAGCTTGACCTAACGCCAACAAATGCATCGTCTTCTACAGTCAATTTCCCATAGGGTGGTGCATCAGCCGATTCGTCACCAAAACAAAGAACAAGTCGACCCCGTAGAACTCCGGAAGGGAAGGCGATAAGTCCCGTGATAGAACCGGCGGGGGCAGCTCCTCAGGCTTTCCGATGGGTGAATGATTAGGCGTGCCTCACGCGAGCAGCTTCGAATTGCTGCTTCTGGAGCTCTGCCAGCTCTTCCATTGTCATCCCGCTGTCTTCAAGCTTGTTTCCTCTCTTCTCGCGGACCTAATATAATAATTAATACATCGCTTCAACATCGGCCCAAGCATTTGCCGTACCTTCTGGGTCTCTTTGTGCTGTGCTGCGGCCTCGAGAACCGCGGGAACATACTCGCCGAATCCCAGGGTTTCTAGGGCCTTAGTAATGTGGTCGCATGCGATGGTCTTCTTAGCCTCCTTCTCTGAGATCTCATTTGCTTCTGAGGAGACTAAGGTTATGAACTCCACGCAGCACTCTATGAGCAGATCACGGGCCTCCTTTGAGAAAGAGAAACCGGTTGACGGTGGCAGAATCTCGCTCACGATCTTCTGCACGGTCGCTACCATTTGTTAGCTCACTATTGAGGAGCAGTTTGGCGGATGCAGAAGCTACCAAGCCGCAACTCGGAGTGCGTCGCTGGCTTGCACGGCCCAACTACCAAACTCAGGTGGGAGGTTAACGAATTAACGTACCCTTGGGGAGAGACAGGTCATCGCTTCCTATATATCAGCCAGTTAGTAAACTAGGTCCCCTATGCCAGAGGGAGGACAAGGCCGATAAGAGACGAAGACAGTCAGTTCCGGCCTAGGAAAATACCAAAGCGAGCAGGCAAGGTCTCAGAAGACACAGACTTAGATCGGCCCATGATGAAAATCTGGTAGAGGGTGGATGGTAGTAGGTCAAGCTAGGATGCAGTAGCGGATCTTATCCCAAATTTTGATTACTGGCCTCAGAAGAGGGAGAAGTAATATTTGCCGGCAGGTAAATGAGGATCCGAGTCTGCTGGAGTGGGCGTGGAAGTGGTTGATCCCCGGTGAATGGACGAGGTGAATGAATAATAGGTTTACATGATGTGACACGCCTCTTGCAACTACAACACAAGAACAAGCTGTCGATGACGATGGCTCGAGTGGATTCTCATGATGATTGCTAGGCTATAGTGAATGAAATCTACTCATCCGCCTCCATCCGGAAATCGATGCTTGAAGGGAGGTATGTGCTTCCATAGGCTCGCCTCGCCTTTCCAGGGCCGGATCCGCATTGTTGTCGAGTGGAAGCAAATTCAACTCACCTCCATACTCATGGTCTGACATGGTGAGCGAGGCTGAGAGCGCGCGGGGCACGAGTCAAAGGAGTACAGAATCCTCTTATATTGGAGGCGGGCTAGGCACCTGAGGTTCTTGGTCGCTTTCTCTCGCGTCTAGCTTCGGAAAATGTAAATGAACCCAAGTCTCGAGAAGGAAAACAGAGCCTAAATTGGGGCCCGAGGCGGCCGAGAAGAAGAGAAGTTGGAAAATGAATAGATAACTTTTGCCTCCTTTGATGGGTGATCAAACGGTGTTTTATGTAGGTATCTCTCAGCCACAGCCGGTGAGTGAGGGCCGGGCTGAGCCACAACTAGGTACCTAGCGTACCTGGGTACTTTCTTTACTCGGAGGCTGGCGTCTTTTAACTTAGGTACTTCCCTGTACATAGGTACCTACGGGATGTAATTCCCCCAGAACACTAGAGCCTGATTGGTGAGATAGAAGGCTAGTACAGTGCGTATTCCGACCATCCTCACTACCTAGCCACTGCAAGAGAGCTATGACCACTTGCTTGCATTCCCCAGCCTAACAAATGTAACTACTTTTTTTTTCTCATAATCCAACTTGCTCGTAACCTTACAAACCTTCGGGTATTTCTCCCTCTGTTCTGCTTCAGCTTCCAGCGCCCATGATGATGGCCCCAGCCAGCATTGCTGTTGCAGTGTCTACGGGGGTTCCGTCTTCCTGCCCTTTAAGCCTCGGTAGGTTCTGCTTCTAGCACATGCACCCCGTGTCTTATTTTCCCTGATGAGCATTTGTCGCCCCAGTCTTACCACAGCCTGACGGCAACATGGTGATTGACAGGTCAAGCCAAACGACATATCTGAGTCCATAAGCCAAGGACAGCTCGCTTTACCATTTTCTGCATGTCGCGCCCTTCGTACTTTGCTGACAACGGATCCCGCAGGCCGCGCTGCCGCGTTTACGTCCCGCGAAGAAGCGGGAAAATAGCATCCAAGGTAACCCGATGCCGAACTATTTCCCAATACTCGAATCCACGATCATGATGTCCAAATTGTAAAGATGTTATCAAATTCCGATCCAACATGATGGATCCTATTATTCGCTGATCGATCCCACTCCCCTCGTTGACGCGACAAAAGCAACCATATATGCGGGGGCTATGAGGCTGACGTGTTGGTAGTAAGGGCATCGGTCATAACAGCGGAGATTCTGATGGCAATCTGGCTCGATAGCTATAGCCCATGTGCAAGGTATGAGGGTTATTTCTAAATCCTGTAGCAGCTGCTTGTGATGATCTATCTCTACGAATTACCGAACCCCCATGTTGAAATCTGTCAAATATTTTCATCTTTCGTCTGAAGCGCTGCCTCTCCCCGTCAGCAACACAAAAAAGGGGTTGGGTCGCAGCTAATTGTGGCATAGTATCCGCTCAGATATCCGCTTCGGCTCAGACATCCTGAAAGTTGGCCAGCTCAGGTGCGTTCCACCTGCGTGCGCGTCAGCAACATCTACGAGAGGCCCCAAGCGCCGCCTAAACGTACCTGAAGTGTTTCCCATTCACATCCTTAGTGGCGCCCTCGACAAGCCTGGCTATGACATTCCCTGGCTTTTTGGGATCGAGGAGTCGGCCGCTCTTATGCTCATCGACAAAGTGGGCATGCAAGTCCGGCGTCATGGCTTCCTTCCCCCCCTCTCTTATCTGTTTCTGCATGTCTGTATCGACTTTACCCGGAGAGATGGCGACGCTCGTAATAGCGGGCTCCTCAAGGGCCAAATGAGCAGAAAGGTGAGTGAGCGATGCCTTGGAAGTGCCGTAAGATCCCCAGCCAGAGTATGCGCCGAATGCGGCGCCAGTAGAAATGAATACCACCCGGCCGTTTGACTTTCGAAGCTCGGGGATGGCTTCCTTGACCTGCGGCTAAGAGTTAGGCCGGCCGCTGGAATGCCGGGGGGTCGCCCGGGACGACGAGATGGGACAGACTCACAAGTGCCAAAGCGCTGAGGACGTTGATATCATAGGCTTTTCGCCACTCCTCGACATTCGATTCGGATATCCTAGTGATGGGGGCGAGAACGCCATGGTTCACGACCACGCCATCTACCCTGCCAAAAGCCTGCAGGGCCGACTCGATGATCCGGGGTGCAACCTGCAGATGTCGTGAGCATTCCATGCCGCGCAGTCTTGGCGTTATCGCATTAGGCTTGCCTTCCAGTCCGCGAGATCAACAGCCAGGTACTCGACGGAGGAGCCATGCTGGGCCTTGAAAGCTTGCAGGTCCTTCTCCGTCCTGGCAACAAGGAAAACTCGGTGTGAGGCCTGGGCCAAGTACTGGGCGACAGCCAGTCCGAGGCCTCGGCTGGCACCAGTGATGATGAACACTTTTGACGACATAACCAGCGCGTGAGCGAGGACTAGGTAATCTCCGGCCAAGTGAATCGCCAGCAGTGCGTAGTGGGTGGCAATACCGGGGCCGACGGGAGAGGGAGAGGAAGTAATTTTTATGTATGTGTGAAGGCCACGAGCTAACTAGCAATATTACGGAGTCCTTACGTATATGTTTATACCTAGTGTGCCATCGGGATTGGAGTGTCTCGACATCTTCAGTTCCATGTCAGTGGGGTGACGGAGGAGGGGGAGCACGCGAACCACTGCAAATTTGTCGTCCTGCCTTGCCAGCTAAGGAGATATAGGTGATACCAGCAGGTACCCTTTAGACGTATATAGCCCGATACGTACATACGTGGTAAAAGGTACACATCTAACAGGTCTGTTATCTGCCGTCCATCAGATCGAAAGCCACAGCTTCATAGTCCCGAACTGCACGAGACAGAATAATTAAGCGAATCGTCCCTGGCGACTTGCCAATGTAACTTACATTTTGCCTGTGATTGCCTGTCGGGTTTCTCAGCTTCTCTAGTTACCCGTTTTCGAGAAGCACTTCAGCAGGTTCTCTGCATGCATGTCTTGTTTCGAGTAGGTAAGAGTTGGACGTGAGGCTGCAAAATGTAACCATTGGAATTCCCCCCATTCAACACGTATGTACGTAGGTAGTCACCAAATAACCAAATGCGCCCCTTTCCAAGGTAGCATAGTTCTACGTAGGTGGTTTACCAAACGTGTCTACCCTATGGCGTCCGACTCGACGACATGTAGGGATACCCCGAGTTATCCACGGCTATCCTCTCTACGGTCCGCTGGTTCCGCCTATTCCGGCCGATCCGGCTCCCCGTCGGCTCTCCCCCAACTGTAGGCTGCCATCTATCCGAAAACCAAGCCTCGGCACTTATACCTAGGTCGTGGATCCATAGGTAGACAAGGGAGACCTGGGTTAGGAAACTTGCGGGCATCATATGGTAGATAAGGGTGGGTGGCGGTAGGCAAATGTTATCGGTGAGGGCACAACGGGATGAATAGAGCTGAGTCTGGAAAATACCAAGGTATGTATAAGGGAGCAGAGCAACGGAGCTTTGCCTTATCTCCCGGTAGATAGGACTGCCAGCACCGGACAGGCTCTCCCTACGAGGGACTGCAGTGCACGCAGTCTGATTATGTCTGGTATCGCCCTCTTAATAGGCTTGCGGGAGGGGGGGGGGGGGGGGGGGGGCGCTGGTGGATATGCCGTTGAAGGTCCGCAAAGGCAGTCTTTTTCTCCTCTCCGTCTCTGTTTCTGTCCGGCAACCTACTAGCAACGTTCTCTACCTTGGAGCCATTTAGGTATCATACGTCATAAAGAAAAATGACGGACGCTTATACCTCCTGTTGGAGAAATTATGCAGATTCCTACCCGACACCAAAAATAGACGATTGCGCCAGCAATTAACTCTCGTCTGGTAGGACACAGATATGTAGATACCTGCCTACCTACTTACCTCAGCCGATCCCGTCGCCGACTCGACGCCCCGCCAGCCCCTAGAACCTGCTCGCCCCCTGACACGGCGCCGTCGAGTCTCACGCGGCAAGCACTGCCGGCGCGGGGAACGCGCCGCCCGTATGCAGTGCTAGCAACGGGGAGGCAGCTCGCACGCATCCGTGCTACCTCTACTTCGCGTGCTTGTGCGCCCTGCTTACGTCGGTGTGTCGAAAGCGGACAGCTCCTCCGCCACCCGCAGTCACGCCGAGAGCACGGCCAGAAGGCGACACGAGGCGCTCGAGGGGAAAGAAAGCTTGCGTGCGCCCTCGCCCCTCGATGCCTACTGCGGCCTCGACCCGGAAATTAGGGGGGGGGGGGGGGGGGAATTGGGGTAGGGAAGACCTAAGACATGGGATCCTATCGAACGGACGTAGGTATGGACTCGGGCCCAAGTCTCGAGGGGCCTGGAAGCCGAGAGGGGGAGAGACGGCCTAACCGGTGAGCTGGATACATGGGCGGACAGAGGCAGCCAGGCAGAAGAAGGGGCCCGGGCGTGCGGCCGCACAGGTGAAGAAGGCGGTGGCGGTGGCGTTCCAGTCTCGAGGATTCGCTACGCGCCGCCGCACCTGGTTAGTCCCTGCGAGTGCGCAGCTGGCTGGGACTACTGCGCTGTCGCGCCTTTCTCCTTTGGGTTATATATTGGCTCCGATACGCGGGCTGCGGGAGATGAGCAACTCGCATTTCCCCCCGGGGAACCGGTGGCACGCGAGGAGCGGTGATCCTTTTTCTTTGTTGTCTCGCGCGCAAGCGTGTGCGTTGGTGCGTGGGATGGTAGGTAGCAGCAGCAGCAGCAGCAGCAGCAGCAGTAAGCCCGAGCGGGCGCCGCCTTCTCGTGTGCGACTCGTGGGCCGCGCAGGGGAGGACGAGCAAAGATATTGTCTGAGATGGAGGTCGGTAACCCAAGGCCGTCTGCGTCTATGGTAAGTGCATGCATATAGCGTTGCGCCGCCAGGATCAGTGCTATCTGCGCGTGCGCGAGTCCCAGGAACGTGGACGCAAGGGGGAACAAATCTCTTCTTACCCAGGAAGCAAGGGAGGGTAGCTGAGTGGCTCTCACCACGCACGAACTTGCTGCTACCAGAAGCCATGGCACGGCACATCCTTCCTCGCACGTTAGATCGAGAAGCGCTAGGCCCCCATATGAGACATTCGAACCTAGTTACGTCCGAGTTGGTCTCTCCCCTGTCTCAGTTGGGCGCTTTCATCTAGGCCGGCGTCGTGAGACACACACGTAGACGTATATCTGCACATGCGTATGTGCGTTCCTACTTACCACACGAGGTGGGATGTAGGGGGAACTGCAAGCCACAAGCCACCATACTCTTGCGAGCGGATGTCCAGCACCTGTTTACGTTTGGGCATGCTCTCTAGGAGGAAAGGTCGGTCGTCAACATTGAGTCATTGAGGGAGGACTTCGAGCAAGCTTAGATGCTTAGAGAAGAACGTAAGATGCCGTCAGCATTGGAGCGCAGAATAGGTAGCGAATATGCCGAATATACCTATATAAATATGTAGGTACATACTCACTTGAAGAAGGGAGTCAAGGACTGGATCTCGGTAGTTAAGCTAGGCTTTTACATTAGGTGGGTATCATGATCGAATACTAGCCATGAGTCGACGGAATGTGAAATAGTGAATTAATAACTAGCAAGTGGTATCTTTTATATCCCTAAACCCGGTTTGCACCCAAAATATGTGTAGTCCTAGTAGATTATGAGCGTACAAGGTACAGCACCATACGTGGTGGTAACCTAATCCCCTCAGTCCCGTCCGTTATGCTGTTCATGAATCGCCTTTTCACATTTGACTCCTGTTGGTTTTGTGATGGCGATAGTTCTACTACCCCATCCATAAAAAGTCAGAACCAAGCACAGTTCCCTCAAGCCCGGCTGCGAAAGGCCCTAGTAATAACACAGATCTCGAACAAAAGCATCGCTCTCCTGTCGGTGGCGTTTGAATGATGTAAAACAAACAAAAAAACAAGGCGAACTTGTTATTAGGGGAGCTCAAAGTTGTGCTCCTGCTCCTCTTCCTCCTCCGAGTCGAGGTGGAAGACTATGCCTCGGCGCTTCCAATCCCCGCGCTTAAGGTAAACGTCCCGGTCGTTCATCCATTCTGTGGGCCGTCTCCTGGGGTGGGTCAGACGGCTGGGCGACTCGGGAGGCGAGGAGGAGAGGGAAACGGGGGACTCTAGTTCCGCCAGGCCCGGCGGTACGGTCTGCCAGTCTTTGAGGGGCCAGTTCGCGCTCTCGTCGTAAACGTACGGCCGGCCACCCCCGGGCCGCGCGAGATAGCAGCTGTGTCCCGTGACGGGGGAGCACTCGGTTGAGTCTTGTAGGTTGTCCCCGGCATGGCTGGTCTGGTCGTCCTCGCGGTATGTGATCTCGTCATACTCGGGGATGATTTGCGGCGACATGTTGAGGCGCAGAGGTGGGTGCAGAGAGAGCGGGCTATAGCTGGCGGCTCGGTCCTGGCTGCTCGTCGACGAGCATTGCGAGGCGGTGCTCGAGATACTCCATTTTCGGGTGTGTATAGACGGCTCCTCCGGACTGTCCTTCCTGCCTAGCAGGCTGTTCTTCGACTTCTTGAGAGATAGCGTTGGTAGACTTAAACCGCGCATGTTGATGATGGTTGGTGATGGTGATGGTTGACACCGGCAATGTTGGCGACAATGGTGATATCGCATGCAAGTGCGTGACCCGTCAGCGAGTGGGTGGGGGGAGAGGAGAGACGGAAGGAGTGTGACGATGTAGGTATAAGCCGAAAAGAGAGAGCAGCTGAGCTACGAATGTAGGTAAGCGGGTGGGTGGGTAGGTGTGTATGGTAGTCGACAGATGCGGATTTGATCAGACCCGGGGTTGAGAGGCAGGAGGGTTGTGTTTTAATACCGCTCAACCGCAGTGTTCGGACTGCTCGGTGGTGACTGGAGATCGGCAAAAAGAGGAGACGGGCCACTTGGTGCCTTGCAGGTCGCTTCTGACACTTGCAGCCTGGACGGCGATCACGAAGCGTGGCCGGCAGGATGGAGACAAGACGGCGGTACGGACGAGAGCGAGACGATAGTGAAAAGCTTATTATTATTCTGCCAAGACGATTCAGCACCAGCACGACATACGATCCAGGGCTAATACGATGTCCCTCTCCCGCTAGGCCCGTGATGGTGTGTGAACTGAATGCGTCATGGACCGCTAGCGGCATTAAACCCACACATCGGTTACCAATCCGTAGGATTGCTGATCGCACGCCGCCAATTGCTGGCTGGTGTCTCAGAGGCCCGGTCGGACTTTGACGAGATGGTGTGGAGGGAGAGACGGATGGGCGGACGAGTGAATGCGTGGGCAATTCCCAACGGCGGGAGCGCATCGACGCTGCGGCTGCTCTTAGGAATGCTACCTGGGTTAGTCGACGCACTTACACGAGTCGCCGTATCTAGCCTTTCGTCTCGCTTTCGCTTCCCTCCCCTCCTCAGCTTCCTCGCCGCTTGCCAAGGGTAGGCATCGCGCGTCATGTACCTGCGGGGCGAGACCGAGCTCGACGGATTGGTCAGGAACGTAGACGGCCGGACCCATGATGAGGTTTCGCATCTCGACGAGAGCAATTCGCAAATCCAGAAAGAAAAGAAAAATAAAATCGGCAGAGAACAAAAAGCCACAAGATTGCTAGAATACGGCGACGGGGCTGCTGCGGTAAGGCTACCCTGGCTGCCTGCCCCATGTCCTATAGTCGCATCAGTTTGGATGATCCGCCGATCATAGATAACAATTCTCACGATGCTAGGGCCATGTGGGCTGGTGGCTAAAGATCAGCTAAACCCAGAATTGCAACCGTACGAGGGACGAAACCGTCCCCCAAGTCTGCGTCGTCAAATCTAGAGCTCTGCCTCGAGTACCTCGTCCGATCTGCTCTGATCGGGCATGAAACGGGCTCGAGCTACCTAGGTTTCGTCGAGCGAATCAAACTACATCACGAACCCCCTCACTCTCCAGGTGCTAAGGCAGCCGGAAGGCGAGGGGCTAGAGACGTGAAGCGATATGTAAGCAGCGATACTGTGATTATACGCCTACAGAAACGCACCTGACCTGCCCTCAGATTACGTGGCTGCCAGGGAGATGTTGAGCAATGGCTGTCGCATCTTCTCCTCTTACGCGGCCGGAGGCGCGAGGCGTGGGCCGATGCTGACGTCGTCGCTAATCAGTCGCACCTCTAACCTTCTGTAGACCGACACCGGTTTTGTTTGTTATCCGAACCCGACGACGCCGTCGGCGACGCGAAGCACCAGATGATAGATTCCGGGGCTACGATTGGCTCCCCTGGGTGCTATTCGCGATTGTCATCTCGCCCTGCTCTCGCCCCGTCTCTCGCCCAAGCTTTGAACAAGAACCCTAAAGGGCCTAGGATGGCGAAGCTAGAGGTTACCGACGGAGATTCGGAATTTCGGAATAAGTCATGCTTGGTCTTGGAGACGATCTGTTGGCGAAATCCCAATAGGGCTGTTGCGAGGCGGGCCTTGCCGGCGTCCCTTTATTCATGGGGTCTCCGATTTCATGTCGCGGGACAGGGGCCTGTGGCCGTTTGACTGGTTGCTAGATTTGTGACCAACAGGCCGGGGGCAGTCCGTTGTAGATCTCGAGACGCGAGTCAGGCCAAGCGACCAGGCCAAGCTCATCTAGGCTTGGTGTCGTTTGAGAGGAGCTTCCCCAGAACTGAAGCTTTTTCTGGGAATCGAGTGTATATAGGGAACCGATGGCCTGGTTCGGTGAGTTGGTAGTGATATTGACGGATCCCGCCGATCTCGCCTGATCAAGCTGCGCAGTACTTTCGCTACCCCTCGACTAGATCTAGCGTAGTCATGACTTAGGCCTGAGCGCATACCGCCGAAAAATAACCTGGGCTACGACGTTGTCGCCAGTCTGCGGCAACAAAACCCCGGACGCCGCCGCTCTACGAAATATGAATAATCAATATGGTATCCCTTGGCCTTCTGCGCATAGTGTCTCTGTGTTCAAGATCTGTTCCACATGGCAAGTGCATCGTGGTCTTTATTGGCGTTCTGCTGCGTTTCCTGGTTTAGTAGGTCAAGCAAGGCACCTTGCTATGATGATAGTAGAAGATATCCCAGTAGATCGGGCTGAATAGGCAACCCAGAGATTTGGTAGGTAGATCTTGAACGCAGGCCCTCATCTGGGTAGGTAATCGTAGATAGTCAAGGTCGTGCGTTGCGCCACGGCACCGCCCTACAGCAAGACGGGCTTATCTCATGATTTGTCAGAACCCAGAGAGGCGACTCTGGATTTCTAGATATTGGGGGGGCTAAGCAGAAACATCTTCTGACAAGGGCGTAGTTGTGCCTTTGATTCTATCCCCTGGCAGCCAATGAAGCCTGTGGGTGCTCACTGGTGTGGGCGTTGAGCCCGGTGCCCCTCCGCTTTCCCGAGATGAGGGGGCCGCGAGCCGTGGGTATGGGAGACTTGTGGCACCCTGATGCTAATGATGGGTGGTGTTATTCCTCACAATTGATGAAATCCGATTATAGGGCCCCATCAGGTTCGCCGGGAAGCCTCTTGACACGCTTCTGCTCCCAGTTTTCGAGATCTTTCGCTGCCAACCTCTTTACACGCATCCGAGGTTAGAATACATCCTTTCATGCGTGGTAGGCAGAGGTAGCTGCTAGATTGCTTGGGGAACTGACATAGTATTCGTCCTTGATATTGATTTTGCGGCCCGACTTGCCAACTCCCAATTCCTCCTCGCGAGTCATTTGTCTGACTCGCCGGTCGTGCTTCTCGTAGCGTACCGCCGTGGCTGGGGTCAGGACAAAAGAACCGGCTACGATGATAGACATGAATGGCAGGCCAAATAACAAGAACGGATGCTTGGCTAGCAACACGCGATATCTCGCAGCGAGAGTGCCAGCATTGGCAGCACTGGGGTAATTTTTCGATTGGAAAACCGCCATTGCGATGTGCGGTCAGTTCCCGGTCGACAGCCCGGTCCCGACTTGACTGTATGAGCTCGACGAGTTATCGTGAGCTATATCGTGAGCCCACGGTTTCAGAAGGGCGTATGTGAGACGTCGACCAGGGACGGCGGACGAGGCCCTGCTGGTTTTAAGTCGACTGTGTGGTGGTGTTGCTGGTGTGGTTAAAGGGTGGAATGATATTTTGGGATGGGTTTCCTCGTGGCGTGATATCAAACGGGATCAATCCACAGATACCGAAGGGTGACGTAATTATATATATGCAGTTATAGGGGTACCGGGGTGGAAAATATACCTCTTAGGTACCTAGGTACATATATCAAGGTATTTCGGCACTGGGGAAGGCCTAGGTAGGCACTTAACTTCCAGTAATAACGGATCGCTTGTTGTAATCTCTGTTTTCTTACATACCCGTTAGGTGGGTATCGACCTAATCTGAATATAGCAAGGTACCCGACAACCCCTCCCGCAGACAAGTTACGTAGCCCTACCCCCTGGGTACCTTGAGTTCCAACTTAAAATATGAGGTAGGTAAAGTACTACGTTACCTTAGGTACTTGTTCGGCAAACGGATATGGAAATGAGGTCCAACCTCACTAAATGCATAACCTTGTTACTGTCGCTACCTATGTTCCCAATGAGTCTCCTCTGAGATTGGATTTGATAAATCACGTGCTACCGCGATAATCAAATTCGCGTTGGACGCGTCGGTGACTTCGGATGCATCCACGCTGGTCATAGGCATACCTACCTTCACCCTTCCGTCCGGAGCTGGCTGGTTTCTATCCATGATAGCTGTGACGTGATGGCTCCTACATCCCATGGAAGAGGGGGCCATAATGGTCGCGAAAGCCTTGCATCAGGCCCGTTGACCAATACCAATGACCCGCCGCCATCGACTCTAGCCGCCCAGCTGGTGGGGAATATCTCGACTTCGACCCGGTCCTCCCGGCCAGATGAAACAGCTGAACTGAAAAGATTCTTCGGTATCATCGAAGATGTCAAGAACCAGCCGGATCTGCTGAAAACGTCGAAGGAACGAATTGATCATAACCACATGCTCATTTATGTCTACACGCGAGTCGTGCTGGAAGGCCTCCGGTGGGATGATCCCTTTGCTGACAAGGCCCAGCTACGCGCAGATGCGCTGAGAGCCGTGAACTTTTTGAGGATCACCATCCAAGAGACCCCCGAGGTTCTCCTTGCTACCGCTGACGAATCTGCCTTCCTCTTCAGAGGCGCCGAGCCTCTCTGGCTGTGGATGTTACCAAAGGTTCTCAGAATGCTTGGCTACAGCCAGTGCTCAGACCTAAAGGATCAGATTGAGTTGTTCATCCGTGACGTTTTCTTGGTCGCATCTCAGGTGGGCGTACTATGGCCTTTACTGCCCCAATTCATAGCATACATGAAGCTCAACTTCAACGGTGCGCTTGCAATTCTCCCAGTCCACGCAGCGATTATACCATCTGACAGATCGTGAAGCTATAATTAATCACCTCCATGAGAAAGCTACCTACGCCAGAAGCCGAGATATTGCTCTCCGCTTACAATTGCCCTCGGACTCTTTTCTTATGTCAATACCCGGCGGTGATCTTAGGCTGCTTCAACAGCAGTGCACATATACTATACAGTTGGCCTCTCAGGCACTGCAGCACGCATATTGTCTCGTGTCGGTTTTGTCGATACCCTGGACGCATCAATGTCCAGGGTTTGATATTATCTCTGCTTTCCAGGAGTCAACGCCGTGGCTTTTCGACGCTTATCTTCATCTCCACGAAGCTTCAGCCCAATGGCAGCACCTAGCACTAAATTTTCTCCCTCTTTTCCTGAAGAATACTATGCAGCTTCTTGGAGCGCTAGAGAATGCGAGTAGCCCTGACGTCTGCATTCAGCAGAAGGCGTCTACTCTACTTATCATCCTCTGTATAGAGATGTCCAACCAATCATCGGGAAAGCCCCTAACTGACGACCCTGAAACCCCGGACTATAAATTGCTCTGTATGGCCCTTGTTAAAGTGGCCAAGACCTCTATCCGTTCAGGGCCGGTGTCACGGCTCATCGTGTCGCAACTGATTCCGGCTCTGGAGAAATTGACTATCGGTAATGAAGCCGCCGCTTCCGGCGCCGACCTGTGGGCAAGTACCTGCGGAGCGTAAGTTTGATAATAGGTTGCTAATTTGATTTAGGGGTGCCTGGAATTGCTTCGAAAGCTGGCCATTCATCCGGTGCCCAGCTCGGTTGATGACTCGATAGATGTATCAATTCAACCGGACAAATTTTCGGACAACGATCTTTGTCGCCAGATCCAAGAGCTAGTAGTACGACCTATTGATGCTGTAGATTCGGAACCAGTATCAAAGCGCAGGAAGATCTCGGCCGAGCCACCGTCGCTATCTCGAGTCGTCACTCAGTTATGTGTTCTCTTAAGAGTAGAGACGGCAGTGAACCTGGTGGATTTGAAAGCTATCCTAGAGTATGTCGGTTTGCTGCCTGTTTCGTTTCTAGCTATTTTCCAGCTACTGATAAGAACAGAGATCGATTTAAAGACCTAACCGAGGTCGAGTCGTGCCGCATCATCGGCCTTCTAGCCTACATTTGTTGCGCTGCCGACGGCACGCTTTTAATGCATCGCAGGAAGGCCGGCGAGTTCCCACGACTTGACTGTCACTATTGCCAGTCGCCCCAAACTTCACGCGGGGTGCCGTTTTGCCTGGACGTTTCGGCAAAACAGACAATTCAAAATATTTTTTCTTCGTTAGTCCAGCTCCCCAGCTTCCTGGAATCGCGCAGATTGCGCGTCACTGCAATGTCCGCCTTGAGGCGCATCGCGAGGCATTCCGAAAACTCCGACTTTCTGGATTTAGAGGTCTCTGTGACTGCGCAATGGTGCTTGAAGTCTCTCCAGAGCTCCGTTAGAGAGCTTCGAATTGCCGCTGGGTGAGTAAGAACCTAACCGATAAGTACCTATATCTTGTAATCTAAAGGATATTTAGGCGAACTCTTGCGGTGTTTTTATCCCAGTCGAACCATCCGGAATTCGCTTCTCAAGTGATTCGAAGAAATCGTGGGAACGCTCTCAATATTCTGAGATCACTCTCAGAGCAAGACACCCCTCACCTCACTGAGACTTGTATTTTAGCCTGGTCTCAAGTCGGAAGGTAAGCAAGAGGCAGTCCATTGATCCATACGGGAAAGATGCTGAAATGTTTCCCCAAGTGTCGTATCTGATGATGAGCTGAACCTTGTTCTCGTTAAATTGGTTGAATACCTGGGCCACGAGAGCATGATCACATCCGTGGCTGCGTTTACCGAGGTATGAGAAGTTGATGTTGCCCCTTATATTAGTTCATGTCTTATTCTCGGCAGATAGTAAAGCTTGCTCGTTCTCGGGGTATGACTACGCGGCAACTATTTGAGCCGTTCTGGAGATACCTTGCGTTCTCTGCGACCAAAGACCTTATTTCTCGGCCCAAATTGAGTCAGACGTTGGCAGAGCTGCTAGATATGGGTGTTTCGGATTTGCTTCTCTATATCCAAGAGTATGCTCTGCCTTGGTTAGTACTCACTAAGAAACGGGATGTCATCCAGAAGATCGCCGATGTCCGAAAGGAGCAGGAAATTTGGAGATGCTGCCTCGATACTGCTAATTTGGGGCCGATACTGGCCCTCTTGTTAACCCAGGAAACCCCGGACATCCAACAACATTCCATGGATCTACTAGGACACATATCCCCTCACCTTAACAAGTCAGGAGGCCTCCTTGAACTACTTCAAATAGAGCCCATCTCAACTGCTTTCGAGTTGTTGAAGGCAGCAGGCGATGCCGATGAAGAGCGAAAGGCCCACGTAGGAATTCAATGTTTCTTCTGTTTACCGTTCTCAGCCCTAACTAGTCTCTAGATTCGCAACGCTCTGAACCAGATGGCTATCATGATGTTGGCAGGGAGTGGAGATAAGAAGCATAAAAAGTCGCACGCATCGGGTCCCTTCTTGCAGACATATGTGCTCGGTCTCATGGCCCGGCTTACCCAGGTCATAAATGACGTGTCGAACCGGACTCCTGTTCAGGAAAGGAGACTCTGCATCAAAGCAATGGAAGAAATGATTCGGATAGGGAAGCATTATATCCGCATTGCCCGTCCACAGGTATAAACAACTCCTCGATAACGTGGCCGGCCGCTGCTAATATCAAGCTAGATTTCCGCATGTCTTCTGGCAGCGATGTCACATGATGAAGTTCGGTCCGTAGCATTTTCCTGCTGGGCAGCGATGCTCCTCCACCTAGAAGAGGATGTCGAAGTTCTCGTTGAGACGACCTTTTTCCTTATCAGCCATTATTGGTCTTCCTTTGACGAAGCTACGCAGCGACAATCTCGGAACTTGATCGAATCTTTGCTCGAAAGAGAGTTACCAATTCTTGAGGCGGCTATAGGCAAGCTACCGTCGTTCAGTCATATCAATCAACTGTCCGATATCGAAGCCAGACTTAGCCAGCTTCGCCGGCCTGTGGACAGCAGGACCGCATTTCTGCTGCTTGCCGAAAGAATACGACATGAGAATGCTGGTGTTGTTCTCCTCGCGCTGAGAGAACTTTCGTCATACTTGCAGAGGCAGCAAGGTTACTTGCAGGCGTCTGCCATAAGTGAACAGCCTGATCCGGTGGTGTCTACTTTGGCTCGCTCACTCCTCGATTGCTCTTCGAAGTACAATAGTGCCCATGGCGAAATCAGCGATCTCTGCACCCAATGCATAGGTCTAATAGGGTGTCTGGACCCCAATCGTGTGGAGACTGTCCGCCCCGAGAGGCAGATCGTTATCAAGAGTAATTTCGAAGATGCTGGAGAGACGACCGACTTCGTTATCTACCTGCTCGAGGAGGTACTGGTCAAATCGTTTCTCTCGGCTACCGACACCAATCTGCAGGGCTTCCTCTCATACGCGATCCAAGAACTCCTGGACAGAAGCGATATCAGAACCGCCGTCGAAATGCAAGGCTCGAGGGATGCTGCCCCCCTTTATCGTAAATATTTATCCATGTCAGAAACTACACGAGAGGTCTTGATACCCTTTATGACTTCCAGATACGTCCTCCCACCGCTAGGTCCGCAGCAGACAGAGTATCCTGTTTTCCGACCGGGGAAGGTGTACGCAAATTGGATACGGAGCTTTATTCTTGACCTCATGCATAGACCGCAGGCTCCATTTGCTCAGCTCATATTCGAGCCTCTATATCGAGTCATTCGCGTCAAAGATCTCTCGACCGCGGAATTCCTGTTTCCATATGTAGTCCTCCACATTATTGTGGGCGAGGACACGGCGCCGGAGGAGCGTTCGAACGTACTCCGCGAACTCCTCAACGTTCTTCAGCACGAGCTCCCAGATGACGCAAGCTATGCGGAGAAGGAGGATAAGAAATTATACTGCGAGGTGGGACATCAGATCGTACATGCTGGTGAAATTCGCGCTGACTTCAAATAGGCCGTGTTTCGATTTGTTGACTACGCTATGCGGTGGCTGCAGTTAAAGAGGACCCAGTCAAACCTCAACCCTAGAGATACGGTTGCGATGGACAAGGTGCAAGAGATACTCGATGCTATCCCTGCTGAATTAATATCGCAGCGGGCGGTAGATTGCAAAGTCTACGCCCGGGCCTTATTTCACCTCGAACAGCACATCCGTCAGGTGGATGAGGAAAAAAAGGGCACAGAGGAGAGGGAGCGCCTCCTTCAGAGGCTCCAGGACATATACACGCAGATCGACGAGCCCGATGGCCTCGAAGGCATATCCGCACATCTGCATGTACTCGACATCAATCAGCAGATCCTGAGCCATCGAAAGGCCGGACGATGGGCGGCAGCGCAGACCTGGTACGAAATCAAGTTGGCCGAAAATCCCGACAACGTCGATGTGCAGATTGATCTCCTGACTTGTCTCAAAGAGTCGGGGCAGTATGGTGAGTTTCTTCTCCCATGCGTGCTCCACCCGCAATAGCTAATTATCGATACAGATGTTCTCCTTAACTATGTCGAAGGTATCGAGAAGCACACTGCTCTGACGACAATAAATCGGATCGCGCCGTTCGCCGTGGAGGCGTCTTGGGCAACGGGAAGATGGCAGACGATGGAGAAATTTATCAAGAAATACCAAGGCGATCACACGGAGAACTTCAACGTATCTGTCGCCCAGGCGCTTCTCTACCTACAAAAAAGATGGACAAAGGAATTTGCCAGCGAGATGAGAACACTCAGGGATAGGGTCAACTCGTCGATGAACTTCTCGGTCACCTCGTCGCTACGGGCCTGCCACGAATCGATGCTAAAATGCCACGTCCTAACCGATCTAGAACTGATCGCCGGAATTAACAATGACGGGAGTCAACATCCCCAGGAAATCCTCAAGACTCTTGACCGACGCCTCGAGGTTATCGGTTCCTACGTCAACGACAAACAATATGTATTGAGCATTCGGCGGGCGGCTATGATGCTGATGAAGTAAGGTTTCCATATATTTGTCTCCCAGCTCTGGTTTCTTATTTATTTATTGATATTCAAACTACCTCGCCATTAGCTAACCCGAGCAGACCAAAGTTCAGTGATCTCGATATCTCGACCCTTTGGTTATCAAGCGCTCGACTCGCGAGGAAGGCCAATTCTATGCACCAATCATTCAATGCAGTACTCCAGGCCTCACAGCTCGGTGACGACTCCGCAACCATCGAAAACGCCCGGCTATTGTGGAAAGAAGGTCATAATAGAAAGGCAATACAGACGCTGCAAGGCGCCATTGCCAACAAGAACTTCACCAACCGGAGCTTCGTCGACAACGAATCTTCGGAAAAGAGCCTCGAGTCGCAACATAATATGCTGACCGCCCGTGCTCAGCTACTTCTCGCCAAGTGGCTTGACAGCGCAGGTCAGACGCACGCTACCGCTTTGCGAGAGCATTATCAGAATGTCCCGAAGAACTTCGGGACATGGGAGAAAGGCCATTACTACCTTGGCCGGCATTATAAGAAGGTACTGGAATCCGAGAAGGCGCTCAAGCCGGACGATCAGAGTGACGAATACTTGACGGGGGAGACAGCGAAGCTAGTCATTGAGAACTATATCAGGTCTTTGAATTATGGAACCAAATACCTATACCAGACTCTGCCCAGGGTCCTGACCCTCTGGCTCGAGTTGGGCGCACAGGTCAACAAGGCCCCGGAGGGCAAGCTCTCAGTTTCTGACGAACTCCGTCATCACCGCCGGACGCAGCTTGGGTCGCTTCACAACTACCTTCTCAAATCCATCAACCGGCTACCTGCCTATATCTTCTATACGACCTTGCCTCAGCTCGTAGCTCGCATTGCCCATCCCAACGGGGAGGTCTTTGCGTTGCTCCAGGAAATCATATGTCGAGTTATCGAGACCTACCCGAGGCAGGCGATGTGGAGTCTCTTCGCCATCACAACTTCGCGACAGGCCACCTCGGAGCGGAAGGCTCGGGGCCAGCAAATCCTCCAGAACCTGAGAAATAGGAGCAAGAAGGCGGAGAAAGGGTCATACGACATGAAGTCGCTATTGCGCATGGGTGAGAAGTTAGCGGATCAACTACTCATGGCCTGCAACACGGGGAATTTCCAGAGTAACAGGACCACGGTGGCAAGCATCACTCGCGATCTGAACTTCAATCACAAATGCACCCCTTGCCCCCTCGTCGTTCCAGTGGAGGCATGTCTAACCGCGACATTGCCCACTATGACGGACAACGTCAGGAAGCACAAAGCTTTCTCGCGAGATGCCGTCCTCATCCAGTCATTCCTCGACGAGGTGTTGGTGCTGGGCTCCCTAGCCAAGCCCCGGAAACTCACGGCCCGCGGATCGAACGGGGTGAACTACGGGCTCCTGATCAAGCCGAAGGACGACCTCCGGACCGACCAACGCCTCATGGAATTCAACAGCATGATAAATCGGTCCCTGAAACGAGATGCCGAATCCAGCAGGAGACAGCTATACATCAAAACGTACGCGGTGACGCCGCTCAACGAGGAGTGCGGTATCATTGAGTGGGTTGACGGGCTCAAGACTCTCCGAGACATCCTGCTTGCCGTCTACCGATCTCGCGGGATCGTACCCAGCTATCAACATCTCGCGCAGATGATGAAGGATGCGGCATTGGGAGGAGATAACACTAAGATCTTCACGGAGGGGGTGTTGGGAATTTTCCCGCCGGTGCTCCCCAATTGGTTCATTGCGCAATTCCCGAGCCCGTCGGCATGGTTCGCGGCCCGACTTCGATACACGCGGTCCTGCGCCGTCATGTCGATGGTGGGCACGATCCTGGGACTCGGCGACCGGCACGGGGAGAACGTGCTGCTGGAGGAGGGCAACGGCGGTGTGTTCCACGTGGACTTCAACTGCCTCTTCGACAAGGGCCTCACCTTCGCACAGCCGGAGCGGGTGCCGTTCCGACTCACGCACAACATGGTGGCAGCGATGGGAATATACGGGTACGAGGGGCCGTTTAGGCAGTGCTCGGAGCTGACGCTGGGGATCCTACGGCAGCAGGAAGAGACGCTGATGACGATCCTCGAGGCCTTCATCTACGACCCGACGCTGGATCTCCAGCGAGACAAGCGCAGGAAGAACGAGGTGGTTAGGCTCAACCCGGAGAGCGTGGTAGAGAGCATCAAGAGAAAGGTCCGGGGTCTGCTACGGAACGAGAGCATCCCGCTCGGCGTCGAGGGGCAAGTGGAGGAATTAATCAAGCAAGCGGTCGACCCAAAGAACTTGACCGCTATGTACATCGGCTGGTGCCCCTTCCTATAGAATTGGGCCCGGCCGAAGTAGGTAGAGGAAGTAGGAGGCCGGTAGGAGCCTGCCTGTCCCCTTTCCCCCTCCCTCTCCCTCGCTCTCTTTCTCGACCGTTCCGTGCCCTCCCGACCTCTCCGAGGGTGTTGTGCATCTGTATAGTCGCATCACGCAGGGGACGGTTGGTTCGAGCCGGCAGGTATTGCGAGGGAGGCTAGTGTCGGGCTCGTGGCCACAGAAAACACGGGCATGATGGCGTCTACATATGAGATGGAGTACCGTGGGTAGATTTCTCAAGTCGGATATCCTGTAGCTTAAGGTACCAGAGAGCAATTGACATGTGACGAAAACTACCAAAGAAAACAAAAGAGAGGCAAAGGTTGGGAAATGTCGGAGTGGAAGGAAGAAGAAAGCTGCGACGGGATCTACGAGGAGGGGGGGTAAGCTCAGGTAGCTAAAGGCGCCTATACCTATAACATGTGAGTGGTGGCAGCCTGGAGCGACGTGGATTGCTAGGCAGTTCGGGGGGGGAGGGGAGGGCTCGCTAAGCCCCCTAAGGGCCTGGATATTTAGGCACCCATACCCCCTAACCCAGCAGCCTGGTAGCAAGGTCGGCAGGCCGGCAGCAGGCTGGCCTTGCTGCCTGAGGTACCTATCTGATCTGGGCCATCTATCTACCTCCTCACCTCTCTGGGGTTTGATTCCACCCCCCCCCAGCGCTGACACTGACCAACAACGCGCTTTGGCAACGCGTTGTGCCGTGAAAACGACCGGGCGCCAGAAATAAAATAATAAAGAAGCTACCGTTGTGATTTCGATGTCGACTGTGTTTCTAATTTCCGCCCATTCCACCTTCAACCACTCTACAACCTCTTCTTTCCCTGCGACCTTACCCTTACTCTTTTTTTTTCAATCAACCCGTCTCTCACCCTGTGTGTGCGTGCTGTGCTGCCCCTCCCCTCTATTAGAAAAGTACACCAGTCCCATTCTCCTTTTCTCCCCTCTCTTCTCATCTTTTCTTTCTCCTCGCCCACACACACACACACCGCACACACACACACACACACACCTCTCTGTCTCTCTGTGTCTCCCTCCATCTCACCCTCCCCCCCCCCTCTACCTTTTCTGCCTACTCAGCCTTTTCTATTTGATTCCGATAGATTAGCGCTTCGCACCTCACAGTACCCCTCCCATCGCACTGATTCCGATACCTGCCCCATCCTCTGTCGTCGCGGCTGGGCGCACCCATCTTCAGGGCGTCTCTCTGTCTGATCTTGGGCGCAATACCTTTCGTTCGTCCTTGATCCCTCATCCATCTGGACCATCCTGCGAGCAGAAGCATTTCCTCTGCCTATCAATTACCCGCCAGATAAATCCAAGGCAGCAATGTCTTATCGCATTGGTGAGCCCGAGGTTTTCATTTCTTTCATCTCCCCCAACCCCCCTTACTCTATCCCGCTACACAACCCTCCCCCTCCCCCCGAGCTAGCCGCCTATTATCCAAAATGACTACGATGACTGACTCCGACCCCAGAGCTCTCCGCCAACAACCGTGCCGGTTGCCAGGATGGCGAATGCAAGAAGAGAGCCGAGAAGATTACCAAGGGCTCTCTCCGTCTCGGTACCTGGGTAACTATGCCGGGTGGCGACCACGGATCGTGGCGATGGAGACATTGGTATGACTTGGCAAAATAGGCCTCCGCAATTTGTTCTTCACTGACTAACCGGACTCTAGGGGATGTGTCTCCGGCAAGACAATTTCCAATATCCAAGACTCTATCAAAAACAACGATGAGTTTAGTTGGGATATGCTTGATGGCTATGATGAATTGGAGTAAGTTGGAGTGAGACATCTCGTATTGCTTGCTTCTACCTAGCTAACCTATTGTCTACAGCGAGCACGTTGATATCCAGGAGAAGATTCGACGTGTCGTGACCCAAGGTCACATTGACCCCGAGGATTTCAACGGGGTAAGTCACCACTTACCACACTGCGTCCGCTCCATACTCAGGCGATCGCTAACGCCCGATAGGACCCCGAGTTCAACAAACCCGGCCAGACGGCCATCCGCGGCCGTGCCAAGAAAACTAAGGCAAAGGACGACGAGGTGAGTGCGAGCTTCATACCTTGCGTGTAAAATACACCATGATACTAACATGTCTACAGCCAGAGGAAGAAGAGGATATCCCCAAGAAAAAGTTGACCAAGAAGGAGTCTGCTAAGAACGCCGGCAAGAAGGCCCGAGAGGAGGACGAAGAGGAGAAGCCTCAGCCTGTGAAGAAAACCGCCAAACGAAAGCAGCCTGCTAAGCGTGGCCGCAAGGCAGTAGAGGAGGAGGAGGAGGACGACGACGACGACGACGACGACGAGAAAGAGGAAGAGGTTCAGCCGGCCAAAAAGAAGTCCAGGGGTGTTCGCAAGACCAAGAAGGTCGTCAGCGAAAACGATGAGGAGCCCGAGGAAGAGCCCGAGGAGATTGTTCCCGCGAAGAAAGCTCGTGGCAAGAAGGCTGCAAAGGCCTCGATTCCGCCCCCTGAGGAAGACGAGGAGGAGGAAGAGGAGGACGAGAAGCCTGCTCCGAAGGCCAAGGCCAAGGCCGCGGCTAAGAGTGGTCGCAAGGCCAAGGCTGCCGGATCCGACGAGGAGGCTCCCGCTCCTAAGGGAAACCGAGGTCGAGGTCGTCCTAGAGGGTAAGGCTTGGAGTCGCCCTCCCCGTCCTTCAACCTACGGAGAGCTCTGGCTAATCAAATGAACGGACCCATGCTAATCCAATGAACAGGAAGGACGATAAGTAAACGTCGTGACTATTTCCCGCCCTACCACCCGCAGTCATTTACAGGGTTTCCGTCCGTTGTTGTCTCCGATCTCTCGCTCGTGACTACCGTCATTTGGAGGGAACGCGACTGTGCTAGTAGGAATCAATTCCGCCATCTGTGTTTACTATGCGGCAAATTCCCGCTTTGCCTCGACGATCACAAAACCTGACCCAGACGGGCGCTCTCTGTGCCGGACGACCGCGATTGCAGGGTGAAGCTGCGTGTGAGAGTTGTTACTCTAGGAGATACCAGTTGAGAACCCAGGTTTTGATTTGACGGTCGTGGCTCTGCTATAAGGTGTGAGGTGTACTTATTCTTAGTTTAATGATGAAAGAGAGGATCGGAACAGAAAGTATAACGGCCTCTCGCGTGTCTACCGTGTCTCGAGTACCCCCTGAGTCGCCCGAATGAGCATAGAGCGAGGCTATATACAGACCAGGGAAGGATGAAGATAACCGCTTGTATCCCCGTAAGCGCATAAAATGCGCACACAAGTATGGACGGGTACCTAAATGTGAGTGCTGATAGTGCTGATGGGCGGGTATATGCATATATATATAAGTATGCGGTGCATATCTAGCTCAGCGGTCCCACTCGGATACGCAATGTCTTGGGCATATGCATAAGGACATAGGTACCCAAAGTACTACGTTGGTAGAGGTAAGCATTCTATCATAGTGGCCTCACCACTTGTCGTCCTATCAACAACAAAATATCCCCTTCCTTCTGTACACCTCACACTGTTCACGAATCTAACCCGCCTTGGGTCGCTGGATAAGCTGCGCAATAGGACAGTGTGGTTTCGAAACATCCGTGTCGCCTCTATCGCACACCCATGCCTGCCTCCCTAGTTAGCACGACGCCCCCCAGCTTCAATTAGCATCGCCGCTGCGTAGGTCACGATGCACCTACCGTCGCGGGCGTTGTCGCTTGCGGTGTTGCTCGCGTTGCCCGCCGCCGTTCGCGCCGTCTTCAAAGACGAGGTCGGCCACATCGACTACCACCACGAGCTCCTCGGTGTGCCCCAGCGCGAAACTACATTCTTCCACCGCCCCCGGCCCCAGGACAAGGCGAGCCTCCTCTACACCCTCAGCGACCTCGGCGTCCTCGGCGCCGTCAATCCCGGCAATGGCGCCATCGTGTGGCGCCGGCTGCTGGACGGGAACATAACTGATGGAGGAGGGCACTTGCGTGCCGGCGACGACGAGACCTGGCTGGCCAGCGCCCTGGGTGGCTCCGTGCATACGTGGGACGCCATCAGCGGCCGCAACGTCTGGTCCCTCGAGTTCGACGGTGTCGTCAAGGACCTCGAGATCATGGAGATGACCGAGAGCAACCGCAAGGATGTCCTGGCGCTGCACGAGGAGGATGGCGCGACGGTGGCACGGAGGATACACGGCAAGGAAGGACACGTGGTGTGGGAGTTTCGCGAGCTCAATAACGACCTACCCCTACAGGTGAGCACCAACGTGGAGAAGGTGTTCGTCGTTACCCTACACGGCTCGCTGTCGTCCTACAACCTCAAGGTTCTGGTCCTCGACACCCTCACCGGCAAGAAACTCGACGAGATCATCGTCGGGACGAAAAGCGAAGTGCAGAAGCCGGCAGACGTCATGTTCGTCGGCGCCAACTCGGCTGCCCCTGTCGTCGCTTGGACCGACAACGCCCTGACTAAGCTAAAAGTTTCCGTCCTCGGCTCGAAGACGAGGCAGGAGTTCTCTCTCGTGGCTGGTGCGGCCAGCGTGGAGATCCACGCACCACACACCATCCAGTCGGTGCCGCATTTCCTCGTGCACACCCGAACCAAGTCGGGAAGCAAGGCGGATGTGTTCCACGTCGACATGAAGAATGGCGCCATTAGTAAGGCCTACGAGCTACCATTGCTTGAGGGAGCGAATGCATTCTCGACGAGTTCATCTGCTGCCAACGTCTACTTCACCCGGGTCACGGCCGACGAGGTCATAGTCACCTCATCAAGCTCCCACGGCATCCTCGGCCGTTGGCCTGTTAAAGGAGGGGCCAATAAACGGAACGCGATACACGGTGTCTCCGACGTCATTAAGAAATCCGACGATACTTACGCCGTCAGATCAGCTATTGTCACGGACGACGACGACTGGGTTCAGATTGTCAACGGAGATGTGGCTTGGGCTCGAACCGAAGGCTTGAGCGGCGCCGTCGCTACTGCTTGGGCGGAAATTCCCGAGTCGGAGGATCTAGCAAGGACATTAGAGGCTGAGGCACACAGCAATCCCCTTTCTGCCTTCATTCACCGGTTTAAACGTCACATTGACGAGCTTCAATACCTACCGGCGTACCTAGAGACAGTTTCCAAACGCCTCGTCGCCAGCCTGCTCGGGACAGATATCTCAGGAGCGAGCGATGTGCTTTCTCGAGATAGTTTCGGCTTTAATAAGCTCGTCGTTCTGGCGACGAAGCGTGGTAAGCTTTACGGCCTTGACGTCGGCAACCACGGTAGGATTGTCTGGTCCAAGTCAGCGAGCGAAATCCCGTCCAGCAAGCACTGGGACGTAGTAGCCATCTATGCCGATGATGCGAAGGGACAGGTGACCGTCCTAGGAGCCAATGGCGAGGTTATAACCGTTAGTCCAGACACCGGCGAAGTTGTCGAAGCGGTACCGTCCGGTTCACTTCCGCGGGTAGAGAGCGCGGTTGTGGTGGACAGCGATGCCGGTCCCTGGCTGCTACCCGTCGGTGAGTCCGGCAGGATTGGCCAAATACCAAGTTCGCACGCCCCCAAGCAGACTATCGTCACGCGAACTAGTGACGGCCGAGTTAGGGGTGTAAAATTTGTGGTCGACGGCGAGAAAACCACGCAATTGGAGACATGGTCCTTCTCTCCGCCTACGGGGCAGAAGATTGTCGAGGTAGCGAGTCGACCCCAGCACGACCCAATTGCCTCGATAGGTCGAGTCCTCGGTGACCGCACCGTCAAGTACAAATACCTAAATCCCAACACCTTAGTTGTCGCGGCGGTTGACGAACAAGAGAACTCTCTCTCCGTCTATCTCCTGGATACGGTATCCGGGCAGGTCCTGACCTCGTCAATCTACGAAGGAGTCGACTCAACCAAGGACATCTCCTGTGCCATAGCCGAGAATTGGTTCCTATGCTCATTCTTCGGCCAGTACCAGCTACGAGAAGCGGAGTCACAGAGCCTCAGGGGCTACCAGGTCGTCGTCTCGGACTTGTACGAGTCAGACGTAGCGAACGACCGCGGGGCGCTTAGCGACGCGGCCAACTTTTCGTCTCTCGACCCGGTCGACGTGCCCACGAGGCCGTACCTGCCGTCGGTGACCTCGAAGGTATTCGTGATATCGGAGCCGGCGCGGTCGCTAGCTGTGACGAAGACGCGGCAGGGGATCGCAGCGCGGCAGGTGCTCGCCTACCTACCTGAAACGCAGTCGATCGTGGGAATCGCGCGCACGGCGCTCGAGCCGCGGCGGCCCGTCGGCCGTGACCCGACGCCGGCAGAGGTCGAGGAAGGGCTCACCCGGTACGCGGCGGCGCTCGAGCTCGACCCCCGGGCGCGCCCGTCGCACTACCGCGAGGTCCTCGGTGTCCGAGGCATCGCGACGACGCCGGCCACGCTCGAGAGCACCTGCCTCGTGCTCGCGTACGGCATCGACGTGTTCGGGACCCGCGTCGCGCCCAGCCTCACGTTCGACGCGCTCGGCCAGGGCTTCAACAAACCGGCGCTCGTGGGCACGGTGCTCGCGCTCGTCGCTGGAGTAGGAGTGCTGAGTCCTATGGTAAGCTCCTCTCCCCCCTCCTCTCCTCCCTTCTCTTGTTTCCCGTCATCGTCAGCGTCGTTGTCACGTGCACACTTGACTAACTCGATATCCCCACCCGCGCGCAGGTCAGGAAGAAGCAGATTAACCTGCGCTGGCAGGCGTAAGTAGACCAGACGCGTAAGCAGAACAGCCTGGGTTATGAGGGACGAGCAAAATACGGGGCAAACAGCGGAGAGGCAAGGGAACGGGAAAATAGGTTTAGTCACGCCAAAGGGAGAGGGGCCGGTAGCAGCTGAGAAAGGGGCACGCGGTAATGATGACGAGAGCGGTGTGTACAGTAACATGCATGCGTATACGGGCACATCTACAAGACGCCCACCTACCTACCTACTTACTAGTGCTTCGCGGGTACGGCACGGCAGCATCTAGACGGACGGGCGGGACTAGTGAGGGTTCGAGGAGAATACATGATCTTGCTACTTGCAGCCCAGTTCCCAGCGCGTGAAATGGGGAGGGAGAGAGGGAGGGAGAGAGAGCCTAGAGCCTTGGATCCGAGTTCCAGGTGCGGCCGCAGCAAGGGGCCTTTGCCGCCTACGCTTGTTTACGCGTCCCCTCGCCTTATTGTACAGAACGGGGCGCGCGTCGATAGAGGCGATCGGTGAGTAGCGGCGGGTTTGTTTGGGCGTGTGCGCGGGGGGGATCTAGGGGAGGGGGAAGACGCGTGCGCGTCCACCCAGGAATAGGTATATGTATATCTCCTCTGTCAACTGCACCACGGCAGTCAATCCGCACGGACAACGGTAAACGCGAGGGCGGCGTGGTGTACGTGTACGGATTGGATGTTCTACCATTAATAGAGATTAATTTTACGCAAGATACGCGACGTCGCCGGCGCACGGCGGGTGGTGGATATATACATGGCCACCTCCTACCCCTTGCCCCCTGCCCTACTCCTACTGCCTATTTTATCGCTCTATCATTTCCATGTTCTCCTAATCCACGCCCCAGGCGATGACTGTCGGCTATATGCTCTCTTCTTCTCTTTCTTCCTTCCCTACCAATCTCGTGTGTTGGACTAGACCCTCCCCCCTCCCTACAGGCAGCACGCAACTCATACATTTAATTCTCGGCTCCTATAGCGCGTATTTTGCTTGTATTCTTTTTTATTTTTGGGTTTATCTTCTCCTTCCTTGGCCCTCGTCCTCGGTATCACGTTAATCCTCGTCACTATGTGCCTACTACTTCTCTAATCTCAGAGACCTCCTTCCCCCCGGCTATCTCGTTAAAGTCGTCGCGGTTCCTCTCCTATTCTCTTCCACGCCCCCTCTTCTACACCCTTCTCTGCCCTATCCTACTTTGTCCTCCTCCCTGTCTCTCTCTCGATTATGGCCTCTTAGAGTCCTCACAGTTCTCATTAAGGCGTCAGCCTCTTCGGGGTGCGTGGGTAGTAGCTAGCGAGGTGCACGCTTGGCAGGTTGAGGTACCAGGCGACAACACGGTCGAGGCCGATGCCGCCGCCGCCGTGGGGCGGGACGCCGGCAGAGCGGAACACGTCGACATAGTCACGAATGCCGGGACTCGTCGGGTCGATGCCCTTCTTGCGCAGGCGCGCCTCGAGGAGCTCGGGCACGTGGATACGCTGTCCTCCGGACAGGATCTCCTGGCCGCGCATGAAGAAATCGTACGCGTTCGTCACCTTAGGGTTCGCCGGGTCCTCAAGTGTGTAGAAAGGCCGTGCGCTCTCGGGGAACTTGTCGAGCACGTAGAAATCGGTGCCGAACTTCTTGCGCACCAGCGCACCCAGTGCCTTCTCCTGCGGCGTGCTCATGTCTTCGTCGTCTGACACGTTGCGGTACTCCTCGGGCCCTTCCTCGCGCAGCAGCTTCTGGCCCTCTGCGAACGTGAGCCGCACCTCCTTACCCGGCTCGGGTACCAGGAACTCCTCGGCCGGGTAGATGGCGCGGACGAGCTCGATCTCCTCGTGGCACCGCTCCTTTAGGCCCCGAAATATGTGCAGCATGACGCACTCGATCATCTCGAGGACTTCGTGGTAGTGATCTTCGATTTCCATTTCGAGATCAAGACCGGTAAACTATGGTGGGTCGTCAGTTACACGTCGGAGTCTTCATGGTGAAGCGTGGGGAAGGGAATTCTGTCGAGATCCGTACCTCAGTCATGTGTCGCGGGGTATTAGAGTTCTCGGCTCTAAAAACAGGTCCAATGCAGTAGACGCGTTTTCGGCCACCAGCAATCTCGAACTGCTTGTAGAACTGGGGCGACTGAGCAAGGTAAGCCTGCTTCTCGAAGTATGGCAGCGAGAACACGTTGGAACCACCCTCGGAAGCGGCGCCAATGAGGCAAGGGGCCTCGAACTGGACGAAGCCTCTCCAATCGAGATATTCGCTGAAGAGCTTGCGGACCGTCATGCGTATATCGGCAATGGCTTGCTGAACAGGGGCTCGCTTATGCATAGCCGGATTGTTTAAGTGCGTAGACAAGCTCGCCGACGGGGCAACACCAGATTCGGTGATGCTGAGGCTCTCGACGGCCTCAGTCGGTGCCGCAGGCTGGGACGGGTCTTCATCCTCAAAGCTCGCGATCGCGCGGTTCGCAGCGTTGAGACCGAGAGGAAGAACCTCGGGTCCGGAGGAGATCAGGTAGCATTTCGTCAGGTGTAGCTCGTAATCGCTCACGCGGCAGCTCTTAACGGGCTCGAGGGGCTTCCGAACGGTGGCCTCCACGAGAACGTAGCTCTCCAGCCTCAGAGCACCGACCCATTTGACCATCTGCTTGCTCACGGGAGTGCCTTCGGCGCTCGCCGCGATAACGCCCTGGATAGACCAATTGCGCACTTCTCGCAGCTCGACGAAGGCCATCTTGGCGCCCTGCATGCGGGCATTCTGGATCCAGGCGCGCAACTTCACGGTCTTGCCGACATGCTCGTCACTGAATTTCTTGAGCTGAACCTTGTCGGCAGCGATTCTGGTGGTGGAGGTGATGTCTCCGTAGTTATCCTTGGCGAGATCCTCGTTCCCGCCGTCAGCACTTTTCGCAGCAGCAGCAGCTTCGCGCTCGGCAGCCTTGCGAGCCTTCTCAGCCTCTTTCTTGGCCTTAGCTTCGGCCTTCTTCGCGCCCTTCTTGGACTGGGCAGCGGCTTCACCCTCAACCGGCGTGGCAGTACCCGAAGAGGCTTGGGTAGCCGGGTCAATGGGGAGCTCGGACATGGTGTCGTGTAAAGTGTAGGCGAGTGGGTTATGGGGTCTTGCTCGGACGGGAAGGAGAATGCACAGAACGCAATGGACGGAGGAGGCCCTTTTAATGGGATCCGGCGGGACGGGCAACGTACGATCGACGGTTGATGCTGTTGATGGTGGTGACTCTTGCGGCCGGGTCAAATGCTGTCGAACGTGTGACGCGGGGCAAATTTCAGTCCACCCGCCGGCGGCATCGAGCGGGATGGAGGGGCACCCGCACCGTATTATTGCATATAATCCCAAGATTTGGTTTACAGGCGTAGCGCCTCGATCGGTGCATATCGGATTAGGCCGGCTGAGGTAATCACTCGCTAACCGAAGTCATCTTCAATTCAACCTCGTTCACCTTTTCCCTGCTGTCTCTTCGCCTTCACTTATACGCACACATCCTAATCCGCCTTTAGTCCAAACTACATCCCAGTGTAGGCACATAGCCCACGTCTTACATATTAACACATACCACCATTCCGCACACACATACACACTCACTGGACTCGCCGTGGAATTTATCAGCTTAATCTCTCTTCCCAATTTGCCTCGAGCGCTAGAACGAGAAATAACCCAAAGCTTCGCCATGTCGGAAGGCCGGGTGGTAAAGCGGAGATCCACCACCTCCAAGGCCAAGTCTAAGAAGCGATATCGTGGAGATGACGACGACGGCTCTCGAAAACGGAGGAAGCCCGCCCATGATGAAGACGAAGGTTACCTCGATCTCGAGGCCGGTGTCAATAAAAAGATTGCCCTTGTCGATAGCCTCCTTCTAGCCGATCACTTAGCCAAGAAGATCAGGAGGTTTGGTACTGATCTTACTCCCGTCGAACTCAGCTGTTTAGACATATCACGTATGGTTCCCCTCATAGACCACAAATATCGGTCCAGTTGTCTCGTTTCTGTTTTAGTTCTTTTCGTGGCGAGAGAATGCGCCAGGCTAAAATACGTACTCCAGCCAGCTCCATCACGGACACTTCGTCGTTCCAGCAGACGCGGAGTCTAGAAAACCTCCCAGACTTCCTCGAGCAGTTCGCGGACCCAAAAAGGTTATGTGAAGCACCAAAGCAGAATGGCTCACCGCACACCATCGTCGTTACTAGCGCCGGCCTACGGGCCGCAGACATCGTCAGGTGCGGCCCCTCCCTTAACAATTGTTTAACGGGCCCATTTTCTTACCTAACATAGATCTGTCCGCAAATACCAAACCAAAACTAACACGATCGCCAAGTTGGTATGTATAAGACGCGTATCTCCGCGCAGGGATGAATCCGGGGAAGCTGACTGGACGCCTCTCTTCAGTTCGCCAAACATATAAAGCTAGAAGAAAGTGTACAATTCCTAGAGAAGCATCGCACCGGCATTGCGGTGGGCACGCCCGTTAGGCTCTCCGACTTGGTCGAGAATTGTGAGGCGCCCGCTCCCGTTTTTGCTCCTTGTCCTAACTATAACAACGTAGCGGCGCTCAAACTGGACAACCTAGAGCGTCTCGTAATTGACGCCTCACACATCGACCAGAAAAAGCGCGGCATCATGGATATGAAGGAGACTATGGTGCCACTTGCCCGCTGGCTTGCGAGGCATGAGTTCAAGGAGCGCTACGTCGACCCCGACAAGGGCCTGCAGCTGCTCTTCTTCTAGGCCAGCAATGCCGTCCCGGGGCTATGTATGAAGCCGATATACGTATAGAAATGATACCCAAAATCCGATCATTCGTTCACACCGCGCTAGACGCAAGCAGACTTGGGATATAAATACGCCAATCTTATTTATTTAACCGTATAGACAGTCGGCCATTAGTGTGGAATAATTCGCAAGCCACCAGCAAACAAAGCCGGGCACAGCGATGCTCGCCTATTCTCGTTGTCCATGCGTCCGATAATCGAGTACAAGAGCCAACAAGATAGCCAGCATAAGCGCAAAGAGCGATCCCTTCGAACGTGGACCCTGCGAGACCGGAATCACAGGGGGCTCATGACCTCTGGTGGCATTGGTGGCGTCGGTCATGGAGTCAGGAATGCTCTCTTGCGGGAGTTCGTCACCAACTACCTTTGGAGTTACCCTATAAAGTTCAGCACCGAGACGGTTATCGATGGAGGCCGAGTGGTTTATTGTTGTACTGCGGTTGTCTCTGTCGTGATGCGGGTGGAGACAATTGAGGACCAACTGCGTGGTAGAAGGGTTAGCCACCGGCAATCATTTTCAAGCGACAAGAGTTTCTTACTGCTTGAGAATCCTGCTCGGTGTAGCGACTTTTGGTATTGATGTATAGTGTTACAGATATGGAATTCATCCTACGTTTCGACGCGTGGTCTCAGGGTTGCTATTTAGCTTTGGTGTGACTAGGTTGGTGAGAGAGCAGGGGGCAAATACATTCACCGGAAAGTCGACCCCGTAGTATAGTAATCCTATTGCTGGGAAGATGGCGGGCTCCGACAGCTAGGGTCAGGAAATCTGCCGGGAAGAGCCATTGGAAGAGCACGTAGGTGAACCTCATTGTCTCCTCTGTTTCAAGAGCAAATCAAGTCGTAGCGAGCAAAGAACTTCGATTATGAGGGTAGAAATGACAGGGCTCCGCCCCCATCGGACAGACCGTACGAGTATCGAGTATCCGATATTGCGTGAGAATAGGAGACCCGGGTTAGGTAGAGTGCGGTCACAGGCACAGGCTGAGACAGCATAGAAATTATTTCTTATTACACCTGCACATGTGGCTATGGTGAAGGACGCGCTGAGCATGAGGGATTTGTATACGTCATAACACTGGACTGTATATTGTTGTCCAGGCAAGCAGGGTACATGGACGCCTGTAAGTCCATCCCATCTCGTTGTCGTCCCCCCTTTTCCAGTCACTACTCATTGACCGGTAATCAAGCGTATGTGGTTACAAATTTGGACGCCTTTACAGCCTCGGCTTAACAATAGCATGATATTGCCGTACTTAGCTTGGATGTTTTCTTTGAAGAAATGTATATGCCCATCATCTATAGAGGGTTCTACACAAGTTGTTGTAGGAACCCCTGAGACGAGAGCGTCGTTCAGGGGGTAGCAGCCATGCTGGATAGCCATAACCAACCTATTTAACGCATGTTATGAGACTATGCAATATGCAATATTATGGGTTTAACAGGAATATCCGTGCTTCTCGTACCTTAACTCCAAAGCTTCGCTAAGCCCCACTAAAAGATTCTGCGATCCGACGAGATAAATCTTTTCTGGAGAGGACCTCGTCACCTCGTGCTCGTGACAATCCGCCAATTCCATCCCATCCACCCTTCGCTTCACCACCACCTAACACCACCGCTGCCGCGGCCGCCGCACCGCGATCCGCCGCTCTCGCGCAGTTCAGTCAACAGTTCGTCTCACCCCCCGTCATACGAGCGAGTAACGCGCCGATCGATATCCTGCGACCGGGAAATCCTGCTTTTCCCACTCCGCCGCCCGACCAACAACCCCTTCTCAACTCCCCCCCCCCCCCTGGTTTTCGAAAGCGAGCGAGCACGCAGAAAACCACCCCCCCCCCGGACGATGGCGCCTCTCGCGGAGAAGCGCAAGTCGGAGGCCGGCGCCACTGGCGCTCACGCGAAGAAGCGCCGGCGGCTGAGCGACGCCGGGGACACGGGCGCGGCGTCTCGGGCGGCGAAGAGGAAACGGACGACGCAGAAGAGCGGCGACGCGGAGAGTAGTCCCGCAGCCGGCGGCGACACGGCCGCGCAGCCGGCCCCGGCCGAGCCGGCGGAGACGTCGCAGGAGAAGGAGAGGAAGAAGGAGAAGGAGAAGAGCCAGAAGGCGGAAGAGAGCAGCGAGAAGGGCCAGGAGAAGGAGGAGGAGAGCAAGAAGAGCCAGGAGACGAAGGAGGCGGGCCGCGAGACGGAGCAGGAGCAGGAGCAGCAGGCAGCGCGCGAGGCCGGCGCGCCGGCGAAGAAGAAGGCGCCGCGCTTCATCGTGTTCGTGGGGAACCTGCCGTACTCGGCGACGCGGGAGCAGGTGGCGGCGCACTTCGCCTCGGTGCACCCGACGTCGGTGCGGCTGCTGGACGCGAAGCAGCAGCAGAAGAAGACGTCCTCCTCCTCCGCCTCCCCCCGTTCCTCGCGCGGCGTCGCCTTCGTCGAGTTCGCCCGCTACGACCACATGGAGACCTGCCTGCGCACCCTGCACCACAGCCTCTTCCCCTCCCCCACCGCCGCCGCCTCCGCCCCCCGGCCCGGCGCGAAGCGCCCCCGCAAGCCCGAGCCCCCCCGCCGCATCAACGTCGAGCTCACCGCCGGCGGCGGCGGCAACACCGCGCGCCGCCGCGACAAGATCCGCGCCAAGAACGCTAAGCTCGACGAGGAGAGGGCCCGCCGCCGCGACGAGGAGGACAAGAAGAAGAAGGCTGGCGGCGCGGCCGCGGCGGTGGCGGCGGGGGATGGTGGTGGTGGTGGTAAGGACGACGGCGAGGACGGCGCCGTCCACCCAAGTCGCCGGGGGAGAGTTGGGGAGGGGCGGCGGGCCATTAAGTAGGCAAAGTTAGTTTCTATTCAGGCGTCTTGATACCCCCCCTGCTGCCCATCTCGTTAACGCCTCGTAGAAATGAGATATAATAAAAATTTACCGCATTATTTAGTTTCCTTGCGTACCAGGAGCACCAACAAAAATAAAGCACGGCCCTTGTTTGTTCTGGTATCATCACATGTCCAAGTTTCCTGGTTAGCCTAGCGACGAGTGCCTGTGCAGTTGAAACGATTTAGATTCCTTGCAAATGCACTATCTACAGAATTGCAAAAAATGTGAGTTCCGTATCAATTCCTGGCTGCGGTGGGCAGTTAGCAGGCCCGCAAAGTCCAGGGGTAATCCTCTATACAACACGCGAGAGCTGGACCTGGCAAACCCCATACATCAGGCAACCGTCCATGAGACTCGGCGAGGTCGTAGGGGAGCAGACAATACGTCGGCAGTGCCAGAGCCCACAGAACGAGGGAACCGTCAACCGTCCGGGTTTGGGCGTACGCGTACGCCTAACAACTTTGCAATTTGCTTCCTCTCCCCTCTCCTGCACGGCCAAATCCATGTCTTCCGGTAGCAGTGACAAAATGGCCAAAAAAAAAACATCTCTGGGTATGTAGGGTTTGTAAAATGAGGGGACGTGAATTATGGGAATCGGCCAATCTGGGGAAGGCCTGAAATACGTCGAATCCTCATGCAGGACCGCCTTCTTTCCTATATGTCCACCGAAAACGCCTCCGTAGATTATCGGAAACCATTACGGCGTGCTCGACCAAAAAATCACGGCATCGACCTATTGCGTCCGTGCAATTTATAGGATTGTGCACTTCGACTTCTTTTGCTTCGTGGCGACAGGTCGGGGGTTCAAAACAGCCCTAAATGGCGCATCAATATGGCGGTACCAGGGACAGAGAGAGGGGAGGGGGAGCGAGAAATCATCTAGGCGGGTCGGCATACCTAATGGCCTCGTCAAAGACGCTCTTAAGGTTTCGCTGCGTGAGAGCCGAGCACTCGAGATACTTGTGGGCACGAATCTCTTTGGCGCAAACCAATGCCTGGTCGTACGAGACAGGCTCCATACGCTTCGCTCGAAGGCTCTCTAGGGTGGCTTGGTCTTCCCGGAGATCCAACTTGGTGCCGACCAGGATGATGGGAATATTAGGCGCGTGGTGGTCAATCTCGGGATACCACTAGGCCAAGTAAGCGACTCCTCACTCCTCCGATGAGGCGGGCAGATTCTCACGCACCTTAGCCTTGACGTTGTCGAACGACGGCGGGCTGACGATGGAGAAGCAGATCAGGAAGACGTCGGTCTGAGGGTATGAAAGCGGACGCAGCCGGTCGTAATCTTCCTGCCCAGCCGTATCCCACAGTCCCAAGCTGATGGGCTTGCCATCGACCATGACGCTTGCCGAGTAATTATCAAATCTATACCGCACCAAGTTCTACGTTAGCGTCGCGTGTCTAGACTGGCTGGCGGGCCGACGGCGGGAAGACGTTAGATTGACTAACACTGTGGGGATGTATTCGCCGGGGAAGGCATTCGTCGTGTAGGAGATGAGAAGACATGTCTGACGCGAATGTTAGACTTGGACCACGACTCGAATCAGTCAGTCGGAAGGGGGGAGAGGATTAAGGGTGCCATCAACGGACCTTCCCGACGGCACCGTCACCAGTAACGACGCACTGCAGTAGACCTCGCATTAGTATGATCGGCCGAGTTATGGGGACTAGGGACTACTGTTGCCGGATGCGACATCAGGGAAGCGTACCTTGAGCGATTGGACACCAGGAGCTGCCATGGTCGGCGACTTTGGTCACGGCTCGGACGGGTGCACAGGAGGATGGACTTTAGACTGAGAAGAAGCTGCTGACGGCAGATTGTTTAGTAGACGGCGAGGTATGTTTTGATATGAAGACGATGCGTGACGGCGAGAGTGATGGTGAGAACGATGGTGAGAGCGATAAAGGTGGTGGTGATGGTGATAGCGGTGATAGCGGTGATGGTGATTATGAAAGCGCATATAGATGGGGTGATGGTACTTTCTTGGGTAGAGAAGGACGTGGTCCAGCGGCACGGCCAAGGGACAGAAGAGGTCGTCAAGGGAGCTGCGCTGCATAAAAGGGTTAGAAATGTGTTGACACAGGATGGGAGGCGTGTGGTGCCGCAGATCGCAGGGGGGTGGGCAAAACTGGCAGAAGGGAGCAGCTGGGTCGCGGGCTGGGGATACACCAGGTACAATAGCTGGTTGAATAGGGTCGACAGGGGACCCCGATAGGGAACGCTGAGCTCCTATTGCACCATGGGGTGTGGGACCTCTCGCGGCCAGCACGGCGGCTGATTCGAAGGCTCGGGGGATCTGGGTGGGCTGGTGGTGCGAGCGTCCTGCAGAGACGGGACCTGGGTGTGCGGAATGGGTGTGGCGGCAGAGCGGGAGGAGGAAGAGAGAGAGAGAGGCGACGGGACAGGAGGAGACGTCGATAGTGGTTGGCAACGGTTACCCGCCTATCGCGGGAGGAGGAGGAGGAGGAGGAGAGGCGGAGAAAGCAGAAAAAAGACGGGCCAGCTTTGCGACGCGTGTACGTGTGTATGTGTGCGCTCATGTGCCATCGTCCCTCTCGGTGTACGGATGTACGCATAGGTGTAAGGAGGGCGGGAGTGGCATTAGACAGATGGCAGATGAAGCAGGATGGAGGCATGCAAGCGGTGCCGCGACAGCTAGAGCGGTAGTGGGAGAAGAAGCAGCACGGGTGAAAAGGGACAAAGGGGGGGCCGGATAACAACTTACAACTCGCTCGCTGTTCGACAGCAGAGGCGGAGACGGGAAGCGTAGAGAAGGGAGGGAGATGGGCGGACCTGTTGTTGTTTTCTGTCCTGGTGCTGGTGTTGTTGCTGCTTGCCGCTGAAGATATGGCAACGGAGAGAGGGTTGGGTGCCGGATGGGAGCGAAGAAAGGGGAAGAAGAAAGGAGTCGAGCGTGAGGAATTCAGATGTCATTCGACGGAGGAAGGGTGTAGGGGGATTGGCTGGAGTGATTGACGAGGAGGGAGAGAGAGAGAGAAGGGTAGCAGACCAGAGGCAGAGGCAGAGGCAGAGGCAGAGGCAGAGGGAAGCGAGAGACAAGACAGACGGAGAGGCGCCGTCGCATTGGTTGGGACTTCCTAACGTGCACCTAACCTACCCCTATAATGGCGACCGTATTATTTTTGGGTTTCCTTTTTTTGAAAAAAAAAAAACCCCCCCCCGTCATGGCCGTCCAATAAGCCAACCTTTCCCTATCGTAGTACCCGACCCCGGTCGAAGACTGCATCACCCGCGTGCGACACAATGTACCAGTCCGACCCTAGGTAAGTACATATACCTCCGTACCTCGTAGCTGGGTACCTGCTATGCCTAACCTGAAACATACGGTTGGGAGCGGTACCTTGGATTGCTGTCGCTGGTACGTCTCTACTTAGCCTGCGTGCATTCAGTCAGGTACCCTCTAAGCCGCGCACAAGCTGATCTTCGTGTCCCTCCCCATGGGCCTTGATAGGCATGCCATGTGGCCTATACATATAAGCAGACACTGCGAACCTAAGACGATAGCCAGCCCAGCATCTAAATAAGGACTCCCAGAGGCCTGGGGAAAGGCAAAGGTGATGGCGGACGAAAAGTGGTGGTAGCCAGGCCAAACCCTAAGTACATATAGGTACCTACCTACCTACCTACCTAGGTACCTAGGTAGGATCTCGTAGCATCGATACCTTTGGTGCATCCCGCGTATCGGTGCATGCCTCCGGCCCCTCTGGGAAGAGGTGCCATGCGGCGGCATGGATGAGGATCGTACCTCTAACACCTCGGGTGGTTGCTGCTGGCATTATTGTGCCGACCTAACCCCCCCCCCCCCTTACTTACCTACCTAGGTACTTACCTGCCTACCTATACCTCAGGAGGTACCTGTACCTACTGAGGTTTACACCCGACATCAGATACCCCGAATCTCTACCATCGCTTTGAGTGCCCCGGCTTTTCGGGTTTGGCATCTAACCCGTGTAGGGCTAAGGCAAGGGGCAGCTGTCCTGGTTCCAGCGCTTTCGTTGGGTACCTGTATAGTGGAATGTGTGTCGTTCTAAAGGGGGTTTTTATCGGGTTAGGCACCCCCAACTTACCTACCTAGGTAGTATGACGCCAGCGCCTCTCCGCGAGAGGCTGCGCCATGACCTGTTATCCTCCACGCCTTTCAACCACGACGGCCTCTCGGAACCTAACCGTTGAGTTCACGTTGTGTGCGTAAATAAATATATAAAAATACATACGCAACCATGTACTGGGCACATAACTACACGATAGAAAACACGCATACCTGCCGGGTAAAATCAGCCATCAGATGGGCCCCCGGATACTCTAGACAGCGCGGCAGCGGAGGGGGAGGGGAGAAACAAGGGTCCAGCCATGAAAGGGCCAGATTCTACGTGTAGGCAGGTAGGTACCCGTAGGTAGGCTATAATACAGACTTTCCTGGCAGCATCAATACCGACGCGGACACGTGCAGTCCATTATATCTTAGGTACCTACCTACCTACCTATCCACCTAAAGCATGTAGAAACACGCACCACAACTCGCGCGCGCACGCTCGGTTCGTAACCAGGCGCGAAAGGTGCCCTCGGCCACGGTTAGGTCTGTGCTGCCGCATTTCCTCCGCCGCGCATGCACATATATATGTACGTATGTCTATGTGCGTCTAGGTAATAATGCCTACATGTACGGTGATGTAGGTATGGCCAGTTGGGCGGCCTAGCGGGCAGCCAGGAGGCTGCGTAGGCGGTACATAAGGTAGGGTTACTCCCACCTTAGGTACCTACCTTAGAGGTGTAGGTAGGAGGTAGGTACCTATGCAGCCATTATACCGCTGCAATGAGAGAAGGCATAGATTTATATACACGGCACCGCGCAGCAACGTAGATTATCTGTCTACCTCCTAGTAACAGGCATGTCCGTATGTAGTTGAGGTAGTAGTGAGCGCCCGGGCGTCACTTGAAGCGTCTCTTGTCACAACTCAGCTCCTCTGGAACCACTGAAGTAGATTGTCAACGCCCGTCCAGGTAGCCGCATCCAGACCTGAGCTCCGCTGCTTTAAACTTGACCTTGATAGGGGTTTGCCCGCGCTCAGCCTGAGCTCAACCCGAGCTATGTGTAAACGCAAAAGTTATGCATGCATAAATTCTACGTAATAAACCGACCGCACAGTGAAATGTCTCGAGACGGAGAACCTCCGTTATTACTATACGAATGCTGCCAAACCCCGCGAGCTGATATCGGACAGCACCGCCTCGTAAGGCCAATTCTGGACATCAATGATACCTCGGCACGCTTGCCGCGATTCAATGAGGAGCAGGCTGGATTAGTTTCGTACAACGCGGCATCGTGCGATTACGCACCCAGCACAGCTACGCAGAAATTCTGGCTGTTGAGGTGTTGTCCGGTCAGGAACAGGAAATCTGCCGGTTACCCATGCTGTTCGCAGCTATGTGGCAGAATAGTATGGCTCGTCATGCTAACAACCGTCTACAGCAACACACCACAAACAAGACAGACAAGAGATCATCTAATATACTAATAATATGTCACGTAGTAATTGAACCAGCCCTTATATGCCTACATACCGCAGAGCGTAAATGTAGGCGTCTACGTTTTACGCAACAAAATAATAATAAGATAATAATAAATTAAGATAATGATATCGTCAATAGCCTAATTATCCTTGAAATAAACGAGAACCCCTACAGTCCCCCGAAGGGGAACCCTGGCATGCTTGCCAATTCCATCACTCTATCGGTTAGGGCTCTACGAATACTGCGACTCCGTAAATAGCTATCGAAATCCGAGTCTACATATATGCCTCTCTCACGCAGGCAAAGGATCAACACTCGCATTCCAAACCAGTTACGGGCGTGGTCTAAGAAATACCGCCCGCGGATCCTCCGACAGTACCTTAAAGCCTCTGACCAGTACTCCGCAGAGAACGAGGGTTTTTGATGTATAGCAGTAGGTTTCGGTCTGGCGAGATCAAGCCCCTGAGGCACTCCCTCGCGTCGCATCTCGTGTGCTGCTAGAATCTGCTGCAGTGAGATGGGACGAAGGACCTTGAACAGTTCCAGATAGTTGATCGCATCAGCGTGAGAATTGACGCTGATCGTCTCATCCAGGAATTCCTGGACCAGGAGGTGACTGTGGTTGGCGTGTGCTACAGCTTCCCAAGCTTTGATGACATGAGGCTGCAAGGCAAATTTCCAGGTGGCTTTCCAGCTTAGAACTGTACGACCGATGCCCTCGAGTTGATATCTGAGAAGTGCTGCCAATCCCACTCGTCCATTCCAAATTTCCAACGTCTTAAGCTTCGGCATTTTCAAAGCCGTCGATGCTGCCGCTTCCAGCATATTATTAATCCTGTCTGGATTTTCTTGAGGATTTAACAGTTGTGAGGTAAGCGTTAGCGAACTGAGGTGAGACCAATTCCATTCCGACTTCACAGCGTCAAGAAAATGGCCGGCGTCGATAATAAACGATGCAGAAAGATGCTCAAGCTCCAGACTGGCCTTCGCGACTGCTTGACCGACCCAGAAGTTGGGCGCTCGCATATCGTCGCAGTGCGCAAAACACGACGAATACTGCTCATCGAAGTTCTCGAACAGTACAAGCTTCTTTAGCGTTCTAGACGTGAGCGAATCGATAAGCGAACAGTAAGCTAGATCTGTCACGTTCTGACCGCCTTTGGACCAAGCCCTCCAAGGTTCGTAGTGGAATTCCTCGAGTCTAGGAAGACGGGAAAGCATATATGTAAGCGTCGATGGCCTCCATCGCCGGCGGTTCTGCAGACGTAGGAGCATACTCGTTACGGCCGGAACTTCCGGCAAAGTCTGCCACCATTCGCACTCCAGCTCTTTGTTGAAGAATATAGCACCCGGCCTGCCCAAAACTTCTGCAAAAACGTTGCGTAAAGCTAACTCGGTCGGAGCTGAAGATAGTATGCCGGCGTTCCACCCGTGCTCAGGATCAACTCGTTGGCTGGGCGTTACTTGACTGTGCGGAAGGGTATCGGGTCCGAAGGTTAAATACTTGAACCAATGCTGCGAGTCGCTGGGTGAGTGAATACTGATATCCAGTTTCAAGTCGCCCTGGGGCTCCCATGCGCTAAGGGTCAAGAATAGGTCGCGCATTGCCGTAACAATAATGCACTCGTCCGCTCCGCAGCGGTTGGGCAAGAGGTTTCCGTTACGGTTCATGTTTCGGGCTCCGCACGTGAAACAATCATACTCGCTAAGCTCTAGAGAGAGCCAGATGTATTTGACGAGAGCTCGGTTACGGCGAGTCATATGACCAAAGTCGGGGATGCGCCATAGTGTGAGGTTGATCCGCTCGAAATTGCGGCGCTCAATGATAGTCTGCCATTGACGTGATACTGTGGCGAACTGAGCCAAGCTACAGCCATCGCTTGACAAGAGCTCCAAGATCAGGAGCTGTATTTCTGGGGGGAGAGCTGCCCGGGACGCACTCTTGACTGTTGTTGAAGACATTGGTTAGTGTCTGTTTGTGAGCCACAAGGGCCAATAGAATAGACGACGGTGTCGCGTTGCTGCCGGTAGGTAGTAAAAGTTGTGAGGCTAAAGGATGGAGTGGCCGACGAATCAGTTTTCAAGTATGGACTGATGAGCTTTTGGCGTGGAGAGGAGCAGTCGCAGATGGAAAATAGCAAAGAGGAATTGTGGAAAACAATGCGCGTCGTTCGGAAGAGGACATGGACTCTTCATAGTCGAGGCATCCATTATCTCCGATGAGTCAATCCTGTGGCGAAGAAAAGGGTTTGCGAGGAAAACCATAGAAAGTAAAAGACAAGATACCTTAAGACTTTTTCGGAGGCTGTGTAAAGGTTAAGAGCTCGCCTGCCCAGCACGATTTAGGCCTTGAAACCATTTAAAGCTGGGCGAATATGTGGTTGATTTGTAGTGAACTCTTAAGAGCTCCGAGAAAAGCGTGATATATACCTAGAGGAGAGGCCCAAAGAGTTATCTGCCAGCTATCACGGTACGGAGCGAACGGTATAGACTTTTATCTATCTACGAGTGTCAAGTGCTAGTTTCATCGTCACCTGTAGTATTATCCTTTCCGATCGATAAGTTTTAGTTGTACCTAAGTAGCTTGCCAGCTTAATTGCCCTTGCCCATCCTTGTCAGTTACAGTCGGCACCTAGGGAGGTTTCTCCTTACCCACCGAAAAGGTGTCACGATGCCCTCATATACGATAACCGACACCCACGGACCTGATCGGGGACGTACCGATTAGATCAACGACCTACAGACGAGATACCGATACGAGAGATTAAACAGATATCAAACAAGAGAGCCTAGACATATAGAAACAGGAATAGGAATCGTACATTATTTTTCTTGGATGGTCTTATCATCGCCTTGCCGGTAACCCCGAGGGACATAAGGATCAAGGTGCTACAGGGACTGTCACAGGCCCTGCCATAGGTGTCGTTACACAGCCATACAGTTATAGTCACAGGTAGAGAGTCACAGTCACAGTCAAAGAGTCACAGTTATAGTTACACGGAATCGGGTATCAACAGGATATATCAGGATAGTTACAGGATCAGGTTAATTAGATGGAAAGGGTCGGCAGTTGCGCGGACGAGAAGGACGGGAACCACGTTGCACCGTATGGGATTGTTTCCTTTTCTTTTGGGAGCTACGCTTGTTTTACCATGCCCGTTGTAGTTCCTATTTCCTGACTGCTGTTCTCCTATCTCTTCCTGGTGGCCTTTGGAGTGAACTAGCTCAGCTCCTAGTTGGCTAGGGTACCGATCAGGATCAGGTTGATCAGGCTCAGGGCACGGTTGCAGCCTGTCACCCACTTGTTGCAGTTGCAATTGTTCCCAGTTGGTCCTGCTTCCCGACTTATCCTGTTGTCCTTTGATTGAACTGGCACGCTATTAGTTGATCAGGGTTATTCAGGATCACGTTCAGGATCAACAGGAAACGAGAGCCACCGCACTTGTTGGTAGGAGTTCAATTGTCCCACATCAATTGAACTGGGGAGGCTGTAGTAGTGCGGTGGGACTAGGCTACGTAGCCTTTCTGATAAATATTTATATGGGTCTTGCACCCAGTTTCTCATCGTAGGTACAACCTTAATCCTGTAGGCTTCACACAGTCAGCAATTCACTCGTTTTCGCACTGCCTTTTCAGCTGACCCATCAACTCATTACAGCTGTTTCCAGCTGGGATTTCGTCTGATCGGCACTGGGCCAGCTGTTGACAGCTGTGGCGTTGTCCTTTCCGGGTCACCTACAGCGTGCCCACGCTGTTCCTCTTCATTACTCACGCAGGGCACCCCTGGAAGGTTCTTGGCGTAGCCCTGCATCAGCCAGACTTCTGACCGACGCCTCCACTGGTTCTACCACCTGATAGGCCAGCTTCGTCGACTGTGCTGTGTGCTGTGTGCTTTGTATAGAAATTTGTACTCACCGACCCCCCTCCTCCCTCCCTCCCCCCTCAAACGACCGACGCCACGAAGGCGTCCACGAGGGTGTCGACCGCTCCTCGGACGGCCACTTCGGCCACCGACACGTCCTAAGTAGCGAGTCTGACATCGAGAAAGGCCTCGGCGATCGCCTCGGCTCCGCCTGGGTAATTACGGAGCCGTCGGCGGGCGGCTTTCTACGCCGCCTGGGCAAACGCTAGGAAGGCGTCGACCAGGGCGGCCAAGGCCCCCCTGAACTCCACGTCCGCTACCGACTCGTCCTACTTTGCGAGCCGGTAGTTCAGGGAGGCCACGTGACTGGCCGGGTCTTGTCGAAGCCGCTCTAAGGCGGCTGCCAACGCCTGCCTGGCCCCCTCCAGGCGGGCGCGGGCGCCATCGAGGGCCTTTTGGGCCTCCTTGTAGGAAAGTCTCTCGGACTCTCTGTCGCGTTGAATCCTCTTGATTAGCTGGGAGCTAGGATCTTGGCGTGGGCTGGAGTAATAGCGAAGACGTTGGGAAGATGGATTGCATACCTTTCAATGGGTTCGTGGGCCATTATAGTAGTTGTATCACTAATTGTAATAGCTGTGGTGATGGTTGTGGTGACGGTTGTGGTGATGGTGGATGGTGGTGGTGATGAGAGAGAGAGAGAGAGAGAGAGAGAGAGAGAGAGAGAGAGAGAGAGGGAGGGAGGGAGGCGGGGGGAGAGAAACAGATAACAGAGGTGAGCTTCTGAATAGGTATTTTCACGGGATGGACGGACGTAACTTCTCGGCGGCCAGAGACACAAGACCGACACCGGCATGGCCCCATGGCGTATAATAGTTGGCAAGAAGCCTCGTGGTGTAATCACCTAGGTAATAGGCGGGTAGGCACTCGCCAGCCGTTCCGGTCATGACGAGACAAAACTGCGTCCAATTGATAGTCGTCTATCCCAACAGGCACTTGCCATGATGATTTATGAGAGCCTAGCATGGCTCCGCGGGCAGGAATGTCTGGGTATAGGACCGGTTACTCTTCTGGCTACCCCTAAGGCAAGCATCAGCCATTACGTACCTAGGTAGGTGGGTAGGTAATGCAAAAAGCGGACGGCGGCTACGTGCCTCAAGCACCTAGGTACCTAAATTAATATGAAAGCAGCATCCCAATTGCTCGCGGCGCAGCATCCTCATGAAAACCCTCTGTGCCATCTTTACCTCCAGGACGGCACAGGGTGTGGTGGCACGAAGGTGTGACAGTATAGGGGTGTGACGGCAACGGAAAACTATAACGTATAATGCGGGCTGGTTCAGTATAGTAAGGCTTATGGTGGTTAAATTCGATTGGCACCTGAAATAGACATCACTGCTTCTCCCCACAGTCCGTTTTCTTTGCATAATTATTCATAGGATCCCTATGAATCCAGCTGCTCACTGAGAATGGGAGTGAGTTAAAAGCGGCGTTGGCGCTAGGCTCAACCTAGCCCCCAGAAAGGTGCCGTGGACATTCTGGGGCCCTCAAACGTGGGTTACACGCAGATGTCAGGGGTAGGCGTCGCTCACCTTTTAGGCCCGTAGCCAATTGTCAAGAGTCGGATCCAGCTATCGGCACCCCAAGCTGATTCGTTCTATCGTTCTATCGTCGTATCCCGAGGGAACGAGAGCAAGAGAGGAGACAGGGAGGCCTTTTCAAACCAGCCGCTGTCTTCTTGCTGGCGCTTTGGCTCTTCGCTGGATGGGCCGATAGGCTTGGACTACCAAAGCCCTAGGCACGGCGTTCCATCAGAGCAAAGGCAGCATTTGTCACGTCGCCCGATAAGACGATCCCTAGTCAAGGTTAAGTGGCACCATCTTCCATGCTTCGAGGCCGGCTGTGTCGTATTTTATGTCGAAACATGCAATGCCTGTAAGGTACCGATAGGCCGACAAAGTAGCATATTGCAGACTCCATAGGTAGGTAGGTATTATGTGCGTGTTACACTATATCTCGCCACTTCGCATATGCCACTTGTTTCGTAAGTATTCAAGTGTCCCCCAGAGTACGCTCTTAAAAGTGTAACTGCTTTGAGGCTCCTTATACCTACCGGGTCGCGATCCCAAATGAGCATTCGTTTGCCTTTGGTTATTCCGACATCAATTATAGCGATCGTAAAAGCGTGCTAACCCCTAGTCTCCCATCGGTTTCCAACCAGTCCTCCACTGGGCACGATGAAGAGTTCGATCCAAGCCTGTCCATTTCCCTTCTTTGTCAACATCCTTGATGAAGTTATTTAAGTATCTCTAGAATCGGAGTCTGGCGTATTGGGGGTTTCCCCCCCCCCTTCTTCAATTCACGCGGTTCTGGCCGTTGTGAGAGGAAATCGCTCGAGGGTGAACGTATGGTGCCTGTTGACCTGTGTCGTCACTGGGGGAACAGGGGGGGAAGGGGAAGGGGAAGGGGGCAAGCGTTTCAAAGAATTACGGCTCCAGCCACGTTGGGCGTCACTTCCCATGTGATGTTGCGGAGTTGAGTTGCTCCAGGGAACCGTCTGCAGGGCTGTATAGCAGAACAAGCAGAGACGGACCCATCCTGAAGCGAGGACCCATTCTGCAGTTTGGGGGTGGCAGCAAAGTACCTAGGTACATGGGTACCTCTGAGGTACCTATCTCTACTCCTTCACTACACCGGACAATGGAATAATTCTAGTGGGCCGCCTACAGGAAGCCGCCAGCCTCGACGCGTCGCCGTCGCCGAATAAGCGCGTTGGTGTAATTTGGTAGAGTCGGCAACCACACGTCATTGTGCACCAGCACCACATGACTGCAAACCCGACCTCCCTCTCTTTACTTACCTCCTTTTCCTACTGTCTGCCCCGTGTCCTCGGCACGGACCAAACATCCAGCGACGTCTTCAATTAGCCGCGGGAATACAATAGGAGGGGCACGAGCTTGCCATCATGATACCAGCCCGCGGATAACGCTTCACGTTTGCTTAGTCCTACGAGGTATCCCGCCGGCCGATTGACGGGAGGGAAGAAAATTCTGCCTCCTGTGTTCGCGGAAACCCGCCATGGCTGACCCGACAAGAAACGGATACCTGGGTCCTCTGACCACGCCTCGAGGCGTCGCCACCCCGAACCGACGCGCTATCAGCGCCGAGCCCGCCTCGAGCCGTCTATCCGCGTCGGCACGACGGAACAACATCACTACGCCGCACGCGCGCGCCGCCATCCGGGCCATAGAACAGCGCCGCACTGCCTTATTCACCCCCGGCCGCGCCCGCCGACGCAGCCTTCGCGAGCAGCGCGAGACCCCGCGGGACCTGCTACGGAACCTTAGTCGTGTTCTGGCCCCGACATCGACCGCGCTGTCTTCGTCCTCGTCGCCGACGGACGGTTCCGGTGTCAATGACTCGACGCTTCGGATCCTGGCGGAAGAGGACGGAGATGACGACGACTTTCCTATCGAGAGGCCGCGCTTCTCCCTGCCTCTAGGCCCCGAGGAAGACGACGACGACGACAGTGAACTGAAACCGCCCCGGTCTAGTATACTGGACGACGAGAACTTCACGGTCCAGTCTATCGAGATGCCCCGTCGGGCTTGGAGCGAGACTCCCTTCAGTCGCTTAGATAGGGGAAGTTTTGGCAGTGCGAGGATGAGCGACTACGCGGGACCCGGGCTTGGCGATGACGATGCCGACGATAATGGCGTGGGCATCGATTCCGGCTTTTTTCCTCCACCCGCACTAGATGACACTGCCGAGATGGCCCTAGACGAAGGGGTCATATTCGAAAGGTATCACCGACCTTCCCCCTCAGTAACTCTCTCATTTACCTAACAGCACATAGGATGGACGAAGAGACCGCCCACCAAAATATGGGACGTCAGAGCGATTTTGGGCCGATCCAGATACCTGACATTGGGAACGAGAGCACTTTCGTCATGGCTCCGGTGGAGTCACCTACCCGAGATCAAACGGTGACCGAAGCTATCGAAATGGAGGAGCCACCTCAAGTAGAGGACGTTGACGAGGACGAGGACGAGGACGACGATATAGGACAACCGATTGGGTTATTTGATCCCGACGATGATGAGGGAGGATTGAATGAGACGACTATCATCTCGCGTACGACCGCGGCCTTGGCAACAAGGGTCAAGGGTAGGAAAGGCGGTAAAAAGATTTCCAGGCACGGCATCGAGTATCCTTCACTACCCCAGGGCGTGGTCAAGCGAATAGCCACGACGCTTGCTAAGACGGCTGGTGTGAGCAACGCCAAGATCACTTCAGATACGCTGGAAGCGCTCATGCAAGCGACGGACTGGTTCTTCGAGCAGCTCGGGGACGACTTGTCTGCCTACGCCGGACACGCGGGGCGGAAGACGATCGACGAGAGCGACATGATGATGCTTATGCGAAGGTACGTTTCTTACTACATAGCCAACCCGGGGTATATGATCCTCCCAGTGCATTTCTCTGATCGTATATACATGATGCAGGCAACGACAGACAGGCATGTCCGCCACGCCATTCTCTCTTGCGCAGCGATACCTACCGAGGGAGCTCCTCCAGGAGCTACGCATGCCGGTTCCGGCATCGAAGAAAGCTCCGCGAAAGAAACAATCACGGCACGTCAATGGGGACGAGGAGCAGGAAGTGACCTGAGAGCCGCCTGCTTGGGCTCGTCAAATACCGTACAATGCTCGAGCCAGCGGGGCCTAAGACCATTCCTTGTTCATCCGTACTCGGCGCGCGATATCCGTTGGAGGCTTCTTTACTACCATATAGAACATTATCGACGTCGCGACGGCGAGTCCGTACCTGAGTTCGGGTGTGTACGATGAGTTATGATCACGGCAGGATAGACCCGGGTTTGGGGTCCGAAGGGGGGATGACGCTTACCAAGTGAAAATATACTGGGCATGGTTATTTCTGAGATTGACCTCTGCCGGTCTGCCGATCGGGATAGCCTTGGATTGGAACTCGATGGCCTCGAGCAAGTCAGGCTCTACCGTATGATGAAAGCGTAGCATTAGTTCGAGGAAGCACAAGAGGCGTCGACGACGAAGAGCATCGTGAAACCCGCACCCCCCAATGCTATTAGACCCCTCAAGGATGTACGTACCCATAGTCTGCTCGATCCAAACGGGCTGGCTTCCTGTCAGGGCAGCCATCTGCGCGACGTCGGGGAAGTAGAACTCGCCCTTGTCCGGGCGGTTGTCGGGTGTGAACATGTTCTTCTTCCAGGGCTCGCGGATGAGGCCCTCGACCTCGACCTCGCCGGTGGGGAGGCTCTCGGGGGGGCGGTCGCGCTGGCGGCGGAACTTCTTGGCGATCCAGCCGCGGTTGACGAGGACGGTGCCGGCGCCGGGGTGCTCGGGGCCGGCGTCGCGCTCGAGGGGGGTGACGACCATGAAGCCCTGCTCGCCGTCGTGCATGCGGGGGCCGACGAGCATCTCGCGGTCGTGGCGCCAGCGGCCGCGCGCGCGGACGCGGCGGAAGTCGAAGTCGCGGGCGGCCGCCGCGGCGTCGACCCGCGGCGGCAGCGGCAGCGGCTCGCGCACGATGCGGTCCTCCAGGCGCGCCAGCAGCTCCGTCTTCCACGCCAGCCGCCGCACCTGCCACGTGCCCAGCACGAACGCCGTCGCCGGGATCAGCGCCAGCACCAGCAGCCCCGGCCCGTGCCGCCGCCCCGCCCCCGCCCGCACCAGCTCCGGCGGGTTGTCCACGATCGACCTGAACCCCGGGTCCTCCGCCGGCGGCCGCGGCTCCGCACGACGCGCGGGCGCGTGGGTGAATGGCCGCCGCGGGGCCGAGGCCTGAGGTCGCGGGCCGGCGCGTGCGCGCGGGAGCGCCCCCTGGTGGTGGACGTGGGACGCTCGGATTTGGGCCTCGAGGGACCGCTCGACCCGGCGGGCGAGCGAGTGCGGGGTTAGCCACACAGGTGACTTCATCGCGTGGCTAGTAGGTGGTATGTCTTTTTCAGCGGCTGGGGGATACTGCTAAGGGGGCATTTGCTCTCTCCCATCGTCAACGACACGACGGGTGGCGATGACGTCCTTGGTCCTCGTTCTCAGTGGTTCGAGGGTCGGAGGTTAGCATAGGAGCTCCCCAATGGCTCTCCGTGGGTATCGATACATCCGATAACGATAAGACACCTAATGTGCAGGTACCAAGGTACCTGTACACCTGAAGGTAGGTAGATACCTAGGTAGGTACCTAAGGAGGCCTGTCCGATACATGGGGGTAGAGACGGAGTGTATAAGGCGCCTAGACAAGGTACATGCAGCATGGAGTCAGGGGCACGGTACATACGGGGCACACCTCCGGTTCCCGGGTACCTACCTGCTAGGTACCTCCCCTTGTCGTCGATAAGTACCTACCTCCTCTAAGCACGTACTATAATGCGTTTGATAGGTACAGGACAGCCTAACCTGCCTTGGACACCTGTCCAGCCGACCTAATCTCTTACCTAACACACATCTTACACAGCTTGCTTGCTGTTGTCATCATACAACCCATCTCTCCTTCAACAAGCTTCCTTGCAAAGAGAAGCGCTGACATCACGGACTACCTCAAATCCCTTCCGGCTATCCTACCTCATCTACGCAGTAGCCGTTCTATCTCACGGCTTGCCATGTTCTTCCAGGGCAGTCTGCAAGACGGCATCGCCCTGGCTGTCCAGCAATCCAAGCTAGTGGCCTGTTTCGTGACCGGTAGGCTAAACGTACCAGAAACTGGGAAGGGTCTTTAGCTTACACTAATGTGCGGCCTAGACGATGGGGAAGAGAGCAAGCAATGGGAGAATGAATTTCTCACTGATGATTCGGTCGGTACCCTTCACATGTACACCGAGGGCCTGGTTAGAAGTTGACTCTTAGGGCCCAGCTGAAATTGTTACTCGAAAGCCAGGCCGTAGTGCTACGGCTCGCCGCCGGTTCCGAGGAGGCGGGTTTCTTAGAGGCGCTATTCCCTGTACCACAGAAGCCGACTGTGGTCGTCATCCAGTACGCGCTACGTCGCCCCGAGGGACAGCCTAGTTGGGAGCCTTAACGCTTACTCTTCTTACAGGAATGGCCAGCTGAAAGAGTATCTCCATGCAGGGACTACGAAAGAAGACTTTGTTCGCAGGATTGGGGTGGTTTTAAGGCAAGCAACGGGCCAAGGTCAACCGGCGGCACCAGCACCGGTCGCTCCGGCAGAACAAGCCATTGATCAGACTCTATCGCAACTCCCTTCCCGAAATCCGACTTCCACTTCGAGTAACGATCTTGATGACTTGTACGACGATGTACCGGCTATTTCTGGCCAGGCGCAGCGCGAGTTGGCTGACAGAAGAGCTGAGGAGGCAAAGGCCAAGGAGGAAAAGGAGGCAAAGGTTAAGGCAGAGAAGGAAGCAAAGGCTAAGGGAGAGAGAGAGGCAAAGGCCAAAGCGGAACGGGAGGCTCGCGCCCGGAAACTCCAGGAGGCCAACGAGAGCAACAAAAGCGGGTCATCTAGCAACCACGCTGCGGAGCGTTCCTACGCCGAAGAAATCAGACAGAAGAAGCTGCAGGCCGCCGAGGAGAGGAAGCGGATTCTGAAGCGCATCGAGGACGACAAGCTCGAGCGGAGACGGCGTGAAGTTGAGGAGAAGCAGGCCAGACTCCTGCTCAGCGGAATCACCCAGAGCGAGGACTCCCCAAGCCCGACATCTCCCACCTCCCTCCCTCGAAGACAAGGACCAGCTAGCACGTCGTCGAACGCAGATCACTGCAATATTCAGGTGCGGCTATTCGACGGGTCGACGATCCGCTCTCGCTTTAAGAGCGACAGCACGCTGGCCGGCGACGTCCGGGAGTGGGTCGACGCGGAACGCACCGACATCGACGAGGGGGGCAATGCGCCGCCATACACATTTCGGGTTGTCCTGACACCGCTCCCGAACCGGGCCATCCGGCCTAGCGAGGAATCCGAGACCCTCACCTCGCTCGACCTGGTGCCATCCGCTACGCTCGTCCTGGTGCCCTCGCGATATGCAGCCGCCTACGCCGGCGTCGCGGGGCCGCTCTTCGTCTGGAGAGGTCTCAGCTACCTGCTGGGCCTGTTCGGTACGGGCTACGGGCTTCTCATCGGTGCGCTCGGCGGGATCACAAGCATGCTGTTCGGCCGGGGAGGACGGCCACCCCGGACCCAGCGACGACGGGAGACGGGAGGCGAGGATATTTCCCTGCGAGATCTGCCCTCTGACAGTGCTTCCGCCTCGCGCATCAGGGGCTTTAGGAACCCCGACGACGAGAGACGGAACGCGCAACTGTACAATGGAAACTCGGTAAGTACAAGCCCCCGAAGCTCTATTATTACTCGCATGGCCACCTGCTGATAGGGGTGGTCCCTATGCATAGCTGAACTTTGAACCGCGAAGAGATGAAGATGAAGGTAATGATGGGAATGGTGGACGTGATTAGCCGCCCGGCATACTGTATCAGAAGCGAGAAGGAAGTCTCGGAACCCTGTGACTGTGACAGAGGTAGCATGGCCGTTCCCGATGTTGTCCCTGTTCACTATAGCACTCCCTAATGAGCGAACTCAATAGCATCGTGCGCCTACACCGCGTAGTAGAGGGTTGTATAAATATAATATACCTTGGACTGCATTTCCAGTCTATTCACCTGTATAAATAAATTTATGGCTAGCAATGAATGACGCGGCCTGGGCCTCGAACAATCTGCTCTCTTCATCTGATCCCACGGTGGGTAGAGATCGGCCCGGGATGTTTCCCCCTTTATCTGCTTTGCGGTACTTAAACCTATATGGAGATACCTATGACTTAGGTAGCCTCTACCGACTCTAAATGAGACGGGCTATCCGATATTGCACCGACTTAGGTGAATATGAATATACCTACCGGCTTACCGAGGTAATACACAACTCTATATCGAGGATGCAAGCAGCCCCAATATGACAATATTCGTAGATTTTGCATATCCCGGGCTCCCACCATGCATTACCTATCATCCGAGGCGGGGCTCTACTACAGGTACCTTGGGTACTTACATACCACTAACCCGGCTGTCGCGCAACCCCACCAACACTGATCATATACATCCACCACTACATGCACCGTCACTGGTGAACCAACCCTACCTACAACATACACACCCGCCTCATACCACACACGCATCACGTACACATTACATACACGGGAAACAAACGCAACGTCGGGAACCAATATGGCTGATGCAGAACTAGAGCAGGTGCGTTTACTACCACCTCTGGTTGATACTAGCTATCCGCGCTATCGCGAAACTAACGCCCTCTCAACCACTCGTACAGCTTCGCAAGGCGCGTCTGGAGCAGCTAAAGGCGCAGCAAGGCGCCGGCGCCGGCGGTGGCCAGCAAGGGCAGATGAGCCAGGCCGACCGGCAAAAACAGTAAGCCACCAACCACGCAGACTATCAGGCTCGAGAGCACACACGAGCTAAGCGTATGCTAACGAATTCCGGCGGCAGACAAGAAGGTACGTGAATCACCGCAAACCCACCCGAGTCTTTCCGGCACGCCCCTACCTCCCTCCCTAAGCCCGCCAGCGGCCCAAGCGGCCGGCGCGAGAAGAACGAGGACGCGACCACGCTAACGATGCTCGGGCGTCGCAGAGATGCGGCAGGCGATGATGGATCGGATCCTGGCGCCGGAGGCGATGGACCGGCTGAACCGGATCCGGCTGGTGAACGGGGAGCGCGCGACCGAGGTGGAGAACCGGCTGCTGGCACTATCGCAGATGGGCCGCCTCAGCGCCAAGGTGACTGAGGCCCAGCTCAAGGACATGCTCGCCACCCTCTCCGAGATGAAGGGCTCCGAGAAGATCGTCGTCAGCCGCCGCAAGGGGTGGGACGACGACGACGACCTGGATAACTTGTGACGTGGCGCGAGGGGGGAAAAGAAGGCTAATCGCCAAGGTCGTGGAGGGCCACGGCGGATAGGGGGTAAGGGTGGGCTACATATACAAGCTTACATAAGGGCGAAAAGGAGGAGGGAGGAGGGAGGAACCAGGAGTCCGCCAAAAATGGTGAGAAGAAAGGGAGATCAGAGGTAATGCCGGTGCCACATGGCTATCTCCCAACAAGTAGTACGCCGTAGCATCGCATGGCCCCCTATAAGACCACACGAAATGGCGTTTTCAAGGGCGGGGTTTCCAGTGGCATCAATGCTCTGTTCGCGGCCGCAACATTGGTCCGGCGATAACATACAAATTGCCGACGACACGCCCACCCCGTGCCCCCTTAAACATATATCCATTTCCTTTCCGTGCCTATCTCGCCGCTTAGCTCGGCATGTTCTGCTCGGCAGCCGTAGAAATCGCAGTAGGACCAACAGCGGCAGCGGGCGCAGCCCCCTCCGCGCGCCTCTTCCTCTCGGCGCGCTCACGCTTCCGGATCTCGCGCAGGTCGGGCGGGGTCTCGATGCCGAGGCGGCGGCGGAGCTCGCCGACGTCGGTCTCCATCTCCTCCTCCCAGTAGACGTTGATGACCTCGGCGGCGCGGAGCCCGTTGCGGAGGGCCCAGGGGCCGTAGACGGACCAGAAGCGGCGGCGCTCGGCGGGCTTGAGGGTGGCGACGGCGAGGAGGGAGAGGCCGGGCATGGGGAGGAGGGTGTTGGCGAACTCGAAGGCCTTGAGGGCGACCTCGCCCTCGCGCACGGTGGGCAGGCCGGTGAGCGCGTGGTAGAAGTCGTGGGACTCGCGGTAGCGCTGGACGACGTAGGCGCACTCCTCGTCGTCGACGTAGCGCACGGCGGCGCGCGTGTCCGGCGACACGCCCTCGCGGTCGAGCCAGGCCACGTACGTCGCGCCGACGGTGCGCGCCGGCAGCGCCCGCAGCCGCGGCAGGTCCAGCGACGCCGACGTCAGCCGCGGCCGCTCCCGCAGGATCCGCCGCCCCGTCGCCGACCCCAGCATCGCCCGCCGCAGCCGGTCCGCGAAGTACGGCGACGCCGTCGCCTCGCCCACCGCCGCGATCAGGTCGTCCCGGTACGGGTTCGCCAGCGACAGCACCCCCGCCCCCACCGCCAGCGCCACCCGCTCGAGGCCCGTCAGCGGCACGTGCCCCGGGTAGTTGGGCGGCGGCCGGTTGAGGACCGAGAACGGCCGCGCGCCGGAGCGGCGGGAAGGGCTGGGGGGTGCTACCCCGGATGCAGCCACCGCAGCCGTGACCGCAGCTGCGGGGGGCGGTAAGTAGCGGGTTGGTTGGAGCAGGCCATGTTTGGTCGAGAGTGATCGGACACGGGGCGTGAGAGCTTTCATAGTGCCGGCAGTTTGAGAGGCCCGCTGCCCTGCAGGCTATCCCCTGTTCTCGTCTTAATTCCCTCGTTCCTTTTCGTCCTTCCCTTTCTTACCCTCTCTCTTCTTATTTACACCATTGGCGATGTTTCTCTATTGGTGTGGGTTGGGGGGAGAAAGTAAGTACCTATGCTAGAAAGGTGTCCTTAGATTAGAAGTGCTACGCCGTGCCGGCACGCAACACATCGTATGTTGAGGGAGACGAGATAGAATGTGGCAGCTACTGGGAGCTTCAATTGTGGATGCAGTCATTCTGGGGTATCGCGGTACATGCATACATATCGGGCTTAGGGCATATGTAGTTATCGGATATCAGCAATGGTAGAGACTGGGGCTTTCCAGGCGGGTCTAGTATTAATCGATGACTCTTCATTGGCCACCGCCGCGCAGCTTTCCCGCAATCCCCGTTGGCAGTCGCGGGCGCACATGCAATTTCCTTCGGCCGCCATTGGATTGAGAGCAGAGGCGGCAGGTACACGACCCTGCTACGTACCTGCCCTGGTGGTGCCCAGGTGGCATACTGCATAAATAGACCCGCTCTTACGTGCATTTGTACCGGCATCATGCATATTCACTAAATCCGATTTTCCGGGGAGTCGGTCTTATGGAGACGCCCGCCTCGATAGTGTATTAGGTCCCCTCCCGTCCTCATCTATTAACCAACTTTTCTCCCGAGGAACAGAAAAGAATCTCTTTTTTTCTTCCTCCCAACTCCTCCATCCACGACGCGCAAGCACACCTGCCTGTACACCTACAGACAACCACCCCATCCGACACTTACCTACCGTCAATCAATCCATCCGTCAACTGCGCAAGCAACAATCACCAAGCCAATATGCCTCGCAACCGCTCCGCCGCCCGACCCGCTCCCTCTCGTCCTACCGTCCCTGCGCGGTCGCCTGCTCCCCAGCAGACACGCCCGGCCGCCACCTATGCGCCGGCTCACGGCGCTGCTCAGCACCCCCCCGCGGCCGCCGCTCCCCAGGCCTCGCAAGGTCCCGGCCTCTTCGGCCAGATGGCCAGCACTGCTGCGTACGACGCTCCCCTCCCCAACCCCAACTTCTAACCCCTCTCCACGCCCCTTCCCCTCACCCCCATTTCGAGCGTTTTTCTCTTCCTCTCTGCCCTCTCATTCCCCTTCTCCCTCCTCCCGAAGACTCCGTCATCAGTATCCGCAGCGATAGAATGTGTAAAAGAGACCCAGCGCTGACGCTACCTCTCCCAAATCAATAGCGGCGTCGCGGTAGGCTCCACCATCGGCCACGCCCTCGGCGGGCTCTTCACCGGCGGCGGCTCCGCGCCGGCCGACGCCGCCCCCCAGCAGTCGGAGGCCGCGACGGCGAACTACAGCCAGCAGCAGAGCAACAATTGCCAGGGTGCCGCCCTGAACTTCACGAAGTGCATGGATGACAACCAGGGCAACATGCAGATCTGCAACTGGTACCTCGAGCAGCTCAAGGCCTGCCAAGCCGCCGCCAGCCCGTACTAAGCAGCGCCCACCCCTCCCCCACCCGGGGGACGTTGGAAATCGACTCGGACTGGCGAATGGGACTACCATTCCACGTGTGCCTGCCTACTTCCCTGGTCGCCAAGCACCGGCTTGCCCTCAATGATCTAGAGAGGGCGCGCAGAAGGGAAGGGAAGGAGGAAGGAAGCGGAGGAGAGGAGGAAGACGAGGAGGATAGATGTACCTACTGGGTTTTGATGGGAGTGGCGTAGTATGGTAGAGATCGCAGACCAGTTGCTTGCTTGAGGATGTCTAACATCCCGTGACCAAGATAAAAAAATAAAAAGAGAAGAGTAAAAAACATGATCCAAGACCACCAATGTTCTCGAGTTCCCTCGTCTCCCTGACTTTAAAAAAAATTTTTTTTTTGATCCTAGGCTCGTGAACTTGACGGTCGGCTTTCGCAGACTGCGGGGTACGAGGTACCTGCTCTATAATATCTATCTGCACTCTCGATAGAGCTAGAAAACTCAGCTCAGAACCTCCTGTCGCCTACGCTGTTCTTATTTCCGCCCGTAGCCGGCGTAGCCGAGAGTCGCGCGTGGCGTACGGAGATATGCCTCAGAAGCACGGTGTTAGCGACGTGGGCTTGGCTGCGCGTTGAAAGCGGTCTACATGCATACGATGCCATACACCAAAGGGTTGAAGATATCTCAATCTCACTGGTATCTATTCCTACTAGCACAGAGAAGAAGAAGAAGGGGAGGTGCGGGGGGGACGGAGGGACAAGTTTGAACGTGTATCTCCATTCGTTTTACAGGCCCGTGGCGCGCCACGGTAGATGGGTAGGTTACCTTCTACGTAGATGCATATACATACATACATACATACATACATACATACACAACGACAAACAAAAAAAGGGAACGAGGCGCCGAGGCTCACGCATCCAAGTCGCCGTCGAGTTTGGGATCGAACACGTCCTGGCCGCCGCCGATCTTGTCGTCGTCCATCGTGTAGGGCTGGAGGCCGAGGGGGATGCCGAGGTTGAGCTCGCGGCGGCGGGAGTTGAGGCGGGCCTTGACCATGAAGACGGACATGGTGTTGTAGTGGCAGCTCAAGCCGAGCTCGCGGGCGCGGCGGACGAAGTAGCCGTTGAGGAAGTCGACGGGCGGCTCGAAGCCGCGGCGGACGAGCGAGATCCACTCGCTGTACCCGCTCACGTAGCGCCTCGACGTCAGCTTCCCCTTGAGGTAGCCGGCGAACCGCGGGCGGTTGAACCACTCGACGATCTCCGGGAAGTCGTGGAACTCGGGTAGCGCCGACACGATGGCCAGCGTCTCCCGGAGCATGTTCTCCCACAGGTGCATCGCGTGCTCGTCGTGCCGGATGTGGTCGAACCGGCAGCCCAGGATGACGGATATCGTGTCCAGGAGGGAGGAGAAGATCATCATCGGTAGCTTCTGCTGCAGGAAGAGGTGCCGAGGCAGGTTTACGGCGCCGAGCTCCTCGGCCGCGGCGAGAAGGGCGATCAAATGCTGGGTATGCCCGTAGCTGAGTGAGGTGGCGACACGTAAGGGTATGTCGGCGCCGCCGCCGTCATCTCTGGGCATGCCGTACAAGAACATACGACCCGGTGCGTGCTTTAGGGAGTAATAATCACTCGAGTGCTGGCCGAGTTTGTGGATGCTGTGGCAAAGCACGTAATTCGGCCGTAGGGCAGGGTTGGTGAAGACCTCTTCGTTCAATGCCTCCATGACCCCGAGCCCCGGGTGGACCAAGCAGACGGTTGTATGGCGGTCGATGTAGTACCGCAGGGAATAGAGGGTTGGGATTACGGCCCTCGTCGCCGTACTAACAACAATGTTGGTCATTGGAGATAAGTTGGAGAGAAACCTGGACCGAACGCGACGATGACCGATATATTCCGGGCAACGGATCTTTCTCGAGGACAGGAACTTTCCATTAAAGTCACGGATATCGATCGACCTACCCTCCTCCCCCCACTTGGTCATAGCCAGCATGTCGTGAGCCAGGATTTGGGTGGGGGGCAGGCCAGGTACGGCTGCGAGACTGTGGGCGAGGAGTTTAGCGTGTCGATCGATGCCTAGGATGAAGATCTTATTCGATTTTCTCGGCTTCTGGTCCCTTGTGTCCTTCCCGGTCTGGACTTTCCTTTTGGCCCGGGGCGGCACTTTTTTCATGACCTCTGCGCTGTAGAAAAGCGGCTCCGGGACCTGCTTGATGGAGGGGATGGACGGCACGATCCTGAAGTGCGGTGTTGTGAGGGATGAATGGCTTGAAATTCTCTCTTGGAACACGGCTACGGGATCCGGAGCCGGGGGGTAGTACAGAGGTAGATCCGGCCGGAAGTCATCGACCCGCGGCGCGCGGTTGGGCAGTTCGGCAGACGCTGCCGACAGACGTTTGCTGGCCCCCCGGCCGGCAGGGAGGTTATCGCGACTCCATGTGGCGGGCTTGTGGGGTATTCGCGCAGAGGCCCGCGCAAGCGGTTGATGGAGGTTACGGGAATACAGGATGGAGGATTTCCGCGTGATCTATCTACGTGTCATCGAGCGGGTTGGGGTCGACACGGCGAGGTCGCGAGCAGGATGCCAATCACTCTTGCGGCGGCCGATCCCTAGACATCTGCACCTAAGCCGAGTAGATATCGTATACGCAGATTAGGATGCAGCGATAGTGAGTTGGACTGGTGGATGGTGATGCAACAACGGCCAAAGCCGGGGGGGGAGGGAGGTGGGAGGAATGGCTGGAAGAAGGGGTGGGTGAAATCGTCTTTTTTTTTTTCATTCTTATTAGGGTCGTTCATGACGGTATTCCTATTCTCGGAGTGTGGGGTTGAGCTACCGCCGGTTACAGAATCCTTGAGCGTCAATTGGCCCAACGAGGAAAATATCCACATTAATCGAGGTCCATTGAGGCGCCTTTATCTAATCTAGCCTCTGAGGGTCTGCGGCACCGACACACGCATACACCTCCCAATATGCGATAACATTCTGCCCTCCCTTACCGCCGTAATTCTGCAACTGCAGGTTATTTTTGCCCCTTGCATTTCTCGCTACTCGGTACGTACTTCTCTCTCTTGTCTGAAGGTCTCTATCTACCTACTCATACAGCACCTCTTTTCCACTCGGGACATCGTTCAACAGACCGGAAGCCCGATCCCCTCCTTTCCCGCCTTCCCCCTCTCAATATGGAACCCGCAGACATTACGCCGCGGCTAGAAGAGCTAGACGATGAGCTCGACAACCTCGAGGAAGCTCTGCAGCCCATCCTCCACAACGTCTCGGATGTCGCCTCGAAGCTGCCCTTGCTCGACAAGGCCAAGCTGTATGTGCTCGTGACTTACTCCATCGAGTCTATACTGTTCTGTAAGCGCGTCGCGTCCAGCATCCACGTCCACAGCTAACCGCGCGCACAGCCTCCCTCCGGCTTAATGGCGTCAACCCGAAAGAGCATCCCGTCTTCCGGGAGCTGACCCGCGTCCGGCAGTACTTCGAGAAGATCAAGGACGTCGAGAATCCCCCGCCGAAGCCCGAGAAGCCCGAGAAGACGCTGAACAAGGAGGCTGCCATCCGCTTCATCAGGTCCGACCTCGCCGATAACAAGGACATCAGCACCAAGCTGAATGAGATGATCGCTCAGGAGCGCGCCAGGGCCGCTCTCCAGACTGCCGCCCAGGCCGGCGACAAGCGCAAGGCCGCGGGCTCCCGTGCGCCGCGCGGTGGCGATGATAACGACGAGTCGAGTGCGGAATCTGCCGCCGACGGCAAAGACGCCGAGGCGGGGGAGCCGCGCGGAAAGCGCAGGAGGGAATTGCGGCGGAATGGAAGGGAGCACGAGAGCAAGAAGAGCAAGAAGCTTTCCACCTGAGGCCCCCGAAGACCCTAGCCTCTTTTGATTTATTTCCATCGGCCATTCTGGGACGCGGGTGGGACGACGCTACATCGCGTCTCTATCCGCTTCCAGAGCGGTGGTTCGTGGAGTATAGGAGGAAGTTCAGGCGGGCGCCGCACGGCCCTGGTCCGAATATCAGAGTGGGGCGAGGCAAGTTCTCAGAGGTCCTGGCGCGGGATATCGAAGGCAGACGGCAACATAAAATCCGCCACGTCGAATTTGCGCGGCGAGCAACGTTATGCGAGTGGTAATTACTACCCGTGCATGCTATAGTCGGCTGGGGGACCAATCGATCACTGGACGGGCCCCCCTTTGTCCCGCTCAATGGTTCCGCCGACGAACTCTGCGGTGTTTGCCACCAATTATGTATTGATAAGGCCCTGGGGCCATCATGGCCTACGCAATATCGGCGGAAAAGAGGTGCTACCTCGCGGGACTGCTCCCCTGCGGGTCCGGGATAGCCTAGGAGGCTGACGGGCCAGGACGACCCGACTACCCTAGCTCGTCCTGCCACACCCAACTGGAGAGAATAAACTTATTGTTGAGTGATTGGCGACGTTTCTATGTTCAACCTCCACTCCCATGTACCAAAACCCTATCGCAACCTCCTGGGGCTTATACATGGTCCAGGTTAGATAGTTCCCCCCCTCGTAATACGCTGGGGCTTTTCGCCACTGCCTGTCATTACGTGGTACATAGCATTTGTTTGTGTTGTTGTGTGGTTGGTGATGCTCTGGGAACGCGGGGGCGACGGACAGGGTAGTCCGCATGGAGGAGAGAGCTAGAACACAAGCGTCGAGGAAAGGAGATAGGGGGCGGATGAGAACGCGTCCGGAGGCTACAGGGCGACGCCATCTTTCGCCCTCAATTCTATACGGCTTCGAGATAGCCCCTGCTCCCACGTTTAAGCTCCGACGTGGCCAAGGGCTCGCTACCACATATTTCAAGACTACGTTTACTGTGTACTCTCGAGCTAGATAGCGTGGGCGCAAGTGTCGCGAGGATCTAGCATCGCTGGCGGGATAAGGGGCGGAGGAGCCCGGGCGTATCTGTCGAGGTTTGAGGATGGTTTGGTGGGAGAGCGGGAGGTTCACGACAAGGAGATAAAAAGTTGAGGCGTGACTAGTCGCTCAGATGCGTACCCGGAGATTTTGCCCTCCCAATTGTCTAACGGCTATTGCCTCTATTGCGCAGATACATTCCACCCTCTCAATGCAGAGTCCAAATTGATATCTCGAATCTTTGACGGGCTGTTCCGTAGCCCCCACGGTTTACTACGAACCGCCAATACACTTGAGTCAATCACAGACTAGATAGACTCAATCTATTAGACCCTATTAGTAAAGAGAGCACCACCTAACATCTCTAGGGCCTGTATGCAGGATCAAATAAGAGTAAACCAATGTCGCGTAGGAAGCCATGTCTGCAGATCGCTACGTTGCCCAGTGACAATAGACGCTACCCCCTTGATAAAGAATAATCAGACTTTGCAGCTCACTCAGTGAGTCTAGGGCGCTTTTGAGTGCGTAGAAGGAAATGAGTAGAACACCTACGAACATCATGTCTAGCCGAGAGGCGTACCTAGGTAAGTATTAAATTCCGACTCGTAGCGTCGCCCGCGTTGGCTTGCACTCGGTAGGGGCAGCCGCTTTAACTACGAGCTATATGCACACTTGCCTTACCCCCCGAGGGCGTGATCTAACATAGTAAGAAGCAAGGAGAATAGCACATAAGCGCCGGGGGCGGGTCGATAGCAACGCGAATGGGTGGAATGCCTTTTGGAGGAGGCAGAGGCAAAGCCAAGACATGCAGATATGGGTTGTGGCACGAAACGCGCGCCAACGTGGACAGGATGTAGTAATACGGTGTAGGGAGACGTAGATCGACATAATACACCATTGTCCCAGCCTATCGTAGAATGGCGGGAGGTTTGACATGGTGTCTCACAGGTAAGAGCCCGAGGTACCGGTACTGTTAAACCGTTGCAAGGAGTTGACTTTCGTCCACCCGCTGTCTGCGGCGAACCGCGAACTCATAGCTCCCGTGATAAGAAACATTGGTCTCTGCCTTTTGGATAGACCCGTCGCGGGAATGGAATAGTACGCGCGACACCGTAAGCTTCTAATGGCAGCGATAAATGTGTGAGATGGACGAAGGCGAGAAAGGGGTCGCCAACCACAGGCCAGGAACGTCTTGGAGCAAGGACCGAACTCAGCAGATAAATTGGTCTCGTTCACCCACCGTGCGTGGGGAGAGTACGGTCTTAGCTTCGACGAGATAATACGGCCCTATGGAGGTGGAACGATAGTATCGGCTTCGAGAAGAGTATGCATGTACTTTCTAGACCGCCAGAGAAGCCAATCCCTAGGAGGATCGACCTGTGGAGATTAACGTGCTTAATTGGATGTATGTATTATAGGATCTACCCGTCCCGGCCTTGTTGCATCTTCGGCTCCCCGAGTGGCGTATAGGGCGGTCTTGAAGTGACGTGGCAACAGCAGCTTAGAGTTCGTGTAGGCTCTTGGGCGTGTATAAGGCAAGGTTCCGATTCGAGGACGAGCGTAGGACTCGAGCCACAAAATCTGCGAGGCCATTGACGAACCAAAGTCGATCCCGTACGCAAGACATAGATCTGGGCTTCTTAAGAGTGCGTAATCGAAGATCGTACATATGTCGGTAAAGCTATTTTCTCACGCAGAGATCGGTGCGAATTATCCACTTTTCCCCTGCTGTCACTTGCCGACCCTCGTGCTGAGAATGGTAAACGAATGTCCTTCCACTTCGTATTTACCAGCAGGAACGCGATCCTTGGGGGGGGGGGGTGTTACTTACCAATAAGCAGTCCTCTCCGTGCTTGTGGAGAAGAAGCATTCCGGTTTCGGGGGCAACAGCAATCTCTTCTTTTGCAGACTTTCGATCTAGAGGATAGAAGACCGTTTCTCCGCCAATACAGCCTTCAGCAGCTGAGGTCAAGTACAGCAACAGGGTCCATGTAGTTTTAGTCTGTACGGGACTAGAAGGTTCGCTGGGGGTGGGCAGCGCAACAAGGTTGGAGTCATCGTCTGTCATCACCCATTGGCCGGTTAGTACAGGAATAAATCGTGACATGTTGCGGGACGACGTCATGCTTGTCCCAATAACGATATCCATCCAGGGACATGGGCTGATGACAGGGTTGCGTCGTATCTTTAGCAGCATGGAGGCCCGACGCAGCCGCAAATTCATAGGCCTAAGCCATGAGACAAAAAACGATGCGGGCAACGACAAGCTAGACAGGGGGATGCCTGGCGTCTCGGGAATGCTGGAGGTTGCGAGAGCGGGATACCGTTATGGGATGACTTGTGATGCCTGGTTGAACATAGGAGCCATGGTTTGCGAGGGCCACTATCGCTTAACCCGATATGGACGAGAGACAGAGGCAGAGAAGAAGGGGAGGCCTACAGTGGCAGTCGAAGTATTGGTTCTTCGAGTAACGATATACTCGGATGTTGGGGTTCAAGCCCACCACTTCCCCGCCCCTGTCGTCTGCATCAGTGCTGTCGGCCCATCTATCAGATATATGGAGTGACGAGACTGGTTGAGGGGGTGGTGGTGTGGCGCGGTGAGATGAGACTGTCGCTAACCACACATGTTTGAACGATGCCTCCAGTAGGGCGTCCCGGAGGCCTGTCTCCGCCCAGAGTCGTTGCGAGAAGGCCGGGTCGTCGACTTGAAATCTATCATTGACCCTCACTGCCTCCCCGCGCTTGGGCCGGCCAGGGGTGGTGGTCAGAGGCAGCGTCCTGAGGAATGTGACATAGTCTCGACACAAGCTTCTCGGCCAGAAATTCCGCACGAGGACGATCTTTTCCTCGAGGCCTGGGACGGGTGCCTCTGGGGCGAGAGGCACTACTGGCAAGGTTAGCCTGAACGGCGGCCAGCTCGGGCGAACTACAGCGGCCGCCGGAGGCCGCGCTGAAGACTGATTCTTCTTGGCTGATCTATCCTTGGCCATAATAGCAGTACTGTGTACCTCCCGTACTTCTACCGCAGGTTGGTGAGCCCCAGCGTCCAGTGCTGTACAAGCGTCGTTCTAGCCAAGGGAGGTTGTACGGAGTTTGGTTGGAGTTGGTGGGAACAATGCGAGTGGGATAGACGCCAGAGATGCGTTGATGTGGACATGTATGCATGTAGGTATGCGGTACATACCTAGGTCTGTTAGGTGGTAGATATCCTTATTCCGGAGTTTCCATCTGGCTAAGATGGACCGATCTCGTACTGCTTAGTTACCTAACGAAAAGGCCTCCCTACCACGTAGTACGTACATACATATGCATCTTGGGACGGGACAGCTGCCGTAGACCAATCCATCCCCCATGTAACCCGGATGAATATCTGCCTAACTATGTATGCATAGAGGTCCCTCCCGGAGGTATACGGTCGAGGCAACTGCCAATGAGAGCACCCGCTGTATAGGTACCTAAGCCCGCATGTCGCGTAACTACATATCCACCGTAGCATCATGCCCATATCCATACCAATGCAAGAAAGGTATTTCTCGCAGGCGCCTGCCGTCCTATACCTATCGTTGCCTTTCTATCACGATTCACCAACACCGGCACCGACGTAAACGCCAACCCAACCGCCACCGTCGCCCACAAAATATAGAGATGTCCGCCTACTATATGTGCTTGCAGCTAAACCGCCCCTCCCCCCCTACACATGTGCGCACGGCAAGTCTGCATGCCACCTCTTCCCCGCGGGCAGCCACGCCGACGTCGCTGGTACCCAATGTCCCGCAACCCCTTGAGCAGCTGCCAGCAAGTTGGCTGTAACACATCTGGTTGTGAACTCCTATCCGGATGTTCCGGCCAATGCTATTACCTACCCAACATACCAGCTTCGGAATTGGCCCGAACAAGCAAGCAAGCAACTAGGTAAAACCGGCTGAGGGAGGAGGGCTGGTCGGATTCTTTCACCGCCCCATCCGCCCCGTAAGCCTAGGATATGAGAGACACAAATCAGTCGAGCCGCAGGCACTAGCGAAAGGAGGTCACTATCAGCGACTAGTTATGAATAATTACTCATTAATTCCGGATCACGCTACCCTCAGCTCCGGACTCCAATCAACAGGCCACGACAGCGTATCTATGAGCCCATTTTCTGGGGTCCTGGCCTGATTCCCTCCATTCCCGGTGCCTAACACTCTCCAGAGCGAGCCGGAAGTGAAACCTGGAACCAACCGGGGTACCGGCCGCGATGTTGCTGAAGATTCGACCGGTTCGGAAAACTCCGCCCCCGCACCTTTGCGCCGTCGAGGACGTAGCGCTAAAAATTGCTTTGATCGTCGCCTATCCTTACGAAATAAGACGAAGAACAATGTCTATACATACCTACATACGCTGAGCTCTTTTAGCTATGTGAGTGATGATGCCGGGGACATCGTCCCGCATAGTTTCATCAACCCTCATTACAACCTCGTCCCGTGCTCGCGGAGGATTTAAGCATGAGCAGATTCACGGAATATTGCGAGTGGATTGTTACGGCCCGGAAATGCCTGGATGGGGAACCGCCTCCCGGTCACCTGGCGAAGTTCCGGCTAGGCAGACTAGTCCAGTTTCCACTGCGCGGGATCGAGCCGTCCCGCCGCGTGGCCCAATTCTACCAGGAGCTCCTAGGCGAGATCGAGCAGTCCAGGTTGGATGACACGCGAAAAAGACTGTATAGGAAGTTCACCAGAAGGGTCGTCGCGGCCCACGTTGCTGTCGAAGAAGTCAAAGTACCCATCGGGACGGTCTCGAATCTTCGGAAAGCTCTAGCTCGCCTCTCCGCCGCACTCAACCTGATCATCACCCTCAAAGACTACGACGACGAGCACCCCGTCCACTGGTCAGAAGTCTTCCCGACCGAGAGCATGCCGCTCAAATCCTCTCCCGATAGACTTTGGCATGACTTTAAGCTGGAGAGCATCCGGCCGTGTCTGGTGTGCCTGGTGCGGATTCTGCGGCTCGTGCTTCCCGACTTCACAGATATGTGGGACGAATGCGAAGCGAGTTTGACGGGAAAGCAGTGGATCTTGCTGTTCGTTCTCGACTCCCCAAAGTCCCAGAAGAGATCGACCTCGCCGCGCCTACTGAAAGGGAGCGATCTACTAGCGGTCCGGGCCGACATGCCAACTTAGGCCCTTATGCCGCAGCCCGAAAAGACCGAGGCTTGGCGAGTTAGCCAGCTCGCGTCAACAGATGCAGTGCAGCAAGTTGCGAGAATCGGATCCAGACTGCGATAGTTGCTGATCGAGGTTGGAGCGGGTAGACGAATCGAATGAGCGATGACGGATATGGCGAGTTAGGAGGCTCGTACACCATCTGCGGCCTACCCCATATCTAACCCCCCCGTCTGGCCATCGTCGTGCTGCGGGCGAGTGGGGTCGGGCTTAATTCGACCCCATACGTTCGCGCCGAATACAGCGCTGGAGTGCTCGGTGCCGAACATGGGAATCGATCTGGGGCCATGAGGTGCTGGATGGAGGCATACTTGCTTGTATACACGCCCATACATGCTTAGAAGGACGTAAGCTAGATGAGTCAGGCCTCTGCTGCCCGTGGAGGGTATTAGGTAATTTTTCAACACGACCTGCCCTTGGTAACTGAAACCTCAGGTACCTGAGGCTTGAATGGGTACATGGATAAAAGGTGCCAGAGGTATCGGGTAGATACCTCGTGTGTGATTATGACGTGTACTGTGTACATGATGCAGGTAGCCAGGTACGCCAGGAGGAGGTACCTACCTTCTATAATTTTGAGGTCAAATGTACATGCATTAGAGGTACTACGCAGTACCATCAGCTTATATAGTACAGACACGGGACGCCCCCACGAAACGATTTTGAGGAGAGAGCCGACGGCACCTCCGTAGACGCCAAGGAGGTGAAAAAAAAGCCACACTTCCCGCCCCCCACTAAAAGCCAACATCAATTACCTACAACTTCACTTGAATACAACTTCACACACACATGCAACATACCTACCTAAGGCAATAATCCAAGCTACATGGGGCTCATGCTCATGCGCTCTTCGCGCGAGTCAGACGAGCCACGGCCGTTTCGTGGCATCTTCTCTCTCGCCCACACGTCCCACCCCAGCACCCAGGCCTAGCTCTGGGCCCTGGTCTCTCGTGCTCCCCTAGGCATTTCCGGCGCAGAGCAAAGTTGACTGTAGACGGCCGATGTGGTCCTTTGGCACTACTATGACCATGGCAAACGACCGTGAACCTTCCCCGGCTGCCTCTCTGCCTTCACGGTCTTCCCCGCCTCCGCAGTCTGTCCAGCACCCAATGTCACCGTCTCGACCCCGCCCGTCGCTGCTGTCCCAGCGCTCGCTGAAACAATTGGGCCTGTTATTTGCCGGCGCAGGCTTCCTCGCTCTCTCGACCCTGATCACGAGGCGTGCCGTGGCGCGGAAGCGCAAAATTACCACGCCGCCCTTCTACCAGCAGAGCAACCGGCCGGTTAGTACGATGGCGTCTGACGGCTCTGTTATAGCCATCGAGGCGATGAGTCTGGCGACGCTTAATGTCATGAGCTTCGCCATAATGCTTACTGGTGGCTTTTCGTGGGCATTCGACGTCTCAAACCTCGACGATTTAAGGAGGCTGGCGCGGAGGCATGTTGGCCCTCCGGGTGGTCAAACCGACGAGGAGTCAGAACGGGAGGTCGAGGAGTGGGTGGCTAGGGTCCTATTAAGGAAGGAGCAGAAGGCAAAGGAAGCCAGATCATCGAAGCAGGATGACGAGTAGCCGGCCCGAGTGGTTCGGGCTGGCGAGGAGGGGGGGGGGGGGGGGGGGACGGGGGGGGCTCAGCACCTGGAGCAAGTATGCTGCTACCCGACATGGGTAGTGGCCAACGCCACGCATGCCCGCCGGCTTCTACGGTGAACCTCGCTCGATATGCTGGCCATCTGGCGATTTCGAGCTGCGTGTTCGGGAGACGTCACTCCGTTAAGCGAGATTCTGTCACAGGCACGCCACCGCGCCCGAGTCGAGACTTGGAATATGCGCACTGTGACGCGCGAGCGAGGTATGTACATACATACCTACGCGTTTAGCTGCCTACGGTCGTTTATGACCCTATCATCATGCACGATATCAAAGTGACGAGATCCCCAGCCGGCCATTCATCCTTCCCCCGTTGCCTGCCGTTTCTATGTTGTACATATTCACCATCTCGATACCACCCGGCTACATCTTGCCCGAACTCGGTGACTGGGGTTGAACCCTCCCACCACGCTGGTGGCGGCTGTTGAGCATTCTCGACCTGGTTTACACCGCCTTATCTCCTCAGGGTTCTTCTGTCCTAGGCTGTTGGGCTAATTAGGTCTCGGGTCAACCCATGCCGCGAGCGCGTAATAGAAACTGTGGTGAGACTACGACGTCAACCCCGCGCTTGGACAAGACCTGGCTGCTTCGCCTTCTTGCTCATCTCCACAGGTCTCGGACGGGACCACCGACATCGTTATGTGATTTAACGCACGGGCTCTACCCGAGCTATAGCCTAGGCCGTACGTGCGTTAACATCGGCATCCTCATCGGAGGAAGATACGTGCACTATTTACGAATATCGTCAACAAGCGTCTCCGTCTAGCCTTAGCCCTTGCGTAGCCTGGAAAGCAGGTCGACACGATAACTATGGGCTTGTTAGTCCCTAGGAATGGGCCGGTCGATATGGCCGAGTATCATATACCCGTCCGGAAATACCATTGGACCCATCAAAACACCGTCGTCGAGTCCCCAGTCCTCTGTCTAGACCCTCCCCCATCGGCGCTCATCGTTCGCCCGTTAGAAGGACTCAATGAGAAGGAACCCCGGATACTAAGCGACGCCTCTGGCTTGAGAGACGACATTCGCGGCGGAGAATACGCGACGGAGGCACATGGTGTCTTGGTCTCGACGGATACGCAAACTAAACGCTTCCCCGTCTGGGTGCCCGTACACAGCTACAGATGCAAAGAGGATGAGGTCTACGTTGTGAACCTGACGACGTTCGAGGTTTCCACTACCCCAGTAGCTCAGGTATGCTGGGTTGCTGGGTTCGAGGCCCCGGATCGCAGCTTATACACCGTGATCGGTGCTCCGAGAGACACGTTGCGGGCAACGCGGGTTCTGGTGCTCGTTCAGCAGCTTGGGCTTCCGGGGAAAGCTAGGCTCGCCCTTGTGGATCCTTCAGAGCTTGCAACGTTCGACGAAATCGGCCCGGTTCAGAAGAAGGCCTTATTCGAGTTGCAGCTGAGAGCCATCCTAGCTAGAACCAATTCACCCTTACTTATGCTTTCGGACGTCTTGCGTGTCTTCTCGTCGCCGTACAAGTTCGAACGTGGCAGGCGTGCCTTGGATGAAATTCTCGACGAAGATCTCGGGGTTTCCCGCGGTCTCCCTTCCAACTATAGCTCCGGGGATAGCTTTGACGGTCTGAGTGACGACGACTTAAGCGACGACGATTCGTCGTATGACAAGCTGACATACGCCGGGCTGGTAGAGTCTCCGAGCGTAGGTTCTTTCCGAATGCCACCCCTCGCTGTTGGATACTGAAGGCGTTGGCAGAGCTCCTATAGTTGCGACTGTAAATACGCGCTTCTGTGCCCGACATATTACGACCCGCGACCGAGCCACCGCCACGGAACGGATGACGAATGCGCCCTTGGGCGCGCCCATGCGAAACACTGCATCTTTGCAGACCACTCGCCGGGGGAGTGCGTCATTTCCGGTGAGGCGCATGAGCACTGCGTCCACCCGTCGTCCGAGTTCGGGCTGGAGTCCGAATTCGAGAAGCTATTCGGCGTGTCGTGCCTCGCCGACGCCGACGCCCTCCTCGAATGGATGGGCAGCACGGATAGCAGCGCGTATGGTCAGTCGGACGCCGAACCGGCGCCCGCCGACTCGCCGCCGTCTATAGATTCACATCAGGATCCGGATGCGGAGTCAATGATCGTCGGCTACCGGCCCGGGGCCATGGGTTCGCTCGATGCGCTCTTCCAGGGACCGGTATGGGGCGCTCGTATGGACTTCGGCGCGTGCTCGTCGCCAGAGCCACCAGATCTACTATTCTAACTTACTCGATGGGACAACATCGGTGGCGGGACGAGTGATGGGACGCCTATACTACGGATTTATTTACGCGAGGAGATCGACCTTTTCCTCTTTCGTCGTCGGGTCTACCTACCTACTTTAGCGACTGCGACATATTCCCCGCCACCACCCTTTCTTTCACTTGCTCTCGAGCATTGACATGTTCGAGTGCCTAGTTCTTCGTCGAGAGACGAGACCGGAAATACCTAGGAATAGAGCTATGTATACAAACGCGCTCCGGACCGGACACATACAGGCTACAGAAGGAGGGCTAATGGGCGGCATTTTTAAGTGCGTTTTTTTTTTCTTGCTCGAACGTACGGGGCGGTAATTGAAAAAAAAAAAAAAAAAAAACAAATGTGATAGGAGAGAGAGAGGAGGAAAAGGAGGGGGGGGGGGGGGGGGGGGGAGGGGGATTTGTCCAAGATCAAGTTCTCAATTAATAACGATGAAATCGGATACATCATAATAATCAAGCCTCGCGGCCCCCTTCTACCGATGGGAGGAGAAATGATCTATCGTATATGCCTGCTACCTCATCACGTTGTACATATGCCGACGCGACGTAGGACAGCAACCAGCACGGCAATGGCTCCCGAGAGGCGGAGGAGAGGGGAGAGGGGGGGAAGATGTTACGGGCTTGGGTGCTACGCCAAAGTCGCACTTCGAATCCAAGTCCCGGGGCCGAGAGGCGTTTTATTAATTTAGGCACCTCGTAGATGAAGCTATCCGTACATGCTCCCCCGCCGGTTGTTTGCCGGGGGGAACAGGGGGGAAGGCCGTAGTACCTAGATCTGAGAGCAAGCAAGCGGAAAATACCAGCTCCGCGACACACACACACACACACGCAGCTGTCGGACATCCGTGAGCAGGGTGAGATTCCCCCCCCCTTCCCTCCCCTTCCAAAAAAACCGCAGACACCGCCCAGCCGCGCCGCGCCAGCCTGGGCACTCTGTATTGGGATTCCTTCGACGCTTTCCCCCCGTTTCTAATTCTCCGACTCCGACCGCGCGCTGACTGGCGCCGGCGGCAATGCCATGCTATTTTAATACCTCCCCCCTTCCCCCCTCTCTCTCTCTCTCTCGCTTTCTCCCTCTCAACTTTGAGGCGACGGCGCGTGGGCGCCGGGACTCGCGACACGGCGTAGCGCCACGGGCCTGCGTCTCTCCGCAAGCTAGCTGCACGACGCCGAGAGAGCGCGCGGCGTTGCGCTGGGGGCCCGTACTCGGCTCGTGAGAGCCTCCGCTCGCGAGATTCGCTCCGTCGTCTTCCGTCTCTGCTCTCGTTTTCGGTCGGGCATTGCGATTTCGGTCGGCGCCGTTCGTTCCTCAGCTAGCCCCCCCTTCTCCCCCCCCGTAGTTCGTCATCGTCCCTCTCTTCCTCCTCTCCCCTCGTTCCCCGCCCTCCCGCGCGCTTTACCGCGAATTGGCAGCGCCCGCGTCCGCGTTCCCGTTCCCGTCGCTAACCCCCTGCCCCTGCCCCTGCCCCCGCCCCGGACCCGTAGCGGTGCCCTGCTCAAAGCTGCCGCGGCGGCCCCAGTTGCGGGGCTGGTGCTTGAGGAAGGCGCCGACGGCGCCGAGGTATCCCTCGTGGCGCAGGAAGTAGGCCTGCTTCTCGCCCTTGCTCCAGAACTTGATGGCGTAGCTCAGCGTGTTCATGGTCTGGGGGTGGCCCCGGATGAAGGACCCGCCGAAGTAGATGCGCGACAGACCGTGCACCTGCGACTGCAGGTACGCGATCTGGCCGATGTTGTTGCTGATCGCGTATAGCAGCGAGCGCGAGATGTCGGCGCTCGAGAAGCGTGAGCGCGCGAACTCGCTCGCTCGCGACGACGTGGGGCGGCTGGGTTGTGTTTGGGAAGATGACGTCGTCGTCGTCGCCGCCGCCGTCGGGGAGGAGGAGTTCTGCTGTCGTCGACGATTCTGCTCGTCGCCGTTCGAGAGCCCGCCCATCTCCTCGGCTTCGCGCTCCGCCTCCCGCTTCATGCGGAAGACCTTGCCGAAGGAGCTGGCGATCGTCGTGCTCTTAAGCCCGATCCTGCCGTAGTCGGTGCCGTAGATGTCGCCGACGAGCATGTCCACCTTGGCGTTATCACCGTGCGCGGCCATATCCAGCATCTCATCGAACGACTCGGCGGGCGTTAGGAGTGATAGGATGCCCCAGAGGGTCCCACCTCCGAGGGACGTGCCGCCTACGCGCTCGTACGTCCGCGGCCCGGAAACTTTGAGCATGCTAACACCAGACCCTATGTTGACGAGCATATATGGGTAAATGTCGGCACGGGGAGTGGCGAAGTGCATGGGGTCGGTCTCGGAATACGTGAAGACTTCACGAGGTATTTCGGTGATGAAGAAGTCGAGGCCTGCCGATACATTAGCACGGAACTTGTGGGAACTATCGCGGTCTGCGCAAATTTGGTCCTACCTATGATCAGGCACTCCATCTCGTCTTCCCGTAGGACGTCGACGCCGAGTCGCTCCCGTATCCGGTCGTAGAATTTGTACGAGCCGCCCCCCGTCGCCATCACGCACAGCTCGCCCGGCGTAGACCCATTGAGTGCGAGCTGGTTGTCTTTGAGGTGTCGCATGAACTCGATGCAGTCGTCGACGCGGTCTGTCTCGAAAGATAGAAAGTTCAGCCTCCCACCCGGCTCGGTCGAGTGCGGTTCGCGGGAGAAGTAGACAAGCTTGGCCAGCGAGCCGCCAATCTGGCAATGGGGGGTGAGAATGACGGCCAGCATAGGTTGTAGGCTATCTGGGTGGGGAAACCTACGTCGACGGCGATGTGGCTGATAACAGCCGTGTGATTGGGGAGCCGGATATCCTTCGTCTCGTAGTAAGCGGCGCCGCCGGACGGGGACACGTTGGCGGGGGTGCCAGGCTGCTCGGGGGTATCGACGATGAACGCGCCCTTGACGTTGATGCGGACAGAGCCGGGGTGTATGATAGTGCTATCTATCTCGGCAGTGCTAGTCATAGTCCGCGGCCGTCTGGCGTCCCGCTTCCCGGCGGCGCCCGAATCGTCGTCGTTGTGACGGTCGTCGATCGCCCCCTCGGCCGGATGGACACCTCCAGGCATCTTCTCGCTTTGTCCGTGTCGCGTCGGAGCGGGCAGTGTGTTCTAGGGTCTGAGCAGGTGGGCGAGGCAAGAGGAGCGCAGCGGTATGCAGAGGGAATTGGTATACCAGGCTTCGGCCGGCATTAGAAGCCTACGAGCGCAGAGAGACCAGGGCGGCATGAATCCGAGAGACGAATCTAAGCTCGAAGCTGAGGTGAGGTGTATGCGGCGGCGACGGAGAGGGCGCGAGCAATTGGTGCATCTGGAATTGACAGGAAAGTGTAGGGAGAGGCAGACGGGCTGAGAGGGAATGTCTACGAAGCTAATGGCGAGTTAGGTTCTGCGCAAGACCATGGCTACGGGAGAAGGGAGATTTCCTCAAAATAGGAGCGCGATTTGGAGCTGGCGGGCTGGGGACGGATGGATGTGTCCTGGTGACGATCCGATTTTTCTTATGTCCCCGGAGGGTTTTTTCGTCGACTCACGCAGGTACCGTCGATTCCACAAAACTAAAATCTGTCTGATCGAGTACGGAGTCACGTCTGTACAGATACCCGCTAGATACGTCCATCGTCCGCAAACAGGACCTACTTGGGGATGTACTGTGTGGTATATGGGAAGTGACTAGCCTACCTTATGAGGTATTGGACCCCCTCACGCATACAGGGAAGTACCTACCTAGATGAGTACCTACGATAGGCAGGTACTACCAGGTAGCGGGCGGGAATGCCACTAATAATAGCGGGTAACGAGGTAACAGGCGAGGGCGGGGTGACGCCGCCTATGAGTAGGTCTTGAATTAGAGTGATGTCAGCGCCCCGTCAGTGTGTCAGCCCCGGGCAGGCAGCTCCATGCATGCTCAGTAACCGCGGCACCTGCAGCCGCCAAACCCCGGAGCGGAGCCGAAACCGTGCCGAGCCGAATCTGCCAATGCTGATTGCAGGTACCTACCTCTCTCAAGGTACCTACTTCAAGGTACCTACCTAGGTACCTCTCAGGGCACTGTCTTGGCAATTCCGCTCCCCATCCATCCATCCCGGAGAGAGGACCGAGATCGGTCCTTACGACACAGGCCCTATTCCGTCCCTACGCCGACACGTCTACACGCCTGCTTCTATTCTCGTCTCTGCCAAATTCTCTTCCGCCCCCCACCTACTTTAGCCTGCCTCGCCCCCATATACCAGGTACCTAAGGTAGGTACCAGATCACCAGTGCTTCTCGGAGATGGGCACCGTGTTCACATCCACGCCGTCCTTGAACCACCTCTCCTCCTCGCTGATCTTGACGTCGTTCCCACTCACTGGACACGAGGGGGTTAGTTAAGCCAAGCAGCCTCTCGATGGTGCTTCAGGTAAGAGAGGGAAAGCCGCGTCTTCTTGGCAAGTGCACCTACTCTGCCTCTTCCGCATCAGCCCGTCGGGCGCGAACGTCCAGTCCTCGAGGCCGTAGGTGCGCCACCACTGGCCCGTGCCCTCGCCGTCGCCGTCGCCGCCGGGCTGCCACCACTCGTACCAGAACTGGACAGCGATGCGGTCGTCCGAGAAGGCGAACAGCTCCTTGCGCAGCCGGTAGCGCTGCTCGCGCGCCCACTTGGCCGTGAGGAAGGCCTCGATCTCGTCGCGCCCCTGCAGGAACACGTCGCGGTTGCGCCAGACGGAGTCGGGCGTGTAGGCGAGCTTGACCTTGGCGGGGTCCCTAATTGTGTTTCCATCAGTGCCATGTTTTCTTTTGCTATCTCTTCCCCCACCAGCTTCTGTTGTAGTTTCTTTTAACGAAATCCCCGGGAGGGCATACGTGTACGCACCGGGTGTTCCAGGCGTCCTGGGCCGCTTTCACCTTGACCTTCGCCGTCTCCTCGGTGAAAGGCGGGTACGGGGGCTTTCCTTGGGTTCTGGTCGCCATCATGTTTGCCAAAATTTCTATATTTCTTCTTCTTTTCGCCCGGTCTGCCTGTCGTAAAGGTTCAAAATGCAGTATGGGGTTGAAGAATGATGCTGGATAGCCTGGAGCTGAAACCGCTTATGTATTGATCGAACGGTTGTAATAGTCTTGATCCCAGGTTGGGTGAAAAGAGACCAAACTACCCAGCGCTAGCATGTACGGGAAGAGGCAGGGCAACTCAACCGGTAATTTGCAGTGAAGAAGCCCCCCCGGGAAGTGGATGTTGGTCTAGCTCTGAGGCGTGGCACACGTGTTCGGGATTTACGTTCGGCAGTGTTGATTCGTGGCCTTTCGGAAATCTGGGAGGCCGCGCAACCAATTCCCAGTAACGTCGAAAGGAGATGCCGACTGGCGGCAGGCTACGGGGTCTGCGAAGGTAAGTTGGTAGGTAAGAGAGTACGGAGTCGACCGACGTCGATATTGCGGTGGCGATATTTCGTAGACCGAGTCGCTTTAAGGGCGCGCACGATGTAATGCACCCACCCGGTCGGACCGCTTTGTTGGTTGAGATGTTTTGGCTCCGGCCTGGCGCTTCGGACTATCTGCGTCGCGGGTAGAGGAGGAGAGCATGGGTCTGAGACTTAGTGGACGAATGGCTAGATGGAGGGACCGCGACCGGACAACTCCATGCTGTTTTTCTTCTCCCTGCCTCCTCTTCTCTTCTCACCACGCGTTCTCGCTCTTTGTCGCTCCGTCTCTAGCCTACGCAGTCTTGTGTACCTCGAGTATCTGACGAGGGAGTGATCATCCTCGAAGTCAGTCGGCTCGGACAGGCTTAGGGCAAGATCCTGTATAGGATGGCAAGGGCCATTCGATGTTCGGATGTGATTAGGAAATCATTATGCCATCGGCCGTGGTTTGACTCATAAAGGGGTCACGTCTGCTTATTTTCTGGGCGTTGTGTGATGGCAATAGCGTCGGCCGGATGGTTGCTGTCGTGTCTTATACCCCCCGGCCCGACTCGGCGAGGTGTCGAGAGCGGACGTAGACCCAGACCGGTGGTCGTTTACGTGTTCATCTACTCACTCGTCCGTTGATCCCGTGTCTTTTTTTTTCTTTCCGAAACAAAACGAATGGAAGGCAAAGTATCAGATTCGGTAAGGATAGGTATAGGCAAGTAAGTATTGCAAATGGCAACGAGAAGGCAATACCGTCTCTAGCTTGCGTGCTTAGGTGTATTTGGAATTGCCTCTAGTTTCGTGAGGTGAGAAGCGGAAGACCGCCAAGGGAGAGAATGCCCGGTTGCGTGTTGGTAGGTCCGAGGTCGCATCGATGTCGATTGTCGCAGTATTCCAAATACCTCAGCTGAAGCGCCTAATGCAAGGCAAATAACACAAATAAGTGTTTAGCTATCTAGCTCCCTGGCCTCTTCGTCACCCCGGCGGTTACGCCAACCCGTTACGAGTTAAGCCGGGCTAGAGGATATTCCAAATACTCACATGTCGGCGAGGGAGCCGGCCTCAGGCATAGAGCCCCCTTTTACGTGATGTGAGAGATAGATGTTTCCACCACCTCTGCTGGAGGTAGGTAGGTAGATATATCGGATCTGCGCATGTGATAACCCGCGCTGCCTGCATACCTTACTTAGGTACCTAACCTAGGTGCGTCCCCCCCCACCTGTAGCCGCTTCTATCAGTTTCGCGAGAGGCGAGGTTCCCGGGTTATGCTCTTTCGATATCGGCCACGTCCCCTGTTTGGGTCTGGGGGGTGTTCATTTTATGCCGATGGTTTATTACTAGGATGGTAAGGGGGAGATGGATACCCACAGACAACAGCTGCTGGCTCAAATATCCGGGGATAGGGCAAGCTCCAATTGACGTGACGACTGCGGAAGATGCGGGACGGTCTGACAGCGATGACGGAAGGGGCCAACAATGGATAGGTACCTCCTAAGGTGGGTGACCTAGGTACCTAACCTCAACCTGTGGCATGGACCTTAGAGAGTGCGCAAGTAACATAACCCAGGCCGTTTTTTTATCATTGCATGCCTACGCAGACGCGCCAAGGCTGCAATCCAATCCATTGCATGCGATATTTCAGATAGATAGATCGGTGCCTCTCCCACAGTGAAGGGGATGGGTGGTGAGAGGGGTGTAGGTAGGTAGGTGGGTACCTGGCCATCAAGGTTCCCGTACCCCGCTAAGCGGCTTAGAAGCGAAAAGAAGAAACCGCAGAAAGCCCCAAACGGGAAGTTGACGACATCGAGCTGGCTGGTGGGATGATGGCGGGGGTTCGGGGCAACACCATGCAGATGCGCGCCTCTCTACCTGTACGAAAAGGTGCGCGAAGGGCTGTGTAGCATCTTACTGTACCGGCGTGCCGCGCAGCAGGGGGAGGCATCAACAGCCGGAGACGGGCGCATCCATTCCCGTAAGGGTGCGCTGAGGTATGTACCTTAGGTAAGGTAGGTAGGTAGGTAGGTGGGTGGGTAGGTGGGCAGGAGCTAGGTAGGTACCTAGATAATAGCCTACCTACCTAGACCTGTCAAGTTACCTACATCGGGTACCTCTAGCTAGTCTGTTCCCTCCCACTGCCTCCTACTTAAGAACCCCCCCCCTCCTCCCGTTTCCGACCTGACTTTGCCTTTCTTTATCCTTCATCCCCCACGCCAGTTAGACACAGTTAAACACGAGAATCACCACCAAAGCCCCATACCACCCGAACTCTGCCCGCAATGCCTGGTCTCAAAGCTGGAGATGACTTCCCCGAGGGCGTGTCCTTCGCCTACATCCCCTACACCCCCGAGACTGCCGACGTGACCGCCTGCGGCATCCCCATCAAGTACGAGGCCAGCAAAGGTAATTGTCTTCCTCCTACCCCACTGCTGAGAGACCCCAATCTAACTCGCCGCCGCGCTACAACTACAGAATTCAAGGACAAGAAGGTCGTCATCGTCTCCGTCCCCGGTGCCTTCACCCCCACCTGCCAGAACACCCACGTCCCGGGCTACATCTCGAAGCTCTCCGAGCTCAAGGCCGCCGGCGTCGACCAGGTCTTTGTCATCTCCTACAACGACGCCTTTGTCCAGTCCGCCTGGGCCAAGGCCAACGGCGTCAAGGACGAGATCGTGAGTTACCCCTTCTCTCCCCTTGCGAGCCCAGCATTTATATTCCCCCCCCAACTCGAGATCACTACGTGTGTGAGGACACCAAGTGTTGACTTCTAATAGATCTTCGCCTCGGATGACGGCGCCGCCTTCAGCAGCTCCATCGACTGGACCCTGGGCCCCCGCACCGCCCGCTACGCCATTATCGTCGACCACGGCAAGGTCGTCTACGCCGAGAAGGAGCCCGGCAAGGATGTGACCGTCTCCGGCGTCGACGCCGTCCTCGCCAAGCTGTAAACATAGATTCCCCTCACCCGTACCATCACGGACGCGGTTCTTCCCGCCCCGCCGCTAGCACCGTGGACGCGGACATTCGCCATCGCGGGCGCACACGCATTTGCCCGGAATGCCTAGATAGAGAGACATTCTAGACTGGCGGCGAGATGGGCCGACTGGGGCGACGGAAGGGTAATATGAAGAGAAGGAGTTTCAGGACACCTTTCCCCTTGTAATCTAGATGGAGGGAGACGAGCCCCGATAATGGGCTGGTGCCAGGAGGTGCCCCCGTGGTTGGACGGCCTCGCTAGATACACCCTAGTCACTATAGAACAAGAGAGTTCCCCTCAAATTCCCTCCCTTGGCTTTTGTGACAAGTGAAAACAAGGTTTCTGGATAAACCGCGAGCTTCGTGAACTGATTTGCCACCCGCACCCCTCCCTAAATCGGCCCGCCTCTCCCTGTCAAACGAATGCTTGGGCATGGGCCCAGTTACGTACGACGACGCACCCAAGTAAAACGGAGCAGACCACCAAAGATGTCCAGGGATTGTGCCGCCAGACCGTAGAAAGTAGGGACTTGGAAGACACCTCAGTCCGGAGCGAAGACGGACTTGGCGAGCTAGCTAGCCGCCAAGATGAGAGAGAAAAGGCAAGGCAGACCGGCATTTCGTGGGGGCAGGTCGCAGGGACGAGGGTTCTTTTTTTCACGGCGACAAGCAGGCAGACCGGATGCTAGCGGAAAGAAGAAGAGCGAGAGCGGGAAAGGGGGAAAAGAAGCGGGTCGGCGCAACCTCGAGGAGAGACGCACGAAGTCGGGTTGGGTGGTTGCTATACGAAGCCTACCTGCCCGGAGGCATTTTCTCCCCCTTCTACCTCTTTCGCTCCCTGGTCCCGGCCGAAGACCGGGCGCGTGCTGTATGTATGCGCACATACACACGAGACAACTGGGAGATATCCTCGCCCGCCCTTTTTTTTTTTCCTTCTTCCCTTCTTCTTGTTCCAGTGTAAAAAAAAGTCTCTTCTTATTTCGCGGCACTGACTTAAAAAAGAACAAGCGAGCAAAACAACAGATATGTTGTTGATGAATTGTGCCGAGGAAAAGTTAGTTGTTTCCCACCGAGAGACGCCGTTAGATAGACACATGATCGGATGCAGGTAAATGTATGTGGCGACTACGACGAGACGGAGACGAGGACGGACAGGAGTATCTTGTTTCCCCAGCCGCTTTCTGCGTCTACGATCGTCATCGTCATCGCCACCATCACTGGCCTTCACACTCTTTTTCTTTCTTTTTCTCTTGACCCCTATGGATATCCTCCCTCCCTGCCTGCTTGCCTCAACTCGATCCGTCCGTCCGCCTATCCATATACAGCCAGATTATTCCGCATGCAACGCACGCCACGTCGTGGGAAGCCCATCAAGAAACTCCGACCGGGAACCTGCCATATAATAGGTACCGTTTTTACATTCCGGCGAGGGAGGGTTGGGGGTTGTAAAGGGGGACGCGGGGAGCATTTAACGGGTCTTGGCCTGGACCTTTGGCTGAGCACCACGGGCGCCCTGCTTGCCGACGATGCGCTGGGTCTGGCCCTTGGAAGAGGCGGCGGCACTCTTGGCCTTATCGGACTTCTTGGCGGCGGCCGCCGCCGCCTTCTTCTCCTTGCTCTCCTTGATGGCTTGCTGGCGCGCTGCCGACCGCGCCTCCGGTCGCATGGACCGCTTCTCCTTGATCACATCCAGCGACGCGCCGACGATGGCTCGTTGAGACTTGACCGTGCGCCGGGTGCGCTTCTTGGCAACTTCCTGTAATTGTGCGCGTTAGCAGCCGGGTGCGACAGACTCCCCGTATAGTTGAAATCATCGTCGGGTGCACTCTTTTACGGGCAATCCCCGTCAATAGCCCCTCATCCTATCTTCAAGATATTGCCCATACACCGATAGATATAGGCATGACAGACGGAACGTAATTCCCCCCAAATAGACTCGGAGGGGAGAGAATGAGAAAAGCGTACCTCAGAGATACCCTTGCGGTGTTGTCGTCGGAAGAGGACGGTCCAGGAGATTCGGCGGGGGTTTTTTCGCTGGAGGAAGAGCGACTCGGTCTTGCTGTTCTGGAATCGGAAGATCTTGCTGTCGCCTCGGATGTAGAGCTTACCCTGCGATGACAGGAAGAATTGTCGTCAGCATTTCGAGTCGCAAGATGCGCGCAGGTGGGGGGGAAGGGGTTGGAATTTAGCATACGTACCTTTCCAGGGTAGATTCTCTGGCCGGAGAAGACGTCGTCGTAAGTCCTCATCGTGTCGGTGTTGCGGCGAGAACTTCGGGGGAGGCTGGATGATGTGCAATTGGTGGTGGTTGTCGCGGATGATGTTAACGGAGAGTCGAGGACGAATTTCGCAAATGCCAAAGTGCACGCACTTGTGGGCGCGCATGACTAAGCCGCCAATTTTCCAACACCTGCTCCATACTTTAGGGTCTCGCTAGAGGTGGCTTGAGCGTTGTGGCGTAGCTGAGGACCCAGTTCGCCTCGTTACAGTGATAATCGCATTGTTGCATGTCGTATACCTAGGTACCTAGGTGTAACTGTAATATCATCAAGTCTTCCACCATGCAACCCGGGAGGAGGTCGAACTTCAGCAGATCCCTTTGCTAGAAACATCTATTTGACGATTGTCCTAGTTTCTCTTTTTCTATATCTATCAAGAACTCAGACATACTTACCTATATCACACTACCCGTTGCGAGGAGTGTCGGGTGCTGGCTGTCATAGGTAGAAACTTACCCACCTACCTTCTGGATAGCCTCTCCCAGGCCCGAGGTGATCTCGCTGCTACCTTTTTGAATGTCCACACATTTTCTCAAGTTATGTGTCGATGACCGTCACGCCGGACGACATCGCGTCGCTCGTGCTGAGCCAGTTCGACAAGCTGCCCGCGAAGCGGAAGCCCCAGGTCCGCGCCAACGGCGTGCGCGAATGGGTGCCCCTGAGCGGCATTGTCGCCCAAGGTGAGCCAGCTCGCCGCGGCTCGGCTCAGCAGGCTACCCACACCTCCCCGTATACCCTGCTAATACCGGGGGACAGATAGAGACGACAAATTATGGTGTCTATCCCTGGCGTAAGTCACCCTTCCTCCTGCCGCCCTCCGCCCGCGCAGACAGGCAAAGCCAGCTAACGCGGCAGATGCGGACGGCCAAACCCGCAGGACGGGCATGAAATGCCTGCCGACGTCCAAGATCGCGGGGGCGCGGGGCAACGTGCTGCACGACTGGCACGCGGAGGTGCTCGCGGTGCGGGCCTTCAACCGGTTCGTGCTGGACGAGTGCCGGGCGATGCTGCTCGATGGCGGGCGCGGGTCGGCGTTCCTGCGGCGGCGGACGCGCGACGAGCGGGAAGCTAGCGAGCGCGGTGGTTCGGGCGAGGACGGCGACGACGGCGGGTCGTGGAACGGCCAGCCCTTCGCCTGGCGCGACGACGTGCTGCTGCACATGTACTGCTCGGACGCACCTTGTCAGCCGCCACCTCCTTCCCCCCCTGCCACCCTCCCCTTTCCCCATCCTACTAACACCAGCGCGCGCACAGGCGGCGACGCAAGCATGGAACTGGTGATGGCGGCGCAGCCCGACGCGACGCCGTGGGCGGTCCCCCTGCCGTCTCCGTCGCGCTCCCCCGCCGGCCTCCTCGCCGGCCGCGCCTACTTCTCGGAGCTGGGCCTCGTGCGGCGCAAGCCGGCGCGCGCCGACGCCCCCGCCACCCTGTCCAAGTCCTGCTCCGACAAGCTCGCCCTGCGCCAGGCCGTCTCGCTGCTCGCCGCCCCCACCTCCCTGCTCCTCGACCCGCGCGCCGCCTACCTGCGGTCCCTCGTGCTCCCCGCCTCGCGCTGCTGTCCCGCTGCCTGCCGCCGCGCCTTCTCCGCCGACGACGGCGGCCGCATGCGCGGGCTCCCGCCCCCCGCCCCCCGCCGCGGTGGCTACGCCTTCCGACCCTTCGCCGTCTCTACCACGGCCCGCGAGTTCGCCTACTCCCGCGCCGCCCTGTCTTCTCCCCCGCTTCCCTCCCCGCCCCTTTCCCCTTCTCTCGCCCCTTCCCCGCTTCCTACTGCTGCTACTGCTACCGCAACTCCCGCCGGCAGCAACCTCTCGACGGCCTGGACGCTCTCGGGACGCGAAGAAACGACTCTCGGCGGTGTCCTACAGGGGCGGCGGCCTCCTTCCCCCTCCTCCCCCTCGGAATCCCGTGCCGCGAGCTTCGCCTCTCGGCGCCAGCTGTGGAGTCTCGCGGCCTCGGTGGCGGCCCTCCTACCGCTAGACGATGGCGATGACGATGGCGCGGCTGACGTCCGCATCCGGCGCGCACTGGCGGCCGCGACGTATGGCGAGCTCAAGGCCAGCGCGCTTCTGGGGCCGCGGCGTCGGGCCAAGCGCGAGGCGCGGCACGCAGCGCTCCGCGGCTGGGTGCGGAACGAGGGCGACGAGGCGTTCGGATTGTAACATTCCGACTGGATCGTAGCCCGAGTTGCCGAAAGTCGGCTCAAGGACCTGGCCTGTTTCGGTCTCCTGACATGCAGGCATACACGTAGGTATCTATATCTAGGATATACCCACGGGGGATGTAGACTACTGGTACTAGGTGTGTAATTGCATCAAGACGCCTAATAAGTCTATATAGCTAAATCATATATACTCTTTACCCATCAGAACGGCCACCGTTGTTAGGAAGCCGTTAACGTGGGGGCAACGACAATGATGACGACCAACACGTCGTCGGAACGGTAGAGTTTAACTTCATTTTCTTATTTCCCAGTAGGAGCAGCGGTATTTCTTCTGCTCTCTTTGTTTTACGATTTCTGCCTAGCTCAGCTGTGGTCTAGCACATCCCCCTAGATACCAGCGGCAAATTGCAACGCGACGAAAGGCGACGCAAGCTGCCGTCGTCCTACTAACTGGCCGCCGAGGGCACTCTCTCCCTGTGTGTGTGTGTGGAGCTTGGGCCATCGTTTCCGCCGCCCGCTTCGCGTGGAAAGAAGGAACAAATGGGACGGCGGAGCAGACAAAGTCAGAATAGCGGAAATAACGACATATTGTGTAGCTAGAAGGGAAAGAAAAGTTCCTCTGGGGATATGCGGGATGAGCTACCGAGAAATCCCCTTCCCAACCTTTCACCTGAACTGATATGATGAAAGGACCAGTGTTACCAACCCGATGTGGCGCCAGATTTTCCGGCACTCCCGCAAATTCTTTTTTTTTCTGTTCGCGGGAGGGTAATTTCTTTCATTATGTTTTTTTTTTCGAGAGTGAGCTATCTATTCCACCTTGCTCTCGAAGTTCTCGCCGGCTACTAGGTCAGGGATGTCGTCATCATCGGCCTCCTTGTTGTCCTTGGACATGCTCTGGTAGCTCTCAGCCAGTTTCCGCAGAGAGGCGAGCGAGTCGGGGCCGAGCTGGTTCAAGATGCCGGGGACAAGCTCCGTCAATTCCTTATCCTCGCCAGCTCCATAGATAGCGAAGGTGTTTGCAGGGACGGCGGCGTGAACTGGGTTATAACTGTCAGCCAGCTTTCTTACCCCTCTCTCTTCTTTTACTGTGTTGTCGGCTTGGGTTTGTGGAGGCACACACACACACATACATATATATATGTATGTGTGTTTGGGGATGAGCTGATAGGGGGAGCCCGGCTACTCACCTTTGGGGGCGGAGAAGTGGATGACGTTGCCGTCGCTCTTGAACATGTTGACCTCCTCAATGGCCTGGATGGGTTGGGTGTTGAGCTTCTTGAGGGTGGCCTGCAGCTTCTTGTCATCGTTGGCGCTCCTCGCGACATTTCGCTTCTGCTTGTGTCGCGGCGTGCCCTTGCCACCTGTTGCATGTGACGCATTAGATGTCAGATATTGCTGTTATTCTTATTCTTATTACGACCAGCTTCGGGAGCCACAGGGCCGGGTTTCGCAGCGGGAGGAGAGGCAGAGAAATGAAGACGACGAGATACACATGTATGCATGTGTGTCTGTGTGGTTGGTGGTTGCATTTTGGCTTCACTTTACCTACCCGTTCGCGAGGGGGCGGCACCGCCAAACTTCTTCCTCAGGATCTCTTGCACATCCGCCATGATCCTTATGTGGCTTCGATCGCAAAAAGTAAAGTGAAAGGGGACGACTGTAATCTTTGTCTCGGCTCTATGTCAGTCTATCACCGTCTCGTGGGGTTCGGCGGGGGTGGTGGTTTGGCTTGGCTAACTGATTAACCTGACAAGTCAGCGATCGCTGGCGCTTCTGGGGTGGAAAATTACGGAATAGAAACGGATGGTATGTCAGTACGCGGAAGGAGTTAAACTTACGGGCTCCCTAGGGAAATCTCAAGGGTTTTCTGTCGTTGACTGAAAGAGTGCTGTCGTAATTCTGGGTCATCTCCGGGGTCAATGAGGCCCTGATGTTGGTTGGGGTTCGCCTGTGGTGGGATGGAATTGTGCGTTGCCAAGACCTCTTTTTGCGATTTTCGCTTGAGGATCAACCCTCTTCCGTGACTGCCCCTCGTCATACTGGCTTACTCATACTACTATGGCAGCATAGGTCGCTTAGCTAAGGCACCTGCTATTAGGCAGGTACCTATACCTAGGGTAGGTGCCTAACATCAAAGCACTCCCCTTTTAGAGGTACCCAGGGGATATTAGAGGGGCTTATGGATGTACTGAGTACCTGCCCAGTAAGGTGTGTATTAGGCGTCTCTACCCCTGAAATCATCTTCTCATCCTTCTCAACCACCCACCGCTACGTGTACGTAGGAAACTAGCAAGATAACAAAGCGCGATTGTGTTGTTGGTCGATTAGCCTCCATCTACGCTTCTGAGAAAGTCGTGTCTTCTCCTACCTGCTTAGCCGAATGTCCGACTAGGTATATCTTCGTCGAAAGCCATCGCGTAGCTCCTACATTCGGACCAAAAATCTACCTATCTAGGTCATGCCCATCCCCTTCCCGGCCGCCACAAACGTTCTGCTGTTATGCATGCGACCTGTGCCATCTAGATGGCAAGCCTAGCCAGAGCTTCCACGCCCGTCTCAGCGTCTTCCTCTAACTCGACTACCTCCTCTACCTGCGTCTGCGTCGAGGATTCCCCCTCGGTTTCCTCTGTGGCCCGCGCTGTACCGATTGGCGACGCTAGCAACGCTCCTTGCTCCGCAACATCGTCGCCGATGCTACCGACGATCTTGCCCCGGCCTTCGATAACCCCTGCCTTTATAAGGCGCTCAAACTCGTCGTCGTCGTCGTCCTCACCATCGTTAAGTGGTGTCATTGTCAGCTCCGGTACTTTCTCCAATTCCAACTCGTCCCCTGAACTTGCGATTCGACCGAGCTCCTGGTCGAAGATCCAAGGGAAACTAATGAGCGGCGTTTCCTTAGCCTGTAACCCTTGTTGGGGCGTTCGTTTTAGGGCTGCCTGCACCTCTTCCCATGTCGCACGGTAGGTGGCAGCTATCACCGGATAGAGTGCTGACTCGTCTTTAGAGCCTGCCACCTTCACGCAGGCCCGTCTGAACCGTTCCCTATGGTTGGTAATCACCGGTTCCAGGCTCTCCTGTCTCTTGTATTCGCCTCCCACGCGTGGCTTCGACAACGCGAAGGTTGTCCAGACCTCGAATTCTGTCGCGATATCGTGTTGGTTCATAATCTGCTTCATACTCTTGTCGTGCTGCCTCTTCACCATTCTGATCGTCTTCAATATCTCCTCATCGATCTCATACCTGCGGAGAATTCTCTCGTCGAAGGCGCCGTCAAGCTTTGGCACAAAGTCGACCTTCGCTACAGCGTCGTAGAGTTGGCCGAGGATTCTAGTTGATCGGTACGACTTCTTGGGAGCCTTTTCCATAAAGTGAGGGTAGTGCCTCGACCGCAGCGATGCTTTCAAGTACGCCTCCCGGCCTGTCTTTGGGTAATCTACCGCATTGGAATGCAAACGTGCCAGTTCAATGCATTGCGGATCCTTGGGGCCATCACGGAGCGTATCGGCCATCGCCAGATGTGTATGAGCGATCGTGCTAAGCGAATCGTTCTTCATGTAACGCACAAAGAACGAGATGAGATCTGCCACTCTTACGTCCCTGTTGAGTTTTGTCGGTGGGAGTGTGTTATGGACCATTGGAGGGTAGTTCCACTCAACAGGTATGAGTCGGGGATCCCAGATCACAAAGAAGTCGTCACCGTCCAGATCTCCGCCAGAGCACATCGAGGGGATGTCACGGTCGCCAACTGCAGGGAATACGACAACATCGCGGAGGTGCCTCAACGCTGGAACGTCGACGGCCTCCACGATTCGGATGTCGCCAGGGTGTAGCGATGGATTCCGACCAAGCATGCATACTCCCGTGATAACCGTATAGTTACCAGGGTCGCCTTGCCGAGAACCGATCTTTGGTACTTGGAGGAAGATCTGCGGCAAGGTTTTGGGATCTTTGCTGCCGACCTTAGTTGAGTCCGAATGTCCTCTCAGTGTTCTAGTTTCGTCGACACATCCGAAGACGAACGCCCCTTGCTCGACTAGGATTCGTGCTTTTTCTCGGAGGAGTCGCATCGACCAAGCATACCATACCCCCAATATAGTCATGAAAAAAGGCTCTTTCGTCTCCATAAAGCCGTCTGCGATCATCTGTGCCATCGTTGTCGTGGTACCATTCTGGTCGGTGTATTTGCTAAGCAGCTCCATGGCAACTTCGGGATCTTCCATTGCACGCTCGTAACTCGCTATCTGATGCCTTAACATATCTTCAAAGACTTCGTCTGGCACGCCAAGGCTGCTGAGTATGGTGATGATCTGGCGGTTCAAGGTTGCGACCGAGAAGCGAGAGGTCTTAATAACCTCGAGGCCTTTGGAGACAGCTGAGAACTTATTTTGCGAAGGCCGTAGGTGAACCTCGTTAAAAGGTACATCGGGCCACTGGACCAAGATTCCCTTGCTACCTCCGAGCCTGAACTGGAAGACGGACGGGACCATCTTCTCGTCCTTGGTGACGTGGACATTTTGTACGAGAAATTTCGCACGATTCGGCGCGATCTTCCCGACTCCATCCGTGAAGCACCATCCGTTATGCTCGATATCCTGGATCTGCACTATCGTCTGACCGATCGGGGATGATTTGGGCATCCTGGTCGTTGAGAAGCATTGCCCGAGCCGCGAAGCGTATTTTGCCACGATCCGGATGCGCCTGACGTCGCCCATCCAGTGCCGAATGTTGTCGCAGGTCAAGAAATCCGTTGGGCAGAAGAAGTAGGCTCCATTCTCTCGAAACTGCGAGTTCCCGGTGGCAAGATATTGAAAATGGCGATTACCAATTCGGATTCCGTTTTTCAACGTTCGGTAGACTCTGTTGAAGAGCGCGTTGTCTTGCTCACTGTCTGGAGATGGGAATATGCGACCCTTGGAAAGTTCGTCGGTGAACTGGACACGCAGGAAGCGATCTCCGTAGTTGGCATACTGACGCAGCACGCGATTCGACGGCTCCGGCGACGGGCTGCTCAGGTACATGGTCGTCGGTGTCACCACAACTTTCCTGATCCACAGGCAGTGCTCAGGGATCGAGATCTCGGGGTAGTGGCTCATCGCTTTCTTGTTTTCAAATAGGGACATGGGGTCGTAGATTCTCTTTTCGTCCAGTTTGTCCCGACCCTCGACACCGCTTCGGAAATGAGACTCCGAGATGTACGTCAAGAAGTCGTTAGCCCTGTCTCGGCAGTGGACACGGCGGCGGACACGATTTTTAGAAAGCTCGGCCAGCTTGAGCAAAAACTCAGTCGTGATGTCGACCTCGTTGAGGAAACCCTGGGAGATGCAGACTTCAAGCTGATATCGGACATCGTAGGGAAGATATATATTTTCCGTATCAGCAAGAAGGGAAAAATTGGCATTGGATGTGCCGGACTCTGCCTGCGGAGGCTCCAGCTTGCTCCAGAAGTCCGGCAGCTTGCCTGGTGCTGTCGAGAACTCGCTCGAGGTCGCGTAGTTGACCTTGATGTTGAAGTCCCGCAACGCATTCCTCATTACGCCCCAGACAGCAGAAGTGGACTTCTGAAATGCAATCCGGTATGTTGTCCACCTACCAATATCAATGATCTGGTTAGTTCTTGCCAACGAAACGGGCTCATCTTTGAACCAGGTCGTGTCGTATGTGATGTCGACTATGCGCTTCCAGGTTTCCCTCTCGCTCCAAACGTTACGATGAATTGAGTGAGATCCGGATGGGTCTCTCTTCTGGTAAAAGACTGGTGGGCTTGGCAGGTAGATAACTAGGGCCCAAGTATCCTCATCGACGTCGATACAGACAACTTGTTTGAGGTGTGTGAAGAAGATGTGCATCTTGTACTCCAGGATAGTCTCTTGTTTCCCGATGGGAGAAGGGTGATGTATACTGGGATCCTCACGACGTGGGTCCTCCATATAGCATGCGAATGCGACCTTGAGTCGTTTACTCCGTAGGTCAGCCGTCAGAGAAAATCCGCTGCCGCCGTCGTTCTGAATTGTTTTCATCGGCATCATCTCGTTCTCACGTGTAAGTACACCAAATTCCATGGTCTTCGTCGCGAGTTTCAGGGAGGACGGGTAGCTAAGACCGTTAGAGGCGCGGACTAGAGGTCTTGCTCGATCGGGCAGCAGGTTGACGTTGATCTTGACCTGCTTGCCTTGCATTATGACATTCATGAAGTCCTTCCAGAACCTCGTGGAGGGGGGCGGCGAGAAACGGATAAGGCCGCTGCCCTCTCGAGTCCCCTGCCTGTCCTCGAAAAGTTCGATATTGACGATCTCTCCGTAATCTTTGAATACTGACCATAAAGAAAATGTCGTTGCTGTATCGGGAAGGCCCCTGACCCGAAGGCAAATCTCATCCCAATTTTGCCATTCGGGTCGAAGATAGATACCGCCGGATGACGGGCTCGGGCGCATCCCGCGGCCGGTAGCCGCGTTTACAGGGTCTCTTTGCCGTGCCCCATTCGAGCTCGATGTACTCGAAATGGGCCGCGAGGCCAGGTGTCGGCCCCGGCTAACGCTAGGCGTCGGCGAAGCCATTGTGGGAAGTTCAAGGTATGATTTCTTTGTCGGGGAGGAACTAGATTCTCCTCTGCTCGTACTATTTAATTGCTGGTCGTTCGGTGAGAGTCGGGATACGTTGCGGTTGCTCTAGGTGTGGCGGTGTGGCGGTGTTGGAGGAAGGTCGAAGTGAGGTACCGGATAACTCTGGTGGCAGTCTCAGCCTGAAAGACTGTCTAACGTAAGCTCATCGCCTCGAAATGATGCCAGAAGCTGTAAATACTCGATATTTATGTGGACTGGCCTCCAAACGCGAGGTTGGCTCACCTAAAATGCCGAGGCCTGGGTGGAATGAGCAGGTCTAGAACGAGGGCCTCGAGTCGACATGGATGGACTTTAGGAGGTGGAGGGAGGAAAGGCATGAGTTGTTAAGTTATCAAGGCCTGTTGACAAGGCCTGTTAATGGAAAAGAAGGAGAGGAGGGAGGAAGGGAAGGGCGATTTGCCTTGGAGGCGTCGTCCCAAAGTAGAAACAACAACCACCACAGCAACGGCAACAGCGACTCCGACGATGATGTGGGGAAGCACTTGCGCGACAGGAACGGGAAGTTGCCTCTACCGCAAGAGCAGAAATGGAATCATCATGGAATCGTCATGGTATTGTCGCCATTTGGCTTGCTTCTAGGTACCTCTAATACCCCTATTTTCCTCCCCCCTAGGTAAGTACCTCTTCCGTTAAGTTACCAGGTAGGTACTTGGGTAACATAATGGTCTGCCTTCACATCAGTTTGGCCGATGCAGCCTTGGGTACCTACTGCCTAGGTAGGTACCTACCCGGTAACTTAACAGAAGAGGAATCTCCCTACCTCAGGAGAGGAGGCAGGCAGGTTAGGTAGGTAGATAGGTACCTCTAGGTAGATTAGGCAGGTGGGTTAGGAGGTAATCCATTAACACTTGTAGCTACCTTATAAATAGGTGCCTACCTAATCTCGTAGGCATCTCTGGGTATCTCCGCAGGAAAATAAATAAGGTGACATACCGTGGATACAGACTACACTACACTTCTCTCCCATGCAGCTATCCAGGTGCATACCACTCTGTTCTGTTCGTTTGCTTACAACTTGGGATGACTGTGTAACAATATGTATGTTGTCGTTGTCGTTGTCGTCCCGCTCCGTCTCTTGTATTTGTTAAGCATCTGAGTTTCAAGCATCTGAGCTGGGGCCGAGGGGGTTGATATGTGAACCGCGCTAGCCAGCGAATGAGAGGCAAAGGGGTAGATCTCCTGAATTGAAAGAGGGTACCACCCCTCCTCTAACGGACAAGCCGAGTTACATGGAGGAGAGATTGCGTACTCATATCTGTATAACCACGAGATGCTTCCCTCTAGATTGAGTGCTTGGTGCTGCATATAGCATAGGTTGATATTGTTGACGCAGTGCAAATAACCCCTGATAAAGCAACATCGTACCCCTCCCCCTTGATGCCTCTAACTCGGCCCTCTCTGCGTCTACTAACATCTTCTGCGCAACTCCGTCTCCCCTCCAAACCCCTTTTCCCCCTCCACCAATCAAAAAAGCCCAACTGGCCGCGAACCCGGGGAAACCGTGCATACACCCTCTACCAGCAATTGGGACCACCATACACCTTGGTAGGTGAAGCGAGGCGGCTGGTCCTTGCTATTCAGCCCGTCATATACCTCTCCTAACAGAACAGGTTTGCAGTAGACCTCCAAGCCTACGAGGAAACCTAGAAATTACTCTAGGGCAACAAAGTTGTAGACCGATGCGAAACCTATATCATACCGCCTTATAGTAAGGGCAAAGGGGGGAGAGGGGCGTCTAGAGAATGCGATCAAGATGCCGGAAGATCCATGATCTTGCCGGGGTTCATGATCCATAGCGGATCAAGCGCCAGCTTGATATGCTTCATGACGGCTACCGTGTCCGGACCGACCTCGAGGAGTAGCGACTCCTTCTTGCCCCAGCCGATCGAGTGTTCGCCCGTACACGTACCCTCCATATCGATCGCCCTCTTGACCATGTTTTTGACGCACGCCTCGACCTTATCCTTATCCTCTCGGTTGTACATAATGCTCTCATGGAAATTCCCGTCGCCGATGTGACCCAAAATGCTGGCAAACAAGCCCAGGTCGTCCATTTCTTTCTTACTCACCTCTATTATATCGGCGAGCCGGCTGAATGGGACGGCTACATCCGTGGACCCTAAAGGAAAAGCGTTCTGTCAGGACCGATCCGAGGGGCCTCGATTGACTTTGGCTATGGTAGGCCGTCGGGGAGCTTCCCGGCTCGTGGAGGGTAACAAAGTCCAGGGGTAAGGTGGGGTCGACTTACAAACTTCTTCGTTTCCTTTCCTCAAAGCCAACATCGACCATAGAGACTCTTTTCTTGCCGACCACAGAAGTTTCTGCTCACGAAGATCCTTGGCAAACTCGAAGTTGTTGCCTTTGTTACTCCTCGTAATTACCTGAACGCGCTCGATGTTCTCTTTGACACTCGCCTTGGTCCCCGCAAACTTAAAGAAAAGTGTCGGCATTTCCTTCCATACCCGCGGGGCAGTGGCGCCCCCTAGATTTACAACCCGCATCTGAACCTCATCCATGATCTCCATAGCGGCAACGGGTATCCCCGCCTGCATTACGCCGGCAGCAGCTGAGGCGGCGTCGCGGATGGTGGGGAAAGTCACTACCGCTACAGAGTATTCCTCGGGGACGACGGCAAGCTTGAGGGTGGCTTATACCCAGTTAGTATTCGGTATATCCATGGCGATGCTAGAAACAGGGGATGAGCGGAACCGAAACTTACCCTCGGTAACTAAACCCAAGGTCCCCTCAGAGCCGACGAATAAGCCATTAAGATTATATCCCGCTGAGCTCTTCCTTGGGCGCCTTCGCGTTTTTATAATTGTCCCATCTGCTAATACGACCGTTAAGTTGATGACCCAGTCTTTCATTGTCCCGTACTTGACAGCATTCGTGCCAGAGCAGTTAGTGCCAACCATGCCGCCGATCTTGGCGCTCGGGCCTACGGTTTGAATATTTCGAGATTAGCAGACACTCATTAGTTCTCATCTTCGAGGCACGAAAATGGGAGCATGGGACAAGATTACGTCTCTGGTATTCGTAAGATCTAACCCCCAGTTGCCGCGGGGGGATAGATTCTGATCAACGATAATTTGACTTACCGGGGTCGATGGGGAAGAAGAGGCCGCTGCCCATGTTGCTGAGCCGCTCGTTGAGATCCTGCCAGCCGATGCTCGGCTGAACGACGATGTCCATATCCTCTTTGTTGAACTGGACGATCTTGTCCATGTACGCGAAGTCGACGCTGACGCCACCGTAAGGAGCCGAGAAGTTTCCCTCCAAACTCGTCCCCCCCGAGTAAGGGATGATAGGCACTCGATGCTTATAGCAGAGTCGTGCAATGATCGACACCTGTTCTGTCGAGCGCGGGTAAGCAACGGCAACCGGCAACGTATCTGGATTTGTTGTCGACCATTCAGAATAACCATGAGAGAGGAGATCTTCTGGGTCTATGCTGATTATGTCCTCCTTTTCACCGTGATTGGCAATCTCACGCCGAATTTCGTCAACGGCCTAGATGGGAGCTTAGCGAGAAGGTTTAATCCACAACCCCAACGAAACAAAAGCCTCCCCTAGCTTTTCTTTCTGGTAACGGCTATGAACTTACGTCCTCCATCCCTTTTAACGATGCGTACTTGGGAACTGGCACCTTGCTATCAAAAAGTGTGACGGCGCTTTTGGGAGGTCCCTGCAGTGAGGCCGCGGCGAGACCAAAGCCCAGCACACCCGCGGTAGCGGTCAGGGCAAAAACTGAACGGCCGGTCCATCCTGGATACCGAAACGCCGTACTAGATCGTCCCCGTTCGGCATCGGCTCCATTCCCGGAAGCGGGCTTCCTCCACGAAGGTGAGGTGGAAAAAGTACGTCTCCAAGCACTAGGAAAGCGCCAGGCGAGGCGTTTAGCCGACATAGGGCACGTAATTATAGCAGTATCTCAGGTACGCATAAGCCAGGGAGCATACATATAAGATGCGGTCGCATCGATTGTTGAAACAAGGGATAACGGATAGGGAAGCTGGGATTGGGAGTTCCGGGCTTGACGGTCGGGCCGAATTCCAAGGAGGCGGATCTGTCCGGCTCCGTTGCTAGAAGCCCGAAAGAAGCACACGTTCGACCTAGCTTCAAGCAAAGCCTTATACCAAGATGTTAGATCGAGCGGCAAGCGTCCAACGAGCTATCGACCACTCACCAGAGACGACCAACCGGCTTAACAGAGAGAACACGGCCCACCTAGAGAGAAGCCCGGGGAAATCGGAAGAGGAAAGTCAAAGAGTGTTCTGAACGGGTGGGGGCTCGGGACCTAGTTTATATGTTCAAAGTATGGGCAACTGGGCGTATTAGGGGGCAGGTTAAAATATGCGTGCTTGTAGTGTCGCCTAGACTGGGGAGCCGGGTAACGAGAAGAACACCGAGCGAAGAAAACAGTACCAGATGAGGTGATAAATCTACTGTGCTCGGCTGAAAGTGACCACCGAAGCCAAGACTAGACGGATCAAGAATAGACTCATCGGAAACTAAGCAGCCAGCCCTGCTGTCCTTGTGGCTTCCTTGCGAGTAACGCTTGTGTGCTCTGGTGGGTTCGGCCCTACCAGGGTGTATGGAGGAGAAGAGTACGACTTTCTATGTGGAAGTGGAACCGTGGAGCCGACCCAGGACCCAGAGGGTAAGCCGCAGGCAGTGAGACGACCCAGGAACTAAGCCGGTATGGAGCACATCGTCGAGTAGCATCACTTCGACTAAGGGGGGAGGGGGGAGCAGAGGCGGGTCAGGAGCAAGTAGACAGCGACGAGTTAGCAATGGCAATGACCGCTTACCCGCAAGAGGACCCGAGCAGGAGGACTCGGACCATGGTAACGGTGTACGCTGAGACGGGCTTGTATACGCATACATCCCTATAGAGAGAGATGGAATCGACTGCCCGCGGACGAATCGGAAAGGCGAGGCCAGCGCTGGCTGTCTGGGAAAGGAGCCTGTCCCGCGATGGGAAGCTCCTTCGGGGACATGCCATTGCCACGCCGCCATGCCTTTCTACCCCTGGCGCTGGAAGAGTTGGCAGCGGCTTCGTGGGTAGGGTAGGGAAAGAATCCGCAGGGGGCGTGTCTTCTTAATACCAACTGTTCCCGTAGCACCGTACTAGTTGCAACGGCGAATCAGGTCGGATGTGTAGCAGACAGGGGGGGCAGCCCGAGGATGTGGGCGTGTGGTGATTGTTTCTTCCACCTTGCGCAGGTAGCGTTGCTGTCACTGCCGGCTATGTAGGTGATAGGTATGCCTGTAGACGTGTTTACGCTTGCGGGTTCATGTGCGTATATTTGTGTGCAGCTCGAATCAAAGCCATTGGAGGCTAGCAGAAGGGCAAAGGGGATGTGTGTTGTTGGATAGGCGGAGGGTAGAGAGGAGAGAGACGGAGGGAGGGGTGACAAGACGGCAGGATTTAGGTGCCCGCGGGTAATTCCATGGGCTGCGAAGTACTAGGTACATAACCAGGCGCCTCTTAGCTCAGTTTGAGCACGCGGGCTTAGGTGGTGAGTACCTGCTACCACCCGCTAGTACGCAGGGTCCCCCACAGGTACCTACCTCCCTATTTCCTTCCCATGAGCAAGTACTGAGATACTTAGCCTTACTTGCCAAATTCGGCGTGGCGTCTCCTCGGTTTTTTTTTTTTTTGGTTTTTTTTGCCCCGAGATTGACTGGTTTCGTTGGGCTTGTTTTGTGCGTGGCCTGAGGTTACATAATCCGGGTTGTTTTGGGCAAGGAGACACTTAACTGCTCGGCGAGTTAGGAATTGCCTATTTATCTGCCCAGGTTATCTAAAGTTCCAACAATCGAGAGCATACGGTATAGGCCCAGTAAGTCACGTATCATTGACATAGGTACTGATGTTTCAACGTAGAAAGCAAGTCACGACTTTGGGGAAACGGGAAGACGAGTAAGAGGGTAAGCGGACCGAATGCAAACCCTCCATATGCCATCAAGCGATTTCCAGTTTGCACCTATATCTACAGTCTAATACGCTTAGGTGCGCGGTTTATCCGACCTGGATGCAATACAATCTTTCGCTGAGTATTAACCCAGAACCAAGTTGTTGGGCACTGTGGCCTGATTGCATGCTGAAGTAGTGAAGTACAGAGCACCATGTAAGCCAGGATGCAGGCTTGCTTAAGGCATCTCCTCTAGCTATTGAGCGAACACCTCCCTTACATCTACGGTCTAAAGTTATCTCTCTAAAAGAGCCTCTCGAAAGGGATTCCAAATTCTATAAGGACATGCCCACCTATGTAGGTAGGTATACGCCCTGCCGAGCGAGGTTCTCTGCCCGTAGTGACGCCGTAATGCTGCTTACTATATACACCTACCCAAAAACCTCGCTGTAACAAAGGTAAAGGTCCTAAAGCGGCAACGCACGCCGTAGATGTCACGATGGGCTGGCCCTACTCTCGTCGCAATACTTGAGAGACGGGAGATACATTAGATGCCGTAAGTACACCTAAGTACCTACGTGTGAGGCAGGAAACAATTGACCGAAGCCGTTGACGAGCTTGGCCTGTCTCGGTAGCGTATCTGTCGGTGCGTGGGGTTCGCGCTGCTACCAGGTACCTAAGTAAGCAGAAGGTGATAGTCATGAATTACACGTAAGTGCAACACCGCTGCCGTTATAGATACCGTTGTACGCTCGTTTGGCCTGACGAAGCTAGATTTTCTTCATTTCTTCATTTTCTCTCTTTCGTTTTGCTCTCCGTATTCTAGGACCTGGCCCGGTCTTTGCTCCGTCGAAATCTGACTTAGGCACGTGCCCTTCACGCGGGTAGCATGCGATTAGCGAGCACAACGCGGTAATATCGTAGGCACGATTAGCTACAGTTTCAATGCCGAACTAACCCCTCCGCCAAGGTAGAATATTGAGGTTAAAGCCTGGAGCTAGGTATCTCACATCCCTAATTTCCCTGGTTGGTTTGGATACCCCCAAACACAACGAGGTCGGGCCACCAACATGTAAATGAATATATTATCTCCAATACATATATTGAGCGAGAGAAGTACCCGGGGCGTGGTGTACGTGCGCCAAGGGATTAAGTATAAGGATAACCAAGTACCGACATAGTAGCAATGACAAGTGATTGGCGATCCATGCTGGTAAGATGGTATCACCTGGTCTTGAAAAGTTGTTGGAGGCGAGGGTACTAGATGTGTGTGTAATGTAACCGTTGCTGGGAATCCTGACTGGTTCGACTGCTGCAGCTCGGGTCATAGAGGCTATATGTCCACACGCGAACCCCCAAATTGCTAATGGACATAAGTCAACGGTCAAGGAAGAGGGCTAGCTAGCTCAAGACGGTTCGGTCGACCCCGAAAAGGCGGGCGGAACGAGGGGTAGCAGAATAAGAGCAGCAACAATTACTAGTCGATAGCTGGTGGAGTTGACTTGATTGATCGATGGCGGGGGTGGAGAACGCGCCGGCGTGTGGCCCCCCTTGTGAGTTGAATGTAGGTAGGTAGGTATGTATATCACACCTTGAATGCCTGCCGGGCAGGTCATCATCATAGATATACTTGCCTGACTTACACCGCGGTGGTCTCCGGCGGGATCATACCAGCAGACACAGAGGATAGGGACCCGGGGCGATTAAACCGCGAGATGCCTATCAAAATATTGACAGTACCTATATGTGAAGCAATCCCATGCAGCGCCACAGCTAACGACCGCCGATCTCACGTCTCGGCATGTCGGTACGTCGTCTTCTGCCTAGAATCTCGGTCGGTCTAGAATCTCGGTTGGGCACCCCTCTGCTTTTTCAGCCCTAGAATATCGGATGTCCCATCGTGATCTGCGTCGCACATCTAGTTGAAAATCTAAGGAGACTTACTGCTTTGCTATTGATCTGGGCGTTCAATCTTAGTGTCGTCGATCATCCGCTTTCATCCACGGAGGCGGGGATGCAATGCATGCGACAACAAGGGCCACGCCAGCTTCGTCGTCCAAAAGTGCAACCAATTTTAGAGTCTCAAAACATCAATGGCTGAGCCTCATCATGTATCGACGCGATGTCATACGCGCCATAGTAGGGACGTCGTCAGCAGGCATGCAAGGCCTCGGGTGAAGGGAGGCACGCAGAGAGCGTATGAGGACTTAGGGCGGCTATTATGAAATGGTCCAGGAGCCGGCAGATCGCCCGGCCTAGCAGTCTATTTCCCTCGTTGCCCCCGGGACGGGGCGGGTCGACAGGGTGTGTTACATCTAGCAATTGTAAATCCCAGAAAAAGCATGCGCTCACTGCATGTCAGAGCTACACAAACGTTGGATACGATAATGACAAGAGTGCGCACGGCGTATGACGCGAAGACGGCATCCCAGCTTGGCGGTAAGCCGGCTGCGGATCAGGAAAAGAAACGGCCAACTAACAACTGGGCGGTGAATCGAGGGCATAACTCGTCAAAGCCAAAGTCCCGTCGTAAGGCTGCCACGAAGCTATCGCGGAGCCTTCGTAGGTATCGCTGTCGTGTAACGCAAAGGGCAGACTTGCGTCAAGTTGATAATGTCCCAGACGATTCTGATCCAGGCTGAGTCGGGCTGTGGTGTGGCCGTAGAGGTAAGGCCGTAGAGGTAACGTGGGCGCCGTACTGGCACCCCGGAACTTGGGAGCCTACCCCAGACTTTTGCATTCGGGTAGCCACATGAGGAACAAGTATGCAGGGATCATGAGGACCCAGCAAGGAGGGGATTGAAGTACTGGCCCGGGTTTCCCAACTCGAGGGTACGTGTACACACAGTAAGGGTCATAAGGTAACCAGACTCGTTCGAATCCAGACCGATTACGCGAATGTTGGCCCGCCTGTATCGACAAGGGTGCGAGTTTCTCTACATGCCCTGCCCAACGCCTTCGGACTAGACCAGCTTTTGAGTATCCATGATACTCTCTCCCAAACAAGGCCCAAAACAACCGAGGAACGGCCCTCTCTAGCAATCGTCAAGAGTGCTCGGATCTGGCTTTAAACCAGCAATGTGTGTGCCTAGCCTCCAACGGGACAAGGATCTCCCCCACGAAGCCACCTTGGGACCTTGAGATTCCCCCACCTATAAGAGGGGGGAAAAGAACCCACCTGACCTAGAGCTTCGTTTGAACTTAGTCCCATAGTCCCATGATTCTGGGATAATGAGGGAGAGGATTGTTCACGCTAGGTCAACCAGGTTAATCTAACTATCTTAGCCCGCAGGCCATAGCTGTAACCCATTGGTGGCATGGCTGGACGTTTTGCTGAATTGCCCAGGTACCTAGGTATGATGTTGCAACAGCCCA